CTTCTCTTCCAACTCCCCCCACACCCACCCCTACCTATGCACACAACACACGCTGGATTGGACGCATTGGCTGACTTGGGCTCTTTCTGCACCATAGAGATAAGCCATCGGAGGTCGAGGGCTTCCCGCAGCGATCTTGGCATATCGAGGTCTGGCTCGTGAACGAGAAGGGCGCCTTGGTCCCAGCAAACATCTTCGACAGGGTCACCTATCACCTGCACCCCAGCTTCGGTGAACGCGCTACGCAGGGTATGTTTTGGTCCATATTATTGGTTTTTCCGATCCGGTCTCAGCGACGCGTGGGTTATCTGTCGATTCAGAAATCCCACAGCTAGGAAGATTTGATCGCTGTGGATTGTTTTCAGTTTGGAAGCTAACGTGGGATCATTCTGCTCTAAATAGTCTTCAAGCAACCACCGTTTCGCATTCAGGAAGAAGGATGGGGTGAATTCGATATGTCTATCGAGCTCACTGCTGACAAGTCCTACACCATTCAACATGACCTGAACTTCGCCCAGACCCGTTATGAATCTAAGCATGTTCTCGTGAGTTGCTGAAACCCCCGTTCGAGAGGAAGTATAGTGTTCTGATCAATGGCGCTTTTGTTGCCCGTGCAGACTTTCAAGAACCCCAAGCCTGCTTTGATGGCTGCGCTGCGCGAATCCGGTCCCGTCCCCGGTGACGAGAATGGTATCAAGAACAAGCGCCCTGCTGTTGGCGAAGAGAGTGCCAAGAAGAAGAAGCGCACAGATAAGAATGTGAGTTTGATTCTGTGATATAGGAGCTGGGATTGGCAGAGAACTAACGTGCTTTCAAGGTCGACATGGACAAGCTTGCCGATGGGCTTCAGAAACTGAACGAAGATGACCTTCTGCAGGTTGTGCAGATGGTTCATGATCACAAGGCGCCGGATTCATACACAAAGAACGATGTTGAGCGTAAGTTCCTATCTCTCTGCCCTCGGCCTCGGGTATATCAGAGAAAAGATACCCATGGTCTTCCTCTGCTTTCTAGTAGTTTACTCTGAACAAACACTAACCCTTCTCTCTCATCTGCAGTCGGAGAATTCCACGTGGACTTGTACACTCTTCCTGATGCGTTGATCAAAATGCTCTGGGATTTCACGGCGGACCGCGGAGCTCTGTAAGGAACAACCGAGCGAGCGGAAGAGGAGAAAACCAGGCGTGGGAGTGTTTATTCTGTCTTCTTCTTCATTTATTCTCATCTCTCGAGTCTTCTTCGCTTCTTTCTCTACTATGTACCCTCGGTCACCCCACGACCATACGTCTAGTTACTTCGATATCATGTTTTTTTCTGTCTTTGACACGGGGAGTTAGTGGACTACCGAAGGAAATTGGATGGCTCTTTTTTCTTTGTCTTTTTTTCTCTTTCGCGTTTCGATCGTCTTAAAATGCGAGTATTGCTTTCCCTCGGTGGGGGGGGATGGGATGGACTTTGTGCTTTTCACTCACCTCGAGAGAAAGACAGGTGGAATTCGAGAACTCAGTAAATGAGTTCTTTTCGATGCTTTGCACAGGATACTATGGATCTTATACCAATTCGAAACTCAGTTGCACTTGGCACATGTGTCTTTGATACTCTTGCATATGAGGGAACATACATTAGACAACTAGCTGTACAACGAAAGAGGATAGTGAGCACCCCTCATATATTCCGTGGGGCCTGTCAGGTGGCTACTGAACCCCCAAAGTTCAGCCAATGACTTGATCCATTAGGTGTAAGCCTGCATGGACCTCAACAACTTGGTGATGTTGAAATCCTTGTGTGTATAGGTACGACACGACCCTCTGCGCGATCTCAGGCGGGCTACGGAGAGATAGGGGTCAAGGATTGGAGAGGAAGAGAAGAAGAGGAAGAAAGATGCGGGAGGCGTTTTATAGGGTCACATTGCCACGTACCTTCCTAGGTTGGACAGCCCTTTGCTCTTTCCACTTTTGCATCTCGGTATTACAGTGGCAGGTGACCGTATGAGCCCTATAGGCTACATAGTATATATTCTGTTGTCATTGTAAAAGAGAATGAAGGTATCTTAGTCTAGTCTGAGAAGACTACTAGAGAGAAGGTATAGTAACGTAATAACAGCATGGGATATCTCGAGTAAATCAACATCACGCCCGGCCCCCGCCGGGCTGGAAATAGTAGGGACATAATCACACAAGGAGAGAAGAGAAACACATAGTGCCTGATGAGACACGACAAGATAGTAACCAGACCATCGACGAATGCACCCCTTTCTAGTGACCAACGCCGTTTCAAGATATGTTTTTTTTAAGTGCAGATAAAGCATCCAACGTTAAGGAAATCGGAGACAAAGGAGGATGCAGGAGGAGAGTGTTTGAGGGAATGAAAGAAAAGACAAGTCAAGTCATGCAAAGAAGATCATGCAGGAACAACCGAAACGCTTTGCTGCTATGCTAGTAGATGTTGACGCTGAAAACATAAAGCAAATAAGAGATCATAGCACACGGTTCCTGTAATCATTTGTTAGTATACGTTTCAATAGGAAATGAACGACAGCCGGTGAATACGCACAGCTTCAACAAATCCTCGAGGCTGTCAGCACTGCAGCTACGGCCGCGAGGAATGTTGTGTAGGACATCGATGATGGTAGCAAAGACATCGCCGCCACGGTATGCCAACAGAGCGGGGGCTTTGATGTGATCCATCTCCGCGATATCCTGGTGCATCTTGACGAAACGGGTAGTAGGCTGTCGGCGAGCGATAGTGACAAGACATTCCTCGACGATAGCACTGTCATCACACTAAAGAAAAAAAAAGAAACAAATTAGCAACCCCAAACCCCGCAATTATAATTTATACCCCAGATCAATTCCACATACCTCATGATCATAGATACAGACAACAACAACCGTATCAGAAGTCACCTTTTCGATAGCATCGAGATACCCCACCGCATCAACGGTCTGAACCGACCCAAACCGTCTACCCCGCGGACTGGCACGACGAGTACTCCGGTCCTGCAGTTCGTGCATGCGCGATTGGCGCCATTTATTCATGAAGCGGACCTCGTCATCGTCCTCACTAGTCGAAGACTGATCGCCGCTTGCGAGCGGGATGTCATCGCGAGTAGACTTTGAACTGTAAGAGGCGCTGTTGGAGTCGAGCCCCGCAGCGCTGAGGAGGGTGCGGCGGAAGGACTTTTTGCGGGCACGCTCGAAGGCTTGAGCGTCTGCAATGACACCTTTGGGACCTGTGTTGGCTTCGTAGACGGTGTTGGGGATGTGGTAGTTTGGGGTGCGGGAGGAGACCATGTCGTCTGCTTCCTCGTCGGAAGAGTCGACTGTTTGGCGGGAGCGGAGGCGGGAGGAGGTTTCGGGTTCGTCGTCGGAGAAGTGGGGGTCTGAGTCGTTGTCTTCTGGGTGAGAGGTGAATTGTGAACGGTTACTGTTCACCAGCTGGTTGAATTCTTCTTGGGCGGACATAGTGAAAGAATAGGCGTTTTTGTAGGTGAGGGAGGGAATTTAAGTTGGGTGATCTCGTTTGGTATGTTTCGGGTTTGACAAGGATCAAGGATCAAACATAGGCTATTCGAAGGTTGGCCCCTGGTGTTGGAACGGAGAGAAGGCTGAGGTTAGTAGAGATCGTCGTGAAAGATGGCATGGAAGTCATGGAAGTTCTGAAACGGTGAGGTCGGGCCGCCCCTTTTTTTGTTTCAGGTTTGGGGATCCACCGAAGAAGTATGCACATATATCAAGTTGATATTCTTAGTTTCTTTGTATGACTACAATGCTATTTCCTATTCTTAGCAATTGACCTTAGCCCTATATCCTATCCCTGTCCTTTGAAGAGAATCCTCGATGGTATAATGTCTGAGATAACGCAGCCGCAGACCTCGAGTCTACTAAAAAGCAATCCAAGCACACTATTATTCCCCTAGTGCCTCGTGTCTACGGGGAAATACCTACTTTCAGGTATGTACATACTCAGCCCCATTCTTTTATGTAGATCTTTAGTCTTCACTGGATATTTTAGGCCTAGACGTTGCTATTTTCTATCTCTAGGGCGGGTACGCTCGTGTTCCCGGTTTGGTTTGAGATGTAGGGATCGTGGACCTGTCTCGGCAAGTAGCGTATATGCTTATTATAAGGATAACCACAGGGCTGATCCTGTTGATTTTCTTATGTCGGATGAGTCAGGGCCCTAGCACCACCTTTCTTCTTCCATTATCGGTCTAGTACTTATCCCTAGGATCAGTGGTCGATTCGCCTTTCCTTCTTTCATGTCAGAAATCCGGGCTGATTCTGGGGTGAGCTACGTGTGAGGCACCCATGAATGTCAATTTCGGTAAGAATGAGGCAGCGACTAGTCCAGCGAGGCAGGCGGATATGCGTAGCAGGCCTGATATAGGGGACAGGCTGGGTTGTGTGACGCTGGGAGCGTGGAGCCGAAGGTTGGAATGTATATGTACTATCACTACTACTACCTCAAGCCATTGTTTCAACTTTCTCAAACATGATCTGGGAGGGATGGTACATTCTACTCTACGGCTGGACCGAGATTCCAAGACCGTTAAATCATGTCCTATGTCTGATGCTCGCCATGCTTGCATTGCAAAGAGCAAAGCAAAAAGCAACATGGCCCGAAACTGTCATCTTCAAGTACGAAAATGGAGAATCGATGAAAAAAAAAAGTTCACAAATGGAAATTGGAGCTGCTCGAAACATTATCAAAACCCGACACCAAAGAATCCCAGAGCAAGAGATTCCAACGCAAAGACAGTAAGTACAACAGACTCTTTCTTTAGAGGAGACACAAATAAGGGGGGAGAGAGATTGGGGAGAAGAAAGGAGAAATAGAGAGAATAATCAGGTAACGCAGAGGTAAGTCGGCGAAAGGAGATACTGGCCGGAGTCCGGCAACCAGGTCCTGCTTTTTGCCTTCGCTAACGACATACATGTCGAGACCCATGTGGAGGTAATCCAGAACGAAAAAGTAAACTGAAGGGGGGATAAAGAAATTCAGAAAAAAGAAAAAAAGAAAAAGGGAAAGGGCGTCATCGAGAAGTCAAAGGGGGAAATCGAAGGACAAGAGATAGGGGCGACGGAGAAATCGTCAGATGGATTGACTGGTTCCAACATTTCCTTCTGCTGGCTGCAGTCACTGTACATCCGTCGACAACCAAAGAACTCATCGCGCTCTCATGTCCAAACAAGTATTGTGTTCATCGCTATCGTTTGTTCGCCGGGACATCGTCCCATGACGCTCACATCCACCTCCATCACCTTCCGTATCGCATGCGACGATGTCTGCGCCGCGGGTAGTGTATTATCGTGGGAACCCAATGGGTGCCCCGGTAATTGATTATTATCGTACAATGGCGGAGATTTGGACCATCGAGCCTAAAAAATTCGAAGAAGAGCATTGCAGAATGATTGACACGGGGTATCTTGCGTTTTGTTTTTGTTGGTTTACCAGGCCCAGACCTTGAGCTGTATGAGAGAAAACCAGAGATTAGTAAATGTATTTGAATGAAGAATTGCAGGCAAACTTACAAGGGAATCCCAAGATCCAGTGCACAGACTGATGCCATCGTTGCTGACCCCGAGACAGCTCACACGGTTCTCGTGGCCGCTCAAAGAGCCCACCTTGTCGCCACGCAGAACGTCCCATACCTAAATGACTGATTAGCATTTAGTCCCTTTGTTGGGAGAAAGAAAGGCTCATACCTTGCACTCGAAATCATCGTAACCGGCGAACAATAACCGGCCGGAGACCGAGAACGCAACGGAAGTGATACCACACAGAACTTGGTCGTTCTAGAAAACCAAATGTCAGTTTTTGTCCAAGTATCTCGAGCGAAAGATAATTACCTGATAGGTGTTAAGCTCGCGGTCGGCACGGATATCGAACAGACGGCAGGAAGTGTCGTCGGAACCAGTACCGAAAGCATTGCCGTCGGGGAAGAATTGAACGGCATTGATATCGGACTCGTGGCCGGCGAATGTCTGGACAGACTTTCCGGTACGAATATCCCACAACTTGGCGAAAGCGTCGCATGCACCGGAAACGAAGATGTTCTGGTTGGTTGGGTTGATGCTGATCGACATCACGTCACCCAGGTGGTCGGCGAACTCGGTGACCTTGGTTCCAGACTCGATATCCCACAGCATACAGGTCATGTCGCCAGATGAGGTAATGATGCGGCGGTCGTTGATGAAGCGACAGCAGGAGAGATATCCCGAGTGTCCGGAGAGCTCGCGCGCGACACGAGTCGGGCCTTCGCGTGAGGATAGGTTATAAATCGAACAAATATTGTCGAGACCACCGCAAGCGACGTAGTTTCCGCTCGGGGCGTAGGCACAGGTCATGACCCATGACGAGCGCAAGGGAATCGCATGGACCTTGTTTGTGGTGTAGGCATCCCAGATGATGAGCTTTCCGTCCTGTGAAGCCGAGACGAGATGGCGCCGATCGGTGGACCAGTGCATGGCATAAATCTTAGCGAGGTGACCTTTCAGCGTGCGTCGGGGCTTCATTCCAATTCGTGGTAGAGCATCTGTTTGGTTCTGCGCGACTTGACCGACTAGACGAAAAGAGAAAAGTCAGTACATTGAAACACGTCTCCCAGAACGATGCAGCTGACAACATTCTGGGAGAAGAAGAGGAAAACCTCAAAACATAACAATGGGTGTCGCACGGGAGGTATCGGCCAGCTCATCCTTTCTGCGCTTAATCTTGTCCTTCAAACCCTCAGCTTCACGCCTGGCCGCAGTGATCTTGGCCTGCATCTGTTCACCGCTCATATCGGCCATTTTATCGAAATGATACCCCGGAGACAAGCAATCGGAAAGATTGGTAGAGGGGGAGGGAATGGTAGAGAGGGGGCTATGGAGTGAAGGAGAGAATCGAAAGGCGGAACCTGGGATAAAGCGCCTCAGGCTTGGTTCATAATACGGATAAAAAAGACTCAAAAGAGAAAAAGGGAGGGGGAAGAGAGCCAACGGGATCAAGAGGAACAGACCAGAGAGGAAGAGAGAGAGAGGAACAGGGGGTGACCCCCCGGGCCGAGCGAGGAGGTCAGCATATTACTAGTGGTAATCAGCAAATGAGAAGAAGGTACCTTGATTTGCTATCATTTTGTATGAGGTCACAAGTACTTTCTTGTTTTTTTTATCGTATTTGCATGAAAGAAATTTGTTACATATATGAAGTGCATACATACTCCATACTCCATACTCTATATATTTCTATACATCTTTAATTTCCATTCTTTGTTTTCAAAAAGTTGGCATTGTATATCTTCTGGCTATATTAACACTACATTTCCCCCCCGGGTACCTGATGCCGGTCTCTCCCAAGGTTTCTTTTTTGTTGATATCCAAGAACGTACACGCACATGTCCAAGTACTTATGTTCTTACTCCGTATGGAATACTCAAGTCAAAAGTTCAACCTTCATGATCTTACGAGGGAAATGAAATTGTGGCGTTGAGGATCGGGGTGCTAACACCACTAGCCGCCACAGGACTGAAGAACCACACAGTCAAACCACAGTTATTTGTTATGTACTGAAGTAATTCAGATTTACCCGCGGCTCTTGAGAACTTGTATGACTCTGACATATCAAGTGCCGTATAACATGCATTGTTCACGAGCTAAATTGACTCCCTTGCGTCCCCCTTTTCAGTTTACAAAGCAATTTTGAGGGGAGCTAACGGAGATTGGATTATCCTGCGTATCCAACCTGGACATAAAACCAGTTTAACACGTTGTTAGACACTAGAAAGGCCTAGAAACAGGGTACTTTATATTCTTATAATCAAGGAAGTCTGAATTTGGAAATGTATTAACATACGTTAACATATCCTTACCATCCTTCACTCTTAATCGCTTCAACAGTCTAACTACTCCAGGTCCAAGCTTCAAATATGGTCTTGGAGCGTTCGTAGGCGCACGGCCCTGTGGCTGACCCATTATCTTGGTCTTCAAATACCGGATATTGGTCATTGAAGGGATTTAAATGACTCTCGAGAATATATTGCATGTTATTCTTGGAAAGTCTACAATGGCGTCAACTAGCGAGGTATAGTACACACGTTGTATTAACCCTACCCCAGAGTGTGCCACTTCGGCTTCATTGCCGTTCTGGCGGGTCCAACCGTTTCCCGTACACTGGTAAGTGCATTTCATCTAACTGAAAAATGAAATAAAGCGCGAGGATCTTTTTCTCTGAACAATCCGGCATTTCAACCTGTCTATCCCGAACAATCCATTTGTGCGGCCTGGGCCCCCTTTTTTATTTCGGTAATCTTTGGCTTCTATCACTCTTCGTCGCGACGATCATTATTTACCATATTGCAGGCTTCTTTTCGGGACAGATCGGCTTGATATTGGTATTTTTTTATTTTATTTTATTTTTGGCTCTGTGTTTATTGACTATATGCTTACCATTTACCTTCTTCACACATATAGGGATATCTTTGTCAATATCCATTTTCTCTACTCATCACTCCGTACACTCCCTATGGATACTCGGAGAAGTGCCAAGGTCTCCACTCGGGATCTTCAATATGGCGTCTGTCATGCAGATGCTCATCGGAGATTTGCAATAAGATTACTCCGTATTCAGTACTTGGATATGTCTATTAGGCCACAAATAGGCAACCGAGCCAGTCTCGTGGAATCCCGACCCCCCTCTCTTGGTAAAGGTCCATTGGTTCTAAGACCATGATTATCTCTCGGCCTGACATGGGTTAGTCTGTGTGTACAGTCATGATCCAAACCCCCGACCAAAGGGGTGACCTCGTCTCAGCTCGGGGCTGCAAGGCACTCACCAACACCGAGATGATAAAGAGATCAAAGTCTAATACATTGTTTGAGTCATGATGCTTACTAGGGTTTGAATCTGAAACGGATCTCATCCTATACTGTTAAACGTGAGCAGTCAGATCCTGACCCATGTTCTTAGTGAGAAGCTTTGGGACTTTGGGAATTATACAGCATTGTACGCAAGCAAGCCACCCATGAATAGAGAAAAAAAAAAAAAGGACAGTCAATATCTGTGTCACCATTCCCACGCCCTCAGCTTCAGGGATGAGCTTCAGCCCAACTCAAGCAGAACCAGTTATAGTTTGCGCCATATCACACGATACACCAAATCCCTGCACTGAGTCTTCCGACTCGAGAACGACATGATGGAGCTTATCCCAGAAATGATTCCGATCTATCCATGGGGCTCTGCTGACGACGACCAGCTTGAGGCCCGTAACCCGCGGAAGGCAAGTTCTGACACTTTCTTCTTTCTTGAGGAAATATGTATGCAAATATCACGTGAATTATGCATTTTCTTATATCTAGGTACTTCTAAGCAACTGGCGTCTCTCTTGTTACTCAAGCAGGCGATCGGAAGTCGATGTATCACGAGTGCGTATAAATTTCAAATGACACGATGTCGATGCCAGTAGGCTGTGGACACAGGTTCAACTCGCAGTTTTAACTCCTTACACGGAATTGTACCGGTGACCCGATAAAACACTGTCTCAAATGTAGGTGTACTCGCCAGCTATGAAATAAGAAATTTACATATCAACGGATGTTGAAAGACATGTTACAAAGACTCCGGATAGTTCATTATATCCCAAACGGAGGATTGAAAGCCTAATACGGTCCATTGAAGATTCTCTGGGAATATATGATGATAATTCTTTGCTATACCGTAAGGAGTATATCTTTTATATCTCGCTACACTCTAGCAATCAAATTCTGCTTTTCTATTAGGCAGGGGCCATTTGCGATGGACCGAGGTGCCCTATCTCTATAATCAAGACGGTCAGAACTAATACGAATGTAGAGAGTATGCATATGGCACAAGTGGACCTCGCTAGCACTGAAAGAACTCCAATAGTGCATGTACACAAGCACCGTTGTCAGGTCGAAGCTTCCAAGGCTCCCACCGGCTGTGGACCGAGAACTAAGCGTTGACAATTCTGATCCTGGACTTTGTCTATAGGGCTCGGCACCAAATGTCGAGGACGGTTAGAGCTAAACTAGTCTAGTGGGGGCTGGGGTTATGAACCATGAATAGGCGTGTTATTCGTACAATGTATCATCCCCCCTAATCGATGTAGCCGCTATTGTTTGCTAGTTTCCTCGAAGCCCTACTTTTAGGATGAGATGAAACGAACGAACTTGAACCCCCAGAAAGAGTTCAAGATGCAAACAGGCGGGTATGGACTCCCGGCAGTTCGTAGGTGTTCTAATCTTAGTACACCGTCTGTGCGCCACAGAGTTGCAAGCGCGTGTAAACCCTGTCAAGATGTGATAGAGGTTCTTGGGGGCCAATGTTATCACTGCGGGGATATTCGATTGGTGCTCGGCAAGTTGCTAGGAATAGTTTGTTGCTAAGTTTAAACTTCTCAAAATAAACTACCCTGTGTATGGCTGATGAAACGGCATCAAGGAGTATCAGAAAGGTGATGGAAACACTTGACTCCACTAACAACCATCAGGGGCTAGAAGATCCAGGCCAGACGGGACATTTTCCAGATTCCGTTTCACGGGCCGTTTCTATGAAATCTATTTGGATTATTCAAGGGGGTTCAAAGTTCACTTTTTTATCAATCCATAGTGGCGGAATGTATATCATACTTCGGGAGATATGCAATGGTCAGCTTCAACATATAAAGTCAGCATTTAGTTACTTTCTTTGATCTCGAGACTCGGTCATTAGTTGTTTTAGGCTGTTGACGTTGACGAAATTTATAACATAGATGTAACACAACTCATTCCTGGTGTCGATCCAGCATACTTTGTTATGAGGGTTCCAGGGACAGCAACTAAGAACGGCTACTCGATCTGTAGGGAAGTCGGTCCGAACTTCCTCTAGTCAGTTCTAGTAAGAATAAAAGACCGAAGTTATTCAAATATTTCATCCGAGTCATTGGTGGATTGTGGTCATTGCTCAAGATCTACAGCCTCCGCTCGTGGTGCCATCTGTCATATCAGGCCGCATTGACCTGGAACGTTTGGCAACGATCATCTCTGGTGGGCCTATGTACAAGGTACAATATACATCTTTTGATCTGACATAAATGAACCGATGTGGCAATGTGGTATGTGAAGAAGGATATGTAATGTCAAGTGGCGACTCCCGAGGTCGGTACTCAATGTAACAGATGATTCGATAGAAATATAGATATGTAGTAAAAGAAGAATAAGATCAAAATCCTAGACAAAGAAATCATTCGATATATAGCGCAAAAAATGAATGAAAAAAAAATCCGTGGAAAAGGTGGAAAAGGTAATATCCCAAGGTGGCGCCAAAATACATCGGGTACAGCGAGAAACCCATATTTGGTAATATTAAGGAGGCACCTGACGCTCTCCGCTTTTGCCTTTGCAAACTTCCTCTTCTCACCTTATCCCCCTCCAATCCATCTCTATCAAATCCCATCTATCTTGCATTTTGCATTTGGTCTCTCTTTCATTGCTCCTTAGCCTCAGACTCGGATTTTCTGAGTCGAGACCCTTTCGCCCCTTCTGGTCATTGGGTATTGGTATTTCCATCTAACCCCATCATCTCTTCATTGACCTGATGTCTTTGGATTGATTCCTCTCAGTGCGAGTTTTTGATCAACAGTAGGCATCCTATCTGGGAATTCTACATCGAAAGGTCATCTTTTTGCATTTGATCCATTTCTGGCCGCCATCTTGCATCGATACTGCATTGAACCCTCGCTCTTTCATCACATCCCCGTTCCTTCATCATGCGGGAAGTCAATTTTAGCATTCCCAATGTGAATAAGGCCTCGGTCAACATCACCACCACCCTCTATGACCGACGTGCCCTTGATTGCACATCGACTTTACCGCTCATCAACTCTCTCAACCATCTTGCATACCTCACAACTTCGTCCGCCCGGATTCGTGACATTCTCACCGTCGACGGTGGCATCGAGCGACTAGTATGCATCCTCAAAGAAGGACGGAGCAAGGATTTGATGGAAATGTGGAAATGGAGCCTCGCCTTTCAATGTGTTGTCAACATCGGCGTGCGGGGCTCTGAGAGCGTGAGGACCAGAGTGGTGGAAGCCGATATGGTCCCCGTCATTGCCACCATCCTGAACAACTACATCAAGGTAGTGGACAAGGTGCGGTCGCGGTCCGATCCCGATACCGAAAGACAAACATCTTCCAGGCACTCGAAGCCCAGCACCAGCCGAGATGTCTCCACTCCCACCCCGATGGATGCAGATACCCAGACCGAGTCACACCCACAGGTCGAGTCACATCAACCACGTCGACAAGCCCCTCCGCCGAGTATCGAAATTCCCCGGCCTTTTTACCAAGATAGCCAGCCCAATGACTCCGATGCCATGGACCTCACATCTCCTCCTCGTGTCCCTATGACATCCCCTCCGGAGCGCAGCACATTTGGCCAAGAAGCCCATAATCACCGGTCCAACGATGGGCGATTCCCACGTGCTAGCGTTCGTCTGCGGTCAATGCAACCTCTTGCCACGGCTGTTCCCTCCATGGATACCACAGATGGATTTGGACTACGTCCTGTGCGTGATGCCGAGCGTCTTCCTAGCATGCTTCCTGGTTTGCAGGTTGGGATCGTTTCACAACCCGACTCTCCGACCACACCAAGTGGCCCCCTCCACTCACAGCCTCGCAGCCTTCCCCAAACAATCGCCGCCCGACAACGTCCTTCCATCCGTCAGCAGCAGTCCACTTCCGGCGAATCGGATGATGCCAACGGGGAAGATTTGACTATGGGAGATGATAGCGCGATGGGGCAGCCCACTGAAACCATCGTTGGACTCCCCAACCGGATGGAACTTGACGGTGTTAACGAGCGGGAAACAACAATGCTAGATGATGTCTCCACCGCTCATGATCTGACCGTCAATGATCCCTCTGAAGAGGGCGGCCCAGAAGTGGAGACCTTCAACATTACTCATCGTTCAACTGTCGACGGTAGCATTATTAATAACGGCAACACACAGACCAATGGCGGACTAGGTCTCTCTCCCACACAAGCCACCAACAATCCTAATTCTCCTACTCTCGCTCCCAGCCCTTACGCCTTGTACCTCCGTGACCGCAATGCCCCCGCAGCCCAAGGAGTCTTGACAACCATGCCTCGTGATGAGGATGTCTTGATGTCCCTTCAGCTACTGGCGTATGTCTCCAAATACTGCAACCTACGATCCTACTTCCAGTCATCCCATCTTGTCCCCAAGTTGAAGATTGATCGCGAACTCCACCTTTTGGATGAGAATGCTGATTCTTCTTCACCAATTGATATGTGCGAGGAGGAAGACGAGTACCTGCTTCCTGACGATGTCAACATCTTCCCCCTGGTGGAGAAATTTACTGTCCGACACCACTCCAAGGACATGCAATACTGGGCGTGTGTGGTCATGAGAAACCTTTGCCGTAAGGATGAGGCGAGGGGTGGCATCCGCCAATGCGCCTACTACAAGTGCGGCAAATGGGAAGAATTCCAGCGTCAGTTCGCCAAGTGTCGGCGTTGCCGTCGCACCAAGTACTGCAGCAAAGATTGCCAGAAATCTGCCTGGGTATACCACCGGCACTGGTGCCATACTACCCCTTGATACGACCCGATGACCCCAGAGGAGTTTTATTTCGATTTCCATGCATACCGGCTCGCATAGCGTCATATCCGTCTTGCGTCTCCCTTCCATTTGTTCCAAGGTTCCTCTTATGCATGGCATTTCAGAATCTGGCGGCGTTTCCATTTCGACCCGAAGATACCTTTTACATGTCTAGCCTTTTCATATTCCCTTTCTCGCACAGCTTGCCTTCCGTCTTGATTCATTGTCGTGGGCCCTCACTTGCGAGCCCTTTTTATTGCTCATATCCACATTTGGCCATTTCTCATGACTGTATATCTCATACTAACCTCCATACCAGGGGCAATATTCCCTTTGCCTTTTATATTTTGTTTGTTTGTTTTCTTTTCTTTTTGGGGCCAATCTGTTTTCTCTCATAACTAATTGCGCTATCACGAGTTTCCTATGTCAGTAGATGGGCATTATTGCCGATAACTTAGGCCGCCTCATGGTCATTTGGGGCATTTCATTCTGGTGCACATCCCATCTACGATTCTGATTTATGTCCGGAGGACCTGTCTTTATGTGTGTTTACACTTTACCACAACGGCCCAGGCGTTTACAATTTATTCCCAGTCGTATGAATGACTCTGTTCACATTTACTCAGAAGACCCATAAGATATCTACGTGTGGCCTAATCCAGCCTTACAGAGACGGAGCGCCGCAGACTGAGTTCCTGAACCTCATGTCAACATCCGTGCAGGTGGATTCTCACTCATTTTTAGTAAACCCATATGTAGCCTCTAACCTCGACATGAGATGTTCATGCGCTGTCAAAGGTCTCTTCCCAGGTACCAAATGGCCCGCCCCACCCCCAAACCCAACCCTCTCATCGGCAGGAACACCCCCAGGCCGCTCCCGATGCGCGGCGACAACCCCACTAGGAACAGGCACCAACTCCGTTTCGTCAACCGGATGACAGAAATACACCAATGTGTACCGATCCTGCGGATTCGGACTCCGCTGCTCGGCAAGTGGGAACACAACCCGGTGCACTGTTGACTTCAACAGCCCATCCGTCCAATAACTCAGCAAATCCCCAATGTTCACCAAGATAGGGGGAATGGATACCCCTTGGCCTCGGCTGCGGGACCGGGAACAATGGGAACAGGCGCCCAGCTACCCTCCGGTGTTAGTATCTCGAGACCTGGCTGGCCGGGACGTTGGAAAAGGAGGGTTATGCTGCCGTAGTCGGAGTGCGCGCCGGCTCGCACGTCCTTGTCGTGTTTGTAGGCTGCCGTTGTTGGTGAGAAGATTGATGGGTAGTAGAGGTACCGGAGGATGCTGCCTGTTGGGCCTGTGCTTGGGTCGTGGCGGGTTGTGAAGAAGTCTTCTGGGATCTAGATTGGTTGGTATAAATATTATATAGTTGAGTGGATATGCCACTGGTGGTCGATATATAGATCTGGTTTGGTCACGTACCTCGAGACCTAAAGCAAGTAGAGTCAGGATCCGAGTGCAGGTTTTGTTGCAGAGTTCCCCGAAGTGGTTGATCTCTGCTTCGTGGGGGCTTAGTGAGGGTGGCAGAGGCTGCTGGGCTTTGCCGTCTTTGAAGTCGCCGAAGTTCATGGCTCTAGTTTGGTGGTCAGTTTATGGCTGGGGGGACTTGAGGGCTTGGACAGATGTCTGCTTCATACTCTTTGAAGTCTCCGGTCTATCAATTGGTTATTTCTAGCATTAGTCTCCATCGTTCATGCCAGAGAACTGGTGAGTCAGAGCCATGACCTACCCGCTGATGCTCAGGGTCGAGGGTTTCTATATGCATTCCAGACCAGCCTCGGTTCTATAGATATCAGAGTTAGACTGAATGTATTTATCTGTTTGCCATCAATCTTGTTACAAACATTCGGCTGGATTCGGCATGTTTCCTTCTCCTCTGCGGGAGACGAAAAGAACTCCTTTGACTATAGAGACGGTTAGATGCATGCTTATATCTGTCAATTGATCAAAATGTAAGTCTTACCAATCCAAATGCATCGTCCACATCCTTCACGGTGAAATCGGTTCCTTTGCTGTTGACATACAGGAAACCATATTTTGCAGCAGCATCCAGCATGGCCTTCCCCACGGCAGGGTCATGGGGATTAGAGATGTCAATGACAGGAAGCTCGATTGGGACTGTGGTGTCTCCCATTTTGAAGAATAACTAGAAATGGGTTACTTGGAAGTTAGGGTTCAACGTTGAAGTGAATATATAGTTGTGGATGGAGTTGAAACCGCTTTTAGCGCACATGTGATTGGGCCTATCGTGTAGCTTCGAGATCACGATAATGAAATTCGATCCAACCAATCTAATGACTCGTTGAATAGCCGGCTCCAGTCACTTTTCTGGGTCAATTCCGAGCTCAGGCGAGATCCGACGTGCAAAATGGGCTTGGGACCCCGCCGATGTGTCATTTGTCCCCGCCTGTATGCGTACCTGTGCTGGAGATAGAAACATGCCTAGATGCCTAATGATACTTAGTAAGATGAATATTACCTACCTCAGATATTTAGACCAGTTTGTTATATACTTCATACTCTATATACTATAGAAATACTATATGTATTCTATTGTGGATTTTGTGGATTTGTGGGACTGTTTTGTTACTATTTAAACATATTGGAGATGACTTCATTATAAGTCGTACATTCTTCTATAGATAATAGATTAACAGAAACATAAATCTATGGAGCTGAACATGAGATAACTAAATCAAATACCAGACAAAATACTCAAAACTACAAAAGAAGTGGTTAGAAACAAGACTGATGTGATGCCTTAAGAGGGCAAAAAAAACAAAAGGGCCAACTCCAACTCCGCCTTCCCCCCCTCGTGATCTTGCTATCTCCCATTCCGACAATCCAAACAGTCCCAGCTCCGATTCATCATATCCGGAACACGGAGCTTTTAATCCACTATTATCCTAGCTATAACCCCTTGTTCCCACCTTCGGGCTTTGATGCCCGGCGTTGCCGTGCTTTTAGCCTGTGACAGACAGCTCCAGAACCATGCCGAGTACACAGTACAGCTCCACAACCCACAATCGCACCAGCTAATCTTTTGTTTTGACTAGTCCGTCCCCTTGATGAATGGGTTGTTGGCCGCACCCAGTCCCTGCCCCTCTCAGCATTGAAGGGTGCCGTTGTTGGCATCGATGCGTCGCACTACATAAACCAGCATCTCGTGAACCAGTCAACCCGGGAGGCGCTTCTAGGCGCATTAGGTGGATTCCCATTCGCCTTGAGGACCAACATTGAGAAGGAACTACAGACTTTTAAGACCCTTGGTGTCGCCACTATCTTCGTCTTCAATGGTTTGGAATTCGGCAAGAAGGAGTCGCGCACCCAACCCGCAGCGTCGCGCTCATTCGAACAAGCTTGGGATCTTTACGACCAGCAACAGGCAGACCAGGTGGTCGATGCCTTCAGCAGTGCTGGTATGACCAATTACTATCCTTATTTCAATCTCTCCCCCGTGGTGGGCCTTGCGGGCCTTTATCGTTTTCATTGCGCACAGCGAAGCTTCCCAATGATCGCTGACACAACCGAACCCTCAGGCACCCCGCCCCCGGAGACCCTCTTCAAGTTCCTGCAACGGATTTTAGCCCAGAACGGAGTCGAATTCATCGTAGCGCCATACAGCGCCGCGGCTCAGGTGAGTGGTTACCCTATGCACCATGGTTGGATTGATAAGTAGCTAACCGACTTCTTTAAATAGCTCTCTTACCTCGCCCGTGGTAGCAACCCTGTAGTGGATGCTGTCTTCGCCCCCTCCGAAGCCCTCTTGTTTGACCTTGACAAGCTAGTCACCCGTATCGACACCGAGCCCGCGCAATTCTTCTGGATCACGAAGCAAACCTGCCAGGAGGAGCTGGGCCGACTTTCCAACGAACAATTCCTGGATTTCTGTTTACTACTGGGCTCCCCCTTCCTACGCTCCCTCCCACTTTTTGAGAACCCTGCTTACCCCGGCAAGAGCCCCACCATTCGTGATGCGTTGCCGATGTTCAACGCAGCTGGACGCAGTGCATTGACACTGTGCGCCCAATTTGAAGAGGATCGCCGTATGCAGGAGCTTCAATACGCAGACCTGTATAAGCGAGCGTATATGATTGTGAAGCACCATGTCTATATTGACGTGGAAGGTCGAGTGGGTCCTATGGATCCAGACAATACCTCGTCGGATATGCATGAGCTTATCGGGCAGCGCCTCCCGGAGGAGCTGTACTTCTATCTTTCTAAAGGTATCATTGGAGCTGATGTACCTAACTTCCTCACAACTGGCGAAGTTCGCATCTCGCTACCGCTGGGTACCGAAGACACCGAGATTTACCGCCAACTTGTGGGTGAAATCTTGACACCTGTCCGCACCCAATCTATTTGCCTTCTAGCAAACTCGCTTCATCGATTCTACCAAACGAAAGTCATTCGAATTCGCCCGTGGTTCGATGAGAACTCGGAGCGCACGATCAACCTCAAGGGCATCCCATCAGTCAAGGACACCATTCATCCCTGGAAGATTCACGGCGAACAACTCCCCGAAAATATCAAGAAGCTCCAGGCACCTCGCGGGTCCTTTAAATTTGCTGTTCAGAGTTTAAGCGACTCTGACTTTGTGTCCAAGTCATTTGCTAATAAAGAAACACCTGTAAGTCTACCCATCGATTTGGCGTTGCTTTCAATGATTAACGGCCCCCAAAGGTCCTTTCATCGCAGGAGGATATCTTGTCTAATGTCATGTGGCGCTTCCTGCAACTACGTGGATATGTTGATGATAAGCACAAGCTCACACCGTGGGGCCAGTGTCTGGTGCAGGCATTATCAGGTGTCGATCCTTCGGATCACCTTGAGGAATCTATATTCATTGCTGTTGAGATGATCCGCCTGGGTCTCCTCAATACCAAGCGCTGGTTCTCACATGTATCTGGCGGTCCCATGAGAGGATCAGAAGATGACAAGACCTTCAATATGCTGGTTTCACGTGTTGCATGTGTTGCCAAGCTTCAACACAAGAGCATTGGATATTCTGGACCTCTGAGCCGTCAGCTTCTTTGCTACCGCTCTTTGATTTCTGAGGTGCGCTCTGCACTGAGGAATCTGATCGAGGTGGTACTGGCTGGTCTGCTGCTCAGTGGTGACGCTGATCGGGACCGCAACGACTGGACCGAGATGGCTATCAAGTATGTTCTTCCTAGGCTAGCTATCCCAGATCTGAATTGTTGTGTTAACCTATTCCCTTAGGCTTCCGTTCATTGATGATAACGACTGTGGACTTGGAATTGCGGTTCGGACTTACCTCGACGACCTGCCACTGCAGGCGAATCCGACCTCACCCGAGGCTCGAGCAGATGTGAAGGCGAAGGGCAAGGAGTGGTTCCAACACAGCGAGAGCTTTATTGGAAACTTGGATTTGGCTTTCAAGCTGTGGGATGCGGTTCGTATTGTCTAATGTTTGGTTGAATACCGATCAAAGGCTGATTTTCAAGATAGGTTTACGCAGGCACACAGAGTACGGGCAAGGAGTTTAAGGAAGCAAAGTTCTGGGAAGACGCAAACAAATGGCTGGCAGAGAGACGATGATATGGGCAAGCCTCGCCGGCAACACCAATCAACCACCGCGGGAATTCTGGGTTATGCGCAGCTTGCAATTGAAGTTCATGCCAACAGCTCCCAATCTTGAGCAAGAAATACGATACCGACAATTCTCCCGTGTATTACTAACTACCCAGGTAGCAACAGAGACAAAACAAAAGAAAAACGAACAAGAAATACGATACCACCCAAAATCCGAATAATAAGAACATAAGATATATTAGGTCATCTCGTAGCTTGGAAGTAGATGGATGTGATCTGCGGAGCTGTGGAGGCACCAAGTGGCCTCTTCGGCTTTGTTTGTCATCATCTCCCCGAGTTGTAACTCCGTCATCCACATTTCTTTGTGAACTACTTCTCCCGAAAGTTTACTCACACAAATATACACAATGGCACGCTTGAGCTTCCTGCTTGTCGGAGCTCTCTCGGCCCTCAGCGGCTTCGCCACTGCGAGCTCCGTAGTGAAAGACCTACTCCCCACCAACTTCGATGAAGTCGTCCTGGCCGGCAAGCCCGCACTGGTCGAATTCTTTGCTCCCTGGTGCGGCCACTGCAAGACCCTCGCCCCCATCTACGAAGAGCTTGCGCAGACCTTCCTCTTCGCCGAAGACAAGGTCACCATCGCCAAGGTCGACGCCGACGAGAACCGCTCGCTCGGCAAGCGCTTCGGTATTCAGGGCTTCCCTACTGTCAAGTGGTTCGATGGAAAGAGCGATAAGCCCGAGGAGTACAAGGGCGCTCGTGATCTTGAGAGCTTGTCTGCTTTCATCACCGAGAAGACCGGCATCAAGCCTCATAGCGCACCGAAGGCGGCTAGCAAGGTTGAGATGCTGAACGATGCTTCTTTCAAGACCGTTGTTGGTGGCGATAAGGATGTGCTGGTCGCTTTCACTGCGCCGTGGTGTGGACGTGAGTTGATTCCCTGATCAAACCTATCTCTGGTCCATCTCATAGATTGTGTTTACTAATTGTCCGACCTTTCACAGACTGCAAGACCCTCGCTCCTACCTGGGAAACCCTCGCCAACGACTTCGCCCTCGAGTCTGGCGTTGTTATCGCCAAGGTCGATGCCGAAGCTGATAACTCCCGCGCCTTGTCCAAGGAGCAGGGTATTACCGGATTCCCTACTATCAAGTTCTTCCCCAAGGGGTCGACCGAGCCAGAGGCTTACTCCGGCCCACGTTCCGAGGAGGCCTTTGTCAAGTTCATCAACGAGAAGGCTGGTACACACCGTGCCGTCGGTGGCGGTCTGAACAGCTTGGCGGGAACCATCGCTGCTCTGGATGAGATTGTTACTGAGAATGTCGCGGCGAAGAAGTTTGACAAGCTGGTGACCGAAGTCAAGAAGGCTGCCAAGGGTCTTCCCGACAAGTACGCTGAATACTATGTCAAGGCTGCGGAGAAGCTGAGCCAGAACGAGGGCTACGCTGTTAAGGAGCTCACTCGTCTCCGCAAGGTCCTGGCTAAGGGTGGATCGGCCCCCGAGAAGCTGGATGACATTCTCTCTCGCAGCAACATTCTCAGCCGCTTTGTTGGCGAGGAGAAGCACGATGAGCTTTGAGTGCTTTTCAGTATGATTTCTCGATGTTTGTATTTTTCTCTCTTGGACTTTTGGTTTAAGGCTCTAGTCACTGTGGTTCTAGATTAAGGACTGGAACAGCTACCAAGCATGGATTCGACGGAAATGTATTGAATTGTATACGAAAATATTGGCTTGATGCTGTATATTGTACAAATCGCTTTTTACCTTTTCAAGAATGCCTGAACGATTATGAACTACATCCACGTTAGTAGATGGGGGAAAAAAACAATGTTTCTCTGTACGAGTGTCCTCGTTTGATTGTAGGGTATCTATGAAATCGTAACAGCATAAGTATAAGTCCAGACACAGGCCAATGTGCTCATGCTACACGGCCGTTCAATGCAGACCCCAATAAAGCATCATGTATGCCATAAGTATATGTTGGGCTATTGGTACAGGAGTTCAGCAGAGCTAAAAAAAAAATGCAGCGCTCATTTCTCTCTTGCCAAAAACGCCACGTGAAAAAGAATGCACAAAGTCGGAGTATGGATAAGAGGCGTTCATATTTATTTTGCCGGACTCGAGGCGCCAGCCCCTGCAGCTGCTGTTAGAGATGCCTCTAGATCATCAAGGCGCTTGGTCATGTCATCCACTGCGCACAATATAGGTTAGTTCGCAGTCATAGGTATGAAGATGTATTGGTGGTGATGGTGAAGGATGATAGAGAGGTAGGAACGCACGTTTCCCGAACATCTCCGTGGAGACAGCGTCAAATTTGCTTTGGAGCTCATTGAGCAGATCGTCCACAGCTGCGGTGAGCTGACCTTGGGCATCGGAGTTCTGAGGTCATTTAGTTAGCAAGAGCGGCAGGTGGGGTTTGGAGCTTGTAGAAGGTATTTACCGGTTGTGATAGAAGAGACTCGCCCTCTGGTGGGGGAGAGAGCTTGTCCAGAGAAGGAGATTTGGAACCGTCGACCATTGTGAGACTATGTATACACTCGCTGTACAGACTGCTTGGAGGTATGTAGAGTCGAGAGACAGTTGACAGGCGGTGGACCCGATAAGGAATCCGGATCATGTGTATTTCCGGGATATTGCTATGTGTGGACTAGTGTGGTCTTATCGGTGGGGCTAGCCAGATCAGGGCTAGCGCGATTTCAAAAAAATCCCGTGGATTCTCTGATGCGGGTTTGATAGCAAGTTGCTTTCCTCTTTTCAATTCCTTTCACATTACCCAAAATACAAATTTTCTTTGTATTTTAACACAAAACAACAATGGTCAAACGAAGCAAGTTGCTCCAGGCCCTCGATGCCCACAAGGGCCGTGATTTTGAGGCTGAGAAGCGGAAGAAATTGATCAAGAGCGCGGAAAAAAGAAGGCCCAGAAGGCTTCTGCTGTCCCCGAAGACAAGGTCGTGGAGGATGAGAAGAAGGAGGAAGAGGAGGTTGCCAGCTCTGATGCCGAAGAGGAAGAAGAGGAAGAAGAGGAAGAGGTCGACCAGGACGAGGAGATGGAAGATGAGGAGGAAGAGGAAGAAGACATCCCGCTCTCCGATCTCGATGAAGACGAGCGTGAGGATGTCGTTCCCCACCAACGTTTGACAATCAACAACTCTGCCGCTATCCTCTCCGCCCTCAAGCGCATCTCTTTCATCGGCCCCCAGACCCCATTCTCAGAGCACAACTCCCTAGTCTCGAAAGAGCCGATCGAGATCGAAGACGTCAATGACGACCTGAACCGTGAATTGGCCTTCTACAAGGTTTGCCAGGTTGCTGCTACCCAGGCCCGCGGTCTGCTGAAGAAGGAAGGTGTTCCCTTCACTCGGCCGGGTGATTACTTCGCCGAGATGGTGAAGAACGACGAGCACATGGCCTTGATCAAGAAGAAGCTTTACGAAGAGGCTGCTAGCAAGAAGGCTTCCGCTGAGGCGCGCCGCCAGCGTGATCTTAAGAAGTTCGGCAAGCAGGTTCAGAACTCCAAGCTGCAGCAGAGACACAAGGAGAAGCGCGAGTTGTTGGATAAGATCAACACCCTCAAGAAGAGTATGTTCTCACTCTATCCTGCTCTAGATTTCTATACGTTTTGCAGTCGCTAACCTGATTCCTTACACAGAGCGCAAGGCTGATGGCTCTGCTCCTACCGACGACTCCAATGATATGTTCGACATTGCCATTGACGAGGCTACCCAACCCGACAAGAAGCGTAGCCGTGGTGATGGCCCCGGTGGCAACAAGCGCCAGAAGAAGGACGCCAAGTTCGGATTCGGAGGCAAGAAGCGCCATGCTAAGAGCGGTGATGCCATGTCCAGTGGTGATCTGAGCAACTTCTCCGCTAAGAAGATGAAGGGTGGCGCAAAGCGACCCGGCAAGAGCAAGAGAGCCCAAGCCAAGGGACGCAACTAATCGTTTTGACGTGATGGTTTATGTTGTGATATTGCATTTGTATCGTGTATCATGTAATTATTTTTTCTCGCTTGGGTCTGGATAACCAAAAAATGGCAGTTTGCATTTATTATCTCTATCAAATGTGATTGTGAGACTTGGGTAGCTATAGCCGAATTGTAAAAGCGACATGAGGTGAGCTCTACGAATGAAAAGGCTCGAATTGTAGATATTATACGCTACATACACTACGTACCGTGGTATGTTCAGCTAAAAGGCAAGACATGCTACATAGTATCTTAATTCAAGGGTTGGTATTACAGATAGCAAGTCTATATACAAATGCTATATCATTTTGGAGACTCTTAAGTCTATTGAGCTGCTTCAGCTTCAGCCTTGGCGGCTCTCTTCTCCTCCCACTCGGTCAAGAACTTCTCTACCTTTGGGCCCCAGACCTCTTCGCCGGCCTCAAGGTCCTTGTACTCCAAAACCTTGTCGGGGGAGAGTTCATAGTCACCCTGGCGACTGCGCACTAGCTCGCTCATCAGAGCACAACTACCAACAGCCTTGCCTAGATCGTGTGCCAGCGAGCGAACATAGAAGCCTGATGTAACAGTCATCTTAATCTTGACCGCCGGAGGCTGGGGCTTGGGGTCCTCTGCAGGTACAGCAGGGGCCTCTGCGGTTGCAGGTTCGGGGGCGGTAGGCTCAGGAGCTGCAGGCGCAGCCTCGGTCTCAGACACCTTTTGCTTCTTGGCAGTCTCCGAGTTGTCATCATTCACCTGATCCGCCGGGGGTGGCGACTTCCGCTTGGTAGAAGGGGCTTCGGAGGCTTGGTTCGCAGCGTCACCTTCAGCCGATGGCGCAGATGCCGAGGCTTCCTGATCAAGAAGCTTCTCAGCAACAGCCTTCTCATCACCAGTCATTTCCTCCTCAGGCCATTTGTACTCGTGCGTGCCGGGCTCGTACCACTCCACAATCTCCATGTTCAAGACCTCAACAGGCCGGTGCTTAATCTCAATCGGCGGCACCTTGCCCTCGCGCGCATACTCATACAGCTTCTTTCCATTCACCCGCAAGGCAGAGAAAATGGGGGGGTTGCTGCATAATCTTCCCGCGGAATTGCTCCAGCGCCTTCTCGACCGCTTCGCGCGTGATATGTTCGTAGGGCGCGCGACGCACGATCTTTCCAAGACGATCGTAGGTATCCGTCTCCGCGCCGAATGTCACGATGGTTTCGTAGCTCTTGGTGCAGGCCAAGAAATCCTGAAGGGACTTGGTGCCCTTGCCGATTCCGGTGATGAGCACGCCTGTCGCGAGCGGGTCCAATGTTCCGCCGTGGCCGATCTTCACGTCGAGGCGTTGGTGGCGACGGCGTTTGCGCTGGAACTGGCTCTCACGGTCGCGGCGGGCGCGTTCCTCGTCTAACCATGGCTTGAATGTCTTCGAGGGGTTAAAGTGTTTCTGCAAAGTGCGGATCACGTCGGCGGAGGTAACGCCTTGCGGCTTGTGGACGGCTATCGGAGAAGTTAGATTGCAATCTTGCCTTGGTAGGACTTGAGCTTACCGAATACGCCTTCGAGGATCTTTTCGCCTGACATTGTTTTGCGAAAAAGTCGAAAACCTGGAGGGAATGGCATCTGGGGTGGGAGTTGAACCAAACTGGAAAAAAGTGATTTTGGTAGAGATTTGGCTCCCGCCTTTACGGCAGTTCTTTGGGACCACAAGATAGTCCTACGAATTTGATATAATATACAGAGATCTTGATCATTAATGGAGACCTATATTAATATTCAAGAACTGTATAGATGGAAGGCCTCAGCATCGTTTTTCTTTTCAATCTTCAAGTACAATTGAAGGCATAGATTTTTATAAGGCATCTTTTTGATTTCTTTGATGTCCTTCTAGATGCTATTTTCCGCACTCTCTTTTCTAGTGGAAGCCAAGGCTTCATGCTATTTTTTTTTTTCAATCAAGATAATGATGGAGTAGAGCAGCTCCAATCGTGATAGTCGCAAAAAGCCATGTCCCTTGACTTACCTTTCTACACTACATGCTGACCTCAGTTTTCAAGGGTTGGCCCTTTTTCAATACTTTGTCTTATAGCTGTGGATTATTTTGATTCTGTACAACGACCAAATGCGCAAGTCTCTACCTGGAAGCTGGACCAACCAACGCGTTTCTCGTCTATCGGAATGCGATAGCGCAAGCTTCTCCCATCCTCAAAGCCAGCTATGGCTCTATGATTAAAATACCTGAAATCTGCCATCAGAAAAGTATCAATTTACGATGATTACTGACGCGAGAGCTCGGGCCCTTTCTGAGCCCGGGGCCACGCTGGCGACTATCGGTTCCTCGTCCTAAACCGATGCATTTGATAATCCTATAATTGATGAGACTGAGCCAAGGTAGATTGGCCTTTTCCCTCTTAATATGGCGCAGGCTAGCATGTTGCTAGCACCTGAGCTTTTGCACCCTGAAGCTGATGTCGTTCATCCTGGTACTGTTCTCAAATACGGACAAGAAACGCTGACTTGGACTAGATCAAGACAACCGAGCCCACAGAAGAAGATATATAGGCCACGATCCCTATACCAGAGTTGACAGTCCTGCCACCACTTGGGTGGTGGGTTCGGTCTTTCAATTTGTTGTCATTTCATGGAAGCCTGAATTGAAGACTCTCATAGGCCACCCAACCCCCCACGCCTAGCACCCAAATTTGATAAACATAGATATTCAGGTAGCCCTTCCAGGTTCAAAGGACCAAGAATACCTACCTATCCAGATCGGAGTTTAATTTAGATCGGATCCGTGGATCCGTGGGCTATTATAACCTTAAATTCTTATGTAATTATGCTTTGGCACGTGATGGGCATACATAAATTCCCGATAAATTAGGCAGAAACTCCATGTAATTAATGGCGGGTAACTGATTGTATCCGTAATTTACTGGTGATCGATGACTTCGATTGTTGACAACCACAAGCTTCCATTCCAAGCCACCTTCTTCTCATTCTCATCTTCTCATTGAACAAACCTCGCCTCACTGCCACTTTTACTACATCGTTGTCGAAACCAGCCATGCCAATCCCACCATGACGTCCCGCGAAGAAACTGTTCTAGCTCCCACCGATCCCTCTATTACTGATGAGAATGATTGGTGGGAATTCGGCCTAACCGATGTGAAGGTTCTAAAGCCCGGGAAGATGCTATATGCAAATCTACTGGACGCCACCGAACAGAATCCAGTGCAGGTGATCGGCTGCTTAGAGCCGCTTCGTGAGGACCAGGAACACTTAGGTGTGTATCGTTGTATCATGCGTGTTTAGAAAGCAGCTTGCTGACCAGTCACTCGTTCACCAGTGCTCAAACCGGACAACCCCCTAAGCGCATTATTATTGACGAGGTCACACACTATGCCTACGGCCAGACTGAAGATAAGAGCATTGAGCTCTGGGTAGCTGGAAAGGCGGGCTGGTACGACATCATTTCGCCCGCCAAGGGTTTCACACCTACATACAATCGCATAGTTCAGGCCATTGATATGCTGTATTTCCTGGTCGATAAGCATCAGCAAGGAAAGAAACAGATCAATCCCTCTTTCAGGAATCTCTGTGAACAAGTGAGTCTTTGGGTTCCGGGTTATACATGTAGATCGAGGTCTAATATATATCTACCCTTAGTACATCTACCACACATATGGTTCATGTGAGACCCGAGAGCAATCAGCTGAGGTCTTTGCGACACACGCTGTCTTCTTGCTTCGCTGCATGATTCAAGGTGATTCAGATGTGGAATGGAAGAAGACGAATGTTTTCGTCCATCTGCGTCGCCAATTTCATGTAAGTCAAGAAATTACATCGTTTATACTAGCCCATGGGCATACTGACAACCTTCCTAGGATGAATATAATAGGCTGATGGAGGAACTTTCACCCTCAGAGGCAAGCGAACCCGAATCCCAAGACGAACCAGAAGTGGCAACTCCTCGACGTCAGCCTGCAGCAATCTCAAAATCACAAGCCGATGCCATCTATCAGTTACTCAAGGACCTCAGAGAAGAAGGTCACCTAGCAAAGCGTCGCCTGCATATTGACCTCCTGGGAGAACGCTTGGCAGAACGATTCTCTACCAGCAACGAAGATGCCCAGAAGATTATTTCCATCAGGGCAGCTGCCGTACTGGAAATGATGGATGAGGAGGACTTCAGATGGGCTCGCTATGTCATCCATCGGGAACTGACGCATGCGTCTACGAAATCCGCCCCTCTGCCAGCTGCACTCCTAATCCCCCTGGATCCGCAGGAAGAGTCTAGCGACGATGAGCGTTACGGCAGGACTCAGAAGTCTGTGCTACGTCCAAAAGTCCACACAGTCTCCAATAAAGTGACCGGCAAGAGAAACCGCAACGCCTCCACAAACCAGCAGACAGTCGAATCCAACGACGAGGAAGACCAAGAGGATAATGAGGAAATCGATGAGATCGAAACACCCAGCAAAACCCGTGGCCACGAATTAATCAGAGATCCATTCTCAGCCACAAAGCCTCGGACTCGCTCATTCTTGGCAGCTTCCTCCAGCGGCGCCAGCTCCTCTCTTATGAAGAGCCTGTTCAAGGACAATATCAAAAAAGACAAACCCCAGACTCCTCCTGTATCTTCCTCGCCATTAAGTCAAAAGCTCCTGACCCCAGAGCGGGATTCAACTCCAGATACCTCACAGGGAATTGAAGATCTCATCGACGAGACATCTGGTACTTGGACATGCCGCATGCCGGGATGTGAGAAGGTGATCTCGATCACCGACATAGTCGAGCGCAAGAAGCTTATTGGGGACCATGCCGGAGAGCACGAATGGGAAACACAGATGAAGGTCGAGCTGATGGAATCGGAGAAACGCATGCATTCTTCTTTCCCAGTCAGCAACCTCATGCAATATGTCATTGACGCACATGTGATACAAATGCGCGCTGCATTCCCGGAGTTTTATTCTGCAAGTACCAAAGAAAATGGCACGGCTCAGAATGGCGAACATGTCCCGAATGGAGAGACATCCATTCCAAAGCCCGAGGGATTAGAAGAGCCGATTGACGAGGACGAAGAGGATGATGAAGATCAGGAGCTTGAAGATCTTGTGAACGGCTACACTTGATCTGTTCATCCTGAAATTAACGATCGTTATGTGCCACGATATCCATCGGAAATTGAAAATCGGAAATACGGTTGAATTATCAGAACCTCACACATCCTTGAACTTGGATGATTACAAAAGAGAGCAGAGATAGTGAACGGGACTAGAACACAGCGCCACACTTACAGAGCTCTTCTCTCAAGTAAGTTATCAAATCATTTCTCATTCACGGCTGTCAACACTCTGTCTAACGATCTTTTTGCCGATAGAGACACCCGCCTTCCATTTTTACTCATCGTCGAAACGACCTTGGAATAAAGGCGATGGGTGTGAGAAGGATGTATCCTACGGAACGAACTTGTAGATATGCACAGCCCCAGAAGTTTTACGGACATTTGCTTTGCCGATGAATCTTTCGGATTGGGCTTTTATTTCTTCCTTGATACCCCCGCCCAAAGTAGGTAGAATCAAAGAAACCTTTCAAATCACTTCTCAAATTTAATGAGGATGATATCAATCAGGAGACAGATGGGAATATAAAACTTCTAGAAGTAACTCAAGAGCAGAAGAGAACACAGTGAATTGAATAGAACACCAACACTCTATGCAAAGACATAGAGTGTGTATGCAAGAGGAAAGTCAATCAGAAAAAGCGAGCAAAAGGAGAGTCGAAAGATTACTGTCTGTCTGTCTGTACATGTCGAAGAACAGTAAATTGGTATTGGAAGAAGGGGAAAAGAAGAAGAAAAAGAAAAAGAAAAAGAGAAGCTCTTTTGACTCGGAGGGGTATACCAAGAACATGCCACATATATCACAACACATACACACCAGATTGAGAGAAGAGAAATAGAGATACAGAGAGGATTGAAGAAGAGATAGGAAATAGATCTCGAAGGAGGTTCACCAATATGTGTGTAGTGGGAAAGGAAAAAAAAAGGGGGCAATGAAGTCTAGAGAATGAAAATGGAAGACAGGACTATCGAGCTGAGAAGTCCTGTCCTTTGACCCAATATGAAGATTATTGCTGGTGGGCACTGTGGGCCTCGACGAGAGCTGTGGATTATTAGCTGTTTATTCGATTTTGAAGAAAACGTAATGGACACTTACTCTGAAGAGCGGAAGCTTGTCCCTGCCTGGATTCACAAGCACACTGGAGCGTATTGCCATCCAAAAAGTCAAGCAGGATGCTGTTGGGCAATTCCTGCATGTCTTCATCAGGGAGACAAGGAGTGCGGAACTCGGTGAGGTGGTAGCGTTTAGTCATGCTCCGGGTGGTGGCATCATTGGTGCCAGGGGTGAGAACAACGTATCCCTCTTCATCGATGCGCATGATCCGACGCTTCCACAGAAGAGTTTCTGGAAATTGGACGTTCACCTCGCCAATGTCAACGGGCTCGGAAGTACGCGAGCTAGTAGACCCTGGGGCCTTACTGGACCCATTTGTGAAGGTAGAAACATTCTCCTCTTCCTTGACTGGCGAGCTAAGGGCTCCGATAATGCTGCGGCGAGAGTTGGATGTGATTGATGACATGCGGCGCATGAGTCGCGAGGTGCGAGATGCCTTCTTATCTTCCGGTGTGGGGGAGGCAGATTGAATGCTGTCGTCAGTCCTGGAGCGCGAGTTGAGAGAGGGGCGACTTCCGGGACGGCTTTCAGGGCGGCTGCCGGGGCGAGACGTCGTTTGGCGACTAGATGTAGTAGACGAGATAGACATGCTTCGGTCCTGGGAAAGACTTGCAGGCTCAATAGGTGAGATCTGAGGGAGTGGTGCCTCGGATGTCTCATGCTCCACGGTCAAAGGACTAGCCTGGAGGTTGAGAACATCGGACTCCGAGGGCTCAAGCCCAGAAGACCCGGGAGAGGTATCTGCATCGCGCAAGATACGGGCCGTCACGGAGACGGAGTTAGCAGGACGTGGGACATCTACGGACACCCGACGGTCGTGCCGACTCATACTCGGCGCACGGGAAAAGCTGTTGGAGGCGTGAGCAGAATACATTGTGCTTGGTGGATTGGTGTCATGATTTCCACTTGGCACCGAGATGGATGCGCGTTTGCGGAGGTTCTCAAAAGACGAAGCGGCCGATGGCCCACTCATAGCCGGACTCGCGCCCATGGGAGTGCCTTCCCGGCTTGAAAACTTTTCAAGCGCCTTGATACGACTGGAAATTCCAGAGGAGACATTGATCTTCTTGGCCATGAGTATCGGCGTAGAAGGGCCATTTTCAGAGTGAGAGCTGGAAATGGATCGGCCCACTGCGAGAGCTTGCAGGCCCGAGGGTGATCCCATAGAGAACGGGCTTGAGACGGCCCGTGAGTTCCTCCAGGCGTGGTCGGCGCCGCTGGGAGATTTTACGGATACTGGTCTAGCCTCCTGGACAGTCGCTGAGGTAAGTTCCTCCATGAATGAATCGTCGGAAAGGAGGTTGTCGTCGTCCGAGTAATCTGGAGTAGGCACTTGGATGGGCTCCAGGCGAACCTTGCGTCTCTGATCCAGAGGACGAGACTCGGCTTTCTCGGGAATTGGCTGAGCAGGAGTCGGCTCGCCTACCTCGGTTGAGGCGCGAACGGCGGCGGCTGGGGTTTCTGTCCTAGTGCTTTCTGGGGGGTGACAGAGGGTGCAGAGGGGAGGGGAACCGCCTGAAGAACCTCTGCTGAGATAGGTACCTCAGAAGGCTCGCCAGTTGGCACATGTGCAATTGAAGGGATTTCGAGATGGGTTTGGGGGGCGTCTGAATCAGGTCGCGAAGCGTCCGAAGGCTCAGATTGAAGTGGAACGTCAAGATTAAAGGTAGGTGGGGCGAGACTGGGCATTGCGGGGTCCTGCTCAGGGCGCGTTTCATCCTCAGGGGTTGTCTGCAGCGTTTGCTTGACAATCTCCGAAGCTGCGGCGCGATCGGAGATAGGATTGTCGGTATTTGTCACTGTTGATGAGGATGGCCGATCCTCGACATCGGAGGGAAGATCGGCGATCGGTTCTGATTCGCGCTCTAGCTCAGGGGTCACAGCAGACTCAGCAACAGGTTCGGCGACTGGTTTGAGAGCGGCCTCGGAAGATGAACCAACAGGCTCAGGAGCAAGCTCGGGGCTGGGCTCAGCAACTGCGTCGATAGCAGGCTCAAAAACAAGTTCAGGAATGGGGTCAGCGACTGTCTCAACGACAGGCCCAGGAGCAGATACAACAACAGTCTCAGGAACAGGTTCAAAGGCGGGTTCAAGAGTAGACCCGGAAACAAGCTCAGGGGCAGGGGCAAGCTCAGGAGGTACGGGTGAATTTGCCAAAGGGAATCGTTGGTTTTGATGAATCGTCTCGGACTCAGACAGCATCATGTCAGCGTCAGGATAGTGAATCTGAATGAGATTCTCTTTATCATCATCCAGATCCTCGGCGATATTCTTCACTGGTTTGACCTCTTCCTCAAAAACCTGTTTCTTGTTTGTTTCCTCCGCACGTTTGGCCATGTTCTTCCGTCTTTGCTGCAAAGCCTTCATCAAACGTTCTTTCTCAGGGGTCAATCCCGAGGATGTCGACAACGCTCCAAGAGATTTGGCACCAGGAGAAAGTTGAGGTCGCGAGATAGGAATAGAGGGGGGTGGAACCAGCAAAGGTGGGACTGGCGGAACACGACTAGTGGGCTTATTTGCAAAAGTGCTCCCCTGAGATCGAGGGCGGGGCGCGTCACCGTTCTGCTTCCGCACGGAAGAAGTGCGCATATTTGTTGGCAGGGATGCAACGGGGCGCTGGTCTACATTTCGAGAACTTCCTGCTGTACGGGGTCTCCCACTGCTATCCACGGACGGTCGGGGTCCCAGCTTAACCTTTGGGGTGTATCCCGCGGCCCGTTCCAAATCTCGGAGCGAGGGGCGACTGGATTGAGTGGACAACCGGGCCTCTTCTGAAGGTCGGGGGAACTCATCCAATATAGTTCGGTACCTAGAGCTGGAGCGAGAGCGGTCTGATTTTATGGACTTGGGGGACATGGTCGCGGATTGTGGTTCGACGGGACTCCCTCGAGAGATTGTAGCTCTGGAGCTCGCCCGGGATGGGGGTGGCATGAGATCGACCGAGGCTTTTTCGCTTTCTGGTGATGTCGGAGGTAGTTCCGGTTCCACGGGAGGTTCAATGGGCGACGGCACCACAGTAGCCTCCGACTTGACGCTCCTTGGTCGGCGTCGGGCCTCCGACTGGGGAGGTGGGATTGGTGTCGGAGATTCATCCTTCGTGCCGTTCTCTTCGGCGTCTTCCGTGATTTCCATCAGCCGGCGGCGGCGCAGAGAGCTCGAAGAAGAAGTAATTGAGGTCGACGCGGTATGGAGGAGACAGGCGGAGGACAAGGCGCTTTCGGTGAGATCGGAGGCTTTGGACAGAGGAAGTACGGTGTCGTTGGGAGTGAACTTGTCGGTGACGGACTGGAATTGGACATTGCTTCGGGCTGGGACAGGTTAGACGAAATTCTGTGGCAAGGCGTTTGATGAACATACCGAGGATGAGCCGGGATAATCCCTCCGGCATGTAGCGGATGATCACTTTTCTGCGCCGGTATTGAAGGAAGCCATAGAGCGGCGAGCATTCCTCATAGCCGTCGATGGCATTCCTGATTTCGGGCACCCCGCCGGTGCCTCGTTCGTGAAGGGCAACCTCATCTCTTGCAACATAGTGTAGTAAAAACCTGAAACATAAGGGTGTCAGTGATGAAGTTAATCACAGTTGAAACACGAAAGGGGGTAAACTCACCACCCGCCCGCGTCGGCCAGGGCACTTTGGTAGGCTTCGAGGACGGGGGCAGTGTCGAGCCCATTCAAAGACATGGCGTGAGCCGCATGGAGAACGGGAGGAGGCGCAAAGCCGAATGTGTTGTTCAGATAGAAGGAAAATCCCGTAAAGTCAAGACTGTTGGATCTTAAGATCGCGAGCCCAATCAAGGCCGTGCAGGTTTGGCGGTTTCATGAAAACAGAGTTGGGTTTAGGCGAACGCTCAGGGGTCTCCCTTTGGACTCCACCTTAGATTGTCCCAATCTAAAACGGAAAGGATTGAAAAGATTGAAAAGGGGAATCGATCAATTGTATCAATTCAAATTCTGTACTTGTACGGAGGACAAATTTATATGGATTGAGCTCGAATGTGGATGGTACTCAATATGGGAACTGGGGTAAAGGAGTTCGAACTAAACATATGAAACACACTAAATTGTATAATCTACAATCTACGAAATTGGGATATAATGTCAATTATGTTGTACATATCAATCCAAATAGTTACAATAGTGAGCATATTAATAGATCAATCTACATGAGAGTCATCATCTCCCGCTGTTCTCCGTCTCGGCGTACTCCGAAAGTGGAAACTCATCTACTTCTCTCTACTCCCCCTACTCGGTATTTATATTGCGATTCCCTGCAAATTCATATATTCAGGAAACGACAATTATGGAACTCCCCCCACCATCGACGATCCCGTCTCTACCCCAAGAGACCCAGCTTCGGGTCCTCGATACCCTCTTCGAACCCTCCCCAGAGCTCCACCAACTGATGATCCCCGTGCTGGCCAACCAGACCTTCTCTTCATACACCAACCTCATTGATGCTGTAGGGGGGTCGTCTGTCTGCACTCTCGGCCCCAAATTCACCTACTGATCGAGACGTGCTTTTTGGCATTTTGGGATCGCACCCACGTCTTGGCCGAGCCCCAGCCAACCCAGAACATCTGAGCGAGCTGAGTAAAAAAGAACAGGCCCAATTGAATGAAGGTGCCGAGGAACAGGCGGAGAAACTACGAACACTGAATGCGGAATACGAAGAGAAGTTTCCGGGTTTGCGGTTTGTGTAGGTCCATGTATCTTGCGTCTACACGGTCTACCCAACACTGACTCGAGATATATAGTACTTTCGTTAATGGCCGGAGTCGCGATGTGATCATGGTCGAAATGCGCCAGCGCATTGACCGCGGTGATGTGGAGAAAGAAATAGACGAGACCATTCAGGTAATGTTCTCTTATCGTTGAGTTATATACTTACTGACTTGACCAGGGAATGTGTGATATTGCAAAGGACCGGGCGAGGAAGCTTCAGTCGCGCATTTAGTCTAGTAGATTTTACGTCTTATGTTTTATATATTATATATCTCAATCGGTCTATATTCCAGAGGTTTTACCTTTGATATACAGATCAAGCAAATAAGCAACGGCCCAAGGGTCTCCACCATCGCCCCCATTTGATGTCATCCAGCGCTATCCGGTCTTTGCCGCTTTTTCTTTCTTCCCCAGTCCCCGTGAATGGTGTAAACTTGCATATTCCTTTTTGATATACATTCCACCCCCCATGCGACTGTATATGTGAACATATGGAGGGAAATAATCTCCAATTACGAGTCGCGACCCCCGCGATAACCGATTCGACCCCCCTCGGAACCTCGACATCACCCGGTAAGTTGGAATGATCTTTGGATATCGAATCGTCAAGGAGATTTGAATCTGGCCTGGAGGACGTTCATGCGCCACTCGCGCTGTGCACTGCGCGCCTATCACGCGTCAAAAAGATCAGAACGTGAATGACCCAGAGACTGACGGAACTGTCAGGTTTGGCCACATCGGATGTCGCATCAGGCTCAGCGCATAGTCTTCAAGATGCCCGGAATCCCCGTCGCTCGGTTATTGGTAGCTCTTTACGAGATTCGGCCTCGAATACCCCACACGAGAAAATCGAAGCAAATGCCATAGATCCATTATCGCAGGTAGGTTCTCAGTCGCAGACTTGATTACATTGCCGGTTCATGTGCTTTGCTTCGTATAAGCCGTGTCGAGGTGCATATACGGACATGCAGGAGCCAAGCTGACAGGAGGGCCGTGCTCTACCGTTGTAGCACATTATCCAACGCACCAATACCCAAAAGACCATTCCCCTGAAATTATTGGGAAGAGCCTCATACGAAGCAGAGGCTGTGGGATCCGAGTACAGCCCGCCAGAGAGAAGCCCGATACGGAAAGATTCATTACCCACCTCAAAACCCAAAGAGAAGAAGTGAGTACTGAGATTTTGCCTACCTCGGGTCCAGTTACACGACTGTTTGTGTCGCAGAAACTTGGCTGTCGGTTTCTTTGCGCTTCCCTCCGCAGGGTCCACTGGAGAACCTCCACTTCCATGACTCTCGCAGCAATATACCGTTATAATACCAGCGACTGACCTGTGGTTTGCTCGTCTCGACTACAGAAAAGGTGTCTCTTTCCTCAGCCGGATTATTGGAACCAAGAAGAAAGATCAGCCGATTGATACGGACGATGAAACGTCAGAACCCGAGGCGCACCGCATGTCCGTTGACACTTCGCATCCAATTGGATTTATACCTCGGCACCCTCCTCCGGCTAAATATTTGAAGGTGCGAGCCCATTATAAAAAGGATAAGACTTTCAACCGCGTGTTTCTAGCCCAGGACCTGGAGGGCAGCGGTCCATCGCCCAACCCCGTGGATAGACGGATATCTACGTCCTCGGCTTTGCAGAATGGCGATCACACCGGAAAGGCCGTCTGGGCACTCACGTTTTCGAAAGATGGTAAATATCTCGCGGCCGCTGGCCAGGACCGGAAGGTTCGAGTATGGGCTGTGATCGCGACGCCAGATGAGCGGGAAGATGCCAATGGGGACGAGGAGTCAACACCCGTAGACGCACAAGATCAGTCCGGCCTCAGGGCGCCTGTGTTCCAGCCGGAGCCCGTTCAGGTGTATGAGGGACACACTGGAAGTATATTGGACCTGAGCTGGAGTAAAGTATGCATACTGAAAACACTCGACTCGATGGAAATGGCCCTGCTGACCTGTGAGCCAGAACAACTTCCTTCTCTCTTCGTCAATGGACAAAACGGTGCGACTATGGCATATCTCGCGACCGGAATGTCTTTGCTGTTTCCAGCACAGTGATTTCGTGACTTCGATTCAATTCCACCCGCGTGACGACCGCTTTTTCCTTGCTGGCTCTCTTGATACGAAACTACGACTCTGGAGTATCCCGGATAAGAGCGTGGCTTTTGCGACTGCTGTGCCCGATATGATCACTGCAGTGGCATTTACCCCAGATGGTCGATACTCTATTGCCGGATGTTTGAATGGTATGCTCAACGTCTATGATACTGAGGGCCTAAAAGTATCAGCCCAGATTCATGTACGATCGGCCCGTGGGCGCAATTCCAAGGGCAGCAAAATCACTGGAATCGATACAATGACGGTCCCCAGAGATGATGCTAAAGATGAAACCGATAACGATATCAGGTTACTAGTCACTAGCAACGACTCCCGCATCAGGCTGTATGACTTCCATTCTCGGTCGTTGTTGGCTAAATTCCGCGGTAACGAGAACACCTGCAGCCAAATTAGAGCTACATTCACCAATGATGGCAAGTACATCATCTGTGGGAGTGAGGATCGCAGGGCATACGTGTGGCCTGTCGGATCAGTGCAACGAGATTCTGAAAAGCAGCCTGTGGAGGTATTCGAGACACAGTCTGCAATAGTAACAGCTGCAATCATGGCACCGATTCAAACGAAACAGGTTCTGGCGCTATCAGAAGATCCAATCTACGACATCTGCAACCCACCACCGGTAGCCCTCATGGGTCCGGATCCAACAGGCCCAGGCAAAGAGAATGGAAAATCCCACAAGCGCTCTACATCAGCACCTCGGTTATCCATCGTCAGCAAAATGGCCCACGACTCACCCTTGTACCTCACACGGTCCAAACATCCAGGCGGAGAGATCATCGTGATCGCCGACTACTCGGGCAAGATCAAAGTCCTCCGACAAGACTGCGCGTATCAAAAGCGACGCTACGAAAACTGGGACACCAACTCGACCATCTCACGACGGATTTTAGGCCGCTCCAATTCCGCACGCCGCAGCGCCACCTCTTCAACCGGAAAAGAATCTACCCACAAAACCCCCTCCGAGCGGATCGTCTCATGGCGTAACTCCGTCGTCCGACACGCCCGCTCCAGCACCGAAGGATCCCGCTCCGGCCTCCAAACCCGCAGTCCATCCCCCCAAAGCCGCCCAGCGACGATCAGACTAGCTTCCTCTCGACCATCAAGTGTCGGCCCCCACGAATCAGTGTCCATCGTCACTACATCCCCACCCCCGTCGCCGCATCTACAAGGCGGAGATATGGCCCGGACAAATGAAACAAACAACGGCCGTGCAAATGCCCCCAAACCCGCCTCATCTACAGACCTCTTAGCTAGCAACAAAGCACCGGACAACCCGCTCTGGCTACAGGGAGATCGCAGCTACGCTTACTGGAACAAGATTACGCACGACGCGTTGGCCATGCAGTCCCGGAACTCAAATGACTTTCTCAAACCGGATCGAATCCCGTCGCGTGGGATGAGTGATGGTACCAGTGTGCTGAGTAGCGACTATAGCAACTCGACGGGTGATGCAGAGGAAGACGTTCTGAAGTGCGATAGTTGTCATGGGACGAGTTTCCGCCGTGTTAAGGGAAGGGATGGGAAGCAGAAGCTTATTTGTTCGGAGTGTCATCGGCCTGTTTCCTGATTCTTGGATCTATGGACGTTTGTGGATGCATATATGATCTACGATGGGTTTGGGATGTATGGAGTTTTATTTGGTACATATTGGAGGATGGGGACTTTTCTTTGTTTATGTAGTCATGTTTTATGTTTGATGTCGATATGTTTTGTTAATGTGTATATTTCTTGGGCCTAGCAGGGGGCATGTACAATACCAGATACAATGATAGATGAGATAAGGTATATCGTATACTTGTTCGAATATACTTCTTGCTTCCTAGCTCTGTTATAGACATGCCTACAGTGTGTTCACCCATCCTTCAGGTCACCCAAAGATAATCCTCCTCTCTCCCTAAACCGAAGCAATTACCCTATTCCAATCCATCCTTCACATCCTCAACAACCATAACCTTCATCCTCTTCCGATCCCAAAATCCCGCCTCGTCAGCCTCAACCATCGCCGTAGCCTCCGGCGTACCCAACGCCTGACAAAACCTGCCAAAGCCAGCCTCATCTTCAAATGACATGGTCACCACGGCATCGTATGTCTCTTCGACGCTTCCCGCTAGCAACATCGGATTAGATTTCGTGTCGTGTTTTAGATACGATCGTGTGTGCGAGAGAGGGGCTGCATCGCCGCAGATACCTGCTATCATGCGCATGTGCTGCTCGTAGCGGGTCTTGAACTCTTCGTGTGTAATGTTGGATTTGCGTGGTGCAAAGATCATTACACGGTATGTCATGGTGTTGAGTGAGGATTGATTGTGAGTGTGTGGTTTTGTGATTGTGGTTGTGAGGAAAGTTGGAAATCTACTGAACACAGCTTTTATGCCTCGTCCAGAGTATTCTTAGTTCTTTCCTGTATCTTCTTGTGGCTTCCTGTAGCTTCTATAGCTTTCCAGGGTAAGCTGACATGTACTATATGTATTTAGGGGGGACCGTGTCCAACTAACTTCCCTAATTGGTTATGATGAACATATACTCCGTACTGTTAGCAGATTACTTTCGTGAATGCTAACATGTGTTTGCTATGTGTTTCGAGCACTGCCCCAGGACTCTATGATGACTTAATTTAGTAGTACTGGTTTAGGCAGCTTTGAATTTATGATGTTACTTCCACAATATACCTAAGTGAAGTGAAATTGGTAGGGAAAATCCTTGGATTATATACATACCTCGCTGGATTTCACATGCCACCTCGACACACTCATTCCATATATCAGGCACTATCCAAAACTGCCAGGGTGACGAGCTATCTAGACTATTTCGGCCAGTGGTAACCCAGTTGGGCTTCGATAATGAATTGAGTAAACCAGCCATTCTCAATCTAGTTATTAGCACAATGCTAGTCGTTTAATACCTTCAGGCTTCTCCTCTGTCGGTTCATGTACAGCAGACTGATGATGTGACTCTTGTTTGTCTTGCTCCCATAACAGAAAGACACACTGGTACTCATTAGTACCAATTAGGAAGTCCCACAAAAGGGATAATCGCAAGCTTGCATCTGGAGGGTTACTCGTCAATGTAATTGATGCTCTTCAGCCGGTTTTTCAAGAGACTCGCACACACTGCAAGAGTGACAGAGATAGCATTCAGTATATTGACAAGCTGGCCATCTTTATGTTCTAGTAGCCTTATTAGATCGATATCGTCATGGGAGGACATTACAGGGTTAACGAAGATCTCTGCTCCTTCGATTCTTTTATGGGGAAAGTTGTGAAATTTGTGAGGGTGTCTTCGGATAGCTTGGATGTTTATAGTCGCAGCCATTTGAGAGACATTCTCTTAGAGACCAAACGGACATACAGCCACTTTAGGCTGTTTTCGGCACCGGAAATTCGAACTTCATGTCTCATTCCGCTGTAAAGGTGGTCTGATATCTCTTAGTAGAGGCCGTGACTGCAACGTAGGATAGATAGTACTCAAGGGACTGTATGTATGTCATCAAAGAGACACTCCCATATCATCAAGTGGGTTCCAAGTGGTAGCTTTGCGAGATTTCCTTGTTGGGTAGAGCCAAGGGATTTGAAGTTATTATTGATATTTGCTGATACGGTTCATGATGAGGTTTTAGAGAATATGACAATGAGATAGCATGTACTTTAAAAGATACGAACCCCTGGAAAAAGACTGACGAACATCAAGTATAGTCAAGTCAATGCTCAAAATGGTTGCGGACCTTGTAGACCTTAGCTTCGACATGCTTTGAGGGACTGTGATATGCTGAAACTTCTATCGTCATGCCAATGCAGTTAGAGAGCTACTTAAAGCTATCACTATCTTGCCCAAAGTAGTTTAAATGTAAAAAAATACGGGTGTTGGGCACAACCCGTTAATATCAGATATCTCGAAGCGGGATTTGACTGTGTCGCTTTGTATGAACTGAATGCAATGTGCTAAGATTTTTGCAGAATAGAGAGAGATATACATAGGGGAATACGATTGAGAAACATCTAGCTCTCTCGAAGGAATTTGAATCTCTAAGATAGCCATTCGCGGCCAATTTACCGTCAACTAGCGTACTGTATGTTTGAAGGGATCATAGATGTGGTTGGCAGAGACATAGCTCTCGCTCTTGAGGCTAATGATTGTATTCAACTATCTCTCAGGTAGTGGTATTAGCACAAAAGAGTGACTATTAAAGTCATTTCATTGTCAAGTGTTCCACGGCCATCTCGAAGTGTAGTCCGTATAGTTGAAAGGAACCATGATGCCAAGACATGGAAAAAGCCGCCAGCACACTGATAACACCTCCACACTCTCTCCATCCACCACCTCTCCCGCCAACCAATTCCTCTCTCGAGTCTTGAATCTAAGCGGATATCCCCTTTCAATCCGCGACTTTTCATTCTGCGCCTAGCCCGCGACACCAATACACCCACCAACCTGCGCATCCCACCACACCTTTCAACCCAAGACCGCGAGCTCTACTCGCAACCACCCCCAAAATGCCCTACCTACCCACCTCCCAGGCCTACCTGGAACAGTCAGCGCAGTTATTACAAGCGTACCCAGACACAGTAAGCATCATGACCCCATCCCAACCCCCTCCATGCAATCTTCCACACCGCGTCCCCCCACAACGGGCAACAACCAACACACCGATCTCCCAACCGCGAACCCCAATCCCAAATCCACCAAACTAACAACCCCCCGAGACCCGCATAGTAACAAAATACTCCTTCCCCACAAACCGCCGAGGAAACTTAATCCGCGCCCACAAATCTCAAGTCCGAAAGGACGCAAAAGCCGCCGCCACCGGTGGTACCACCACCACACCCGCCTCCCCCTCCACCGCAACCGCAACCCTCACTCTAAAGACATTCAACCCCACGACCGGAATCTGTCTGCACTACCGCACAAACAAGCTCCAGGAAGTCGGACGCCTGATTACGACTCTGGGCAAACTGGCCGCCGGTGCTGATGTAGCGGGTTTGGGGTTATCTGCTCCGGTGCCTGTTAGCGCGGATGTGGAGATGGTTGATGCTCCTGCTCAGGAGGCTACGCCGGTTGCTAGTAAGACGCAGGGACAGGGACAGGGACAGAGTGCGAAGGGGAAGAAGAAGGGCGGAAAGGGGAAGCGGTAAATTAAATTAACTGGGGGTTTGAATCGGATTCATTTGCTTCTTTTCGCTTGTTACTTTTTATGATGCATTCATAGATGCGGGATTGAGGTTTTTGATATCGGGAATGAGATACCAGATACTGGCTTCGAGTTTGGGCTGGTTATGCAAATTCATGGGTGGTCTTGTGGATTAATCGCAGTTTTATTGAGTATGAAGTATGGAGATGAGTGGTGGTCAATTGAGGATATGTACTCAGGAGGATCCTTGACGTTATCTGTATCGGGAAAGAGAAACATGCAGAGACACATTGAATATGATTTAAAATATCTAGATACAGAGAATCCACCATTCATCCATGGGCACCAGAGTCCAGGATAGACCAGGAAAAAGAAAAACAAGAAAAAAAACGCCATTTTCATGCGAGCCTTCAAACAGAAATTGCATCAATCAATAGAAAAACAGAATAAGAAAACGACATAATATCACGTGAAAGGGGAGAGGGTATAAAACAACACAAGAGGGAACAGAGAAGGACGTCGTCTAGAAGTCCTCATCGAAGTTGAGGCCGCCACTTACGACCTTCTCGCCCTCAGCATTGACCTCCTGCTTGGTGCTAGCCATGACACCAGCCTTCTGGTAGTCACCGACACGCTTCTCGAAGAAGTTAGTCTTGCCAGCCAGGGAGATGGATTCCATGAAGTCGAAGGGGTTAACGGCGTTGTAGTACTTCTTGTTGCCGAGTGCCACCAGCAGGCGGTCAGCGACGAACTCGATGTACTCGCACATCAACTTGGAGTTCATGCCAAGCAGACCGCAAGGAAGAGCGTCAGTCAGGAACTCCTGCTCGATGCCGACGGCCTCGACAATAATGTCCTGAACGATCTTGGGGTCGGGGCGGTGGTTCATGTGGGAGAACAACAGGCAAGCGAAGTCAGTGTGGAGACCCTCGTCACGAGAGATCAGCTCATTAGAGAAAGTGAGACCGGGCATGAGGCCACGCTTCTTCAACCAGAAAATGGAGGCGAAGGAGCCAGAGAAGAAGATACCCTCAACAGCAGCGAAGGCAACCAGACGCGAGGCGAAGGTTGACTCACGGTCGTTGATCCAGCGAAGGGCCCAGTTGGCCTTCTTGGCAATGCAGGGAACTAAACGCTAGGTTAGACGACTGAACGACCTGGATAATCAATGGAAGAAGAACTTACTAGTGTCAATGGCATCAAAGAGGTAGGTGCGTTGCTTAGGCTCCTTGATGTAGGTGTCAATGAGCAGGGAGTAGGTCTCGGAGTGGATGTTCTCCATCATGATCTGGAAGCCGTAGAAGCAACGGGCCTCGGGAATCTGGATCTCTGAACTGAAACGCTCAACGAGGTTCTCGTTGACAATACCGTCGGAGGCAGCGAAGAAAGCCAGGACGTGGGAGATGAAGTAACGCTCATCGTCGTTCAGGCGGTTGTGCCAGTCGTGAAGATCCTTGGAGAGATCAATCTCCTCAGCAGTCCAGAAAGAAGCTTCGGCCTTCTTGTACATTTGCCAAATCTGTTGCAATGAGGGGCGTGATTAGCTTCAATGTTCATGGTGGGAGGATATTCTTGACGACATCCACTTTACGCGTGCAACGCGTCGACGACGTGACTTACCTCGTGGTACTTAATGGGGAACATGACGAAACGGTGGGGGTTCTCCTGGAGAAGGGGCTCTGAAGCTTCCATCTCCTTGATGCTAAGAGGTTTGGTTGCAAGAGCCTTCTCGGTGGACTTCTCAATGGGGGCGTCGACGGGCTTGAGCGACGCGGGCGCGTTTTCCTTGCCAGCCGACTGGAAGTCGAGCTTCTTGATAGGTGAATCACTCATCTTGAGGTTCTCGAGGGAGGAAGCAGCCTAAAGAAGAATAAATGTTAGCCCAAACGCACATCACGACGCGTCTGACGCGAGAGGCGAGAGGCGAGAAGCGTGACATCACGTACCTGTTTGGAGGGAGTGACTTGAGCGGCCATTGGAAACAAGTATGTGAGGAATGTAATATGACAGAAACAATTGAGAGCAACAGCAGTAAGAATGAGATGCTTTGAGAGTGGGATGGGAGATTCGGAGTTGGACGAGGGAAGAGAAAGTCGATTAAGTACTGCCGATTTCTCTTTAGCGCGACGTGCTAAGTCACGTCGCACGTGACCGCGTGCACTGATTAGGTAAACGGCGCGTCAACCTTGGTTTTGCTTCCAGCCCTTCTTTCCTATTTGGGCGGCTCCGTCTCATGCCACTTGGATCCCAGCAACATCCGAAAGTCCTTGGGCTCCATTTTGCAGGTCCATTCCAGCTCCATTCTTGTGCATGAAGTGAATTCTATAGATTTAGATTCCGATCTTATCTATAACTATATACGGAGCTTCAATACTTCTATCTCGAACACTTTTGTAACATAAGAGATCAATCACTAAAATAGCATTTACCACGCCATTACCTCTACAAATATGTCCAAGACATGACCAACTCCCACGCGTCTCCAATTCTCAAGCCCCACTATTGATCATGATCAGATAAGCCAGAGAATCCACACACGCGACGCGACTAAGAAAACAATCCGGATTTACGGATGTTATTGGTTTTATCATTGGTCTAGATCCTGGGCATCAGCATCTCATTCGCCAATTTATAGCCATTTTTCATGCAAGGGCATGCTCAGCTCCCCACACGCGTTCATTCTGCACATACAAGTCCTCCATTTATGTATGTTGACTGGTCTTCCCAGGTATTCTCATCTTGATTTTGATATGTGCATAATTTGAAGCGTTTCAGAGGTGAAAAACATGTGGGAGCTCCTGTCAAGTTCAAGGAATGAAGGGGCTTAACCTCATAGAGAAGGTTTCTGGGTGTGGACCTGAGAGAAAGTGCCGATCATCTTAGCTGCGTCATGCCTAGGCAGCCATGCAGTATCTTACGTTAGGGGGTCTTTGGTTTTCTTTCAACATTCAAATATAGCTACGAGTACTCCGTACTCCGTACAAGAACCAGGGTTGTCTATACGGAATATTGTACCATCCACTGACACTGTTCTCAAGGGTTAAATGCAATGTGGCGAGTGATCCCTTGCGACTGTTCATTGAGATATCTCCCAAGTTTGAGCTCTCGATACATCGGCAACTCCACATACTTCGGGACTAGTGGGAGTAACAGGGGAGTGCCTTGCAGCACCACGTGCTAGCGCGTTCTTATGTTTTTTGATCTGTGCCGGGGAAACCGACTGGAAAATCGAATAATGCTCATGCCCATAATATATTTCCAAAGCTTGCGATGTATGAACAATATGTACAGATTTGCTATTTCCATAAGAGTTTATTCTACCAAACGCCGAATATATGTCCAGTCAGAAGTATTTGTGCGGAACAGAACATTCGAAAAGAAACACCAGCCAGGCAATGCAGATACTAATAATGGATCTCGCAAAAAAATTCCTTTAAAATATATACCATGAGTTGCTTAGATTCCCTCACGGAAGGAGTCAGGCAGGATGCGGTCCTCGACACGGCGCATCAGCTTGTTGGTCTGCTCAGCCAGACTCAGAGTCAAGATCTGGAGGCGGGGTTAGTTCATGGGTACCCAAGTAAGGCTCAACTCCTGTGACTTACGGTGTGGGGAAGGATGCGGGCGAGATGGGCGAAGAAGCCCTTGTAAATGGCAAGGGGTCCCTCAGTGCGGACAGTCTTGAGCAGGCAATCGAATACACCACCGTAGAGGTTACCTGTCTGGTTGTACATACGAGCCATGATCGTGTCTAGAGAAAAGAAAGTTAGCGAAGAACATATAGCCTGTGTTCGAGAATGCATACCAGGAGGGTGCATGAAGCAGCACACAACGAAGCCAGAAGCTGCGCTACTGGCCAGATGCAAAGCGGGACCCTCCTCCATACCCAGGTGGCGGGTCAGACGGCGCTTGGCAAAGAAGTATGTGGGGAGCTGCACAGCACTGCCGAAACTAGTGCGGATCATAGCGGCGCCGACACCACGGTAGATACCCTTAATGCCCTCGCCCTTGTAGATCTTGCTAAGGCCATCAAAAGAGTTCTTATAGTTGTGCTGAGTGCCGACGGGAAGGAACGGTGAGTAAGACTGAAGACGGGTTTTGACGAGGAAGAAAGGCGATCCCGCTGCGGCACCAAGGACACCTGAAGCGGCTCCGGCAATGACATTGGCAGCGAGGGATTGGACTTTAGGGTCATTGTAAAGGGCAGTTGTGAGAGTGGTGCGGATAGGTTCGTAGAAGCCCAGGCGGCAGCCGTTAAGCAAGACCTGGTAAATATACTATAGGACCCCAATATTAGCTTGGTGCGCCTTTATATGAGCTTTTGAGAGGACATCACATACAGCAGATCCAATACCCCGGAATAGACCTCGAGGTCCTTCATTTTGCAAAATGACTTTGATGCCGTGCAACGGGCCCTTGTACATCTTCACTGCCTGATTTTTGCTCTGCAATTCACCCTGCAGTTGAAGCCTTATGACAAATCAACTGTCAGTATCATGATGGCATATCCGGAGTATTAGGGAACCAACCGGATCTTGACCGTCTCAAAGCTATGGGTGACGGTGACTGCACCGCATGCTGCAATGCCACCTGCAATGAACGCGCTGTTGAACCACAAATACTGTTAGCGTATGCTTTCTGAATCTTTCCGCGCATATATATAGCATACCCTCCAGTAGTGGCCATATCGTCTTATATGTGATCTTTTGGATGTGTGCTTGACTTGCTCAGGTTTGTCGGTTAGCGGAGGATGATCGGACCCGCAAGATGAAATGAATACGGCCAGGCGCGGAGATTCCGTGGGATATGTGCAATTTATTGAGGGCTGTATAGCCAAGTCACACTTGAGATTGTGGGAAAAAATCAGAAAGAATGCACGATATTTTCACCCAGGCCCAGAGATTGAAGAAGTTGGGTCAATACGCGCCCTGAGATAACCGTGGACATAAAAGCTTACATGCGGCGAACTGGAACTCGGTTGAACGCTCATTGGTCAATTGCGCCTGGGACCTCCGGCGTCGGACCCCGGGGTTTTTATGTAAGCTGAGGCGGTGAAGCGCGCAAAAAAGCCCAGTCGCGGAGCTTCACCTCGGAGCTTATGATTTGTATGCCCTGGCTTGATCCTCTTTCTCACGTTCTGTTCACTTTGTTATTTACAATTTGCAGTCCCTTGACAATAATTTGAAATTTCTCAGCCTCTAACTATACGGTCAACCACACAACCATGACTGAAGGCCAATCAACACCACAGCAGGGTCCACCCGCCGCCCAAGCTCCTCTCAAGTCGCAGAAAATCACGGATATTATTGACACCTTCCGCCCATCCAAGGTCAGTTCAAGTGAATGTGTGAATTATGGCATCATTCTTATAAGGCTGCTCTATAGGGATTCCACCCTTGTAAAAAAGATCCGGCCAAATACGTGACCTCTTTGGACTTTGACGACCAGGGCGATGTTCTAATTGGCGCTGGCAACGACGACAGTATGCATGTTTATGACGTGAAGGAAGGAAAATTCAACAAATCCGTTGCGAGCAAGAAATATGGTGTCCATCTCGCAAGATTCACACATCATTCTCGCCAGGTCCTCCATGCAAGTACCAAGATTGATAGTATGTGACTGAATATTCTGCCTTTTGGCTACCTAGCTAACCAGCTATAGATAACCTACGGTTACTGGACCTCCACAATGAAGGATATATACGATATTTCACCGGCAATAATGATCAAGTAACTTGTCTAGTTCAATCCCCGGCAAGCGACGCCTTCATGTCCTGCTCCAAGGACGATACCGTAACGTTGTGGGACCTGAACTCGAGAAATCCACAGGGAAAACTCAACCTTGCGACACCATACCTTGCTGCCTTTGATCCGTCGGGTACGGTCATTGCAATCGCCTCACAATCTACTGCTGCAGTGCTTCTTTACGACTTCCGCAACTTTGACAAGTCACCCTTCTCTACCTTTGACATTGCGCCATACGAGGAAAGATTCACACCGTCGACTCGAGGACGTGCTTGGACGCGGCTGGAGTTTTCCAACGATGGAAAATATCTGATGATTGGAACAGACTACCATGGTCACTTTGTTCTAGATGCTTTTGATGGCACACTCAAGGCCTTCCTGGCCGGCAAGAGCGGACCGTCTGGTCGCGCTGCACCAGTGTCCACGACTGGCAAGCCTCTTGGACAAGGCGATGCTTGTTTCAGTCCCGATGGTCGATACGTCATTGGAGGCAATGGTGATCAACACGGTATGCTCGTGTGGGACTTGGGACAAATTGGCGGGGGAGACCTCACACTGCAGCCCTCGACTAGGCTGCCTGCTCCAAACTGCGCGTCAATGGTGGAATACAACCCTCGTTACAACATGATCGCCAGTGCCGACAAGGAAATTATCTTTTATGTCCCTGACGACCACGGCAAGTCGTCAGAAAAGTAAATACATCGGATGGCAGGATGGAAAGGATCAGTCCGATTTTCTGTCGAACTCAGCCAATAACCGACTACAAACACACTGGATGGCTATATGCCTTGCAACATAATGGCACTGTTTACAAATTCTTAAGCTGAAGAAAAGCGCCTTCTATTCCACATCTAGCAGATGACCGAATCTCTATGCTTATGCTTTCCGATCTTTGTCTTTACCCACCAGACTTCGTGCTGTGTCACAGATCCAAACGTCAGGGCCTTGTAGGCCATCGTCGTCTTTCCTGTTGTCCTCGACGGTGGCCTCGATTTGCTTGTCGATTGTGCGATTGCTGGAAATGGTCGTCAGACCGGTGGCCCAACCGTACAAAAACACGCTATGGTTGATATCTGATAGCCCTTTCTCAACTTCATGTACCACTGGTTGAAGTTTACCCTGTGCCTTGGCCGCATCAATCACTTGCTGGGCATCAACCACTTTGATGGGGATTTTCCAATCAGCGGGTACCTCATAATCAGAGAGTTCTTGAAACTTTTGGAGAATACCCTCACGATCGAGTTCTTCGTATGGCGGATCTCCCAGCAACATGCGAGTGCGGCTCTTCTCAGTCTCCGTTCCAATAGTTTCGACAATTTCCTGGAAGCGCACTGCAGCCTCTGTGGTGGATACGAGCTCACGACCATCCATAGCCGGCCAGAGCTCGGAGGTGAGTAGGGGTTTTTCCCGCTCAACTTCGATTTGTCGAACGATGGCTCTATGGAAATGGGGCGACAGTGGGATGTCCTTGATGTGAGACAAGTCAGACACCAAGGCAAGGAGTAAAGTGCAGTCGACGTTCAGAGTCGAGGTGAAGTTTTTGAACGGTTGAGGCAAGAGATGGGTTAGCCCCGTGGGAGTTTCTGCTGGCAGACTCCCCTGGCAGTCAACATGAATACCATAGCTCCGCATCTCGTTCAAGACAGCGTCAATTTCAGGAACACTTCCCTCTTCAATCTTAGGTATCACAACCCGTAGCCGAGGATGTCTATATCTAACGCGCGTAGCATCAGACGCCTTCTTTAGATCCCGAGCCAGTTTAATGAGCTCCAACTCATCATCGTCCTCCCCATCATCATCTTCATCAAAATTCTGTAAAATAGTCCGCCCTTTACCCCCATCATCAGACCACTCGTCCTCATCACTATCAGCCTCCCATCCCTTCTTCGCCATCTCAAATAAAAGCCGATTCTCAGAGATAGTAGATACCTTCACCCACTCCTCCCCATCATCAGCCACGATATCGACAAACACGCTCTTGCGTTTATCTTTGTTGGGCTGCTTCTCCGGCTGCGCACCACCCTTCCCCTTCCCACTCGCACTCTTCCTCTCCATCGCTTTCGTCTCCCCATCCCAGTAAAACCTCCTGCCAAGCGCAACCAACCCAGAACAAGACCCACTCGCAATTCTCCAGACAGCCTGATAGAACGGCAAATTTGACGAGCGTAGCGCATGCACCAATCGCATTTCCAGATCAGGATCACCTGGAACTGTTTGTCCCGTCCCATCGTCCGTTCGACTTGTTTCCGATCCTACATCTGTCCCTCCAATCGCCTCCTCAATCTGCCGTCCTAGCTTTTCCAGCATCCTCAACTCGGAGAGCACGCTGGAGCGGAATTGGCGCACCTCGACGAGCTGTGGGTTTCGCAGTGTGGACGCGAGGAGGGATTGGTAGGTGTCGATCTGGGCGAGTAGGTCTTTACATTCTTGAATTAGCTGGGCTGAGAGCGTTGTACTTGTTCTGGGACTCGGGTCTGTCGATTGGGGTTCTGGCTTTGCGGTGGCTGTACTCGTGTTGTCATTGTCGCTTTCTTTGTCCGAAGTGGAGGGGTTTGCGGGGATGTGGGGGTGTGTATCGGATGCCATTTGTGTGTGTTTAGACACCTGTTGTATGCATGTGATGTTTGAGTATGGTGCTACTGCCTCGTATATGTAGACGAGTGTGCTGGGGTAAGATATGTGTTTGGCAAGAGTTGGAGCTGTTTGTGGGGCAAGTGCGATAAGGTTTCTTTTATCGGAAGTATAGAGCGAGTCAAAAACACTTCAAGTCCTTTTCAGCTTGGAAATATGAAATGTATTGGAATGATTCAATTTATACACGAGACTAGCGCATGAGGCTCTGGATGACTCAAAAATCGTCTGGGGCTCAAGCTCCACTTTTGGAATCCTATAGATGGCTGTCGTCTGTCTATGCCCCAAAGGTTATATCTCTGCTCAAGTAAAGAGATGAAGTTATTATCCTTCTATAGCATCGAGGTAAAAGATATATAAAAAAAAACACCTAAAAAGGGACCTAAGAACACATCCAAAAACACCTTCTCAGAGGGTGATAAGGTATTAACACAATCATAATTCAAGTAACAGATCAATCGGATAGTGATCATCAAAGCTCTCTTTATCCTTGCACTGACCAGTCTTGAGCTCCACAAGTTCGTTCATTTCTTGCCGTTGCTCTTGGTTCAAAAGCTGTATACGGTCATCAAGAGAAGTAAAGGTCCCATAATACCGATGGTCGATAAACGTCCAATATATTTCATCAAACATAGAGCTGTATCTTGCTGCTAAGCAGACCCAAAATAACCCAGTTTCCATAGAGTCTTCCATCCGTGAAGACAGTCGTTGTGACTTAGAGAGGAGTTGTTGTTCTATCAACTTACTTTCATGGTCACTTAGGACTTCCAAGAAGGCATGAAGTCTAGGAGAATATCGAGCCAGAAACAGGTTTAGATCACCCTCCCAGTCCTCCGGGCTTTGCAGTAAGAGCCACCAAGGAGCTACCCATGTAAATTCGGCAGGCGCAGCATATGTAAACTCCCAGTCAATGACACCCGAGACATGGGAATCATCGAGATCTATCAAGACATTTGAAGGCCGAAAGTCGTCACAATATAGCCGAAATGGCCCTTGAGGATACTCGGTCCAAAGATTCTTTGTAATATTCAAGAATAAACAACGAGCGGTGAACTTCTTCCGGCAGTCCTCTTCGCTGGTGACAGCATCTCGTTGCTGTAATCGAAGGTGGGATAAATGCTGCATAGAAAGTGCGCTGAAGTAGTCCGTCGCTGATTTGAAAGTGTGTGAGGGGAAACCTTTTTCGGGTAAATTTGCAGACACCATTAACTCGTTCATGTTCAAGGTGAGAGGCCGCCTAGCGACAAAGAAACCCGTCTCATTCTCCTCAAGCGCACCGATAGAATCGAATTCATGTCTGGACAACTCGAGAACAAGCGTGGCCATCTCACGATAAGCCCATCTTAAGCTTCGATCGCTTATTTGCGGGTTCATGACTGGCCTTCCTTCAGAAGAAGGATCTTTGAGGAACTGTGATAATGGTACTCCTTCGAGAAATGACATGACAATGTAGGGGCCTGCCCAGCAGATGCCGGAGCCGAATATTTCAGGAACAGGTATCCAAGTATTCTTGCGTATGTACTTCATTGTTGCAACTTCAATTTGGACTTTCTCCCGGCGGAGAATAGCCCTTCCAAGGGCAGCGAAACGAACAATTATATCTGGTCCGTCCTCATATCTGACTCGATAGCATATATTGAAAGCACCGCTTTTCCATAGACACGCAGATACAGTTTCACCAGGTCGATGTTTCTTAGCGAGTTGCATTGACAGAATTTCTGGGCTCCGGCTCAACCAAAGGTTCAACCAAGCGGCAGCCTTCTGTTCTTGTTTCTTCTCAGCAAGATGATCAAAATCCATACTCATGGTTGTAGCTGCAAGAGACATGAGAATGATGCCGGGCAGTGATAGCCAAAGAATGAGGTTCTGCCTTTTAAGGCGTTTCGGATTCGGATAAATTCACACCGTACCAGCCACAATGTTGTTCAGGGGCTGTACCTCAGAATGATTAGGTCGAACTACATGTACTCTCTCCTATGTAAGATGCCGAGCTGCAAGGGGTGCTAGATTTATATCTTCCATATAGATGTATTCGGCTTTTCGCTATCTGATTGGCTTATCTTATTGGCTTCGGGAGATGTCTTGAGGAATGATTGCAGCTAAGCAACACGTATAAGCCAATAATATAACTAGAAAGCGAGCCAGGAACTAAGTATTCGACATAAGTGTGAAGGAAAGACCAACGCCATGACATGCTTGCATCCTTGCCCTGGAGGTAGGTTGTACATTGAGTGAAATGACAACCTCACTGGTTCACCAGATGTCTGGCCCTGATCGGCTTTTACGCTAACCAGGAACAGCATTAGTATTAAAAGAGGGACGAGTCAATGTTCAGTCTATTCCTTGTCTTTGCCAGTGAGTCTCTGTCTCTCGCTTGAATTGCGAGGCGACTCTTCATCATCGGACCACCTCTCACCATCCTCTTCACCAACTGCGAATATTGTCTCTTCCTCAACTGACTCACGGTTGTGGGGTGCAGAGGAGGAGAAGGGCTTGGGAGGAACTGGGGAGAGATCACGACGGCCCTCAGCGGCTGAGCTGCCAGGATAATCCGGAGGAGCATCATAGGCATCTTCCTCATCCAGCCCACTACCAAATGATCGAATCTCGAATCCATCGTCGTCTTGAGCAAGCTGCAGGGATCATTAGTAACTTGATTTTGGTTTCGTTTATTTAGGGAAGAGCTCCATACCTCATCACTCATGGCGAAGCGGCGGTTGTTGACAGTTGGTCGCCACAGATAAGCCACGAATCCGATATCGAACAGGTACACCAGATTGAGCCAGCCATCAAGAACAAACCATCTGGCCTTCCAGTGCTCAGGCACAAAGCTGGCATCACTGCGTCCAGCGAAAGCGAATGAGTTGATAAAGAAGAAACCGAAGATTACAATGATGCTGCCAAGAATGCACCACCACAACTTCTTGTACATCATCGCCTTGGTCTTTTGCTTCCTGTCAATAAGATCCTTCATCGTGGCGTTCAGGGAGTTCAAGGTCCACACGTAGAAAGCTGTCAATGTTCCGGCGAGGGGCAAAACAATCAGAAGCACCAGAGGACCGGCGCTATCAGGGGTGATCGAAAGACTGGCAACCGAGTAGACGACCGCGAACACAAAGTGACCAATGGCCAGGATACGAACAAAGATCATGGTTCGGCCTAATGAATGCTTGACCACGCCGTAGCCCATGCAGACAATTAGGAGGAGGAAGAAAGAGAACGCATTTCTACCCGCATTGAGTACTGCTACAATGACCATGAGTGCCTTTGCGCCGCCATTTAGACCATGGCGGTTTTGGTATTCTAGAAAAGTCAGATGAAGTCAAGCAAGGAATCAATTGCTGTCTCTCACCATAGAACCCCCAGGTCATCAGCTGCTCGACGATCAAGAACACTATAATTGCAGTAATATAGTTTTGGACGGGCACTATCCACTGTTAGCATGTAGCTCTCGGGTAGGAGAAGGGAACTCGACGTACAAATGTCATAACGGTTCTGCACGTAAAGGAAGCCCCAGAAGCTAAAATCATGCGTAAGTATTTACTCCAAAACAAATCGAGTCCATTGATTCTGCAAGTCACATACACTCCAATAACAGCGTACACGATCGTCAGAGCCCCATAAAATGGAAGCTTTGCAATTTGTGCAGCGGGAAGCTCGCCGTATGAGTTTCGGAAGGTGACCACTGCTTTGTAGTCTTCGCCGGAGTATGCATAGGTGCTCACGCAGTAAAATCCGGTCTTCCTGACGGGGTATTGCACGGCATCGGGATTGTTCAGGTGGATTGCTTTCGAGATGATAGGGCTTGAGGAGACGTCGGTAGCATTGCTAGTGAGAACGAAAGAGCCGAGCTGTTCTTTAGTGCAAATCTTTGCCTCAACGTTGGAGGCATCGCAGATTGTTTCCTTAACCTAAACCCAATAATTAACCACGTCGATCGTTCATACGGAGTTGACAAACATACCTCTGAATCACCGGACCGGTACTGGCCAATCAATCCCTCATCAGACCATTCAAAGATCACCAAACTAGCCAAAGGATCACTATCCTTGGTTTCCGACTTGGTGAATTTCACCAGAATGAAGGGGTCAACATCTCCTCCCCAAGCTTTGCGACTGTACATCCCTGAGCATCGTTGTCGGTGCGCATCGTCAGATTTCTGCGGAACCTTGTTAGCTTCTGAAAATAACGATTGAATGGAGTTTAGGAACATACCAGTTCAGTTTCATTGGCAAGCGCATAGGTTGCCAATAGGGCTGTCAAGCCCAAGGTCTGGAGCCAGCCCTTCATGGCGACCGTAGAGTTGAAGCGAGACTAGGCTCCGGGATTCGGGAACAGATCTTTAAGACCACGCAGCATCAAAGAACGGATCCGAAAGAAGAAAGAGAGCCGAATTTGGTAAAGTATCTTGTGTTAGATAATTATAAGGATAAGGTGTTCTTCTTAACCCAATGGCCCCCCAAACCGGGGAAGCCGCGCGTGGCTATTATCTAAGCGGACACCGCCACTATTTTTTTAGTTCCGAACTTCAGTCTACTTTTTTCCTGATGCCCAGTCCAGAGGTCAGATTTAAGAGTATAGTCACTACTTGACAGTCACCATGCCAGCAAAGGAACTGAACAAAATATGCATGGAATGCAAGGATGCTGAATTCGAGCTCACTGTCCGCAAGAGACAGCTTTGCAGGTACGCGACAAGTCGGCAATCTACAACCCCTCCAGCGCATAGTCTCTGACGGTTTTTTTTCTAGCTCATGCTTTAGGCGTTTTATAGCACATAAGGTCCAGTCGCGTTTGAGCGTCTACAGAGCTTTTGGCCTAGATGGTCCCAAACACCAGTTGCTTCTCCCTGTGTCTCTCGGTGTTTCCTCGTCGGTTTTGATGCACATATTGAACTCTGATCGACAGAATCGCCTGAGTAATGGTCGCCCTCTGGGATACGACTTCAAGATCTTGGTAATCGAACCCTCAAGTATTGCGGCTACAGGCGTTCCCTTTGACAAAAACTACGAAGCTCTTCAGAAGAACTTACCGATGCACGATATTACTCGGATACCTTTTCATAGCATCTTCGACTATGTCCCGGAGGTGAAGGAGATTTTGCAGGAATATGCAGGTTCAAAATTCATCGACGACAGCACTCAGTCGAATGAAGAGCGGTTAGCTGCCTTCCGTGCATCCATTGCCACCCCCACATCCAGGACCGACGTCGACAGTGTTTTGCTGACCAGACTGGTCGTTGAATTTGCGAAGAAGTCTGGATGTGAATCTGTGATGTGGGGTGACTCGGACAGCCGTCTTGCTGCGAAAGCACTTGCGGGTGTCGCAAAAGGGCGTGGTGCTTCCCTCACCTGGCAGGTATCCGACGGCATGTCTCCTTGGGGCGTGAGGTTCGAGTATCCGCTCCGTGATCTGTTCAAGGCTGAATTGCTTCAATATGAGAGTGTCTGTGCCGAGCTTTCTGATATTGTCATACCCGATCAACCGCCCTCCGAAAATGTTCTTACCAAGAACCTTTCTATTGACGAGTTAATGCTACGATATGTTCAGAACCAAGGCGCAAAGTATCCTGGTGTCATGGCGAATGTGGCCAGAACCGCGAACAAGCTCAATCCCTCTACTTCTGGTAGTGCACCAACTTGCGCTCTTTGTGCTAGTCTACTGGGAAATGTGAAGGGTAACTCCGGAGTTACTGTCGCAAACCAGGCAGAGGATAACCATAGCTCTCAATTCTGCTACGGATGTATGCGGTCACGACCCGAGGAGCTTTGCTAAAGAGAAATATTCTTGATTCATGACAAAATTAAATGAACTAAACACGAATATCCTGCACGACCTGAAATAATCGCCAATCATGGGGTATCTGAAATTATGATCTCAATATCTCTATGCACCATGGGTTACCTCGTTCCACCTCGCTCCAAATCCTCCTCTGGATGACTTGCTCCACCAAACCATCTGCTGAATGACTTCCGGGACTGTCTGGCCGGCTGGGGCCTGGTTGGAGGCTGGGGAGCATCATTGTTCCTGCCCCCATGACCCGATGGTCGCGTATCATCATATGCCGGTGGACGGTCGCCAACAACTCCATCTTCTTGTCTGTCAAATGCATCGGGAAGACTGTTGTCGACTTCGACTATCCGATCCTGTCGTCTGGTGGTCTGCCGTGAGGCCGCCTTGGCACCCTTTTGGCGCAAATGACTTTCGAGAAGGACCGCATTTCTAGTATTTGCTTTGTAGACTGCATCGGCAAGATCACCAATGAAAGGGACGAGGCCAATGAAGAAATCCATTATCACATTGAGCAACATCTTCATGCGCAACGCATGAGGAAGTCCACCATCAATCCCTTCGCAGGATTTCACTACCATCATTGCGAGCGCAGCATCGCCAGCGTCGCCGATGCTGTGGTTCATTTGTTAGCATTGTATCCTCCAGGTAACAGTGCAATGGATCCTGGTGAAACTTACAATGGAATAAGTCCAATCACACTTCCCCAACCGAAGCGGATCCCACACAAGCTAAAAAGAGCATAGTCTAGCTGGTAGGCTCTGCGTTTGACCTTGGTCAGGACCTTGCTGTCATTTTCAGAGAGACCCGGGGGATGGCCTTGCGGCGTTTTTTGGTCTTTTTTCCAAATGTACGACCGAGGCGTGAAGCAGGAACTTCTTCAAAGTAGGGGTCCTAAGCAGGTAGAAAGATTGGGATCAGCCTGATCCCTCTTCGCAAGACAAAATAAAGATCAGTCTTTGGGGGAAACTCACCTCAGTACCAAAATGATTCTTGGCGGTTTCACCTAGCACCTTCTTGCTAATCAAAGACACCAAAACTTTCGACATCTTTGGATCACAGTAGTGTACTAGAGCTGTTTTGGGAAAATAAAAATCTCCCCGGGAGAAGCGCTGAAGAAATAGATGAATGTCGAGCAAGGACAACAGAAATAGACTATGTATAGGCCCTAAACCCTTCCTGGTTGGGTAGACAGGGTTTGGGTAGGAGCTCGTTTCACTTGTGTATGATGAGAACAAAGGGCGCGTAATGGTAGTTGAAGAAGATGCTTGACTTTGAAACCAGGTGGATAACCCCCAAATATTATAGGGGATCTAGGGAGATCAACGGCTTTGCGCGACAAGACGTCATCATCCCGAGAATCCTGGAACCCGTGGCACAGCCACTTTTACATGTGGCGCCTTATTTTGGATCGTCACCGCCACATATTCCCTTAGTCACCCGATCACCACCTTGGGCAGCTCCGATGATTGCTCTGCTTCCCAACACCTCAGTCACCTCTTTTCTCCGACCTGATTGGAACCTTGATCACCTCCACACCCTGCACATCCCTTTGAACCTAGTATTTGCCTCATTCTATCCACTATATCCACACAGCCCTGGGTTGGTCTACCTTCCCTGGAAGCTGTTCCCTCCACCATATTGCTTGCTTATTTCGACCGTTTGCGCTGTCGAATTGAGTGAGCAGATATTTCTCAGTCACCAACATTTTGAAATGCCAGAGCCTATCTTCCGATATGATCGAAACAAATATGCGGTTAGAAGATTGTGAGTGCCTGGTTGTTGATCGATCGGTATGACGACAGGCTGCTAACCGAGGCTGGTGGGCCGTTGCTACAGGGCTGGATGATTTGTGTGTCCGTTTCATTATCAACCTTCCGCGTGAGGAGCTTGAGTCGGTCGAACGGATATGTTTCCAAGTCGAAGAGGCGCAATGGTTCTACGAAGACTTCATTCGTCCGCTTGACCCTGCGCTGCCGTCAATGAACTTGAAGACATTTGCCATGCGCATTTTCCAGCATTGCCCACTTATGTCGTCATGGTCTCATTATCACCATTTGGCTGCCTTTCAGGAGTTCCTCGATTACAAGACACGCGTGCCGGTCCGTGGTGCGATCATGTTGAACCAAGACATGGACGAGGTCGTTTTGGTTAAAGGTTGGAAGAAAGGTGCCAACTGGAGTTTTCCGCGTGGTAAAATCAACAAGGGCGAGAAGGATCTTGATTGTGCTATTCGTGAGGTCTACGAAGAGACTGGGTTCGATATTCGGGACGCGAACTTGGTTAAGAACGAAGATGATGTCAAATACATCGAGATCACGATGCGAGAGCAACATATGCGACTTTATGTCTTCCGAGGATTGCCCCGTGATGCTTACTTCGAGCCGCGCACCCGAAAGGAAATCAGCAAGATTGAGTGGTACAAGCTGTCAGAGCTTCCAACGTTAAAGAAGAACAAACAGCATGATGAAGGACTTGCAGTTGCAAATGCGAACAAATTCTACATGGTTGCTCCGTTCCTCAGCCCACTGAAAAAGTGGATAGCGCAACAAAAGAAGCTTGATGCGAAAGCCCAGCCTGGCATAGCCCAGGCTTCACAGGCTGAGGGATATCTTTCTATGGATGAAAATGGCCATGCCAATGGCACCCCAGGGATGCCTCTCGCTGAAATGGCGATTCCAAGTGATCTCCCTGAGGTGACCTCCGTGCAAGATGCTTCAGACCACCTCAAACGCCTTTTGAAGATCGGCGCCGCACCGGGTCAAGTTCATACAACAGGCCTCGAGCCAGCTCGTACTTCTGCAGCTGACCCGTCTAAGGCGAGCGGGCTTCTTGCCCTGTTGCAACGTGGGCGTCAAGAGGCATCCCCTCAGGGTTCTCTCGAAAATCCCATGGTGCCACCTAACGTATCTCAGTCCAACGTCGAATCTGCGGAACAACGGCCTCAATTGGGTCCTAATTTCTTCCCCGGCTTTCCTCAGCAGCAACAGAATATGGGTCCGTCTCCTTTCATGCGGCAGAACTCGACACCATTCCATACTGTCCCATCTCAACCTCATATCCAGCACTCTCAGAATGGCCCACAGGTTCTTCCGGGCACTGCATTCCCGACTACTACGCCTAATTGGTATCCTAAACCGCACGCGATACCTCAATTCCCTCAAACCTCAAGTTTGGCTCAATATCAGCATCATAATCAGCCTGCTATGGCTCATGATCTTCTGCCGCCAAGCAATATGCCCGCGCCATTTCAACGGACGGGAGATCCTGAGTTCTCTGAATCCGCTCAATTATCTCAAAACCGGGGTCCAGTTGTCCCGCCGGCGAGCAAGTTGCCACCACCAAAGCTCACAAGCCATTCCCTTTCACTCCTGGAGGCCTTCAAGGTTAAGACTCCCAAGGGTCCGGGTCCACCAAGGTTGGCGGCTCCCATTCAGGGCTCTTCCCATGTGCCCACAACGTCTCAACACCAGGATAGTCTGTTGGGTTTGCTCAAAGGTCCTCAATCTGCCCGTGTTTCTGAGCCAGCAGAATTATTAGGCAAGCCTGTGATGCCCTCTGGGATGTCTTCGGAAAAGCAGATTCTTCAGCGTCCTCGCGATCGCCACAACCAACCCACACACCAGCCTGGTGGAGCGAAGGGGCTTCCGGGGCCAGGCCAGACGTCGGCTACCGTGTCAGGACCATTGAACACACCACAGTTTGAGTCATTTGCCAAACCACATAGGTCAAACAGTGGAACGCACCGAAAGAACCATATGAATAGACGAGAGCAGTCTCAGCCTCAACCCCAACAGCTATCTTCGCCTATCACCATTCTACCGCGTCCTCATTCTGCCAAACGGGAGGTATCCTCGTCGAGGCCCGTTGCACAAGCAATCCAGGTTTTGCCTGCGAAGGCACCCGAAGCGTCTGAGCCTGTCAAGAACTTCCAACCGCAGATCCTACGTCGATCCGAAAAATCCGGATATGAAGCATTGATGGCCGCGGCTCCTCAAACAGATGCTGTTGAACGCAAATTGAGTTTGCCAGGTGTTGACGCCAACACCCCGGGCCTGGCTTCACAGGGCAACTTTGACCGTCGGCCAAGCCAAACTGCTGAGCAGAAAGCTTCGCTTTTGTCTCTCTTTAGCAAGACACCTGTCTCTCCGCCGCCCGTTTTTGCAACCCCGTTCGACGTCCGAGCCGGCAACCAGCAGCCGACAACATTCTCAGGATTTGTCAGCCCAATCTCGTCCCGCCATCGTCCGAGCAGCGGGGATATCTCTCGTCACGGTACACCATCTGATGGTGGTGCCCACGCCAATGCTCAACAGGTCTCCTCTCCTAGCAATAAAGCATTCTTGCTTGGGTTCTTAGAAGGAGTGGCTAAGGGCAATAAGTAGCTCTGTGGTCCACTGAGTTCATATCCAGGTGGCTCTGCAGTACCTTCTGGCTAGGCAGAAGTGACATAAATAGCAATAGTTTAATATTGAAACCGGTTATTCTTACCTCTCAAGTGTGTCACGGTGGAGGTCTTTCAGTGGCATTTGGTATTGTACAAACAATCTCTGCCCAGTGTATTGACCTCCATAACACCGCGACTGGCGACATCGGGCTAGGATCAATCCAGCCCTTACTCAACGAAGTTGCAAAAAAGAAAAAAATCCGAATCATAATTGTAGAGTTGAAAGGCTACATACAACAGTATACCTAGAATTGTGTGGGATCACTCGGACAAACAACGTGCGGCTCAGCTCTTATACAAATGTACCGGCTAATCAAATCCGACTTATTACACCAAAACACTTTTACCATAGCATTGCATATCAACTAGCATCAGAAATTGTTCCGTGGCACTCGTGACTAGAATGTTCACACTGTGCCACACTGAACTTCGGTTTTGTTAGGGGTGGAAAAAGATATAAAAAGAAAGAAAAAAAAATACAAAAAGAAACATGGTTCCAGAGGGGGTCGAACCCTCGACTTTGGCGTTATTAGCACCACACTCTAACCAACTGAGTTATGGAACCCATTTGTTGAAGAGATCAAGGAATGAGTGATAATTGTTCATGAGTACTTTGTCTACTACACATCCTCTGGTACAAAGTCCTGTGATAATCCCACATTCAGACGCGCGAACTGAACGATTATATCGCGAATTTGGGGTTCTACACCCTCGCACAAAGTCTTCTATACCTGGGACTATCTATTTATTCAATCTATGAAAATCTCTCCGTCAGTGATCACTGGTGGTTCGAAGAGCATTGTTACCCGATCTATAGTTACCTAGACAATTACTTGCTACAACATACGCATGAGGTGAGTGTTGATTACATTTGTAACGTAGTAGAATTTTCTGGCCGGTTGAATGGTTGTTGATATTGATTATGGACAAAATGATGTGTTATCAGTGGTGTGCTTGAAATTGGAGATATATATTTCGTCCGACTGTTCGTTCTATCGGGTGTGGTGTAGCGAGATACCTTTGTAGCAAGGTTTATGTGACCTGTGATCCCAAGCTGGACCCGGCCTCCTCAATCCCGAGTATCCTAAGGTCTCTGTTGAAACGTATTAATGAGATATTTTGAGTCTTTGTCCATTGCAATTTGTTCTCTGCGTTTTGGATCGATGTACTGTAGTCTACAAGTTTTCATTCTGCCATAACCCACCGCCCAACGTCATCGCCCGATTTGTAAAGAAATAGATCAACTCACATTGGTTCTGCACATCAACCCAACCATGATGCGCCCACGCCCCTCGGTCTGTAGCCGCTGCCTCGCTCGCAGTAGGAAATTTTCTACAACAGCACAGCGCACTGAAAAAAGCCAAAATGCCCCCCTCCCGCCGACAGCAGGGTACAGCCGACTCACAAACCGCGGACTGATCTCCGTTACCGGCTCCGACAGCACAACCTTCCTCCAGGGCCTGATGACCCAGAACATGCTAGTAGCCAACGACCCGAGCCGAAGCATTCGACGCACAGGCGCATACACCGCATTCCTCAATTCGCAAGGCCGAGTTCTGAACGATGCCTTCATTTACCCGCTCCCCGGCGCAGAGGCCCAGGGTGCCGAGTCAGGCTGGCTAGTGGAGGTAGACAAGGATCAGGTCCCCGTTCTGCTGAAGCACCTCAAGAAACACAAGTTGCGCTCGAAGCTCAAGCTCCGAGCTCTGGATGAAGGCGAGCGCACAGTCTGGTCCTCCTGGAAAAATCACGCCGAGCCCCAACGGTGGGCTACATATAGTCTGGAGTCGGAATCGTCGTCACCCTTCTCACCAACCTCCGAAATTGCGGGGTGCATTGATACCCGTGCCCCGGGCTTCGGATCCCGCATTATCACGCCTGGTTCGGACGGTCTGCGCACATATTTCCCCGATGAGGCGCAGGTCGCTGGGCCCGAGGTCCAGCTGGACTCGTACACCGTCCGTCGCTTTTTGCACGGCGTTGCGGAGGGCCAGGCCGAGGTTATTAGTGGATCGGCTTTGCCTTTGCAGTGTAATATGGATATGGCTCGTGGTATCGATTTCCGTAAGGGCTGTTACGTCGGACAGGAATTGACGATCCGTACCCACCACCGTGGTGTTACGCGGAAGCGTCTTTTGCCAGTTCAGCTTTATGATCTGAGTCAGGATGGGCAAAGTGCCCCGGATACCCTCACATATGATCCATCTTTCCAATTGACTTTGCCTTCTGGTGAAGCGGATATTGTCAAGGCTGGTGCGGCTACTCGCCGAAACCGCAGTGCGGGAACGTTCCTTAATGGTATTGGCAATATTGGACTTGCGCTATGCCGTCTTGAAGTTATGACCGATGTTGCGCTCATGGGTGAGGCTCCTGCTCGTCCTCATGAACACCACTTCAAGCTCACATGGGCTCCGGAAGTTGAACAGCCTAGTGAGGTCGGTGTACGTGCCTTCGTTCCGCCTTGGCTGAGAGATTTCATCTCCGGTGGCAAAGAGGAGAAACCCGCTCCTCGTAACCCTGAAGTAGAGGGTGAGCGGGCACGGGAATTTGTTGAGCAATTAGAGGAAGAGGAATCCGAGGCCGAAGCGCGCCGGGACTAAGATACCCAGGTGTCTAATCACTTCACTCATGTATAATATAACACAACACAAAATGATATGATGTAAATAGCTCTTGTATCTCTATTCAACTCAACATTGCAAATACAACGTTTTCTGGGGTATCTCATGAATCTAAATACAGTTTGTAGAATTAGGCTGGGCGTTTTCAAAAATGCAGAAATGAAGCGCGAGAGCTAGGTGTTTTTCGTTGCCGCTGCCGCTGCCGCTGCCTCTGCTGCATCTGCTGCCTCATCTTCTCGCATCAGCTCTTCTTCGAGAGCTTTGCGCTCCTTCTCACGCTGTGCATTCTTCAGCCGCATCATCATCACTTCCTGTAGACTAGGTGCGGCTGGAGACTTAGTGGATTGATTGAATGAGGCTGCACTCGGGGCAGCAGACGCAGAAGCAAATGAGCCAAACGACGGCGCTTTATCGGATTTGGGGGCTGTTTTCAAGCCCTGGAAGTTGAATGATGGTTTAGCAGGCCTACTGGAAGTGTCGACAGAGGGTCCTCCGGGTGCAGGTGCGGGCTCGGCCTGGACAGGCTTGGATGATGTATCGGGGCCTAGGTCAGGTTGGGTACCGGTAGCCCAGAAGACAGACTCGATAAGACCCCATTCGTCATCTTGACCAGCATGTTGACGAATCTTCTTCTCACTATCGAGAACGGCAGTGTGGGCGCTCACAATAGATGTGAAAACCACCACGCCCGTGGCAACAGTCTTCTTTTCCTTGTTCTCCCCGATCCGTTGGCGTTTGTCCTTCAGCGCAATGGTATTCTCAATTTTCCCAAATGGCTTGAACAAACCCGCCAGCTTTTCAATATCGAGTTCCAGCCCACGACCCTCCCGCACCCAGCGCACTTTCACCGCACGCTCGAGCTCAGGCACCTGCTCGCCACCTTCCTTCGAACGGTCCACGCGCTGGCTACTCCGGTCCGCCGCCTTGCGAGCCTCTTCTTCCTGCTGCTGGATTCTCCTATTCTCATCATCAATCTCCTTTTTAGCCTTCTCCTCAGCCTCGCGTCGCCTCCGCCGCCCGTCCTCTGCAATCCGGTCAATCTCCCGCTGGAGCTTCTCTTCCGCGTCCTCATCCCCACCCGTCGCCCATGATCTCTTAACACCCTGCTTGACGCCGAAGCCACCCATTTCAGCGGCGCCTGCCCGCTCCCGCGCTTCTAGGTCTTCGCGCATCTTCCGTTTCGCCGCTCCCATCATGTCCCGCTCGCGTTGTTTGCGCATCCGCGCTTCGCGCGCATTGTCGTATAGCTGTCGCACTGACTCGTCTGAGAGGACATCGTAGGCAATCTGAAGGACATGGAATTTGTCGATGTCTGCCGCGGTGGGGTTTTTGATCTTGTCTGGGTGGTACTTTAGAGCTGTGCGTCGGTATGCGCGGCGGATCTCTGTTTCGGTGGCTGCTGGTTGGATGTCTAGCAGAGCGTAGAAATCTTGATTTGAGGCGGCGTGCGCCTTGAGATCGTCGTTTGGCATCTTGGTGGTTTATGCGACTGGTAACGCTTGGGAGATTTGCGGAGATGAAGTGAGGGTTTTGGATTGCGGTTCTCGACTGTGTCGTTGCCGGATTAGGGCCTAGGCTGATATAGAACACAGTGATTGCTCCGAAAGGTAGATAACCCTAAATTAGAGCCTTTGGAACTGAAGTGTTGTTGAGATGGAAAATTGTAGGTTCAAGGTCGGAGCTTGGGCGGTGGATGTGTTGCGCCTCAGGCCGCCAACTGGTATACTATGAGATCTCAATTGCGAAATCATTAGAAAATTTTCATTTATTATAACAAATTGGTCAAATAGATCATCCAATGTTTGATACTTTGTCTAGCCTTTGTTTCAAAGACAATAATGTATATAATTGCTGTTGTGGCTAAGGTTGCGGTAGATATATAATCTGTGCCTGGGCACGTGTGTATGTTGGTTCTGCTTTCTGTCAGTAGATGACTGCCCTTTTGTCCCAAGCTATGGCCCATTCGAGTCCATTGGCAAGATGACTACTACTAAGCCATCTAGTTCTGGTGTTACGCCTCCAACCAAGCTTCAACTGGCTCTAGCATTGGCTGTCGTCAAGGGAAAACCACCAGGCCAAGGCGTTAAAGGTTAGACGAACAGGAAGTTTCTACAGACTCAGAGAATAAAAATTGACTTTGCATTCCAGAATACATTTTGCAGATTCGACAGTTCATTAAAAACACCAAAGATTTGGGCCAAGTTGGTGCGACAGACAAGTTCTTCGACAGCGTCTCCTTCTGGCAACAAGCGTACGAAAGGTCTGAAGCAGGACAGAGTAAGCTACAAGATCAAGTCCATGAGCTCAACCAGCGTATTGAAGGCCTTCTCGCCAAATTACGTGTCAAAGTCACTACAAATGACAATGAGATCATGCCTGCAAACAAACGCAAGGCGCCTGCTGTTGGCAAGGATGCGAACAATTCGAAGACGGCTAGGAAACGAACAAAACTACCTAGGAATATGCAGAAAAGCATTCCACTGATAGAAGACGACGATGATAGTTCCGGAGAAGAGGATGGTACTTGATTGCCCTTTCATAGACCAGTTACGATGATATCTAATGTCAATGCAGACTTATGCCTCAATAGACAGCTACATATCGTCCAAAAAGCCTTGCAAAGAAGGACGAACAGCAGTTCGGAGGCCAATTCTCTGGCTATAGATGCAGTTACCCTCTGCAAATCCGCAGAGCAGAGACTGATCCAGACTATCCTGAACAAATGCAGAACGACGGAGCAGAAACCTTCCCAAACCGAGAAAGCCAATATGCCGGATACAGAAGCTGTCGTAAATGGCGTGACAGTTGCTTTCCATCTCACACACAAAGCATTGCACAAAATGGCCGGGGTTGAGAATGCCACGCAGCACCAAGCTCAGGTCATCTACTATCTAGTAGGTCTGTTCGAATCAACCATGACAGCACTTACTCTGCATTGCACTGCAATGTCCAAGCAAAAGTCAACCACCAAAAATATTAAATCAGGCGGAGGCCCAAAGGCTATGACGCAACCCGATGAAAGAAACAAACTTACAAAAGAGAAGAGCTCGCCCATCAAGAACGAGACAGCCTGTCGCCTTGCAGATCTGCTCTGCACGATGGCGCTCTCCCTCAACCTGACTCGTACCGAAGACCAACAAGTAATGGAAGGGTTTCTCTTCCTTGTTCTGGATCGCATGGGAAAAATGCTAGCTCTCCATGTTTTCCATGACCTGCGACTGCCAATGGGAATTTGCCCTGGAATGACATTCCCAGACGGATTGGAAGCAATGACTGACGAGGGTCTTACGTCAAACGAGGCACAACTCGAAGCCAAGTATCTTGTCCGGCTTCTGGAAAGAATGCTTAATGCTGAATCCCTCCAATCGGACCTCGAGACATCGGCTGCTCGCGAATTTGCCGCAAACGCTAAAGATCGTCTGCAAAAATCTCTCCTTCGGGCTGTGTTCGGACCCGATGACCATATATTTCGAGATGGTCTGCGGCGTCCGCATACTCCGCCTCCTCCGGTGCTTGATGGTGGGCAGATTGACCAGGACTGGTTTTCGGATTGGCTTACACAGGAGCTGTGGCGGCTTGTTGGTTGGGATGTGCTGAGGACTGTGTTTGCTTCAACCTGAAGCCTCCCGATCATGGAATCTGTTGCCCTGATACTACATCCATCTCACCTTTGTTCTCCATTATTCCCTTATACCCCAGTTTTTATTGAGATGATCGTATCTGTATTTTAGTATAATGATATTTATGCTAGAAAATATATTTGCTTATTCGAGTTTCAAAACACGAGCAGCATTGCCACCCAACACAGCAGCCACAGCCTCTTGCTCCCCCGCAAAAGTGGCATCGATAGCCTTATAGTTAGTCGTCACACTGATCCATTCCTTCTCACCCTCATCAAGAGGCGGGAAGAACGGGTGATCGGTACCTAAGAAATATATTAGACGCAGTCCCGATGATTCCAGCAATACTAGAAAACTTACCAAACATAAGACGATCAGTACCCTCCCCAGCAGCAACGGCAGCCTTGAGCCCCGCAGTTCCGTAAACGACAGCATCGAGGAAGATATTTGTCTTCAAAATCTCCCAAATACTCCTCTGCGGGCCAGGAACATCCCCACCATGCTCCACAAACTTCCGTTCATGCATAATACAGCTCTCGATGCGCCCCGCCAAAAACGGCAAAGTACCGCCCGAATGTGCCAACAGGATCTGCAGCCGCGGGAACTTATCAAAGACACGGGACAGCAGCATGCGGGTAACTGCAATAGTCGTCTCAAGCGGGAACCCGAGTGCCAAGGGGAGGACATGACCGTAGCGCTTTGTCACCTCCGGACCACCAAACGCCTCATCAGGGAGACCGTAATGAGGATGCAAGAAGAGAAGGAACTGAGTTTCCTCCAGAGCCGCCCAAACAGGACCGAGCTTTTCATCGTCGAGACCATTTCCCAGTCCGGAAGTCCCCATAATCACACCCCGGATATGAGGCAGAGTCTTCAATCTCTTGATTTCATTCACGATAATATCGGCACTGGGTGCGCTCAGCGGCAAAGTTGCAAAAGCGAACAAAGTCGATCGCCCCTTCAGAGGGAGGGTGTTGTCTGGGTCCGACGACTTATTGTTCTGGGCACAGACTTCCTCTAGATCGTTGTTGATGCGTTCAGCCCATTGCTGGGCTTCGGCGGGCTCGAGAAAGTCTAGCCATGGATTTGCGAGAGAGATCACGCTGCTGTCAATGCCGTGCTGTTTCATGAAGCTCAGCTTGACATTGATGTCGGAGTAGGATGTGTCGACGGGGCGGCCGCGTTCGTCGATTGGGATTGATGGGTCATCGTCTGATGATAGAATTATCAGGCGCGGTTCTCCGCTTGCTGGATCGTGAATGTAGGGAACTGTCTTGCGAGCGCGAAGCATCGCCATGTAGGATGGGGGATATACATGGGTGTGGACATCGACTACGAGAGGAGACATGGTTTGGATATGCAAAAAGAAACAAGATAGAAGAGAAAATAGAAGAAAGGAATAGTCAGAAATAGGGGGATAGTAAGGGGATAGTAGGGGAACAGTAGAGGGACTGGGCAATAGTGGAATACCCAAATGAGGGGAGAACAGATAAGAGCGGGGATGCCCCGGAGGACCTGAAGGATTCCGCCATGTCTTTTATCTCGCGATAAGTTGGATTGTTTACGTAGAAAGAATTGCAATTTGAAGCTATCAAGATATCCGGAAATTGTCATTCGAATCTCATATATTTCATTGATTCATTGGTAACGTTGCTATGATTGTTAGCAAGATCCAATCACGCATGAAGCTCCACATACCCTTTCGGCCGTCACTTCTGGAGCTCGGTACCAGCCAGAGTGATAGGCTTCGCGTTGGTGAAGTTGGGGATATCGCCAAACACCGTCGCAGCGCCAGGGGCCTGCAGACCAGATTTGAAACTATCCTCGTTCTCCCACTCGAGGGTGGCCATGATCAAATACTCGGATCGCGAGCCATCGAAGGCGCTGGGGAACTTGGTGACATGCCAGTTGATCAGGCCGAAGGATTTCCAAGTGCTTTCGACGAGCGGCATGTGGGACTTCATGTAGTACGACTCATCGAATTGGATGTCCGCATTGTTGGGGTACATAACAAGAGCAGTGAAAGTCATTTTGGTGGAATGGACAGTGAAATAGAGATAGATAGAGTATATGGAAGAGTGAGCTGAGGAAGATAAAAAAGACACAATGTGTTGAGACTGTTGAAGCTGTTGAGTCCCCGCCTCGGATCGGATTATTAATCGTTGTACAAGATAAAAGTGGGCTGTTCGTTGTACAAGATAAAAGTGGGCTGTTCGAGGGTGACTCCCAACCTTTGATCATATGTCCCTATTATAGGCGCATTGACATACCCTTGACTCTCCCATATCATCTTCATTTGGGATCATCGTCCGACTTCAATGGAGTCTAGCTCTCACATCAGCGCTACATACTAGTCCCGAGGCCTTGTGGATATCAACTCGGAACACCAATTCTGCAATAATTACTTAATCCTCCGTAACTACCTACCTACATTAACACCTTCGCAATGAGGCAGACTCGGATGCTCAGCCTGCGGGCTGGGATATGGGCCTTGATTGTGCTTACCCTTGGAATTCTGTACAAAGCTTATGTGCATAACATCATTTTTCTCACAATCGGCGTCGGTCGAGATATCCAATCCATTGATGAATTCCCATGGACTTGCACTCGCCTGCAGCATCCTCTCTTAGAGGGATGTGAGGATATGTGGTTGGATGAGCAAGGACGAAAACTGTATGCAGCATGCAGCTCGATAGGCACACGACAAGGATGGAGTCCAGGTGGCAGCAAATTCAACATCTCCGCGAGATCTCACACGGATCATATCGCAGTGTTGAATATTGACCAACCGGGCCCGGATGGGCTGTATGGCCTTCACAAACTTAAAGTTGGCGGTTACTCCGGCGATCTGGATCTGCATGGCTTCGACGTGCGCAGTGTCAAAGGCAGGCTTCGATTCTGGTTGATCAATCACAGACCTCCAGTCGATTCTACAACAGGGCAGTTCCTTGATGCCCGAGCCGTTGGTGCTAACTCGACCATTGAGATTTTTGATTTGGACGATGCCTCGGAGACAATCGAGCACGTCAAGACTATAGTCAGCGAGGCGATCATCTCGCCCAACAACTTGGCCGTTGACAAGGATGGCTTGGGATTCGTGATTACCAACGATCGCAACGCCAAGGTTGCCACTATTCCGGAGGTTGGAATGTTGATTGGCGGAGGAAGTCTCACCTATTGTCGATCTGACACGGGAAAGTGTCATATCGCTGCCAACAAGGGCTTTTCCTTTGCCAATGGAATCGCACAAGGGGACGGGCTTTACTATGTAGCTCATTCAGTGACTGGACTTGTGACTGTCCACAGATTAGTTGGCGATCAGCTGATTCAAGTGGACACAATCTACACGAACTATCCGATCGATAATCTGTCTCTCGATGCAGATGGGAACCTCCTGGCTGCCGCATTTCCCAACTCCATTGCGTTTGTGAAGTCCATGGAGGATCCATATCGAGTTGTTGCCCCTGCTACCGTTCTCGCGGTCAATGGAATATCCACTCAGCTGGAAACTCGTGGCGGGAAGGATAGTGAGGTCTTGAAGCTCGTGGAGGACAGAGATGCCAAATGGCTTCCTAGTTCGACTGTTGTGGTGCAAGATGTGGAATCACACCGCTTGTTCCTTGGGGGAGTTCTGTCACCATTCATCACTATATGTGCAAAGCGTCTGTAGTTTCCTTTTTGCGTGTTCTGTAGAGTGATCGGAGTGAGAATGATGCTATTTTCCACTTTGAGATCATGGTCCGAAGATCAAGTGACATGCCCACAATGCAGGGTTAGGGTGGAGGGGTGGAGAGGGGAGTGGATCCTCAGCTCCAGTCCAGATATGGCAATCAATCAAAATGCCCGATAGCCAATTCCTCATGGTCCAATCTACCTAGGTACAATCGGTAATGGCAAGGTAATATGTCGTGGAAACGCTTATCTGGCTTATCTGCCCTTATCTTCTCGATGTATGAGGTGGCCAGGTGCAGCTGACCTAGAATCCTTTTCCCCGACTTTCCCCCTCTTCTGGAGATCTTCCCTTGAAATTCATTTTAGACCTTTGTTGTCTCAGATCCTCCTTCGAAAAGTAACACCAGTTCTCAGAAGTGTACGCAATGGCCTCCAACACCGAGATCAATGCCTCTGCGGTAGATAAGGACGATTTGAAGATACCGGTATGCGATATCGCTAGTGATTTCAAACTGCGACTAATAGAAACTGTTCTAGCTGATCGACTTTGGCCCCTTCTTCACAGGGACCCCATCTGATAAACATGCTGTCGCTCTGGCCATAACCGATGCCTTCAAAACATCTGGCTTCGTCTATCTCAAGGCGCATGGAATTCCGCCATCTGTTGTGTCTGAGGTATTTGCGTCATCGGCCCGTTTCTTCGCTCGCCCCCAGAGCGAGAAAGATTCGCTGGGCTGGACGACTCCACAGTCGAACCGTGGTTACGTCGCTATCGGGCGGGAGAAGCTAATGACTGTCGACGAAACAAATGGAGCTGATACTCTGCGTGCATCCGCACCAGATATTAAAGAGACTATGGAACTTGGTCGTGAGGGAGTCGAGGGTCTACCCAATCGCTGGCCTGATCATCTCGATGATGAAGGAAAGAACTTCAAAGAAACCATGCAATCATTCTTTGAAATGGGAAAGACCCTACATAAGCATATCATGCAAGCCATTGCATTGGGCATGAATTTGCCAGAGCACTTCTTCGACGAGTCTGTCAATGTCGGTGATAATAATCTCCGTCTGCTTCACTATCCTCCCGTCAGCAAAGAGGTCTTCAAAAACAACCCGAATCAAGTCCGCGCTGGCGAGCACAGCGATTACGGTTCAATCACTTTACTTTTCCAAGATAAACACGGTGGGCTGCAAGTGCGCAGTCCCAAGGGAACCTTTGTGGATGCGACTCCCATTGCTGATACTATTGTTGTCAATGCTGGGGATCTGCTTGCTCGATGGTCCAATGATACCATCAAGAGTACCCGCCATCGGGTGATTCAGCCGCCTGCGCCCGAGGGCTCTGAGAACGATGATTCGGATTATCCTGCACGGTACAGCATTGCGTATTTCTGCCAGCCAAACAATGACCAACTTATTGAAGCCCTGCCGGGAACCTTTGGTGAGGAAGTTCAAGTGGACAAGAAATACTCGGCGATTACTTCAGGCGACTACCTGGTTCAGCGATTGACGGCGACTTACTGAATGGTTAGACCAGGACGTTGGAATTGGCCCAATGAATCTCATTTTCGTTTCGTGCGTTTTATGCGTTTCATTTGCGTTTCACTCATCAGCGATTACAAATTCATACCTGGATATCAAGCAATCTACATATCTCTTATCTTCATTGATGCTCAAATCTGTGTATGGTCTATGTATACCCCAACTGTATGTAAACCGGACAACACACCCGTTAATAGACAGCAGGCGAAACCGAAATCCGACCGCCATCAGTAACCAAGATATTACCATTGATATAACCACCCGAGTTACTAGCCAACCAAACAATCAGCCCCGCAAAGTCTTCCTCGCTACCGCCACGAGTAGCAGGAATCATCTCCCTGGGGAACGAGCCATCAGAAATAGCACGACCCTGGATGCCAGAAGCCTGGAAGATATGATTCGCCATATCCGAGTAATAAAGACCAGGTGATATGCCATTAACCCGAATATCGTAATACGCAAATGCAGTAGAAAGCATCTTCACCAGATGCGTGGTCGCCGCTTTGGAAGCGTTGTATGCAAAGCTAAACGGCACTTTGCGAATAAACCCGGCAATCGAGCTAGTGATGATCACTTGCGCAGTCGGCGCAGCAAGAACATCCACCTGCGGCGCAGGACGTCGCTTATTCGCCGCCTCAAGTAGCGGCAAGAAAGCTAGTACCGTGTAATAAGACCCTGTGACATTCACGTTCATCACGGTATTGAACTCCTCCATGGGGATGTTGAAGAGTTCATCGCGGACTTGCGAGAGAGGCGGGAGGGACCCGTCTGCTGCGGGTTGTGGGGGCTTCATGAGCGGGCCCATCACGCCGCTGTTGGCGATTAGGAGGTCGACATGTGTCGTCTGGGCTGCGACGGCCTTGTAGGCTGCATCAAGAGATTCTTTTGAGGTGATGTCGCACTGGACTGGGATCACGGTGCCGTTTATGGTTTGAGAGGCTGTTTCTTTGAGCGCGTCCTCGCGTCGGCCTAGGATGAAGATCTTGGAGACTTCATTGGCGTCTAGGGCTTTGGTCATAATACGTCCGAGGCCTGTTTTCAGTTTAGTTTACGTGGTGTGTTTATCTGTGGGATTTGGTTTGGCTCTTACCACTTCCACCTCCGGTGATCACGACCACCCGGTCCTTGACCGAGAATAGATTTGATGCTTGAAGATGGGCCATGTTTATTTCATTTGAGGATTTTTGATCAAGAGAAAGATAATTGGGAGTTCTGTGTTCTGTAGGAATGAATTACCAACCCCCCCGGCATCGCCATTCAAGGGGTTCCCCCTCTTCAGATCGGCGACGCTGCCGAGAATTCATCTATATCGCGGAGCAACACCGACCTTCCATTTTCAACCCATGTACTCCGCGTAGATGCATGGTTTCTGCGAACATTTGATCTTTGATTTGAGGACATTGGATCATATGGTATTCACTACACTTTTGAGTATATCCTTGTCTAGGTTTACAACAAAGAACTATGTTGATGCTTCATGAGTAGCGGTGACGCAGATGCTTACCCGGCCCAGACTACGCAAAACTCTTGGCCAAACGCCCGATACGCGAGGACAGCTATCCGTAGCCATACGATGCAGGTCCTCATAGGCCTTTTGGCGCGGCAACGAGGTAGTAATGCATAGACTTTGTTACTTCGATATAAACTTCCCCTGATCGACACGGATGGCCTCTACCGAGAAAGGTCACTAGCGGTCTGTTCAACTTACTCGATCTAGAAGACCATGCCGATATACACTAGGCAGCTAGCCTGAGTAATAATTGCTGCAGCATCTACGGATTACCCGTTGTGGTTCTATCTATATGATGTATTGAATAGTAGGATCACTTTGAGCACAATGCACTCCATGATAATATCATGCCTATATGGTCAGGGTGGCACTGACCATAGAACTCGTATATATGGAGTCAGACCCATTAAAATGCGGAAACTAGTTGCGGGAGCCTGTCGAACATCCACTTTCGCACATCTGATGGACCTTGAGACTGGTCAGATTTCTGCACGCTAGATACTCTGTACGGAGTACTTGAGACCGTTTTGGTTTGATGCGATTAACTTTTACGCTCGGTTCAAAGGTCCCCTGCACGTTTGAACAAGGACCACATTTCGATGCCACCAGCTCCAATATCCCAGCCGCATAGGAGCTGCATGAAAGAAAAAACAAGCGGTCAAGAAGCACAGTCGGAGGAGCTGTGGAACCTTAATCATCCTCAGTCTGATTGAATGAAACATTACGAACAAAGCGGTAAAATATGCATCTACGGCTGGGACGGTAACTTCCCTTTGCTTCTTCTGGACACATAAATCTCAGCCAAAAGAAGCAAATACTTCTCCACAACTCCCGTCCCTCTTCCCTCTTCTCCCACCCGCCCGCTAAACGCCCAGTAAGCACCTTTTTCGAGAGAGATTACAGGGTTGCTTGTTGCTTACTGACTATCTAGTCATGCCTCAATGGACCGGATCTCTAAGTAGCCAGAACGACAATTCTCTGGCCGGCGTATTCATGATTAATGGCGAGCCATGGGTGTTCGAGAAGAACGCGCGCGGTCAACCGGCGGCGCCATTTCAACGGGCCCCTGCAGTCGTCAATATTCCCTGGAAGGAGCTCGACAGTATCCGTCAGTCCCTACAGAGTCGGGAGCCTTTCACAGCGACTATTATGGGCTCTACACTGGAGATTATTTGGTCTAATGGTGTGAGGATCACTGCCAATGTGCCCCATTGTGACACATATGGTCACTTTTCGGGTGAGGGTGGTTGGCGGACGCAGTGAAGGCTGGTGCTCACATAGCTAGTTTGATGAATCCATGAATCCATGAATCTTACGTTTTCAGGTTGCTTGCGTTAGCATTGAATACTCTGATATTGCAGCCTCGGGACTACCACTCTATACGAGAAAGATCTCATACTTATACCGTCGACAGCGCAATTCCATTTCTGAAGCGTACAACCTCGATCCCTTCGTGTATCTACTATACTCCTAGTTCAACTAAGTTTTGCATACACCCCTGTTCCCTTCAAAATATCCGGCAGCGTCCGGCCGGATTCGATTTCCACCCCCCCACAGACATGTCCAATTGTACGTTCGTCTGTTCAGGTCCATGGAATGTTGACAGGGGAAGCCTAAACCGACGTCATCTGCTGCCGAAGCCTCCCGTTTTTTAAGTGCAAATTGTAGTAACTTGCAACTGAGACTAGCCAAATATACGAAGAACGCCTCTGACGAGAACAAATTGCCATTCAAATTACACCAAAGAACCTTAACATTACCATGTGGCAATTCCACCGTTCGGAATTCATCTCCGTTCAACGATACCCACATTTTAGCCATGATAATATTTTCGAGCGGTGCGATTTTCTTACAAAACCGAGGACCCCGTTGGATTGCCTTGGATGAAGATCATTCATAGGCGAATATTGGCCGAAGCAACACTATATGTACTCTACGCAAGGTCCGTCTATCCGAGGCCGTCTAAGCGACACAACTAACTCAATGCTTCAATTACCAGTGATAACAAAGCTTCTTCTGTCTTGAATCAAAAAAATCTTGACCGGGAGCAGAAATGATCTGGAATAGTGTCATTCTGTTGAGCCTATTGAGCTCACTGCCTTTCGTGGCTTCTATTCCAAAGAAACACCACGATGTTACGACAAGCGTTGATCCTTCCCTGGCACTGAATGCAGCCAATGCGTCAGCTTCAGCGCCGCCACTTCGAAGTTACAATACGTCCAGACCCCATACACCGTTTACTGGAACTCCGACCACCACAGGTGCACTGACAGCATCTTCAATCGGAACGGGCATCTCTCGCGGAGGTGTTGCAGCAGGGGCAACAACGTATCCTGGCGATGGAAAACTTCACCATGCCGAGCCTGCTCCATATGTCCCGGCAGGTGGTGTCGGAACGAATGGAAGCACGCCCGTGTATAACACGAAGAGCGATTTCGACTACGAGTCTTTAGTATGCATCCACACTAAACTGGCAAAGTAGTGTCATGGCCCAGAAGCTAACTTGCAACTAATAGGCCCTTGCTCTATATCAAGAATGGATAGAGCTTGATCTGTTCCAAGACGGACTCAGGCGATTCAACGAGTCAGCCTTCCGAGCCGCCGGTTTGACTGCTGCAGATCGCGAGTTGATCGCATTCATGGCACAGCAAGAGGTTGGTCACGTCACTATGATCAGCAATATCCTCGGAGATCGTGCCCCACAGCAGTGCAGCTATATCTATCCATACACGAACGTCAAGGAGTTTGTCGACTTCTGTCAGAAACTCACTCGCTGGGGAGAATCTGGCGTGTATGGGTTCTTGGCTCATCTTGACTCGCGAGAGGCGGCTACTCTCTTGACCCAGGCCATCACAACGGAAGCACGACAGCAAATGATCTTCCGCCAGTTCGAGGGTCTCTTCCCGATGGTTGAGTGGTTTGAAGCTGGTATACCGCAGTCCTGGGCTTGGACTCTACTGGCACCTTTCATCAGCTCTTGTCCCGAGAATCAAACTCGCGTGATTTGGCAAAATTTCCCCTCGCTGATGGTGGTCAATGAGCCTGATCCGTGGATTGTCGGGGCTGTTTCTCGCAACTCGTCCTCGAGTAATAACCGAACTTCTGGGTATAATTTTACTACGAGTGCCGATCAGATTTCAAGACTCAACCAGACTTCCGGGTTCAATCAGACTTCGGGATTTATGTTCAATCAAACCACCGGAACCAATAATACTGTTGGACCAGGCGTCAGTATTCCCACGTCACCAAAAGGCTCCGGAAGATACAACTCGTCTACTTCGGGTATTGTTCCACCTGTTCCTGTCAGCAAGACCCGCCCGACACCTCTCTCGGCCCCGGGTCGCCGGGTGCTGTTGCAGTGGGATCTACCCGGGAAAACAATTGGCCCCAACAACAGCTACATCACCACAACGGAGACGAAAGCTGGTAGCGCAAAATTCGTCATCTGGGTGTCGCAGCTGAACGTTACCTACACCCCTCTGTTCGTTGTCAATGGTACCAACAACGGTACCAACACTACAAACAGTACCACTGATGGCATTCGAGGTTATACTATCCAACCTGGCTTGGAAACGTATCAGGGTGACCCAGCTTTCAATGGTACCATTTTCATTGCTATTACAGACAGCGATCCGTATGTGAGCCCGTTCAATCTGAGCCTGATTGACCCGCATGTTGTTGCCGGTCCAGCTATGTACCAAGCTGGTTGATTGAGGAGTCAACTCGTGTATTTACTGGGGGTGTTAAAGGATACAGAGGATTAACAGGATCAATTTATAAAAGTTTGTTTTCAAAATTTCGAGCATAGAAAATTCCAATTTGAATATAATTGAAGTTGGAGAGCTAGAAGCCAACTGGCGATCACCTTAACCCCGGTTTATGTGACTTATCGCCGAGCCCTCAACCTCATTTCTCCACGTCAGTGTTAACTTTTCCCCCGACACTCACCAGCCCTCCACACCAGCTTGAGCAAGATGGAAACAAGAAATCGCAAACAGCGCCGTGCGGCAGCTGGACCTTCCACTAAAACCTCCGAACCCGAAATCGCCATGGCCCATCCTCCACGCAATGATACGACGAAAAACAAACCAACCGTCGAGCGCACACTATATGACATCATCGCCGAGCGACAAAGCGGCCTAAATCAAAAAGAAGGAGCAATCTCAGCCTCAGTAGAAGGACAGGGTATACCGTCGCAGTCAGATGGAACGCGATTTGTGACAGTCGACGCGTCTGGGAATTTGGTCGACACGGACGGCGACATCAGCAGCCATCTCTCCTCAAATGGGCCGCAAAAGACCAAAAAGAAGCAACAGGCTACAGTTGGAAAGACAGTTAAACAATCCGAGTCTGAATCCGAACCCGACAAACCCCTCCCGCCATTCCTCGATACAATCCTTCTTTCCATGCCTCTCACAACACTCCACCTCACACTGAGCTACCTCGCCGCCCACCAATACGCTGAAAATACCGATCTGCCCAAACTCTTCAAAGACTCTGTGATGACTGCTTTCCCTCTTCTCACTTTATTCGTTCATCTGGCACATGGCCATATCATCTCTTTCAAAAAGGGCAGTTCGAAGCATGCACCGAAAGAGCCTGATCTGTCTTTGTTCCCATTTACAAGTGACAAATTGACGTTTTCATTCCTACGACGGCTCGTTTTCCCGCCTGCGTTGCGGACTTGGGTTTTTCTTCCCGTTGCTGTGGTGCTGGGCGCGCATCTGATCGCGATTACGAATGGAGAGCCGTATTATGCGGTTATGAAGAAGGCTCCAGCTGTTGGAACTATCTGGATTTGGTGTATTTTGGAATTGTCATTTGGGGCGGCTGTACTTGGGGCTTTGGGTCCTTTGATTTGGGGGGTTTGGTGGATGGGGTATGGTATCTTTTGAGGGTGAGGTGGAGAGTGTGAATGTACTATAAAGCATAGTTGGTGTAAATAGGAGCTGCATTATCAAGTAATCCACATTTACGGCGATGAGGACCAAAAATGAGATCTCAAGATAGGTTTCATCAATCCATCCCAACTGATCGAATAACAAAGCATATATAAAGACATGGATCTTGCTGAAAAAGACACCATCTAACAAAGACACATTGAAACCACCATGTTACCGAGACATAGCATAACGGCAACAAAATTCATCAAGCTTTTTGTCCAAAATATAATTCAACATCAAACAAGTAGTCGATTCTCCAGCCATCCGCAAAACAGGGAAATCTCTTGTACCTCTCTCTAGATCCCAATGTCTGAACGCCACCGTGATCCCATTCATTCCTATTCGCCCATTAATGCGACCTCACTCAGACAGGAAATCGTGAACACGACTATCAGTATACGTAGACTGCGTCTAATTGTCATCATTCCTGCACAGCGTCGCTGTCATGGCAGTCCTCTAGCCTTGGCGTTCATCTTTATACGATCTTCTCTCACCGACAGGGACAATAATAACAGACAGTGGGGCCTTTCCATGCAGGAAAATCCAGGCCAACGGCAGACAATCATCGAGATAGACATCACCACATATCCGAACGGTACTCCCCAGGAGTGAGAGCAGAACTTTGCTTTTCCTGTCGACGTGCTTAATTCAGATCCTGGTGGAAGTACTTGGCACTTCCATAGACACTCTACTAGAACTACCAATCATCCTCAAAGACCGGTTGAGGAGCTTGCAGGGCTATCCTTGATGTGATATTGCCCTATATTCTATATGCATGGTATCTTCTAGATGCATGGACAATGAGTTGGCTTTGGCTTTGGACTTGTGTTTTGTATTTGCTTTTCCCCCTGAATTTGCTCTAGTTTGTTCTCAATCATATAGAACATATGTCGAGGCTTTGAGGTTGTTGATTTGACATGTCTTCAACCTCCAGTCCGAGCTTTTCAACGCATATGTCAAAGCTCAACAAATAATGCACTCTGCATTCAACAAAAAAAAATAATTCATTCAGCCCCCGTGATTCGGAAGATATTGACATCGGGCCACTTGATATATTTCTGCAGTTTTATTCCAGTCATCGTATTCCGAGTCATATGTATCGGTTTCCTAAGAGATCATGTATCCTTGTTGACGCCACATGCAAGGTATTATTGATATTTCTCCTTTCACCGAAAGGGGGTCAGCCGTATATCCCCGAAAAAAGCAAGGAAAGCGCCAGCAAACATTCCCTGCCAAACCTGCCAAACCTGCCAAATCCCCAAACTGCCAAACTGCCAGACCTGCCAAAGCTGACGTACCAAAGTCCCTCGGGCCGATGTAACATCCCGAAGGTTGTGAAGAACCCGGGCCGGGACAGGTTCGCCGAATCCAACGCCGGAAATAGTAGAGTAGGAATGACCCGCTGTGGCTATCTCATGAATCTATAGAATTTCCAAACCCAAAAATCGAAAGCCAAAAGACAAGCTCAGATGCTAAACCAAAACGCTTAAGCAACCTAATCGGGTTCAATAATTAACCTCTTTAGCTCCGTCGATCACCGCTCCAGTACTAAGGATGCCCCTTGCATAGAAACGTCTTCTGCACCCAGGACGTGGGACTCTCGGCGGATTTGGATTCCGCATATCCATGCATGCGAACGGGATGTGGAGCTTTCTATTGGTTGTGTATACATCATATTTTGGCGGATGCAAGCCGAGATCCGAGATCGAAAAACCGGGATTTTGGGAGGTGGGATGGAAGGGCGGTGTGAGGTCTAGAGTCTCACCGGATTCCCCTGGAGATGTCTCGCTAATGATATTCGGACCCGATATAGATTGATGTTTACGATGTGTATGTGTGATATGTAAATTGATGTATAAAATTGGAAACGTAAGGCTGAGAATAAAAACAAAATCATGCAAAACACCATAAGGAGGTTGTCTGATTCGTTAAAAAAAGATGTGACAACCACCCAAATCAAGGGAACGAACAAGAGTAGATGTAAAAAAATCAAAAAAACAACCACAACCACAACCAAATATCCTATAATGCCATGATCCAACCCAAACGCCAGTCCACTTTCACCGCACCAATTCACCGCTGGATGAGGATATAACTCATATGCGCCGTAGATCGTGCAAAATCCGCCCCGCTTTCTTATTTTTAGACTGCAACCCGTCCTTCAGGGAGCAGACCAATAGGAGACATCTCAACTCCAGCGGGTAGTCCACGTCGAGTGGCTGCAGCAGAGGCGTCACCTTCGAATCCGGATAGCAACGACGCCACCATTTCCCGATAGGTGTTCATTTGTGACAGCTTGAAGCGTTGGATCTTCCCACTTGCAGTTCGTGGAATCTCTTCCACAAATATGACACCTCCATCGAGAGCTTTGTATCTCGCTAGCTGCTGGCGTGCATGATTGTAAACCTGTTCGGCGGTTAGGCGGCGCACCGATGGGTCGCGAGAGCGAACGACGAATGCGCGTGGCACCTCGCCCACCCCACCCTTGTGCACACCAATCACGGCGGCATCGAGAATTCCCGGATGTTGGAGAAGAACGCTTTCAACTTCAGCTGGTGCGACTTGCCATCTATAGAATGGTTAGTATTTTTTGTCGAGTGAAGAAACTAGGAACTTGGTGATAAGACTTACCCTCGTACTTTGATGAGCTCCTTCGTCCGTCCGACAATGTAGTATTGGCCCTGCTTGACGTACGCCACATCTCCCGTTCGGAACCATCCGTGTGGCTCCAATGCGTCTGTGCGACCTTTGTATGCACTAAGCAGACCCGGCCCGCGGACGTACAGTTCACCCGAGCGACAATCGCCCTGTACGATTTTGCCATCATGTTCCACCAACCGGGCCTCGTACCCGGCAATACAGGTACCAATACTACCCGGGTCGCCCTGCTGGCCATATCGAGTTTGGAATGTGACACCGACCTCGGTCATTCCCCAGATCTGGCAAGCATATCCCATGGGGTTGATATATCTACGGAACTGTTGCATAGAATGACCATCAATCGGAGCGCCAGCGACACCAACATAGCGTAGCGATGACAACATATCACCGATGGGCACGGTGGACTGATTGATGGCGTGAATGATAGCCGGGACGAGGTAAGTCTCAGAGATCTGGTACTTCTGGACAGCGGCCAAGAAATCATTGACGTCGAAGCGCGGCATGACGAACAACGGGTGTCCGTATCGGACAGGGAAGAGATGTGTCCAAAGTGCGCCGAACAGATGGAACATAGGCAGGGAGATGAGCCGGCTGACTGGGTGCGGCACTTCGTAGTAAATAGTGCGGTGCTGTGAGACGAGGGCATAGTGGGACAAGATCGCTGCTTTGGGCAGTCCGCCTGTACCGCTGGTCGGGTACATGGCTGCAGGCGTGGCCTGTGCGATGACCGGATCGGAGAATTTCAGCCAGTCGCTTTCACCACAGCGAAGTAGATTTGCGAAATTGTTGTGACAGCCATCGCTACCGGTCATGGCAAGAAATTGGCCGGCTGCTGAATATCCGAGTTCATGCCAGAGGAATAGTTGTGCGCAGTGGTCGATGGCACGCTCATCCACGAGGCATACCTGTGCTGGGTGGATGCCCCGGGCTGCAGAAGAATCGAGGACGGTGGGTAGGGCATCGCGGGTCGTGAGGATCAGTTTGGGTTCGGCGAGACTGAGGAGGTGATCGACCTCTTGGGGTTGACTCCGGGGGTTTGAGCCCATGTAGACACCACCTGCGCCAATTATAGCGAAGAAGAGTGCCGGATATAGTATCTGTTGCATATGACAGGGCCGAGTCAGTATTGTTTTTTTTTTTTTTTTTATTTCTTCGAGAATCTCCAGTTCAAGTCCAAGTCCATTGGAGTTGTGATTTCAAGGATGTTCTTTATTTTCGTTTCTTTTACTCACGCTATTTCCCAAGTGTAGCAAAACACAATCCCCTGGCTGGACATTGTGGGCTTTCAACCCAGCGATCAGAGTCCGGACCAGTTGTCGGAATTGGGCTGCTGTAAATGATCGGGAAGGATCCTCGGCATCAATAAACAGTGGCTGATTCTGATTGTAAGGCTTTGGGCCATCGAATGTGAAACTCAACAAGTCAGAGTAAGCCTCTTGCGAAAGCATATTGTTTGAAGGCATAGTATTCCAACCCATTGTTCAAGAAATATCGAAAGGAAGAAGGGTGAGATTGAGATATATAAGTGTGAGTCCTAAAATAAAAGAGTCCATGCTCTCCGGGGGATTATATAGGTTAATGTATATTCCAGTTTCTTTCTATTTGATTTTACCCTTGGACATGGGCTGTTCCACTTGGGGGATTTGGAATACACCCTGATTATGTAAGACGCTAGTCCACTGCAAGGTCAAATCCAAACTATTCTCAATATCAATAGATTAAATTAAATCAAAAACACTCAAAATCAAGGAGAGCTGAATTCAGCTCAAGGGCCAGAGCAAGGGCCCAAAGTAAAAACAGGTAGTATGTCATAGCAAATGAGTTGGACAACGTATACATGAACTCCAAAGGACTACGCAAAGTACATGCTCCACCAAACATGTTCGACACTAGTTCTTAGCGCAATCCATTGTGGCGGGTTTGACCAATCGATGAAAAGTAAAAAATACAGACCCAATACACCCACTCGGTCAGTACAATTCACTAGTGAAGAGAGCTGAGCCACAGATCGGCTTTGGACCCGGGTCCCCGGTTTGTCTTTACCTTTGGAGATATACTTTCTACAAAAGGGTTCATAGGCGATGGAAGATCGACCGGATCGTGATATGCTTCAAACTTTAATCACAGCTCACATTCCCTTGGGTAAAAAAAACATGTCATGTTCTTCACGGTCCTCCCACGAGCTAAAGACAGGGGTACATCCCGAGGCGGTCCGACATCCCAACATGGCTTTAGTCTAGAACATTTCCGACGTGGACAGACCTCGTGTACAATCTCTGACGTCTGAAGGGGATGCAAAACGTTGTTAACCCAATATGTCCCAGTGGATGCCCGAAATATGCAGCTGATATCCAGTGGAGAATCCTTCGTGTGGAGTCTTTGAATCCGAGTTTCCCCCTCCCGGATCCTGATCCTAGATCGACTAACGAAAAGATCAACTCAAAACAAGATCCACTTTCATCCGGGATATGTACCGCAACCCGTGCATGGTAGACAGGACCTCGGGCTGTGGATGTGGATCCGCCATCGACGTCTTGGAAGATGGGAAGAGGGGCGGGAACTCGGATATACTAGTGCGAATATCCTCAGCTGCATCCTGAGGATCGACCGTGCGTTGAAAACAAAAGACCGAAAAAAAAGCAAAAAAAAAAACCCCAACAAACATGAACTGCTCTGTCACCCGCGCGGGTTATTGCATTAACTCATGGCATCGATTCCCGCCACATCTCTCATAGATCCACATTGTCATTGTTGATGGCGCCTCGAGGGCGCATCCGGAATGGGACTTTTGGCCACTCGATACCATCCCTCGGCTGCAGATCGTGGAGTTTTATTGAGGTCTTTCTTGACCGTATGATCAGGTCCACTGGCCCTATCATATCCGGCGCTTGCATCCCCCCATCAGGACTAGTCAAGCATACCCTGGCCTGTATTGGGCCCCGCGATGATACTTCGGAACTTGCCCTTGACTGGCCCTGTGTGTAGGTTATTGTGGAGATATCGAAGTTAGTTGGGTTGCATCACACCTTGATGAGCGCATTATTCTTTTTTTTTGGTTCACCCTGTGCCGTTTCTTGCTGAAAGGAAGGAGTTGCTCTTGGACGATCAGACAAAGTTTGACAGGCTACAGGCGTGGATCCCGGGGTTTCGTCAGACACTTCCGCGAGGCGTGAAAGACATGAAGCTGAAAGTAAGGGCGTAGGATGGTTCTTTGATTGCTGATTGGCAACATGATGCATTAGTGGTCTGGACCTTCCGTGTGATAGTGTCATACACCTGGAAGTAAATAGGAAAAAAAAAAATCAAAATCAAAAGATGAAAAACAAATTAATAGGATCATATGCAATGCAAGCCTGATTTTCGGAGCCAAACTCAAAAGAGACGGTGGAAAAAGGACCAGGGTAAATAGTACCGAGGTGAGGAAAGGCGTCACCGTTCGCGGTGCTGCCCGGTGACGCCCAAAAGGGAAAGACGAAAACTCGATTGGGAAGAAGAAGCGATGGGAGTCAATGCGGAAGGGATGTATGTGAGGCTGATCATGATGGCCTTGGTGGGAAAAAAAAAGTCTTGACATGATTCACTTCAAAAATGGCAGACTCGCCCTAGTTGGATTGTCAACTTTTTTTCTTTTCTTTCTCTCTTCAAGGAATCCCTGGATTAGTGGAATCACATCCTTCCGGTCATCTTTGGAACTTTTTATATGAGTGTGAGGATCCATCATGGTTATGTCAGAGCAAAGCCCCATCACAATGCCTCCAAAGGTGCTTGTCGCGCGCAATACACCCACGGTGAGCGAGGCCACTCTTACCGAGGAAGACAAATTCAATGAGAACTGTTACTCCAAGGAATCCGAATCCTTACATCTGGATCTCGCAAAAGAGATCGATGTCGAGGCCCAGACATCCCAACCTATCCAGCGCAAACCCAAGTTGTTTGCATCCACTCGATATGCCATTCTCACACTATACCGGCGTCTTTTCACGCTAGTCTTCTCTGCCAATGTTGCAATGTTCGTGTACGTCATGAGCACGGAGCAAAAACTCTTAGCTCTGGTCAATGCAACAGCTGCCAACTTGCTCGCTTGCGGTCTGGCCCGCCAGCCACTGGTGGTCAATGCCATCTTTATGGTGGTTTGCTCAATGCCGCGCTCAGCGCCTCTGCCCCTCCGTCGTATCGCCGCCAAGGTTTACCACTACGGTGGTGTCCATAGCGGCTGTGGAGTCGCATCCCTCGTGTGGTACGTGGGATTCGTGGGCGTGTTATCCCACCAATATTGGAGTCCATCAGCGGATGTTTCGGATTTGGGCATATCAGCAGCGCCTGTTGCCTTAGCTTATGTCATCTTGCTCCTGTTGCTGGCCATCATCGTGGTGGCTCACCCCGCCTTCCGGATGAAACGGCATGATTATTTCGAACTCACCCACCGTTTCTCGGGGTGGCTTGTCGTTGCCTTGTTTGTCGCCTTGCTGCTCGTCTTCTCACGAGGCGCAAGCCAGGCAACGGGGCAACCACTTGGAACATTCCTCGTTGAACTGCCAGCATTCTGGTTCCTGATTTTCACGGTGGCGGCCATTATCCAACCTTGGCTGTTCCTCCGTAAGGTCGCGGTGCGGGCCGAGCCACTCTCGACCCACGCCACCCGCCTGCATTTCGATCATGCTATTACCACCTTTGGAAAGGGCATCCAACTTGCCAAGCACCCGCTTCGGGACTGGCATGGGTTTGCCACTTTCCCAGACCCTACTCCCGCAGGTGTCCATGGCAACCCAAGTTTCTCTACCTTGGTGTCCAGAGCCGGTGACTGGACTGCAGAAACCATCCAGAATCCGCCCACCCACCTCTGGAAGCGTGGTGTGCTGATCTATGGCTTTGCATATGCCATGCGCGTTTTCAAGAGAGTGATTGTCGTCACTACCGGATCGGGCATCGGTCCTTGTCTGTCATTCCTCGGTGATGATAACCGGCCCGCACTGCGTGTACTCTGGCAAACTCGTGCCCCTCGACAGACATACGGTGACGGGGTGATGCACCTGGTGCACAAGATGGATCCAACACCTATTATTCTTGACACCAATAAGTGTGGGCGTATGGACATGGTTCCCATCATCCTGCAGCAGATCAAGGACTTCAACGCTGAAGCGGTGTGCGTGATCAGTAACCCTGTGCTGACGACGCGAATCGTCTATGAGCTTGAAGCTCGAGGGACCCCGGCATTTGGCCCGATTTTTGATTCCTGATTCGCAACCTTTTCTTCCCCTGTCTTTTGACCGTACATACCTTTGTTTGCTTGTTTTTGTCACCCCGGATTTTGTTTTTGTTTTTCTCATTTAGGAGGTTGTATCTTTTGAGCATCTTGCCATATATCCCTCTCCGGCTTGCGGCGTTTACCGGCGGTATATTGTTTTTTTTTTATTGATCATGTCTTCGAAGGGATGTTGAATTGCAAAACTTCTGTTCAGGGGCGCCCTTGTTTGTAAATATGTCAGCGCTTCCTAGGGGAATTTGGAATCGCGCGCTATGACCCTGCTGGTATCCGTTAGACAGTGAATCCTTTAACAACTTATATAATGCAACCATGACAAACGTTACACTTGACAAAGAAAATACCTATTAGTATAATTCCAAATACATACTCATTTTCTCCACCGGGTGGTTTGAGGGCCAATTAAGTAGCTGGGATCTGCGTGATATAGATACAATGTGCTGAAACTTGCATTAAGCATCTTGTTTCACATTCGTTTCTGTTCTTTTCAATCGTAACGTTTCAGGCGAGATTTGATATACTCGGATTTGAGTTGGATTTCATGCATATTCTTGCATATACGCATCCCTCACCATATCTTGTCATCATATGGTTGATGATAGCCAATGGGTTGGTCTCCGATCACAGCGGCGATATTTACCAACTTCGGCAAGTACCCGCGAACTACTCCGTACTCCGTACCCAGGCGAAGTATACGAGGTCAAGTATAGATCGTTTCAAATTTCATTCAAAATTCCCCCGTAGAATAGATCAAATACTTGATATCCAAATCCAAATTCCAACTGCAATTTCATTCATCCCAAGCCCTTAGCGTTACACCTAAACACACCGCAATAACCGAACCATGCAATGTAAGCACGGCCCAAACCATCACGGCATATCCTACTCCGTATCCATATTGGAACCCCAAATCCCATTAGCCGTACGCACCTGCTCAGATGAGTGTATGTGTATGCGGATCCCGAGGTTGAATATTAAGACATTTGAGCACACATATTAAGACGATCACCCACCGCAAAAAAGCAAAACCCGTTAAAACCTGCTAGACAGGAACTCACAAAATCAAGAATAAACCAGTAGCTCTTGCAGCGGCGCTTTATCGCTGCATGCATAACCATCCCACCGGCATGTTGCATGAGCGAAGCGCCGAGGTAGTTTGAAGCTTGTCCTGGATTCAGCGGCTTGACCCAATGTAGGACGAGACTGTATGGTGAGACTATGACGTTGGGGAAGATTCCCACCAGAATTATGGATTCAACATTCAACCTATACACTTCTCATAGAGCTATTATGCCTACTCCACGTACATTCCTCATGTAAAACCCCTACTGGCAAAATATCTCTTTGACATCTTACCGCTTCCCCGCAAAGTTGGTCAGTTTAGCGACAGACCGGGGTGTAGGCGGGGTATCTTCATCTGAGATAAAATATATTACACTTGAATAGTTGCCATGAACAAAATGGTGGTCGGAAAAGCAATCGTGGCCCGGGAGCCAGTCCATTCTCTGACTCCGAATTGGTCACTGGAGGAAGTGGATGTCCATTCACCAGGCGAAGATGAGATCCTCGTTGAGATGCGTGCCTCGGGAATATGTCACACCGATCTTGTCCTAACCTCCATACCTGCTGGGCACCTTGGTGTCGCATATCCGAAAGTGGCAGGACATGAAGGTAAAACATCGCTCTTTTGTCCTACTTCCCTCTAGGCCTGAGTCTGAGTCCTGACTGGAATAAATGACCTCTGTTTATTTTTTGGTGTCACTATCGTTTCTTAGATTCAACCTTACTAACTGGCCACAGGTGCCGGGATTGTACGCAGTGTCGGCAAGAATGTTCATACCGTCGAAATTGGCGACCCGGTTCTGCTGTCTTTCTATTCCTGCTCATCGTGTCAACAATGCGAGGCCTCCAACCCTGCGTACTGCAAGGATTTCATGAGGGAAAACTATGGTGGCCATCAGAACCGGATGTCAGTACGGGAGAGTGGCGAGGAATTGTGGGCAAGGTTTTTTGGACAGTCCAGCTTCGCTCAGTACAGTATCGTCAGCGAAGCAAGCGTTATTAATGCCAAGGACCTTCTGGAGCGTGATGAAGAACTTCAACTTTTCTCCCCATTAGGTTGTGGGTTCCAGACAGGAATGGGTGTCATCCAGAACACAACCAATGCAGGACCAGCCGACGCAGTATTGGTCCTGGGACTGGGTGCTGTTGGAATGGGGGCTCTTATGGTACGTCCCCCTCATCTATGCACACACACACACACACACACACACTCTCTCTCTCTCTCTCTCTCTCTCTCTCTCTCTCTCTCTCTCTCTGTGTGTGTGTTACTTTGCAATGTAACCGAGTTGAAGTACATCAAATTTACACTGATTTGACTAGACCGCAAAAATACGCAATTGCAAAACCATCATTGCTGTGGACCGGGTAAAGGAACGTCTTGAACTAGCCAAAAGTCTTGGAGCGTCGCATACTTTGGATACGAGCAGTCCAGATTTCACGACACTCGATGAAGCAGTCAAAAATCTGCTACCCAATGGAGTCTCCATTGTGATTGAAACTACAGGAGTGCCTTTGCTAATCGAGCAGGGGCTCCAATCTACTCATACACGAGGTAGGATAGTACTCATTGGGGTACCACCGCCAAAATATCGCATGAGCTTTGATGTGGCAGAGCAAATCAATGTAGGTGCCAGTGCCTCGCCTTGTGCTAAGTCTCTGTGACTAATGTCTTCAAGACGGGCCGATCGATTATGGGATGTATAGAAGGAGATTCTATCCCCAATATTGTACGTGACTTCTACAATTTTGCTTTTAGATTCAGCAGGCTACTAATTTAGACAGGCCATTCCACAAATGATCCAGTGGTACCGTGAAGGTCGCTTCCCTATCGATAAAATGATCACGTTCTTCAATGTTGGTTCCATACATCGTAATAACGTCTCACTTCGGGAGAGCTAACCCTGGTTTCACGGAACAGGCTACGGATTATCAACAGGGGCTGGATGGTATGAGAGATGGAACTGTGATCAAACCAGTTTTGTTATGGACGGGACAGTAAAGGGCCATTTTGTTTGAGGCTGATATTGGGATACATGACTCTTCGGAATATCAATTGACTAGTTTAATGTATCTCTGGTTCGTGGTAATACTATTTCGAATAAATTCTCATGCTGGCATTCGATGACCATACTGCAGGTTCTGCGGCTCACCACAAATGGTTGACATGTGAATCGACCGTACACTGTTTCCTGGGACATAATATACCAATATATTCTTCACTGTCGGTGGTGTATTTGAATGTCATTACTCGGATCATAAAGAAAAGTTCCTCTTCAATCATTGAATGATGTATACCCCAAATGAGGATGAAGATCTCTCAACGATCAAAGGCCTAACCAGAAGTGCAGGGTACATCTGTGATTTGAAATGTTTGGTGCTTTTGTCAGCGCCAAATACCCCTACCAGCATCTCTCTTATCTACTCACACCCTTTGTTAGAATGATCCACGAAGAGGAAAACTCGACAGATGGATCTACATGTGAGAGGAAATGCCCTTTGTCTGCGGCTGAACCGCTACCGCCAGGCACGCGATGCGTGGCTCGTCTGTCATCACCAAAAGGTGTGATGTGATGCTGTGACGTATGGACGATCCTGTACCAACTGCTGTGTTGATGGTCATGATTGCTTAACTCGGCCGAAGAGCCCTGGAGTCCGAAGGACTCTAGACAAGATCTACCATATCTCAATTTTTGAGGAGTTGAGGAGGCTGAAAGCTTCAATTTTCAGATTTGCAAAACCATCTCCTAAAAAAATGGATCTATCCACTTGTATGAGATCAGAAACTTCAAATATTGGACTTTCGGAGCGGTCCAAAAAATGTGGATATCTCCACTTATATGGAGATCAAATGCTCCATTTTTGACAGCTGCGCGTAGTATATATTTAGTACTATTATTAAAACTTACCACACTGCGGAGAGCAGTGTAGAAGGCTGTGCTGATCAAGGCATTTAGGTATAAATTCCTACTTACAAAAGTGACTTTGAAATCTGAGTCCTATCAGTCTTCGTACGGAAGCAGATGTAGATAGGGCTCACCAGATCACCAGATCACCAGATCACTTCGTGCTACGTGATGATTAATGGTAAGGATCTACCTAGGTACTAGTAACCACTGCTAGTACGGAACTCCGTACGGAGTACATACCTTACCCTTTCCGTTTTAGCTCACCCCTTGCCGCTTTTGAGCTGCCAGAACCTGTATTGTTTCTTACGGTAACGAGGGACATGGAGTGTATTTACGTGTATCAATACAGCACCGCGATACCCCGCTTTGGAAAACCCATCTAGTCAAAAGATTCCAGTCAAAGCTGTCACGCAAGAAATTCCCAGCGATGTCCTCTTCAAGCCACTCTGGGCTACCCATGAACCCATAAACGTGCTTGAATTCGCTCGTTGCCACCGCCATCGGCATGTCTCCGAGCCGGAATTTGCCTGGATTTCCCAAATCCTTGCCTAGGCCCTTATGCCGACGCCGAGGACAATGAGGCTCCGCAAGTTCACCCAGGGAGATGCTATGGGAGGTAGCGGGGGCTGCTTTGATGTGCAAGGCTCGCACATGCGGCAACACGTGCAATAATTTCTATATCGACATCTCTGTTGACATATAGTGCAGATGACTTCGTCCCGGCCATCCACTTTGAGAAAATGACCTGGTTGATACATCCTGTTGCAGCAGCCGCAATCGAGGCAGTCGAAGTTTCAGACATATATTGCAGGAAAAGAGGTGGTTATATTTGGATTACTTAGTAACTAGAAGGTAGGCTGATCCGTATAGCAAGACTTTCCCCTGCTAGGAAAAATTTCATTTGGCTGTACTCCAGGGCTAGCAGAGACGATACTTTCTGTTCCCTTGTCGCAGGAGGCTCTATAGGAACAATAGTCTCGAATTTTTGGGTTGTTTTTAGAAGTGCAATACATGAAGGGTAATCAAGAAATACTATGATATTTCATTGGAGCTCGGTCGGCAAATCCAATCAAGTGGTGGTAATACCATTTGGGGTGATTAGATCTTTGCAGATTTGGAAGAAAGGGGAAGATAAATGAGATGTATAATAGTGACAGATACGTAACATTAGACAATACACTCGGTAGTGGCCATTGGACAGGAATGTCAACACGTTCATAACATAGTCCACTGCACACTAACGATTCTAGGCCCTTCAGCACCACTCGGTATTCCGGACTGGAGGTTGCAACCACACTACCTCGTATACTGAGCTGATACGCGGCATATAGCGTCCCTCTACTTTCCTTAGTGAGGGAAATTGACCCACAGCTGACACGAAAGTGAAGTTTTTCTCATTCCAGCCACTCAAGTTATTCACGCGAGGCATGAAGCTAATCCACTAATGTAGACTATGCGTTGTTCAATTTTCCTTTTCCCCTATATTAAAGCTAGATATATCTAAAAATGACCTATAACTCACTTTTTCCTTAGAATGACACTCTCTCTTACTGAAGCTCCCGTTGATCGCATATGATGGCCTCATCCATCTTAGCAGCTACTTCTTCTAGTGCGATCCTCGCACTTGCAGGACTCAGCGGCTTGACCACACATGTTCTTTTCTATCGCCATGGAGAATGGGATCTCAAGGCCCCTCGCCTTGTGATCACATACATATTGCTGTTCCTAGGTGCCACATTCCTGGAACGGTATAAGAAAGATGTTCTCGTACTCGCACCAAGCCATTTAGCTGCCAAACTTGTAGGGTGCCACATCTTGGGTATCTACACGAGTATGCTCTTCTACCGAGCCTTCTTGCATCGTCTGTCACGGTTCCCTGGGCCATTCCTTGCGAGATTATCAAATTTCTATGTGACGGCGCTGTCTACCCGCAAGCTTCACCTTTATGAGGAGACTGAGAAGCTCCACGAGCTTTATGGAGACTACGTGCGTTTAGGTAATGATCGAAATCTTCTATTCTTGTCTTTATGAAATCCCGCTAATCGAAGGTACATCGTTGAATTATTAGGGCCCACCGAGTTGTCTATTGCGGATCCACGCGCAGTCCAGGCAATCTACAGTTCTACGGCAAAGGTCTCCAAAGGTCCGTGGTATACGATTTTGGAGCCGCGTGCATCCTTACAGACGGTGAGAGATAAGCAGGAGCACGCGCAGCGAAGGAAGGTCTGGGACCAAGGCTTTAGCACACGAGGTATGAGGTTTTCGAATGATCACATAAAGCGTATTCTAAACTCCTCTAGCACTGCGTGATTACGAGCCTCGCGTTTTCCGTTACACCGAACAACTCGTTCAAGTCCTTGAACGGGAGGTGGGAAATCAAATCAACATCGCCCAGTGGTTCAATTACTACAGCTTTGATGTTATGGGTGACTTGGCGTTTGGAAAGTCCTTCAACATGTTAATTGATGGCAAAGACGCTTACATCGTGAAACAATTGCATGCTGATATGAAAATGATTGGGATTTTCGGCCATATTACCTGGTTATTCCCGTTTTTCAAGAGAATTCCTCTGATTAATGCGGACTATCTTAAGTTTTGGAAATGGGTGGATGAGCGTGTACATGAGAGAATTCAGGTCAGAAAATTCCCTCTCAATGACACAATTAGAAGTGAAGGTCATAATACTGATAATATGCTGGAATATAGAGTAATCCAGATCGCCCAGATGTGTTCTCATGGCTCCTCGACGCATATGAGCAGGGTCCAAAGACAAAGCAGAATACTCTTGACCTGAGTGGTGATGCATACCTAATTATTGTAGCTGGAAGGTACCATAGTATCCCTCGTGCCCCGGATTCCATATCTTGATCGAAAAAATGACTTGTGCTAACTCAATCTGCTCAAAGTGATACTACAGCTGCAGCCCTCACCAGCCTCTTCTTCCATCTTGTGTCGGACCGCACCCTATACAAAGCACTTCAAACAGAGTTGGACGCTCTACCTAGCCTGTCCTACGACAATCTGAGAAGCGTAAAACTACTCGACGGAGTAATCAATGAAACACTCCGGCTTCACCCTCCTGTTCCTTCAGGAACGCAACGTTCGACTCCACCCGAGGGCATCACTATCGGCAACACGTACATTCCCGGAGACGTGAGGGTCTGCATTCCCCAGCACACGTTATTCAGAGGTGAGAAATCAGCCACCTGTCCCAGACCAGTCTAGGGCAATATCAAAGCAAGTATGGGTCAAGGCTAACAGCGGTCAGATGAGCGTGTTTTTGCCCGTCCACAGGAGTTCTTGCCTGAAAGATGGGATTCACAGCCAGAACTTGTCAAAGATCCTGCTGCATTCATTCCATTCAATGCTGGTATGTGTTGGCAAGCTGACTGATCTCACTGACTTGTCTATTTTTTTCAGAATGCTGACAGGCAATTATTGTTTAGGCCCGTACGCGTGTGTTGGGAAACAGTTAGGCCTGATGGAGCTCCGCTCTGTGACTGCTGAGATACTTACCCGATTTGATGTCTCGTTCGCTCCAGGCCAAACGGCATCTGCTTTTCTTGATGGAAAGCAGGACACATTCACCTTAGCCACGGGCCCATTGAGGATGGTGTTCCAGAATAGGGAAAACAAGGGAAATTGATGTGCACCAGAAAATCATCAGTCCAGCGGTGTTTTTCAACTGTTTTCATTAGTTGAAGACCAGCTGATCATGCCTGATCCTTCGTGGATAAATTTATAGTTCTTATTCAGGCTCGAGTGTACCTTGTGCTGATCCTGAATTACTGGGAGATTGGAAAGCGGAGTTTGATCTATAATATCAATGCGGTGAAAGTATGTAGCTTGTATATTCGTTAGTTCAAAATGGGGTTTTTTAGAGCTGCTCGTTTTCTTGCTCTGGGGGAACATGCTATGGTATCACGAAAAGGCTGACGCTAGACGCGAAGTTTCGAAAATTCCTCCAAGAAAAAGCGGATGTGACTGTTGAATCCACGAGATAGCAATTGATTATGATAAGGGTTCCATGAGCTTCTTCAGCTTACGGAGAGAGAGGGGTTTGACTAGATAGTCGTCGACGCCTGCGGTCATCGCCGCCTGTTGCATGGTATCTGAAGCGACGCCTGTAACGGCCATGATGCGGGAGGGCTGAAGACCATGGTCTTTTTCGTGTTGTCTGATCTTACTGGTTGAAACCAGCCCGTCCATTACAGGCATTGATAAATCTAGAAATGAAAAACACGCAGTTAGTAGTGTTTGGATGAGGAATTTCAGCCTGCAAACTAACCCATCAATATCAAGTCATATCTTCGACTTGAAGTCTCGACCTGTTTCAATGCAATCAGTCCATTAGTAGCTGTGTCGTAACTACAGCCAAGTTTGCGTATGAAGGTAGCCAGAATCTGTTGCATGATTGTAAGTCTGATAACAAGAGAAGTGAGGGCAGCTTTTGCGTAACCAAGTTTGTCATGGGTTGACTTACTTTGAGATTGATGTCATTGTCATCTACGATGAGAACATGCATCTCGTTCATTTCACCATTCGATGGAATCGGCGAGCCAACGACAAGGGGACTCGGACAGGCCAGTTCAATTGGAGGTGGTTGTGAAAAATATCCTGATATTTCCGGGAGGGTCTGAGGGGTAGGTATCGAAGAAGGGATTTCATGGCTTGTTGGTGGAACGGCAACTGGAGCATCAGAAATGCCAATTTGTGCCTGTAACTTATGCAGATCCATGATTCTCTCGGCAGTTTCACGGATCTTCTGAGGTCCATAACTACACCGAAAATCAGTTCAAGTATTAGCAAAAGAAAGTGAATACTGGACGTACGGCTGCGACATCAAGACGGCGTTCGCAGGAAGAGAGTTGCCTAGCGATGATATTGTGCTGCCCAAAACGATGAAGAATTTGAAAGAATGGTTGGCTATGGCGGAGGGCGGTTGGTCATTCCACATAGCATTCAAATTTGCCTCCTCAATGACCGCAATGTCACCCTGTCCCTTCTCGAGTGACTCTGCCAGTGCAATATGGAATCCCAGCTGTGCCTTAAGAACATTTGCCAGAGTGTTTTGAATAGAAAGCATTCGTTTCGCATTCGAGCTCAAGATACCGGTTGGAGTCTCCGTCAAGTCAGGACAGCCGTTGAACCCAACGAGGCATGCCGTAAGAGCATCGTCGTGGCTTTGGCTTCCTAGCGATGAAGCATCGTCGAATAACGTGGGGGGTGTATGGCCTTTCGGTCGATGTGCGGGGATGTAAACATCGACCTGGGTACCAACACCGCGTTCGCTCTTGATTTTCATATGACCACCTAGGTAAGTTACTAGCTTATGTACGACACTGAGTCCAAGTCCAACGCCATCTGATAGAGGGTCTTCCTGAGCGAATGGACAGAATGCCGAGTTTTTGAGGAAATCTTGCGTAATTCCTCGGCCAGTGTCTGTAACTCGGAGATGAACAAGGCAAGGTTCTGCTTCAGTTTGAGCTGCGGGTTGTGACAATGATATCTCGACGAGACCGGTCTGCGTCCATTTCATTGCGTTGCCAAGGATATTCATGACTATTCTCCTCCAGGCACCAGCGATTGATCGGATGTTCCAGGAGCTGGACTGCTCGATGTTTACTATCACTGACATTTCATCTTCATTTTGAGTAATACGAGAGACGGGTTGAGAGGATAGAGTGGCTGTAGCTGTTTCACTCGTAAAAGAGGAGGCAGGCCCGGGTACCTTTCGGCCGGTATGGAGTATCACAGCGACTTCTTCAACCAAAGAATCGAGATTAAAGTCGGAAACAAGGGTTGTTGAAGAATCTTCGGTCTTGGTCACGCTGGGAGTTTGCGTGCTTGCCAAGTTGTTGATTTTACAATAATCCAATCTGCTGTTTGTCAGTGAAACTATTTCGCTGAGTGGGCGGGGTATAAAACTTACAGGTGATCTATTGTGTCCAGCAAAGTCAGACCTGATGTTGAGATCATGTTAACCATATCACGGTGCGCAGTATGAAGTGGAATGTCATGAAGCAGTTCTGCGCTGGCGAGAATCCCGTGTAGTGGGGAACGAAGCTCATGACTGATGGAAGTTACAAAGTCGAATTTTGAGTTCTCACTAGCAGTCCAGTGTATCCGGGATACTTCAGAGATCATGGAATCCCCGAAGGCTTTGAAGTAGTATAGGTCTTCTGTGCCCAGAGGACGGTGGCTTCGATTTACCCAGACCAGAGTACCTGCAAGCCATCGTGATTTGTTCCAATCCCACAGAGGGTAGAAAAGCACACACTTGGCTTCGGGGAGCTGATAAGCAAGGCGATGAGAAATCTGGCGAATGAATTCAAAATCAGGAGCGCAATTCTGCGATGTGCCATTTTTAGAGTCCACGGGGCTGACCGGATCACAATTTCCGTCTGTGTTGAAGATGTGGCCATCTGGAAAGTGTGTAATTAAGGTATGAAGAAGCTCTTCGGTCACCTTAACCTGGCATTTTGCGTCAGGATTGCTCTTATCTGGCCTGCAGCTTATAGCCTGACCCAAAAGGCAACAGTATTTTTCTGCATATTTAGGCGAATTCGCATCAGGAAGGCTCCAAGGGCTAGAGCCTGAAGCAATCGGGACACTTGTGTCCAGGTTCGCCAAGGCGTCCCAATCATCACCTCCTCCAGAAGTTTCACTAAAGGGTAGTTAGAAGAAAGCCAATTGTACAAAGAAAGAGTAACCAACAATTGTGGGTCATTTCGGTGGGCATCAAGAAAGACCACGCCATCCAGATCGAGAGATTCTCTCAGTAGGAGACTGGCACGGGCGAAGATTCCGGCTATGCGTTCAGCGATAGGAACATTTTCCGGCACTAATGATTCCTGGGCTCCTTCCACGGAAGAGGGAAGCGGTTCCATTCGGTCCGAGGTTCGAGAAATCGATGATGGTAGTGTATAATTCGAGGTAGGAGGTATGTTTTTGGAGAAAATCGAGACTTCCTTTCCGTTAAGACTTGTGAAGGAGCTCTCATGAAGGGATAAATAGACACCATCTTTTTTTGTGGGCAAAGAATCGAGAGTTCCCCCCACATCGTGTGCGCTGGGTATTAGCCCCAAATCTTCACAATTCAGTTTCTTTGCAGACGCTTCGATCTGACCTTGAGTGGAGGAGCCAGTGGGGTCGAATTTCGAATGACTTTTGACGAAGTTTGTCAACCCTTGAACCAAGTTCTCCGAACGACGATGGTACTGAACGATCCGTGAATTTTCAAGGTGATTTGAAATCGAGTCGGCAATTTCCCGGAGAGCAGCCACATCTTCGTCTCCAAATACCGTTCGTGGTTTGTTGTCCACCACACAATATGACCCTAGCACGAACCCGGAAGGGCTGTACAATGGCACCTCGGCGTAAAATCGAAAGAAAGGCCAGTTGAGCACATACGGGCGATCTTTATAGAAATCCTCCTTGGTGAAATCGCGAATGATGTTGCGTGTTTGGTTGGCCGTTATGTTCTCCGTGTCTTGTATTTGGGAAGGGTCCTGTCCGGTGAAAAGCCGAATGGCATGGGGACACACTCCCCATTCCAAGTCAAGTGTGCTGACACCCAGATATATGCCATCATCTGGGCGATGAAAATCTTGGTTTCGAAGAGAGATTGAAGCGGTGGCCTCTGCGATGACGTGCTGGCTTTTTCCATCGATAATTGAAACGAAGGACCGGTTGCATCCGAAGCGATAGACGCCCAGTTGGGTCAGTGCCGTTAAGGTGGTATCATTTGAAAGACGAGGAAAAGATGGTTCCTGGAGCTCCGACGTAGGTTGATCGAAGGTACAATAGTATCTATCGGATTAGTAACCGATCGTCATTGGGGGCGGAGGCAGGCCAACTTTGATAATTCGCGGATTCTTTCTTGTTCATCACTCGGCTGACCCATAGTAGATGGGCCAGCTCATATACAGCTGGTCACTTTCACATATATCCAAAGATATATATGTATATCTATACAAATCTGTCAAAATAGGAAAATAAAAGAAAACTAAGCAATGGGGTCCCGGAAGAAAAAAAAAACAGGTTCAAACCTGTTTTGAACCCTGACACTGTGGGGTTAGTGCCTCGGCAAGTTTTGAAACAGTTGACAGACGTACCAGGCTTATAGATGGTTCTAGACTCATATAACTTTTGAGGCTCGCCTTTGCTACCTTATATATCTGCACAGCGAGGAAATTAGTGGCGGATTTTTTGATTTTTTGATTTCTGCTTTTTCAAATAAAACGGTCTCTTGTGATGTGGGTGTATTGTACTTTGGCTACCCCCTTTTTATACTCCCTAGCCTATTGATAGTAGTTGTCACAGTATCCTCGGGTCCAGAGTGATACTCGCAATATGGAACACGTGATCAATTTCGTAGCTCACGACCCCAGTTCTAGGGACTAACACTCTATCACAATACTTCTCGCTATACGACCATTCATTCGTCATTCATAGTACCCATGGAGTTTTAGATCATCATTTATAGAAACATCAATAGATAAACCTACTAGATAATACTACTAGGGACCAGTGTCTTGAATGTGTATAACTGGCAAAGCCAGATCTCGAGACGCGCCGGAAACCCAGGTGTGTCCAGAACATGTGAGGTAATTTCCCTATTGGTCCATGTCGACGGGTCCACGAAGATTCATCGCCTGGATACAGGGGTATACTTCCAAGGCGGTGATATATATATGGGATATGTGGGTAGGTAAAAAGTTTCGCGGTTGGCATACACGCCGAGGTCTCTTTTCTCTACCCTCCCCTGGCCCGGTCCTTTCTCGTTCTCCTTCTAGCTTTTATTGAAAGACTTCCTATCTTACTTCTTAGTCCAATAGATGTATACCCTGTGAATGTAGAAAGAACAATAAGTTCGATCAAACATCAACAAAGGCAGTTGATCCAGCGGAAGCGATAGGATAGGTGAACAGTGAGTTACTTAAAACAAGTACATGTCGTAATCAGAGGTCATGACCTCGATAGATAAGTCACTTGCACAAGTTATGCTTTCCTCGGCTGTTTCTGCCGTCTACCTATAAGACTGGAAAGGGGGAAGACTAGCACGAAGGTATTTAAAAAGATCGCTGAAAAGACCACTGAAGGGCCCTGTAAGGTATCATAAGTCCGCATGAGTGGCCGTCTACTGTTCTCTTTATAAACTCAGATTAGTACTTGATTCTAACAAAGAACAACAATAGGGCTTACCAGTTGTCAAACAGCCCTGGGCACTTGATCTTTCGCTTAAGGGCCTGTTGTAATTCTGGTCGCTTTTTCAGTAGGTCTGCCAATGCAGCTCTCAACTCTTCATTATATGTAAAGTCAAGTTCCGGCTTGCCAGTTGCACTAAAGATGATCAAAGAGCTCACGTCACCATAATCGCTCAGTGCTTTTATGCCCGTCCGCTGATGCTGTGACAAGATCTTCTCACGTAGAACCCATTCAGGACTGAATACCTTGACTGGGTATCCATTGACAGTTAATGTACATCGGCTAGCAGTCCGGAGATCATACTGAGGCCGGTGTGACCAGCTTTGATAATCAAATATCTCAAGTTGCACCAATTGCTCTTCGCCCCCCGGCACGTGGAATCTGTACGCCGGAGTTATATGCCCAAACTGGTTGACTGGACTGAAATCGGATGGAAATGTTGTGAGAAGCGGGGGACTCAGTTGGTTCGCTGTAATTTGGCGCTGATCCACATGGATCACTAAATCGATATCCTGTGTCCTCCGAGTGGGGTTCCGGGTCAAGAGGCAAACAGCAGCACCACCCATGATTGCATAATCAATCTGTAGCGTATCCAGTCTTTGCGCGAGAAATGAGGCTACGGACATTAGTTGCTCAAGAGTAAGGAGAACCATTCTTTCTAACCTCGTCCATAAGCTACTGCTTGGTTCGTAGATCTGATATCTCTCAAGTTATCGGTTTATTTTCAGCAGTAAAAATGGATCAGACCGCATCTTTATGCATCTTTTTGTCCTGAGCGGAGAACCCTGCCTATACAAAAATTGCAAGGAGGCTCGAGAGTTATACGACATTTGACTGATTATGTGGTCCTATGCGCTACGTACTAGGAGTCATATCATTGGCGAAAATTAAGACTCTCGGCCATGAAAGTGATTGAGGATCATTGGTGCATTAGCATGCGTTATCCTGAGGTGTGAACGATAGATACGTACATACTGTTGAAAAGTCCCACAAGTTATACGCTGTATGCCAATAGGGTTCACACTGCTTTACCAGCCGCCTCTGGGGTTGAAATGGCCAGTGCTTGGGGACGTAGGTCTAATTTCTATTGATAGAAACCTTGGCAGTTAGTTGTTGTTATTCGCAAATTACATATCACGGGCTTAAGGATTGCCCAACGCTCTGTTCACTTCAGTCAATTATCTGAATTCCACATATCATCGCAGGCCTCCTCTAGTAATAGAACTATCAGGGAAGAGGGGTTCCCCTCATATCATGTGTCATTTCTCTTCCAGAACCAAGGCGTTTTGAAACCCGGAGGTCCCATGCACCGTGCTCGGCTTCGCGAATCCGACCAAAGTGCGTGCTGTACCATTCTACTGCGCGCTCATCTGCACAGTCGTCAAGGATATCATTGTTGACTTCGAGATAGCCTCGCATCATTGCGATCCAAGCGTTGAGAAGCAGGTGCCACGACGAACATTCAGCCTCATCACTCGCATCGATGACTGCTTTGACAAAGCTCTCAACCAATGCCTCTTCAAGCGGGTAGAACAAGTTTCCATACACTTCATACGAACTGTCGAGGTTTTCCAATGGTAAATGCGCAAAGGAGTTGGGGATTAAGAAGACTTGGTCCCCCCTCAACGGAAGGTGAGGTGGAACCTGGAACGACGCACAACAGCGGTCTAGGCGTTCGTAGCCCCGATTAATTTCATCAAGGGCAGCCTGTGGATTTGGGAGAGATTCCAGAATCTCAGGGGCGGGTCGGCGATCAGGAGGGGATTGAGGGAATCCAGAGTCTTTCAGCTTCTGAATCGCCGCCTGATAATGTTCTTCTCGGAAAACAAACATGTGATACTGCCATGATAGTCAGCAGGAATAAGCCTCGAAACAACTGAAGTACTCACACCTGCTCCAATTGGGACACCCAAATAATGCATGGCAAGCTGTCCCCACGATATAACCGGTAGAGGGTTGAGTATTTCACTGAATGTTGAAGATACGGGGTCAGGTGCGACCTCTCGGGGATTCCTAAACATCTCAGCTGTAAATTTTCCCTTCGAGTATTACCCTATGTGCTCTTAGTAGGTTTGTTTTAGGTTTGTTTGCGATATTAAGGCCAAAATCCGTTGTAGGGCAGACGACGTCAAGTCAGTGAAAAGACTAGGGTGATCATAGACTAGTAGGACCTCACTAAGACCTCCAGGGCTGTCCGGCAATACGGTGAGTTATAGAATCACTACGCCAAGAGAAATCGATGCCTTGAAGTTTACATCAACTTACACTTTTACAACCTTCCACCCTATACCAGTACTGGCTAGTCTTATTCTTGATTGCAATCAAACCTAAGAGTTCAAAAGCAAACTGTATATCAGCGGAGGCAAGGGGCGTAGCTGAGCATGGTTTGGCGCTGAAGTGACGCCTCTCTAGTACAAACGTACCTAGCATTTATTTGTCTTCAGAGAATACAGTCGTCTCCTATCTTTGCCGTCACACCCTTGTCTATGTCCTACACAATGGAGTTTCGACATCTCCCGTTCGAGATAATATACCTTATCACCGGCATTTTGAAACTCGACGTCGCAATCTGCTCTTAGTTAAAGAGTTATCGAGGAAATGGGTGGAAGAGAACTTCCAAGGAAGTTGGTACATCGTCAAGCTCCGGAGGCGACTTTTTTGGCGCAAGAGGTATCCTGTACCCACATGAATGGATACACTCATATCTTTGACTGAAGCTATGATTCATATCTCTATTGTGCATAGAAAGTGTACTTGTATGGTTTATTCTTTTTACACCCTGGTATACCGTCGGGGAGCCTACTTCATCTCATTAATCTCATTTTCAGAGGCACTTGTATATTTAAATACTCGCTTTCTACCTAGAAAACCGCTAGGAGAGAAAATGTCTGCAAAAAAAGAGCATATCAAGAAGAAGTACGAGTGTTATCTTCCAATCAATGTCCCTTGTATCATTTTCAGCCATAGAAAAAGCATTATCCAGGCCCTACGTCCTTGAGGGCAGAGGCGGCATATGAGCCTAATCCCCTTAATTGGCTCCTAGTAAATCCCGAAATGAGATTCTAGCCTCAAGCTAATTTGAAGACTGGTATTCAATTGCAATCTATGTACAGTGCATTCCCCGCATTGAAGGATAAACAGCGCATACGAATACGACCGAGACGATTAAAATTTCTTCACATCCGTCTCCTCGACTTTGAACTCCTCCCACGATGCTCGATCAAATCCATTCGGACGACTAGATCGCACAAACTGATTATCCACTCCACCAATAGCCGCAACTGGCTTCACAATCTCGATATCCGCACCATATGCGCGGGATGACCACAGTTCTGTCAATGGCTTTCGGCCTTCTGACTCAGAACCAGCAGGCTTGTACAAGTGCGGGAATCTCTCCTGCATGCCCTTCAGCACAGTCGACGAGATGCGGTCAACGCTGTCGCAGTGACGCAGCTTAAAGAACTCAGGCGGCTGCACCTTACGAAGCTCCTCTTGCACATCAGCTGGGTATTGGCCCATTGCAAAGAGCAGAAGGTCGTAGTGCATCAGCGAGGTTTTGCCGTGGTACGAGCCACCGGTCTTCGCACGGTGGTAGAGACCAGTCAACGCAGCGATAGCACCCATGCAGCCAGTGCCATAGTCGGAGATCGGGAAGGGTGGTACAACCGGTGTCGAGAGACCCATGAACTGTCCTTGGGCCCATGCAATTCCAGTGACCTGGAGTTGATGTCAGTCTTGATTAGAGTCGTATGAATGTTGGATCTGATAACTTACGCAGTCTGCAATCTGCTGCCATCCAGCGCGGCCAGCCCATTCGCCTTCGTATCCGAAGCAGTTTTCATTCACATAAACAATACCTTTGCCGCGCTTCTTGGCCAATGCGGCCATGGCCTCTGCTCCGTAGCCAAGCTTATCTAGGGCTCCGGGACGGTAGCCGTCTACGATGACATCCACGTCATCCAGGAGCTTCTCAAACTCCTTGCGTCCAGCCTCGCTCTTCAAATCCAGATCTGCTGCAAGCTTGCCCATGTTACCATCGACTTGGAAGAAAGGAACATCGGAAAGGCTGGGACTGGTGATCTTCAAAACATCGGCACCATACTCAGCTAAGATACGAGTAACAGTCGGCCCGGCGATGATACGGCACATCTCCAGTACCTTGACGCCCTCGAGGATTCTCTTGCTACCGTTGCGTCGAGCTGGGAAAGGAGTCGGAGGAAGGTCACCAGGCAATTTGCTGATCTTCCATGCAGGCTCTTGGATGTTAAGTTTTCCCTGTCAAATGATTAGCTTGCTTGTTGGGGCCAGATATAGCACTTTTTAGAACCTACATGGGGAGTCTGGATAAAGTCTTCATGTTTGTAAGCAGTCACACCAGCCTGACGTCTCTCCTTGTTCATCTCTTCAAGCTCGGCAGCCGTGTATTGCTGTACTTTGCTCTCAATAACCTTGATGATTTCTTCATAGTCAGTCAGGTCTGGCCGATGGCCCTCCAGCCCAATCATGTTCAGGGTTGTCGTAGCCTCCAGCGATCCATGAATATGGAAGTATTCATCGGGAATCTTAGTCTTGTAAAGATTCGCCGACATGCGTCGGTAGCCGTTGGATTGGGCAGCCAGCAAATCCGTATCTGTTCCAGTTAATTTTTTTGTCGCGCCTGCTCTACAGGGAAACACATACTCTTTAACTTCGATTTCACACCCGGGTCCAATTTCGACAGACCATCCACCTTTGCCATGTAAGCTTGACACCCGAAGGCAGTCGCAGCTTCAAGATTGATTTGAATGCCACGAGGTTCTCCAGCACCAAAACGCAGGTCCGCAATTGCAGCGGCTACGGAACCCTCAATTCCCTTAAGGGCAGCGAGAGTCTCGGTCTCCTTAAAAGGAATGGGGAAATAGATTTCATTATGACTTGTAGAGAAGGACACGCGGTCTTTGTTCGCGAGGACCTCGGGTGGCAAATCGAAGCGCTCCGACTGCTCACATAGCTCAGAGAAGATGCGACTAGTCTCAAGAACCGGAGAGTACATGCTGACTGTTATGTTGCTTCTTTCTAGGTGCACTTGAACGTTGGTTGAAATAATGCGGTGAGTTCTTACCTGACCAACGCGAGATACCACGTGAGAGTCCGCAAATGGCAAGCAAATGTGTAGAAGATTCGAGGGGAAACCTGAAGTAGGAGAAGGCCGGGTATTATATCCATGACGACCCTAGATCGGGTCCCGAGAATTTAGGCGTCGGGTGGCCACACTCGTCCCGTTAGCCATCGGCTCACATCTATTATTGGAATCTACTGATCGGCAAAAATGACAAAGATATGATGCTCGTGTTGGTGTTCCTATCCACTACTTGCAGCCTCCAATTATCACAATATACGGATATGAAGTAATGAACTGACTCCCGTCAATCCCCGCATGCAGATCCGAAAGAGCTATCCGGCATCGGATCGATCGATCGGAACAGTCACGTGAGAGCATATCTTGAAGAGATTGTGCTGAAGTGGTATAGCATTCTGAGTATCTTGTATTGGTTATTGCTGTTTGGTCTCTTCAAAAGTGGAATGAGGTCAGAAGAACTGGGGCTCAGGAACACCCCTGCATGAGAATCTAGAATCGACAGGTCACGTGACCTATAAAATTACCCCGAATCTCCAATCTCCGAACATTTGCGACTTTTCCAGGTGACGATGCTACTCCGAACCAAATTACGGCCTAGGGTATGGCGGCTTGCATCTTATCGGCCGACCCGTTTCAAATCTGAAATTCCATTCATTCGCATTCAAGATGGAACCTTTTACAAGAATTACCCAACCCCCGAAGACTTGTCCAATCCACCTCTCTTCCCGAACCTGAACTTCACTCTACCCGCTCTTCAAACTCCCAGCCCGGCCAAGACATCTCCTCTAGAACATTGGGCTATAATTGGTCCATCTGAACGAACCGATCTTCTCCATGTCCTCCGCGGCCAATACATCTGTATCCCGCCCAGCGCGCGTTCATACCCATACCTCCTCACAGACGAGATCGCGAAAAAGGATCCACGATTGCGACTAGTAGAAAATGCGATCCAATATGTTGGATTCAGTGGCGAGGGCTCGGGGGCCATTGGGGGAATCCGTGGCGCATATCTCAGTGCTCGCTATGAGAGTCTTCGGGAGGAAACCGACTGGACTCTGCTGCAATACCTGCGTGGTCAGACCTCCTTGAATCCGATGGAGGGTGAGGAGGAAGGCACTCTACACGATGACGATTTCCTCCGGCGTACTGCTGACAGTCTTGATCTCACAAATTTATTCAACTTGCCAGTCGCAAACCTGAGCAATGGTCAAACCCGCCGAGCGCGAATTGCAAAGGCTATTCTGAGCAAAGCAGAACTATTGCTTTTTGATGAGCCATTCAGTGAGTATCTTATGTCCCCATTCGATGAACCTGATTGTCTTACCTATATTCAGTGGGATTGGATCCGGTGGCAGTGAGAAGGATCTCTACACTTCTTCATAAGTTAGCAGAGAAACGCAGCCCGCGGCTCATCCTGGCCCTACGCCCGCAAGACAAAGTCCCGGATTGGATTACGCATATCATGGTTGTGGGTAATTCCCACCAGATTCTGCTGCAAGGGCCAAGGCCAGATATAGTAGACACGCTTAATGTCTGGAACCACGTTGTGAAAAAGACCAAGCCGGACTCTCTGTCTAAAGAGCAAGTGGAAACATTGAATAAGTGCAAAGCAGACTTGAAGGCTGGTATCTTGGACAACGAACTCCTTGGAGATTTGGTGGCGCATACGAACGAAATAAAATGCTCGGAAGTCCAAGCGCCCTTGGGCGGTGAGCCAGTTATTGATATGGAAGGAGTCCGTGTCCAGTATGGAAATAAAAAGGTACTCGGTAATTGGCAGCAAACTGTTTCCGGTGAAGTAAAAGATGGGCTGCACTGGCGAGTACGTCGGGGACAACGTTGGGCGATTCTTGGCCCCAACGGCTCAGGCAAGACAACGTTGCTATCAATGATCACATCCGACCATCCGCAGGCGTACGGGCAGCCTGTCAAGCTCTTTGGACGATCCAGGCTTCCGGAGCCTGGGAAACCGGGAATTTCAATTTTCGAGCTACAGTCCCGCATTGGACATTCATCACCAGAGATCCATGCATTCTTCCCGCGTCAATTATCAATTCGTGAAGCGCTTGAGACCGCTTTCGCTGAGACATTCCTGTCAAAGCCGAAGCTGAATATCGAACGAGATCACGATATATCTGTACTTCTGAAATTCTTCAAACCCCTGCTGGATCCAGATTACCTCACGAGCGAGATACCAATAATATCGACCGATCGTTTCCCGGCTATCAAGAGACAAATAACGACTCATGCCGAGCCCTACTTCCCAATGGATCACGTTGTTGGATATGCGGATGACATTCTCTTCGGCGAGCTCACCCCCGCACAACAACGCATTGTGCTTTTCCTCCGGGCCCTCGTCACCAGGCCGGACATTGTCATCCTCGACGAAGCTTTCTCGGGCATGTCCGCAACGCAGCGTAACATGTGCTTGCAATTCTTGGAAATTGGCGAGAGACCTAAACGCCGTCCTGTTAAAGCCAAAGCTCGTGACTCAGCTGAGGCGGCATTCCGGTTCACTGGTCTTACACCAGACCAAGCCTTGATCATGGTGAGCCATGTGGCTGAGGAGATTCCCGACAGCGTCCGCTATTACATGCGATTACCGTCTCCCGCAGGCACTGAGGATCCCCTTGATTTCCGCTTTGGTATCCTCCAATCTAAAACTACGCTTAGACAACCTACGACCTGGGAGGCAGCCTGGTCTCCTGCACCGAAGTTTGTCAAGCATGCCCGCAGGACGTGGCGTCGTCAACAACATACTTTGCCGGTACAGGATATGACTGAATTCGAATGGTGGTCGATATAAAGGTATAGGCATCTAGATTTGATCTAGTATTCTTGGCATCTACATTATAGATTTTCTTGTACATTTAATTACATTCCCGATTCATCTGTGACGAATTAATCCGTGTTCTCCATGGCTTTTGGCCCATCTCAACACTAAAGGGATTGAAATATCCACCCGTGCATAATCAATCAGACTTCGTAAACAGCAAAAGGAAAGAACCTCCATATCACTGCCTCTACATCTCACAAAAGATCGGCCGTCATCTAGTGCCTTCTATGGAGCTTCCTCTATTAAACTCGACCCGGCATCCGCCAGTCCCTCGCGAGAACTTCTATCACTCCGGGGCTCGTCTTCCCTTCCGTCTTGCCATGTCGAGCAATGGCGACAACGAAGCGCCTTTAAACAATTAGCCGGGACAAAGCACACATTGGATCAATTTCCTTACCGATACACCAATATACTGCTTACAGTATGGACACCGAACAGTAGGCTTGATAATTTTGTCATGAGTGATAAGCATGTACAGATGTCCGACGGCGTACAGAGTAAGGCTGACACCCATGAAGTTGATGACTGTCTCGATAAATAATCTACATAAATTTGAGTTAGAACTAGCTAAAGGCGCATACATGAGTAGCTTGTTTAGCTCCACATACCCATACGCCAAAACCAGTGCTCCATCTTCTCTTGCTTGATAGAGGGTGTTGTACCCATACTGCGGGTCATAATTCGGGCCCTTTGAGAGAACAGCGAACTTCTCATCCATGTTCCGATTCAAAAACGGCAGTAGAGAGACAATCGGCAAAACTAGGTCTGATACAAACGATGTAACGACTTTAGTGAAGGAATTAGCTATACTTCGAGTAGGTTTTAGATGTTAGCCGGGTATTTCTCGAATATTTCTATTATTAGTCGGCAAGAAAGAGAGAGCACTAACATCAAACCCAACGCAACCTCGAGAACATTATCTCGCGCGGCAAAATTTATAAAGCCAGCCCAAGCATATCGCACTTGTTCCTGCGCCTTCTGGCCAGTGCGTAAAAGGACGTCGGCGCTCTCGTCAAGGCCACGCATGTTGGGTTTACGTTGTAACTGGTAAATATGGTAAAGCTCAAGAGAGCATGTTCAGGCAAGAGTTTAGAAAAAAAAAAGGAGGAAACGCCTCTGAAGGACGCCTTTATCGGAGCTGCGTCCATGCGCTCGGGTCAGGTGAATTAGGGCGCGGGGATGCAATTTAGCCATCTACGGGCGACTAAGTCTGCCATCGAGATTTAACTCTCTCATTGGATACTGCCTCACCGCTGCGATCACCGCTCCTCTCTCAGCCTATATCTAGTAATCTCAATTTCAGCTTCTCTTTTATTTCTCTCTTCATTTATACGGTATAAGCGTACACGGCCGCTTCTGCGGCCTTTTAATATCTTTCTGACCGGGCTTTTAAGTGCCTTTCAGTGATCTTTTCAATAGCTTCCTCGGTGGGCTTCCCAGTTTTTCTTAGATACCTTCAAAATGGGTTTCCCCTTTCTAGTCTTTTCAAGACGGTAGAAAAAGGCGGAAAAAGTATACTCTATATAAGCGACTTTTCTATGTATAACTTCTAACTAATAATGATGATAATGATCGTATATAACTTCTGATATGTAGGTTCATAAATCCTATCTTTGATCCTTATATTTTGATATTAAATGCAATTCGATTCTTACAATTCGATTATTACAAGACTCTTATAGAATTCTTACAATTTAATACTTTATTTATCAAGCCCTCTATTATCGTAAACCATGTATCTTTATTTATACCAGTCTACTCCTCAAACAAGGCAGAATTTAGTTATATTCAGGCATAACCTCTACAAAAAGAGACATTTCTATGGATGACTATAATATTGCCCTGCAATATTATCCAATGAGAGAGTTATGTTTCGATGGCATACTTAATCGCCCATAGCCATTTTGGCGGCGCCTTACTGCATGTGGTACTTTGTGCATAGTGAATTAACGGTGGCCCTAGTTATAAACATCTCTAAGCGTGAAGGCATTGCTTGGCCCTCAGAATGGCTGATTTTAGGCTCGGAATATATCGAAGTACCCAGTACCTGGCAATAGTCGGTGATGGCCGCTTTACGATCAGTACAGAGTACATTAACAGTAATCAGTGCAGATCCTCATCTATAAATCTACAACTATAAGTATGAAAAGAGTTGGCAATATCGATATTCGCATGCGAAGGCTGTGTGGTTCTTCATTAAATATCATAGTTCACAAGTATGAGAAACACACCTGAATCTTACTCATAAAAAGAGATCCGAGTCCGCTGAACAAAAATGGCGATTGGTTTCATGCCAAGCTATGCTATATAGCAAGTCCTTCTATAGCTATTCTTCCTATCCTCGGGGCATATTTAGAAAATTCGACGCGATGGCAGTCATGAACCCAAGTACTCGTACGCGATTCGCCAAGCCACTGAAATGATACCAATGCCGATTAGAAACAAGCGCCATCAAATCAAGCCGTAGACTCTGCCAGTCAATGGGATAGTTGGCCTTCCTGAGTAGTTCTAGCTCAAACAATATGTCTTCCTCTTTCAGCCGCCTCTTCCAAAACCCATCAGGTAATGTCCACTGGAATGCAGCAAGCATATTTCGGGTGTTCATCAGATCAGCCGGTGTATAGTCAATGGGGCAAATCAATTCGGCAACTATGATCGCAATATCCAACGGTATACTATTGTCTCGAGGTCTGATATGATTCTTCTCGGTCTTCCTTGCTCTGTCAATTGCTTTGTGCATTTCGGGCACTATGAGAGGATTCTTGTATATATCGCAGCCGTACTTGAACGGAGCATTTGACCCCGGATAAGGATGCAGCAAGTCACAGTATTTCGCAAGTCGGAGCCGGGAATCATTACTTCCCCACAACTTGCTCTCATGCCAGTACTCTTGGGCTGCATGAATGAATTTTTCCATCTCCCTTTCAACTAAAGTTGTGGGTATGACGTGGTTGAGAAGGACCCAGCAGTGGGCATGGACAACAAATCCGATATTTTCGTTTTTGAACTGACTTGGTTGTCTGTTGATGGCTGCTGCGTAGAATTGAGTGAAGACATCATCATGTCGGAGATTATGTTTCCTCCCACCGATTCGCGCCATGTTGGGGTTTATTGGAACGATGTAAGGACGAGTATAATCCGTTTGAATCAAAGTGATACCACTTAGAGCGAACTTGGTCCTAGAACTTTTGATTACTGTGCGGGTTAGGGTAACTTGGACGTAGGATGCTTTGGTAGACTCACTGGCTCGGCACATGCAAGACCATATTTTGGGGGACTCTGGGAGTTCTGCCTCTTCCACTTCCTTTGATGAGACCACCACATGAGCCGGGGTGACTATCCTATAGTACTTGTGCTGATTTCCCCCGAAAAAAACCGGCGAACGAGGCGAATTCATGTTTCGGTAGCAACTCATCGAGTAAACCTCCACTCCGCATAGAAGGCAATTTGGGTATGGATTGACAGCTGAAGTACGAGCCATGATTATACTGCCAATTTGATGTGATCTTGAAGAGCTCTACCCGATTCAATCTATGAAAGGCGGAAGTGAATAATTATATAGAGTGATGTAACAATGAAGACTTGACTTGCACAACAGTACCAGATTCTTCTATATAGTAGCTCAAACACTAAAAGGACATCCCGAAATAAGGTCACTAGGTACTACCGTATAGCTACACTGGGTATACAGTCAAAGTCCGTTCAAGAAATAGTCATGAAGCTTCAAACACCAGTTCCATTAACACATTATTATCTATACATCAAATTTCTCCTGAACATACAAAGCCGTTGACTCGAGCTCTCCAGCAATCCATAGATTCTCTAACTCGTGGCGTTCAACCATCGATACCAGTGCACCTAAACGGGCTTCTATTTCATCGCAATCGTCTTCAAACTCTGTCTGATCCGCCAGAGCGCGAATAAACCAATATTCACGATCCTTGAGGACAAGAGAACATCTCGGCGTCTCCGCAACCATATCAAGTCCGGTGTCCTTAACTCGCGCTATTTGAGACCATAGACTTTCAAGTCCTCTACAAATATCCTCGCTGTGCTCATGTTCATCATCGTCAGGGTGCTGTCTGGCGTAGTCAGCTAGAGTCTCTGCCTCTTCTACAAAGATGCGGCACTCCTGTTGGAAGTTCTTCTGCCATGGCGAGAGGGCTGACTCGCAGTTAGATATTCTTTGCTGCATGGTTAAGCAGAGATGCGGAATGGACACTTACCTAGGTCTTCTTGTTAATGCTTTGGAACTGATTGATCTGAAAGAATGATAGAGTGCGGACCTTGTTCTTGGTTTTTTGAATGAGGTTTGCTTGATTGGTCTACTTAGATAAATGCCGGGATAGGAGCTATTTATGACTTCCACCATCCGAGCTATGCATTGGATGCACCTCAATAGAGAAAGAAATGCACCAAAGGCTTTCAATTATGTTGAGTCAATGACTTGGACTGTTAGCTGATAATTACTCCGCTGAGACAAAAGACAATGACACTGTTTAACTTCTTTGTGTCCTGTTTCTATCGCTAAGAATCTGAAATGTGCTAACAAAGCGATGTTGGTTTCCTTGTGGTGGGTATAGAGCAACAATGACAGAAGAAACCTCCAACCCTTACATTACACAGCAGAATAGTTATGAGTTGGCGACTGCTCCAAATCACCATTGGGATTTTGAATACCGCCCTCTTGACCAGTGGAACTAGGCATCTGTCGTCGCCAGCTACACTTCTCTTTGATCTGTGAGTGGCTAGCATTGCTCGTGTTGGCGGCAGATTTGCTAGAAAGCCCAGAGAAGACTTTAGCGTGTATGACTTTGAACAAAGGCCGCATATTTGAGAGACAGGCTGCGACAATTCCGACAGCGGGCTCAATGCACGTCCACACACTTGCTGGGACTTGGTTGTCTGTGTTTGTGTCAGTAAATAATTTTCATGGATGTCATCCGGGAAGCGCACATGTAATGTCCTCGCCTTGAGTGGAAAGCTCTATCAGGACGACCAAGCGAATGATGTCGAATATTAAAGTCCTACATCATGTTAGAGTAATACTGAGCAAAGAGACAGCAGGTCAAGCTTACAGCAATCCCAAGATGAAAATCCCGGAAAGACACAGCTTCTGTGTCTTAGAGATGGGAAGCTTCCATACAATGTGCATGGGCATCAGGAGGATTATTGCGTCTGTCGCGATGTTGGGAACCTGAAGGCCGTAATAGAATCTTGAGAGATCCATACAACCACCTTCAACCATGGGGTGCCACAGCTTCTCGGTTGGGATGCAAGTGAAACAGCCTGCGAGAATACCACATGCAGCCCATAGAATTACAATCAAAGATACAAGATTGACGGCGAACTTCATGGTCTTGACAGGGAAGAGTCTGCGATAGAGCATCAGGATGGATAGTTTGATGCACGCAATGCAGCCAGTGTAGAGGATCGAGCCTGTAAACAGTGTCTGTGTATCTATCAGTAAACCGTCCATACATACAATGCAAACTGAGTGAGATATCGTACCTTCAGGTAAACAACAATCTGTTCAGGGGAGAGCTCGACAATATGGGTTCCAAGTCCATTATAGAGTACTACATTCGTTAGCTGGCTGTTCAATTTGAATGAATGCTCTCAACGCACACACAACTCCTGCTATCGATATACCATATTCGAAGATCTTTTCCCAATCCTCAGCCTTAATATATAAACATCCGGGATATGCTTCTCACCAACGCAAAGATAATCAGCCAGTCATCTAGAAAGAGACCACTTCCATTAATCATTCGAGAGATAATCCGGAACCCGACTGATGTTGTAGACAATATGAAGGCAAAGCAGGTCGAAGTAATAACCACATGGCGCAAGTTGTCGTGATCATAGCCATGAACGGTCTGGGCCACCGAGTCCGCCATATCGCACGTATAAACAAGGTATAGAGAGTGGCCTCTTTGAAAAGGGGAGGCACTGGTGTAAGTGTGAGGCAGGAAACCCAGACTAAATATATACACAGAAGCAATTATGAGAAGACCACCCCGAAGAAGGCAATGAGGTCTCACATCTTTCAACTCTAACATTTAACCTTAGATGAATGACTACTCTTTTGTACGGAGTACATCAGTAGTAGCTATGGGGTTGAGCTATGGATTTGATACATATCTCATCCTTACATGTCAGCCGATTAAGATCTGTGATCTCCAACTAGCTAGGTAAAACCTGCTCCAAGCAACAAGGGCCTTGACACTAACAAAAGTTTCCGGGAAATTTTTCCGAATCGGCGCCAGCCTCTAGGAACAGTCCCGATTTTGCCATTACGAGCAAGGTGTAGACGTATAAGTTGAAATGGATTTCCCAGGGGAATATCTATGGTCCATACGCCCCCTCGATGCATCGCCTTGCATATCCCCGGGGGTACTTTATAAATTGACAGCCGGGGCTGTTGGGGCTGAGGATTCGGTAATCATGCACGGAGTCCTCCGTAGAATCATTCGGAGAGAATTGATGAGCTACTTGGTAGATCAGGCGCATCGACCCATTCCCCCGGTGCGATTGTGAGATCAGGGTTAATCGGTATCAACCCGCCAATTAGGGTTTCCGATCGTGTATCTTTCTCGGGTCTGCTGTATGATACATCCTGCGAGCGACTATTACAATTCTGTCCGCTATTCTGAGCCGCTATTTTCATATTTGGAAGCTTATACGACTCAGCTGAACGGCTCGCTACCATCGCTTAGGGACTCCCGTGTACCCGCGGGCCTTAGTCTGATATTGAGGTCTTGTGATCTCCGGTAGAAACGTACCTGTGTAGGGGTTTCGACAGGTTTCAATTATTGGCTATAAAATATCGAGACTTGGGTGGATCTAGCGATGAGATTGTATGTTATGGTAAGATGGGTGCTTGGAGATAAACAGATGGGGGTTCTTGTTGATTTTACTGGAATCGGTTAATTTCTATGCTGTACTCCGTACTGATGTGCTGCTCTCTGTGTCGGGCCTAAGCTAATCAACCTCACATCTCCCTTCTTCATGCCCATTGGAAGGTGACACATAGGTGGCAATATGATATATCACATTTGTCCAGCCGTATCTGCAAATGGTAGTCAGAGTGGATCGACCTATGCAACAACTAGCCTTGATCACATTTGTATATCAACAAACCTGATAGGCTACGGGGTACTCTCTACATGGTAGTCCCTACAATATCAACGCTGTTCAAAGGCAGAGAGCTCAAGACGAATCAAATGAAGAACGATGGTACATCCCAATGCATAGAAATATACATCTAAACAAGACTCCATGCCATCCGATGTTCCCTCGCTAGACATAGCCCACTACCTCGGTGGTGGGCTATACGACATCGGCCCGGGAGTAGTGTACGGCGAAAGCAAAGTCGTCCCCCGTTCCCTAGCCGCGCGAGAGCGATACTCCTCACGCTTCTGGATTTCCTTCTCATCCTGAATCAACGTGCAGCATGTACAGCAGGTAGCTCGCACGCAATCAGACATTATACTACCCTGGATGCCATATGCCTTTCTCGTTCTGGTGTGTTGGATAGTGGCCAGTAACCCTGTTATGCGGGTTAGAATGGTACTTTTTATTGGTTGCTCGAAAGGGTTGCAGATTCCACTCAAGCTTGGAATTACACTTGGAAGTTAAAGTTGGACTTACATTGACATCCGCATAGCAATCCCATCCCCGTGCACGACGCATTGCATGTTTCATAACCGAGCAGATTGGTCGGATCCTCCTTTCTCGATTTCATCGAGAGTCGGTGTTGTGTTCTCCCATACAAGATGCACGGACATAGCATTCCCAGGCAGCAGATCCCGAAACTCGAAAATTCGCACAGCCCATTGCTCCATCCTCCTCCCTTCACCTCCTGATTTGGATGCATGGATTGGCCAGGTTGGTGGTATGCACTCAGGTCATCCGGCTGGGGAGTGTGCGATGTTTTCGCTCTGGTGGGTGGAGGGAAATATGGTGATTTGGGTGACTGGAGGGGATTTTCATCGGGAACAATGGGCATAGTTTCACTTCGTGCTGGTGCTTCTGGGTCTACCTTCAGGGGCAGTGGCCCTGGCGAGAGTGGGGGTGGTGAGCTAGGAGTTTCGGGATACGAAGCATATTGCTGGGTGGATGTTTCTTTATCGCGCTGTTGGTCCTGGATGTGGGTGTATGACTGTGTCGCATATGGGTGGGTCGCATAAGAGTGAGGGGACATCGGGGTACTGTACTGTTGTTGTGGTACGTTCGCATACTGAGGAGCTATAGCTATGCCGATTTGTTGATGCCATTGGTGCTGCTGTTGCTCGGGTATATTTGTATGTGACTGATTTACATACGCCCGAGGAGTCATTGGGCGACTTTGGTCGGGTATGTTTGGATACGACTGGGTATAGGATTGGGTATAAAGTTGAGCGGGATATTGCCGCTCGGGCGCGATTGCGTAGGTCTGGGGAGACATTGAAGTGATCGATTGTGGCTGCAGTTGTTGTTGTTGATTTTGAACCAAAGGCGCGTAATTGGCTGGGTGTTGCTCGATGGGTGGACAGTTGGCATAGTCTGGGATTATTCCCTGATTCTGGAATTTCTGCTCTTTTTCGCTTGGTGCATAGGACCATGCTCGCTGTCGCTCTTTCGGAGGTTCCTCCACATGCGGGGGCGCACTTGGTTCGGCTGGGGGAGTCGATAGGTTCTGTTGGTAGGATGGGTGCATCTCGAGTGGTGTTTCCATGAACGAATACCTCTCATTGCCTCCGACTGTGGTATCCAAATTCAACCGACTCATTTTGAGATTTAGACAGTATATTGGCTCGTGGATCTGCTATCGAGTCAATAGATATATACGGAGTATATGTGTCGAAATTTCATCCAGTGTAGAATTGTGGATTTGGTCACAAGGTGGAAGTGAGAATCTAAATGCGACTCAACGGGTTCGGGGCTTAGTATAGGAAACCGAAACGCTGGACGATCGGCATATGTGCCCCGAGTCACAGTGTGAACGAAGGCGCATGGTGGAAGGAAGCCGGCAGTAAACTAGAGAGTGAAAGACCATAGGAGCCTTGTCAGCGGGGAGTACAAAAGCCAGGAGTCTGCGGGGATCTTCCATAATCTCCTCAGTCTGTCGCTTTTACAAGGAAGATGGTTCGTTGAGATCCTGGTCTTTTTTGTGCTAATGCATCTGCTTCACACTGGTTGGATCACAACCCCCTGTTATCCCATCACATCACATTTTAAGCGCCGTTGGCCCCGTTGGTATTCCGTACACATATTATTTATTGAAACGTATCTCAACATTGAATAGTCTCCGGAGTACAGAGTAGTTATGATTTTATATAGACCATATATACCTATAGGCAGCAGTTTTGGGAGGATTCTGATTCTATACCGCTTGGTCTTGGCTAAATACTTGGAATCTTTTTTTTTTTTTTTTACCATCTCTAAACATTGCACATCGACCTTTTTTTTTATTATTCCCGTTCAGGTGGCTTTTGAAAGTGGAGACAATTAATCTGAGACTGTTAGTTCCTTTATGGGGTATGAAGATATAAAGATCGAAGGCTTGATCTTAGCTTGAGAGCTTAATCCGGGACTCCGGGGAATTGCCGAGGTCTTCAAACAGACAATATACAACTTATAGAACGGTTGGTCTGGATTCGTACCTATTGATCGACATGGCTGCACGCTGTGCATTGGAAAAGATGATTGGCAGATACGTAGGCAAATCAAGAGAAAAGCCAATGAAAATAGGAGGCTAGGGGGTTCCTGAGAATCTCAGAAGCTGGAGGCTATCCATTCATAGATATCATTGGGAGTGGATATGGAATGATATTCTAGATCCTATATTCTATCTCTTCAAGTCCAGTCAAGGATATATCGAATGGTCCAGGAACCCTCGAACAGAATCTGTAAGACGTTGCACGAAGATAAGAGTGTGAGTACTCCGGACTGGTAGCTGTTTCGCCATCTAAGGGGGGGCAAACTCCCTTCGAAATTTTTTCCCTGATTAGCTTCTTCCTTTTCTTCTCCCCCAAAAATCTCTTTCTTTATCTTTCTATTTTCCTCTTTTGCCTAGAATCGGATCCACTCAAGGGCGGTGACGATCCTCAAGGCTTCAAACTCTCCTCCCCCAAAGTCTTCTTTCCTACGTTCTGCGGCTTTTGATCAGCCTGTAAGATCTCTCTTTTCAACAACGTGCTCTTTGAATAGAATTATTATTCTGACATTCCTTCTGTTCACTTCTGGCTCTCTTAGTTTAAATTTCTTGTTTTTTTTTCACCTAACCACTCCGGTTTCCGCTTGATACCATCCCGACCTGTACTTGACCAATGTCCTCCTCATGTCAAACTCGCCGTCCGTTCCCGAAGATACCTTGCCTAACCCCCTGGTGACACCTGCTACACCTGCCCAACATGATTGCTCGAAAGATACCGTCGGGACCCCACGTCACTTGCGGCAGGATCATCTGTCTCAGGGACCTAGGGAGGTATCATCACCATCGCGCGCTGAATCTCCCACCGCCCATTCCTGGGCTTTACCCGTCTCCCGACTACCTCTAAAAAGAACCGCCACCACACCTCCAGAGAATACCGCGCAGCCCGATATTGTTTATAGGCCGCAGCTGTCAGAACGTGACAGCATTTTTGCTACTCATTACCTTCCCTCAGATAGCGCCGCAACTACCCCACGATTACCCCCCGAAAAGGCCTTGGGCAATGAACGCCAGGTCAACTTGATCCCTAGCCTCGATGATGCATCCGTGTCTCCAAGTGCATTCTCCAAGGTCTCTCCCCACCGTTTGAACGTCGACCCTTCCCACATGGAAGTTGACGTCCACAGAAACTCTCCATTGCGTTCCTCTGCTCTATTTCCTCCCACCGATATCCCCCGTTTGTCTCTCCTGCGCACATCGACCTCGCCGACTGATCACAAGAACACGGAGGTTGAGACGGGCGTGCAGGCTCATTTAGGCGGATCTCAACGGTACAAGGTGCCATTGGATAACACAGGTACGAAGACCAGTCGGTTTCAAGGCACTTTACCTGAGCGGAATGTTTTCCCGTCCACTCTAGATGATGTCTCTCGTACCTCTCACTCTTTGACTATCTTGTCCTCCGGCCACGGCTCTCATGTCGGCCAGGATCTCTTATCCTACAGCCCTACAGAAGAAACCCCACAAACTCCTGGTGCACCAGAACGAAGCCCCAGTAGAGGTCGTCGTGGCCGGGTTGACAGCTCAATTGAAGCCAATTTACCCAATGCGGAGCCGGCTTCTAATGTGCGCAGCCGTAAGTCCAGCCACTATCTGGGTCTTTTCAAAGAAAACACAACCACTACTTCGCCGGATCGCAAACGACGGGAGGATCGCGACCGACCGCAAGATGAGACGGAGTCGAGGGATAACATCATGGATTATGATCAAGAAACACATCACCCAGAGCAGGAACCTTCGCCGCGTAAAAGCATATCACCCTCCGCACTTGAAGATGCTCCCTCTTTCCAACATCCTCCGGCTGAGTTCTCTCAGGCCATACCAGATGACGTGCCCTCTAAGCGCCGACCTACAGCATTGCCGCGCAGCTTGCTGGAGGAGATTAGAAATTTCCATCTGACGCCTGGCGGCAGCCATGGGTCTTCTTTCTCTCAAAGCATTCCAACCCAATATTCAGAGCGCACCCGTGATTATTTCCAGAAGGATATTAACGATGAGGTATCCCCGGCTAACTCTTTCGAGGAGGAGGAGGGTCGTGAATCAACGCAATTTGCGGTTGAGGAGGAGGAAAATGAGCAGATTTCTTCTGCGCTTTACTTCCCCCACGAGCGCACAGTGCCTGATGGAGTTGATGCGCTGCAACAATTCCCCGATGGCACTCATGCTGTACAGCCGGGTCAGCTGCCGGCTGCGGAGAAAGGCCATGAGCTGATGTTAGTACCAGAGCGTAGCGATTCTCCCGAAAAGGAAATCAGCCATGTGGATATATCCTTTCGATCTAAGAATGAAAGTAAGATCCTTCGTGGGGATATCCATTCCCCACGAGAGAATCTGCCAGACAAGCCTTTGAGTACCATCTCTGAATGCAGCTATGATCAAACATACGATTCTGAAGCCGAACCGTCAGCAGATGAAAGTATACAATCTGCTAATGACCTGACTGACGAGGCCGCAACCCCGACTGCCACACCGACTCAGCCATCGCGGCTTCTTTCTCGCCCCAAAGCCCCGCCCCCGGGCCCTCTCGGTGCTGTGGAATTGAAGCCCTATCGGCATCAGGTTGGCGGCCACACAACTGTTTTCCGATTTTCCAGACGCGCTGTCTGCAAGCAGCTGAATAATCGAGAGAATGAGTTCTACGAACGCATTGAACTGAGGCACCCCGATATGCTGGTGTTTCTTCCAAAGTAAGTAAAGTCTTTCCCTCAAATAGCAAACGGTTGCCAGCGTATCCAGTACTAATGTTCTGGTCAGATACATCGGGGTATTGAATGTCACGTTCTCAAAGACATCCAAACGAAAGGATCAGGTTGATTCTGCCGATGGAGTAGTTCAACAGGTGACACCTGCCAATGGAACTTCAGCCCTCAGCTCTCAGCTTCTCGAGGCAGCAGAGTCACAAGAACCACAGGAGCCACAGCGAGTTGTTAGCCAGTCCCAAGTCACAGGGGTCATCCCCAAGGTCATTCTTGAGAACAATCGCCACATCATCCCCGCCGATCTTTTTACCCGCCAACAGCGACCCCGTACAGCAGATGACTCAGTCAACCGTGCAAGATCCATTGACGGCCTCGAGGGTATGTCAGTGGAATCTGATCCGTCGGCTCTGAGCAAGCGGGCTAAGATCTGGGGCGCCACGACCGTCAATCTCAAGCTTCAAGAGCAGGTTCTCCGCGAGGTATTCAGCCCTCCTGCAATCCACCATCACCGACGTCATGCTCGTGGTCATGTCCATCTGCCAAGGGCCAACTCTGACATGCCCGCAACTATACGTCGCCGAGAGAACCTATCAGAAGACCACACAGCCAGCAGTCGACGACCAGCTCCCGGCCCAATTGAAGCTCTGAAGACAGAAGCAATTGACATAAGGGTGCCCCCTAATGAAGGCCCTGCTCTTTCGTCGTCGGCCTCGACTGCCCTAGACGCCAATCAGAACCGACTAGAGAAGATTCGGACCGAAGAGGATCCCAACCGAGCAAGCTCGCTCTCCCGGGCTTCTCACACAAGACGGCGGCATTCCGGGAGTGGTCTCCAGAGACGTGGCAGCATGGATTCTCGCAACAATGGAGAACTCCTGTTCTTTGATGACGAAGATTATGCCGGTGACAAGGAGGATGAAATTTTCTCGATGGAAGCCGATGCTTCGATGTCGACTTCTTCCACCGCGAAAAGGTCAGCTTCACCAGTGTCAGAAAACAACTTTTCCAATGGTTTCCCTGCAACCGAAGCTTTCACTTCTAGTATAACTACTGATCCAAATCGCTTCAAACCAAAAGAGCCTCTCGACGCGGTTTTACCCAGCAATCCTAAAGAGGCGCAGCTGAGAAAGGACGAAAGAGTGCAGTTCTTCCTCCTCCTTGAGGATCTGACAGCAGGAATGAATAAACCATGCGTGTTGGATTTGAAGATGGGCACCCGACAGTATGGCATCGAGGCGAATGAGAAGAAGAAAAAGTCCCAGCGACGTAAATGTCAGTCCACTACCTCACAGCAGCTGGGCGTGCGGCTCTGTGGCATGCAGACCTGGAATGTCAAGAAACAGGAGTACATCTTTGAAGACAAGTATTTTGGACGAGATTTAAAGTCCGGTCGTGAGTTTCAGGATGCGCTCACTCGGTTCCTTTACGACGGCGTTAGCTATGTCAGTGTCGCCAAAAAGATCCCTGTCATTCTGGAAAAATTAGCTTTGTTAGAGCACATGATTCGACAGCTGAATAGCTACCGACTGTATGCTAGCAGTCTCTTGATCCTTTATGACGGAGAACCCCAAGCACCTCAGCAAGAACCGCCTCGTGCTGGCGATAAACGGGGAACCTCCAATGACGGTCAGAGCAGACTGAATGTTCAACTGAAGATTGTCGACTTTGCCAATTGCGTCACTGGCGAGGACAAACTTCCTCCAGATACGCCATGTCCACCCCACACTCCACACGACATTGATCGTGGATATCTGCGTGGCCTTCGTACACTCCGAATGTATTTCCAGCGGATCATGAAAGAGGTGACTCTGGACGAATACGTGGAACGAGGTGAGGGTGAAGCCATCGCGTTGGGCTCTCAACCTGCGGCTCGTGAGAGATCTTCTGCTCAGTATTGGGATGAGACCATGATGGAAACCGACGCGGGTGAAGTTAGTTTCTAGATCTTTTTTTCCTGAGGTTTTTGCTTTTTTTTTTTTTTTATCATCTCTCGGCCCACTGCCGATACGTGGCGTTCGGAGGATAGATTCTTCCATATTGAAACGCCAACATTCATATGCACCAGTGCCTGATCTCACCTGATCGACACTACGAAATAACGACCCGGCCCTGCAATGGGTGCTTCTATGATCCCCGACCCTTGGATGCATTTAGAGTCGTTTGAGTTTCTTTGCCCTTTTGTTTCTCTTTCGCAGAAGCCTCTTGTTTTTTTTTTTCTCGGGCGTGTATCAGTTTCTTTTTCTCGGCTGTTTTGATATTGATAATACCCCCAATGTCTCAAATCCTTTTTTTTTCGGTCTGCATGATCTTACTTGTATATGAGTATCCTTTTTTTCATATTTCTAGATGGCCAATTTTCCTTTATCTTCACTATTTCTCTCAATATATCATCTTTCGAAAATGACGTGATCGGATATAGATTGTAATGAGTCACGTGGAATGACTCCAACTCTCTCCGCTCTTGGAGTTCTTCCCCCTCAGCTTGACGACCACTTATAAAGAACATATACATTTCCTTGTACTCTGTACCTGAATAATCCTTCAGTGAACACAACTGTCTATGATCCACATCCGAAATCCAATGACGTAGCATTGAACAACACAACATCGGGATCCACCCAGCTGACACCAACCACTCCCCGCCCTTGAAGCTCCAAGAGGGACAATCCCCAGCATTTCAGGGTCAAATCGTGGTCGCATATTTCGATCTCAAAAGCCTAGCCTTTCCATCCACCATACCCATCTATATCGACCGATATTACACTTCCCCTCAGCAAGAGCGGAGACAGCCTAGCGCAGCCGGTGCGGAGAAAGCACTATGACGATCGATAAGCGCGATTTCGACGCGAATCGCCCACTCCTTCAGGATATCGACACAGAACAGGACCCAGCCGACCGAATTGCAGAGTCATCGCGGTTGAGACCCGCGTCACAAATTTCACGAAGCTCCGGTAATGACGGACTTCCACGGAGCGATGACGGGTTATTGAACGATGTCGTCGAGGAGATCGTCGAGCGTGACAGACGGAAGATGCAGAAGGAGGTTACTCGAGTGCTTAGCTTTGGATGGGGTGTTGTTACTTGGTATGGAAAACCCTTCTCCTTGCTGTCATGCAAGAGCTCATGGAGCCCTGCAAGCTGACTCTGCGTGTTTTGCAGCCTGGGAGCCGGCAGTATCACTGCTTTCTCTTTGTATGGTCATCTACTCCTGACTCGACTCCATTACTCGCAGCTCCAGGTCAATGCTGTTTCTATCGCCGCCGAAATCGCAATGTATCTCCCCGTCCCCTTATTTGGCTACTTGTGTGACCGGTACAGCCCGTCGCCACTGGCTCTGTTCTCGGGGCTGGTTTTTGGTATTGGATATCTGCTCGCTGCGTTCACGTACAAGGGTGGCCCGCCTGCTGATGCGGGCGGCTCTGGGTGGCCGTTCTGGGTGATGATTGTGGCGTTTATCGCTATTGGTATGGGGACGAGCTGCATGTATCTAGCGGCAGTTGCGACATGTGCCAAGAACTTCGGCAGAGGGAAACACAAGGGGATTATGCTTGCTGTCCCTATTGCGGCATTTGGCCTCAGTGGTATGTGGCAGAGCCAGCTTGGGATGTATCTGTTCTATGAACGTCTCGAGGATGGGAGTCACGGTGATCTCGACGTTTTTAGATACTTCATATTCCTGGCGGTGCTGCTGTTGGGGATCGGGATAGTCGGTACCTTTGCATTGCGCATCGTCGAGGATGATGATAAGTATATTGATGAGACGGTTGAAGAACTAGAGCGCAGCGGACTGCTGGAGGAGAGTGATTTCTTCCGGCCGCGGAATGAAATCAGACAAGTGGTTGAGTACGGCACGTTCTCTGGTGCATTCGACGAGGAGGAATCAACCCTGTCCGACGAAGAGCGCGAGCAGCAAAGACTGGAGAAGGAACGTGAGGAAGAAGAGCGCCGCAAAAAGAACTGGCTACTCAACTATGAAACTCGCGTCTTCCTACAAGACAACACCATGTGGTGGCTAGCCGCAGGCTTCTTCTTGGTCACCGGCCCCGGTGAATCATACATCAACAACGTGAGTTCTGTCTCAAATCCCAACTCCATAACAAAAGCTAACCTGTTATCCAAAGCTGGGCACAATCATCCCAACCCTCACACCTCAATCCTATCCCACAGGCGCATCACCCCCGGCCGGATCCCCATCAACACACGTCACAACAATAGCCCTAACCTCGACCATCGCCCGCCTACTGACAGGCTCACTTTCCGACTTCTTCGCTCCCGCAGCAACACACCTCTTCCCTTCACTTTCCGAAGGCTCCCGACACACATCCCCTCCATCCTCACGCCTCACTCTATCCCGGATGATCTTTCTCATCCCCTCAGCCTTCCTCCTATCCCTAGGCTACCTCCTCCTCGCCTCCCCCCTTCCACTAGCACACCCAGGCATCTTCAACCTAACAACCGCCCTAATCGGATTCGGGTATGGCAGCGCCTTTTCCCTCGCGCCCATCATCATCTCCGTCGTCTGGGGCGTCGAGAACTTCGCCACAAATTGGGGCATTGTCGCCATGATGCCTGCAGCTGGTGCAGCGTTGTGGGGTATTGTCTACTCCGCTGCTTATCAAAATGCCATGGATCACGGTGACGGCTTGTCTGATGGCCAGTGTCATGGATGGCGATGCTATGGATTCTGGGCTGTCGGTTGCACGGTCAGTGTTTGGGTTGCTGTTTTGGCTTGGTTGGCTGCTTGGAGGGGGTGGAAGAGGAGGGGGATTGTTGTTTAGTGTTTAACTGGTGTGTTAGTTTTGGCTTTAATGTCTTTAATATGTTTGATATCTGCGGTTTATATTGGTGTTCATGAGGGATTTTATACATGTCTGGGTGGATATGGTTTGGCATTTGCATATAGCTAGGTAGTTTTGATCATTTCGGTACTTTCTGTTATCTTACATTCATATTGATCAAATACAACATTTGCATAAAAAAAAAGTCAATCGCTGCATTTTAGGTGTCATACTCCTTTACTACCATGTACCAACTGGCGTTCAATCGATAGCAACATTCCCCATAGCCCAATACGAAGTCTATCTCATTTGGTTGGCATATCCAATTGCCCAACCAGAAGAAATAGGGCAGCATGTTAGATGTCCAAGTGCGTGGGCAATTAACCAAAAGATAATCCAACACGCCAATGGGATGCAATATCCACAATGCAAGGTACCTCTCAGAGGCAGTAGGTCAGGTTAAGAATGGCAATAACCAAAATCAACCACGACAAAAAACAAACCTAAATGTCCGTTGAACTCGGATCAAGTCCAGTGAACACTTTGTACAGCCGCTTACTAGCAGCAGGGCCGATACGCGCATTCGTCAAGGAGCCGTTTTTGTTCGCGGATTTCTATAGCAATTAGTATGTGACATTCTGATAGAAGATGTAAAGAAAAAGCCAAATGAAGTAAGAAAACGAGATAAAATCAATAGAAAGATTGAAAATTGAAAGCAAAAACATACCTTGATATCCTCCAGCATCATAGCACCATGCATCCGCATCGCACGTGTCAAATCCACAACACAGGGATACTGTCCCGCAATCCCATAAGCCATCGGAGCCGTCACACGATTGACCTCCTGGATCATCTTGATGAAAGTATCCTTTTTATCGACGCCGGTCTTTACCTGCCCCGTATCCATACAAAAAGCGGCGTTGTGTGTTTCCTGTCGTTCGCGACGGTACGGGACAGTTGAGATGTGCTCGGTGAAATTTTTAAGCCACTCAGCGGAATCCGCTGGCGTCGTCGTATGGTGGATGAGACAAGAGTGGGTGACCTGCAGTTCAAGCAGAGCGTCTTCGACAGTCTCGTCGTCGACGAGGGGTGTCGTGTCGGGTGTCTTCTTCGGTTTCCGTGCTCTACGGACCGTACTTTGTTCCTCTGGTGCTGGTGCTGTTGTTTCGGCAAGTTGGCGCAGGACTTCAGCTTGGAATGCTCTGTTACGTGCATTTGTATTTTTGCGCATTAAAGCAGTGAGGCCTTCGATTAGGTATATTGGTTTGCAGTCTGGGTAGGCGCTTTTGATTCGGAGGACGTGGATCTCTAGGGTTTCTCTCTCTGAGTCAGAGTCGTCTGGTGGTGCGGTTAACATGTTGATGAACTGTTGCGCGGGTAACAGACATAGTACGTGGTCTTCCTTTTGGATGAAGGATGGACAGGGTTCCCAGTGGCGTAGGGTTCTGTTATACGTAGCGTTCATTTTGCGACGCCATTTGACTACGTTGGGAATTGCGCTTGGGAAGAATGTATGTTGGACGCCAAGTCGTTTCATGAACTCGATTGTTTGGGTTCCGACGCTGCTGTCTTCGAGGGATATGGCCATGTCGATGATCATTTCTGGGGTGGAATCCTTTTTATTCACTTTCAGCTTGTTGACGCTTGCGATATCGGCAGCCCGCTGTTTCTCTTTTGCTTTCTCTTCTTTGAGCTTCAGCTTGCGATCTTTCTCGAGCTGACGTTCTCGTTCTCGCTGTAGTTTTGTCTCTTCGCGCGCTTTGGCCTTTGCTTCTTTTTCGGCGGTTGTAAGCTTGCTTGTCTTCTTTGCTGTCTTGCGGGGTGCTACTGGTTCATCAATGTCGTCGTCGGAGAGAACTTCTGCAGCCGTAGATTTCGAGCTGGTGCCTTTCTGCTTTCGAGTACCAGACTTTGCTTTGGGGCCTGCAGGTCGTTCCTCGCCAAGGCGAGATAACAGACGAGCAGTCGACTCAGAGAAAATAGGAGTCGAGGCAGTTGGCTTTTTCAGTAGGTCAGAAAATTCCGGCAAAGTAAACGGATCGCTGAATTCTTCAATGTCGCTACGCCCTCTGAGACTCGAGGGCGGAGGCATGGGGTCCGTCAATATGTCATCATCATCAAGCGCAATAATATCACGGGTTGAAAGCTGCGATTTCCGCGGTGGGGGCTTTGGCAAAGGAGCTGGAGCCGAAGAGGTAAATACAATTGGGTCCGACTCTTCGGCACGCGGCTGGGCTGGTTTGTTTTGCCCCGCGGCCTTTACTGATGGTAGATCGAAATCATCATCTGAGATCGAGAACCACGGCTCCGCCGCAGAAGCTGGAGCTCGTGGTTCGTTCGGCGTGGTACTCTGTCGCAGGGAAGAAGTGTCCTCGTCGCTCACTCGCCGTTTCTTGGCCGGCTTGTCGAAGACATCTTCAAAGTCGAACAAGGATGTATCGAACAGGTCTGACGAAATTGGATTGAGCTGGTGGGATGGACGTCGCGACGGGAGTTCAGCTGGCTGCTGCGGCTTGGGGGCTTGTGGCTTTGGTGGAGTAGGGGGATCGGAGGATAGGAGGTTTATTATTTCGGGCATGTTGAGGGATCCCAATGCCACTAGGGCCAGCGAATAATGATAAAGATGAATTGATAGAGGGGAGACGCGACGTCACCGCGAACAAAACACGAGGTCATGTGATTGAAATATGAGTGATTATTGTGTGCGGTGTTGGCAGGAACCATGTTCAAGTGAAGGGGATGAGGAATGAGGTAAATTGAGAGAAGGTAGATTAATTTACAGTACACTGGTTCAATACATGGACTATGAATTATAGCGTTCGAAGTAAAATTGCAGCCATCACTGCAAGAACAGCCCCAATCAGACTGAGAATGACCAAGACCTGCTGCCAACCATTGAATGGTCTTCTTTCAGCATTGAGCATGGTAGAGATCTCTTCTTCCAGTCTATCACCCATAGCAGTGAGCGAGAATTCCTGCTGCGCCCTGTTCTTGCCAGCAAGAGCCATGCGTTCAAGATCCTCCCGACTCAGTCCGTAAAGTACCTTGTCCATTACAGCGGTCCACTCTTCATCTGCGTGAGCATCCCGGAGCCAGCCCGTCTCGCCCTCGACAATTGTCTCCAGTGGACCGCCAGTATTAGATGCTAGTACTGGGAGACCAACGCGCATTGCTTCGACGGGTACAATGCCAAAGTGTTCGTTGATCGGTGTGTAGAGAAGGAGCTTTGATTGCGCCAACAGGGTATCTTTGAATGCAGTGGGAACAGAAAGAAGGAATAGGACATCAATGTCATTGGGGATTGAAAGCGCAGAAAGGACTGTCTTCGAGGTTGCGGTCTTCAACCCGAGGCTGATCGCGAGCTCATCAAGCTCTTGGTGGTAGTGAACATTCTCGGGGACACGATTATCGTAACCGCCTGCAAAATACCATGTTAGAATTTATACGAATCGCAAATCTCTGCACAAGCTCTTACCAGCAATCACCAGCCGCGTCCCTTTCCTTTTCTCCGCTCCTAGTCCATTATAAGCGCGAATCGCCAACCCCATATCCTTCTTACGCTCAAAGCGATTGATGCTGAGCAGGATTTTTTTCCCACCCCAGAGAGGGTCTTCCTCCGTCTTATCAGGCATTGGTATTCCGGGATCCATATCAACACAAGGATAGACCACTTCCACATCACCTAACCGGTCCGAGCCAAAGACGCCACGTACGACTCCACGGGAGAACCTAGAGTTTGCAACAACCCGATCCGATGCGCTCATCGCCCATCCTTCAAACCAATCGAATGGAAACCGGTATAAAGCCTTCGCCAAGCGAAGAAGCGAGCCGCCCTCATCTCGGCGCGCGAGCAATTGATCTGGGAAGTGACAATAGAATAGGATGCGTTGACGTCGAGATTGGCGCGGGCGGCCGAACGATTTCAAAAATGGCACGCAGGCCGGCAACTGGTCCACGATGAAAATATCATCCCGGTCCTCCTCGTCGTCAGTGGTTGTGGTAGCTGTGCCCCTTGTCCCAAGCTCGCCTAGTAGTGACACGGTAAGATGTAGCTGGCGCACTGCGGCCATGAGTATGTGGAGTCGACCAAAGATATGGGCGGGAAAGATGGTGTTTCCACGCACGCGGACGTCCAGCGTGCCATCGCGCGCCTCGTCGAAACAGTGCGCCTTATCGCGGTGGGAGGTGTAGATCGTTACGCGGTGGCCTCTGTTCTGAAGGGCCAGGGCAACGTCGATTATTAGCCGCTCGGCACCTCCGATACCCAGATCCGGGTGGATTATTGTCACATTGGACCGTTGGAGGCCCATGGTGAGTTTGCTTTAGAGCTTGAAGATTGAAGCTGCCGTTGCGACAAGCTTGAAGACACGTGGGGTATATCATGTGATGCAAATATCCGTGGTACGGAGATGGCTATTTTTAAGGTTGTTTTCTTGGCGCGGCTTCGGGAGTACATACCTAGGTTCCCTCCGACATCACCTCGGGAAGTCCCGACCTATCCACCTGGGGTAAAGCATTCGCAGACTTCCCCAGCACGGATTGCGACATGGGTTCTCATTTCAAAAACTAGACTATCATCATCAATATCTCGTTGTGTGGTAACTGGGCGGGTGCGAGCAAGTACTACACAAAACAAAGTAGCTGTCCTGGCAACTACACCGAATTCGTACGGGACAATGCGACTAGTTTCGACACTGCATACTGGGAGTTCGGCGGCTTTAAGGTCTATCAGACCTCGCGATTTGTTGAATTGTCAAGTACAATTCTCCTTTTAATGTGTTCCTGAATTGATGCATGGGGTCTGACCATTGCCGAGGCGTTTAATTTGTGGGTTTTATTTAAAAATGGCTGAGTTTTCAAGGCAGACTCCAATCATGGAATTTACATGTCGATATATAACTAGATGATGAACAGAAACTCATCATTCGGGCATCAACCCTAAAGATCAGGCATGCGAAGCTTGGCCGCTATACACCGTCGTAGACACCGGTGATATAAGTTTTTTAATATAATCGTAAACCAAATGAGCAAGTACCGCGTTCCAGTTAGAAACTAGAGTGTCCGTGGACAAATTATCTGGCACGTATAATGGTAAACACTTAGCAGGTGCGTTGTAGCATTCCGAGTGTGATCGCCGTCTATATCGGGGGAAGTCAACGCGAGAATGTTTATAACGCACTGACGATGAAGATTGTCATCCTCGTCGTGGATTCCATGTTAGCAGACATCGTGGAGCGAATATGATCTAATGGAGTTAGGTAGACTTTACAATTCTTTGCTTCAGTCCCAGTTTTGGTTTACTAGCTAATCTCTCCTTTTTTTATTTAATTTACTTTACTACCTGTAGGTATCCATTGCGCAATATCATTAATCGAACAGGAGAAATATGATGTTGGTTCTAGACTGCGAAATCGCACGTTTATGGCACCTAGGAGGTGCCTCAGGCCCGTGCATGGTGGGCTTGAGACGTTTCGACTCTTTGCCTAACTACCTATAATTATATAAATTCGTACTACCAACTAGGCCATAGGAATAAATTTGCCTTCGTTATCCTTTCCACCTTGCTCACCAGGCCGCGGGACTTTGCCTCCCCGCTTCGGAATGAGGGCACACAAAAATGTCACGCCAAAGAGCGCAATTCCCATGGCCCAACTACCGTGCAGACCATCAAGGTAGGAGCGTCGCGCACCAACAAGCGCTGAGCCCGAGAAGACTTCTTCAAGCCCGCTTGAACCGGCAGCGATGACCTCCTCAGGATTGATACCCTTCATATATTTGGGTATATTTTTCAAAAGTAGGTTGTTCATGATCGAATCCGTAGAGCCGACACCGTAAGCCGCCGAGATGAACTGGAAGACTATAAGTGGGTCAGTGGGTTGACAGTTGGTATCTTGAATACATTTGAACGTACATAGAACAGTCGCCATGGTAATGGCCTGATCATCTGTTGAGCTCAATGCTCCTGCTACAACAACAGGAATCTGAACTGAGAGTCCGGTGCCTGTACCGTAAAGAATTTGATATCCGATAATAGGGCCCAGACCGGATGTCAGATCGAAGGTGTAGATCAAACCCGCGCCGATAGTGGCTAGTATACTGCCGGCTAGCAAGAATGGCTGGTAGTATCCGACCTTGGTGACAATAGCAGATGATAAGAAAGTTGCGATGGCTTTCTGTCTATTAGTTCAAGTCCCACTGAAGATAAATGCGAGGAGACCGGAACTGACATGTTGAGAGAATAGTTGGGATGTTTTTGATCCCGCTGGTCATGGGAGAGTCCCCATTAATGGCCTGGAAATAGATTGGAAGGTTATAGATCAACGAGAAGTTGGCGGCATTGAGGCTGATTCTGTCAGATGTTGTTCTCGAGGCTTGGTCGTGACGCAAAAGAGAGCAAAACTCACAAAAAGATAAAGGCACAGCAGGCGCCGATATTCCTATTCGCCAATAGTCGCGGAACCATCAGCGCACGGTCTTGCTGCCACCACTCGATACCGAGGAAAGCACCGGTCAGGACAACCCATAAAACAAGACAAGCGATGACGGAGCCATCGCCCCACGGTTTCGTGACTCCTCCCCACTGTAGGGCTAGGAAAAAGCAGATCAAACCTGCCAGCAAGACTACCAGACCGATGAAGTCGAACTGCTGCAGTTTCTCCTTCAGTGGCCTTCCCATTCCGGATTTGGCCTGGTCAGGGGTGCGGAAGAAGAAAAGTAAGACCCCGGCTGCCACGCCACCGATGGGAAGGTTAATGTAGAAGCACCAACGCCATGTAACATGCTGCGAAAAGGCGCCTCCCAGCAGAGGTCCTGCAATACTCGCTACACTGAATGTAGATCCCAGCAAGCCAATGATTATAGGGACTTTCTTTGGGGGCGCAATGAAAGCTGCAATGGTGTAGCACCCGCCGGTGAGACCGGCTCCCCCACGCCCTGGATGGCCCGTCCAACAATCAACGCAATACTGTTTGGCGCCAAAGCGCAGACCAAACTTCCAATCTCGAATATGCCAATAGCTGCCAAAAAAGAGCCGCGCAGGGAGAAGCCCTTGTATACATGACCCCAGGCGGATTGGAAAGCGGCAAGTGTCAAAAAGAAGGAACTGCCGTACCATCCGATATCTTCCATGCTCTTGAACTGGGTCGTGATCTTCGGGATCGCAGTGGAGATGATACTCTTGACTCAGAGTTAGCAGGGTGTCTTGGAGATTGTTCATGATTCGGGTACTTGCCATATCAAGGGCGACCTGAAAACCCAAAGTTAGCTCGGTATTAGTATCTATAAGGATATGCTATGGACTTACCAGGAACATGCTCAGCATCAATGCGACGACAATTATGACCAAAATTGGTCCCGATGGGTACTTAATCGGTGCCAGTTCATCTTGAGACTCAGAGGGCGTATCGGTTCTTTCCTCTTTGGTGTCTGTAACCAGGTTCGAGTTTGTCTCCGACATGGTTTTGAGTGAATGTAGCGATTGGCAATCAATAGTAGCCGGGAGGATAACAAAATATTGTTGAAATAGCAAGGAATCTCTATTAAATACCCACTGAGCTTCAAGCTGTGAGAGAAAGAAAAGTACCCGATGGTTTACTATATAGGGGTCAGAAAAGTACCCGATTGGACCATTTCTGATTAGAAACCTAGCTAGGTCACCAGCTTTGGTACCATGACGAACCATGAAATATTGATGATGGGCCTGTTTGTGATTTGTTTCAAGGTGAGATTTCCTTGGGGAGGCCATTATACAGCAGTTGAACCTCAAGCATTGGTCATCAATCGCGGTGTTGATTGGTGTCTTGGCTACTCTGCTATATGACCGATGCTGGTCCCCCATATCTCTATTTGAGCATAAATCAAACGTTTGTCGCTGTGTCCCTGGGGCTGCTTGTTGGCCTAGTCCATAGCAATGGGCGGACTTCAACTCGACTATCAAAGGGCGACCCATCGCATCAACTCCCATCGGGACACCATGTCACCAGCCTCAGTATAATGCGACAAAATGCGAGGAGATTTGAGGAGAGTGAGAATGGCCTAGAATCTAGTTGAGTTCCCAGACCTTCCTGCGGACCAAACTGGGCTAAAGGATAGCAGCATCAACTCTCCAACTTTGGTTAGAACGCCGGCAACAATCCCTGTGATCCTTTTGAAGAATCCGAAATTCAATGCCACGTGAATGAACACGTCCAGATGGCTGTCAATGTTAATTCCGTGGATGAAGTACACGCCAGCCTTGACTTTGCCCGTGAGCACAATGTCCGGACCGTAATCAAAAATACAGGGCATGAATACATGGGGAGATCGGCGCCGGCACGCGGGACATTGTCATTGTGGACTCACCATCTTTCTTCGTCTGAAGTGATCCCAAATTATCAAAGTCACAACCACAACGGTAGTGCAATTCGCCTTGGTGCGGGTATTATGGGATCGGATACAGTGAGGGTTGCTCATGAGAACGGGCTGCGCATCGTAGCAGGGTTCTGCCCGAGTGTTGGCATTCCTGGGGGTTACATCCAAGGCGGAGGACATGGTCCATTGAGTTCATCATATGGAATGGCGGCAGATCAGGCACTGGAATGGGAGGTTGTGGCGGCAGATGGGCGACACATAATTGCTTCGCCGACTCAACACACCGAGCTGTACTGGGCTCTCGGCAGGGGCGGTGGGGGTGTTTTTGCATTTGTCATATCTGTCATCGTCCGGACATTTCCCGATGAGACCCGTGGGAGGCGCCAGTATGGTCATATTCCGACAAGATCAGGCCAATGATGATGCCTACTGGGCGTCCTTTGCAGCCTGGCAAGAGGAATCCCCAGCTCTCTTGGACTGCGGGGCCACAGCCGGTTACGCCATCTTAAATGACGCTTTTTTTGTGCATCCAATCACAATAGAGGGAATTCAGACTGCTGCCGAGATGGAGACATTGCTGGCCCTACTGAAGTCACGGCTCGATGACATGCATATACGGTACACATTGCAGGTCAGCTCCAAGGCCAACTTCTACAACCATTACCGCAAATACCAAGGACCCTTGCCTTGGGGTGCATACTCGGTGGGTCAACTATTCGGAGGACGGCTGATCCCGCGTGTGGAGCTTGACGAGCGACCCCACTCTCTACTGGCTACCGTTCGACGAATCACCGAAGAAACGCATGCATTTCTTGGGTTTGTCGCTCTCAACGTTAACCAAACTCAAAAAGGAATTACACCCGTGCAACCTGTAGCAAACATTTCCGCTCTTCCCGCGTGGCGTTATGCAGCTCTGACGGTCCTGGCACAATCGGCGTGGAACTATTCTGCCCCTCGCGCGGATGGGCTTTCACGTGCGGAGGAGATGACCCGGGTGGTTGGACCAGCAGTTGGGTCGTACATGAACGAAGCCGATTTCCGATTGGAGGACTGGCAAGTCGAGTTTTATGGGGCCCATTGGGATATTCTGAGTGGAGTGAAATATCGATGGGACCCCGAAGGATTGTTCTAGGCACCATTTGGCGTGGGCAGTGAAAGGTGGAGGTTGGAGAAGGGAGACCGGTTGTGTAAAGTCGTCGGTTAATTAAATGGATGAGTACTATTGATCTAAATCCTCCTAGAGCAACCGCGTGGCTGTGGATCCTTGTCGTTATCAGTGCCATGTCAGAACTAAATACTTACTATCTACACTATGTAAGTAAGCCTGCATAGCATATGCTATCTTCCACAAACATCAAAGCGTTTCCACTGTTGGGGGCCTGGAGATGACGAGTACGTTATACAATCATGGATTGATTGTTTCGCCATACGACCCTATGCTAGAGGGTTGTTCAAAGCAATACAAATTCTAGTGCGTATTGTCTTGTATAATCACTACCTACTAATTAGGTAGTTACCTTGTATGTATGTATATGTAATATCATTACTATTATATATCGGTCGAACAGTCCTACACCCGCGCTCCGTTGGGGCGGTTCATAATGCATACTCTGACTTTAGCAATAAGTCGACAAATGAGTCTCCCGTGTGTGCGTCATATTGCATTATTGCATGTAAAATCAGTTCCTGTAACTTGCTATCCCCTTAATATAACATACATATGTAACATTTGTACGGAGTGCACTTGAAAACAAACTGATGCCACGTGACTTCTCTTATTTATCTATCAGCCTCTCCTGGATAGTTCCTTTCTCTCCTCACGCACTACAGAGACTCTTTCAGGTCTTTGCTTCTTCGGTAGTCTCTAGATCCCCTGATCTCACAGCCCATGCGCGTAAAACTAAGGAACAAAGTACAACCGGGTACATTGGGTTACCTCCCCGAGTTGGGGCCCAGAACGTATTTGTCAGCAGTCAGAGCCCTGGAGGTCGCAGCCTGGAGACCATCAACCCGGCTAAATTTTTGACCTGGTGATCTCCTGAGGTCTCGATGAAACTTGACTGAGCGTCATTATCAATCACCCGATGCTGTTATTCTGGTCCAATAATGTCTTCCCAGGCACGACTTCGTACGTCGTGCGACGCCTGCCAATCCTTGAAAATCAAATGTAGCCAAAACAAGCCCGAGTGTGACCGCTGTGTGAAGCACGGACTTCAGTGTGTATATAGCCCACTCCGTCGCATGGGAAGACCTAGAAAGCGAGATGCTTCGTGTCGGGATGCTCAACTTCCGAGTGGAGATTCGGATACCCAACCTGCCCAGACAGAAGACACGGCGCCCCTAGCGACTGAAGAAGAGGATGTTATGAGCCAGTGGCCCGATTCAAACACCGCGATTTCATTATCTTTGACTGACTCCATGCATGATACTTCATTCGCATCTGACGCAACTGATCGACTGGCGAGCTCTGTGGGCTGCCCCGGCATAGCCTCCCAGAGAGGTGATTTGGGCAATATATACCAAGATGCATTCATGGAGGACATCCAATCCTCAATCGACTGTCAACTTCCGTTCTTACCGCGTCAGTTACCCACCGCCGCTCCACCTAAGCGGAACCCGAATGAGTTGAAGAGGAAGAAGTTGGGCCTGGAAAGCGCCTCTTGGCCAATGACGCAAAATATTGCTCCGGCCACTAATACAACGACTTCATATGCGCTCAATGAGCTTCTACCTTTATCAAGTCCTCCAGAAGCAGCCATGGGACGGCGCCTCAGCCTCCAGGATTCCCAGTCGGAATTGCCAGAGCTTCTAAATAGAAACACAACTGACACCGCCATCTATACTGGCAACTCCCAGTCCGCTAGCCACCATCCAAAGAGGGATGAAGCATCTGGGGATACGGCTGGACTTCGTGGCCCTGATTTTACCAGTTCCGCTTCATCCTCAATCTATCGCCCGGCCATATTCTCATCATCAGACCAATTTGCGGAACCATCGATTACAGCGAATTCTTCATGGCCTCAAAACCCCTCAATGCGCCCTTCACAGAATTGGAGACAGCCCGACGATCATAGCAGGCAAACCTCTCTCAGCAATGATCGCGACCGAGAAATCGGCTCGCTCGCCACGCCAAGCAATCGAAATGGTAGTCTCAGTTCACGCAGCACTTCCCGACCAGCTTCCAAGTCCGATGGCCCATGTCAGGGTCAATGCTACTTAACTATTCTCCGTCGTCTCGCCTGGCTCGAACATTTTCGTGGCACGGACAAAAACCTCCTAGCAATTGATGTGGTCATGACAGCCGAGCGGGACACTCGCCTACTCAAAGAGCAATTGTTTGACTGTGGTAGAGATGAAATTGAAGACGAAGGATGTCTTTATTCACGGCCTTCCAGCCTGATGGCCTTGAGCTTGCTTGCAGAATGTGTTGTCTCCCTTTTCGAAGATCTCTTTCGCCGAGCAGCGATCTCCGCGCACGAGAGGGAGCGCATTTTTCGAACTGCATGGCTAATCAACCCCAATCCCATTTCTCCCAGCGGCACAACGACTTTATCGGCTCATCAGTCTGCTGCTCGCTTTGAGCGCTCTATACGTGGCGCGTTCGATCGAAATATTACCTGTCCCGTTCCGGAGGCAAACTGTGATCTATCCCTGGGAAAGTTTAGAGTGGGAAGCGAGGCTAAATCACGAGCTATGAGACAGATCTTACGGCGTCGAATCGGGAAACTCTTGGCTACGTTGGTCGATATCAGGAGATTTGTTGGGCCCGGAGGTGGTGTTATACAAGAATCTGCGAAGCAGATCGCTGAAGACCTTTGCCACCGTGTAGAGTCCTTACAAGGAAGAGTGGAATTGGCGGAATAGTAGGAATTTGCCCTGTTACCATCTCGATGTGGCTGGTTTGGTAACGGTATGTTTATTTTTCATGCTCCAGACGAACGAACCTGAATGTCTTTATGATTTCATACAGGGTCTCGTAAAAAGAAGACCATTATGCCACATTATTTGGTTTACTGACTGCACTTCAATATAGGGGATTGATAAAACCCCCTCTATGTCTGAAACCCAGTACAGCCTTCAGTGTTCTCAATTAGAATTCTATCATAAATTCTGCTGCTTTATATATTTTATGGCATATATAGTTAAATGAATCTACATTTCGATCGCAAGAGTTCCATATTCTTTCAGAATCAGAGAGCAGCCATGTTGATGATTCAATTGACAACGAAATGCATGGATATTTAACTATGAAAGAAGTAGAAATTGCCGATGGGTAGTTATCTAGGTAGAATTGAGTATCAATTTTTGACGATGTGAAAGAGTAACTTGTTTTTGTTAGCAATCTACATAGAAAGTGCAAGTACCTAGGGTCGGCGAGAGAGGCGGTGATGTGAAATCTGCATTTTCCGGAAGGATCAATCCCCTTGACACAAGGTTCTCGTTGATATACACATTCCGACTCGCCTGGATCTTGCCAAACTGGTTGTGACTTGTTGAGACATTCCAGCTTGGATGCGCTCCGTTGTTGACACTAGAACGAACATACATGTGACGGCCAAATATGGCCAAACACGCCGTGTGTTGGGCGCTTGGCACGGTTATATGCGCCGGGTACTTTCGAACATCGTTGATTGGACAGAAAAGTACCCAGCGAATAGCCTTGGAAGAATTGGAAAGTACCCGATGGATGAATAATATGGAATAAAGGCCGAGGAGATTTGAATAAGTGCCCGACCAAAACTCGAGGTCCCTTTTTTTTGTCTTGGGCCATTCTTTGTTATGGTCCTCTAGTCAACCCCCTGGCCCCCGGCTTCTGTACCGAATACTACATCATACGATACCTCTTTATGGTGGCGTGTATCCAAATTGCCGTCTGCCGCAATCCCAGAGCATATATGCGTACCATGCATATTCCTCGGAAGCACATAAGTCTCCTCAAGCATTATTTGTTGTTCACCCGCAAGGTAATGGTCAGTTAGCTGGTGTTTCCAAGTCAGATTCCATTGTACAAAACCCTTCTATTCCCAGTAGTGCGAGGTAGTGCGATGCAAACCCGCTCTTATAATAATTTCAACGAACGGAATTTTCAGACAAGCGGACAGCTTTCAACTGTTCGCTCGGAATACTCCAATTATGCAGCGCTTTGAACTCCAGCAGCCTTGCAACTGTATCGAGCGGACAGCCCAAACCCTCAATTACTTCCCTGACATCTCGACTACATCTTCACTAGACACCCATCAAATGTCTCTAGATGAAGTCCTCTCCATCGGGACAGCTTTGGTCGAGCACTGGGAACTATTGCATGGCTGTCCTGCAACAGAGACGCATCTGGACGCGCGGATGCTACAAACAATGATAGATGCCGTGATAAAGACACTCACGCTGTACGAGGTAGCGGTTGGGTCTATCCTCGGAGGCTGGGGAGAGAACCAGGAACCTAACGGTGTGGGTATTGGTATGTGAATCCTCAGCCCGGCATGATCCACTCAACTTAGTGGCGGGCTAACGGGGGTGGCTTAGACACATCCAACAATCCACCCGGCACTCGCAACGGAAGTAGGGATAGGTCAGTGGAAACCAAGCCTGCAGTAGTTATAACTGAGGCAACGGCACATTTGGGCAACATGCAGCTAGATAGTCATGAAATGACAATCGTCGCGCGCGAGGCTTTGCGTCATGCTACCATGCGGTTGGGGGAGATGCTGCACGATATCGAGGAGGATATGAGTATTTTGCGGGATCGAGCAAATCCATCGCAAAGGATTGATAACCATGTGGGGGAGGTGAGACGGATTACGTCTCGGTTGCTTCGCATTTTGGGAAGAATCAATAGTAACGATGGTAACATGAACGAAGAGTGAAAATTAGATAGAAATCAGCCCGATAGGTGATACAGAATATGATCCGAAGGCCCTTGATAGTCACCGTGACGACGGTGTATAGTTTCATTTTGGGTTATTTAAGTAAAGATGTCGAACGCCAGTATGCGAGCCATCATCAAGGACCCCAGAGATCATCTGCACTGCACCTCCCTTTGACCATGTCGGAAGACTTGATCCTTGCCACCGGGGCCACGGGTATCCAAGGAAGAGCGACAATACGGGCATTGTCAAAATTGAATGTCCGAGTGCGGGCTTTGGTGCGATCAATCACATCCCCTGCAGCGCAGGAGTTGCGCAATCTCCAAGTCGAATTGGCCCTAGGCGATTTCGACAACCCCAGCAGCCTAGGATTGGCATTATGTGGCGTTACAAGAGTTTATCTCAAATTCATACCATCAAAATGAGTGCGCAAACTGCTAATCGGATTATCTCCAGTCTGCACGTAGTGTATTAAGGCTTTCACGCTTTACAGATCCTAGCATAACGAGAGATATAATACTGCGTACCCACTGAAAACCCGAAGAAAGCTGAGATAGTTTCAATAGAGTTTAGCGATCTTTCAAACAATCAACAGAGTCCCACTGCGTTATTGCAACGGGATATGGTCTTCTGGTGATCCGCTTGCTACCCCCTCCACTCGCCAACTGATACTACTGGTATTTGAAAAAATTGACTGTGCCTTCACATATGAAGATCTTGCCCTAAGATTACTGCGCCTCATTCGAGGATTTGTGCTGACACAACATCCCTGTACAGAGCTTGCTCAGCCTCAACAGAAGCCAACTCCGCTTCAAGCTCAACTATTCCACTCCTTTTCTTAATCTCACCCCGTACGAAGAAAACAACCAAATTCACACAATGTCAGGTTTCGAGGCTCTCGGGATCGCTGCTAGCATCATTCAAGTTGCCGATCTTGGTACCAAATTATCAGTCAAGCTGTTTTCTTTCTATCGGGAGCTCAAAGGTGCCAACGAATCGATCCAAAATCTATCAAGCGATGTTGCAATTACCTCTGCCATTCTTCGCGAACTAGGAGAGAGCTTAAAAGAAGACGAACAAGCCAAACTCTATTCAAAAAAGGCATTCGAAACCCTCAAGAATATCTTAACCCAATGCGAAGAGGTTTTAGAAGAAATCTGTGTTATCACCAAGTATAACGATAGTTCAGAGAAGACCCGACTACAGCAAATAACGGAACGATTTCGACAAATACTACTTGAACCAAGCGTAGATCCGCTTAAAGCCAAGTTAAAAAGGTTGAAGTCGACAATGCTCCTTTTGTTGAATGTGATAATGTATGCTGGCCAAATACGCAGGTGAGTCGATATTCGTGTTCCACGGGGTATCTCTAATTCTTAGAATATAGTAGTAACAACGTCCCTACTATGCTCCAAGAACAGCGCGACTTTATCAAAAGTCTTCTAGAGGAGAGAAAGGAAGGTGACGACAAAATTATGGCTACTCCAGCTCCTATCACAGGAAACTCGTCTTTAGATCCTGGCGTTAGCCCTTGGGCCACTTGCGATCTGAGACATGGCGAGCCATCTGACCTGGATGAATATAGCCTTCTTATGCAAAACATGCTCCAAGAAATCAACTCTTGTAAAAGTCGACTTGAGCAGAATCGCCACTCAAGGATCAGAAGTGGAGTTCTGAATATACATTCCAGGGAGATCCTACAATTTCAATTACATCATGGCCAGTCGGTTATACAGCGTTTTGACCACTCCATTTTCCTGTTCGTATCATGACCTTTCATGAAACTTGGTACTGATTAACAGACTGATAAGTTTAGTGAGGAACAATCGACTCCTACGAAATCTGGTTCTTGCAGTATAGAGCCAGAGCCTTCGACCATTACTTTTGAGAGCGAGGAAGTTTTGCCAGAATGTATGGAATTAGCGAATCTCGACACCCTAGTAGCGGGGCGGCGATATACACTCGAGCCGAGCAAATCTATATGGGATGATTCACAAAGCCATTGCAGTCATGTTTTGATAAGACCTGTTCCGCGTGACTCAGACGAGGATTCCTTTAGGACCCACAAAGAACATGTTGGCGCCAGTATCTCAATAGATACGGAGATTGCAGAAGCGAGAAGACACGGTTCGGTCCCTCTGTCAGAGAGTCAATCTTCCACATCGAATTCCTCTCGGCCCCTAGATTCTGACCTCGTCGAAGCCTCCAATGGTAAGGAAGGCTTCAAACGTACTTATCCAAGTTACACATACTCACCCGTTCAAGCCCAGTCCGCTCTCGAGTAAGTCTAACAGAGCCTGCGTCGAGGTTATCCAAACTCCATCGTTGCTTACTATTGAGACAGCAGCTCCGATACTAGCATACGTTTACAAGGCCGTCCTCATATCTGTCCTGTAGACGACTCTTTACTCTACCAGAGAGCGACAAAACGTAGCCGCATAAACCCTTGGGTTCCATTCAGTTCTCCGGGTTACTTGTGCCCCTTCTGCCCAGTCCAACAAAATTGGTATTCTCAAGCAGATGATCTACAGCGGTATGAATTTCGTACTTTGGTCATGAAATGTCTTCGCTAGACTGACTTCCCTTGCAGGCACGTCCAAGTCTATCACACTGATAAAGAGAACGACGATTCCATCCTCCCCGAGGCTCTCGCAACGCGTGATCTTGGCAGCCCACAGGGTATGACACTACCAAGTGCTGGTGCAGCAGCAGGGCGGCCTTGGTCTCCCTCTCATCCAAGTCCGCCATCAGAATTTCTGTCTCAGACTTCCAACTCTCTTTTCCAGGTCGAGTTTGAACAAGATTCACTACCACGAGGCTGTTCTAACTCTGACCCCTGGGATTCATTTTCTCCATACAACGTGAACACCGAAACTTTGCCGCCCAGCAAGGTAGATCTGAGCAAATTCCGCCTACCACGAGTTGAGACCATCCCATCACCCCGCCTGGCAAACAATGACCCGTTAAATTGTCTCTTCATTGACAATGCAATGGATGGGACGGAGGCCTTAGAAAAGTTGGTGTTAGAGTGGACAACTTTGAGACGAGAAGAGGTTCTGGAATAATAGGATGACGACGAGCGGTTATCTAGATAACCTCAATGAAATAGACAGAGGCTTACAAAGAATTTGAGATCTTGGATATATACTATTCGACGCAAAGCAGTTTGAGGATAATATAGAATGATATTTGAAATCTTTTCTGAAAAGCTACATGACGCTCGAATTATCTGATTTTTCTCAGGATGTTGATCCTAGAATCCGATAGAGGACAACACACAAGATATAGAACGCAGCAGCGGCCCCGTAAGCGCAAAAATAAGGGAAAAACATAACAGCGGAGATGATCGCAGAAGACAAAAAGAACAGAATATTCACAAAGTGCAGGAACCTTCGTGATCGTAAAGAAAGACGGCACAGATCTAGTTCAATTGTCAATGAAAAAAGAGCAACGCCCCAGAGTCCAATGAATGCCATGATAACAATCGAGTAATGAGATAGTAAGTTCTCTAGAACATTGCCTTTATTGTAAAGTGTGCAGACGAATAACAATATGACGCAACACATAAGCATGAGATATATTATTACTGCCCCGAGAGTTTGAGTATGGTCATTCCAGTCGCTATTAGGATCATCTCGCCGTCTAGGGGGTTCATGTCTGAAAGGAGAAGCAGTGAGACGAATGATTTGGGACTCAAAATATGATTCTCTGTGAATAGTATCATCACTGCAGCTTGTGACTACTGCCGGGATCTCTTGATTGTCTAAGTATATCCCGTTAATATCATCCGGGTCAAATATCTTCGCAAAGAAAGTGTGGGGTGTACCGTGAGTGAAGTATTTCATGATTGTGATCAGAGGTGCAACCAGTAAAACCAGGGCCACAACCTGCCCAAATCCCCAATTATTGTCTCCTTCATCGGGACCCTGTATCAGTTTGGGGGCTTTTGTGAAAGAAACCGTGGCTTAATCCGAATCATGGCTAGTGCCCCGAATAAACGGATGGTACCCCAAACAAACCCGGCTATTAGCCAGCATATCTTTCTCAATGTTAGACAAAAGAGATACGCAATTAACGAGGCTTATACACTCACTTCCAAAGAAATCGAGGACCAGCCATCTAGGAATATACGTCCCAACAAAAACATCGTCAGCAGAGGACGGTAGAGAAGCGTATTTTTCAGGCTCTTCCTAGGGCTAGTCGAGCAGCACCAAGTGAAGGCAATACTTAGCACACGGCGGGATTGTATGCTAAGTTTGACTCTGTATTTTCCCCAAACATCGACGGAGATAGTCTTATGCAGCTTGATTATACGGGCCACAAACCCGAATACTATCAGAAGTATCGAGACGATCATTGCGTAGTATGCCATGCTTGATCTTGAATTCGAGCTCAAATGACACATCGCAGGGTCGATTATACTCAGCACCCCCTGTATGTCCAGGTAGTCCAGGTACCCTGAAGTCCAATCATATCCTCCCGTGAATGAGAGTGCCACGGTAAGGAGTATGACAAGAACAGCCATACAAAGCAGCCTCCACATACGCTGACGCGAGTGATTGTACAGGTAGTTTCGGAGAATTGTTAGGCAGGCCAAATGAGTGAGGCTGGAAAACCAGGCCAGGTCGACGATAACCATCCAGTGGTAGGATGAAAGGCCCCGATGAAGTTGCGCATATCCACTTATGAGTATTGAAAGCCCAGTTACTATCTGGAGGTCACTCATTGCAATGATACACTATAGTATGTCAGTTGAGTCGGTTCCAGTTCAAATCACAGTGTATCCGTACCTCAATAAAGCATTTCTCAACCTGAGAATTGATACGCACCTTGCGAGCACCCAACAGCTGTTTAGGTATATGCCGAACAGTCCGCAAAACGAGATCGTCTACTGGGTTGGGGCGAAACGACTGGTACAAAGGGTCTTGGTCTGTCTTCCTGAAAGGATCCAAAGCTGGATCGTAAATCACAAGGAAGTATATGATAATGAGTAGCACTGCGAACCCGGCTGTCGCAACATAGTTTGCAATGACCTAGTCATGAATTAGTTGGCGCTACTGATAATTGTTTAGCAACGTACCCCACTGCCAGTGATGTCGTTATCGACTGATATAGGAGAACGCGGTCCAGAGCAGTCGTATCCAGAGGGCATGACGAGTCGAGCCAAAATGAGACACTTGACCTTCAATAAAAACCAGGGCTCTTGATGCAGAGTAAAAAGATCATATATGTATTCCCTGTTTTTTGGTCTTCTTTGGCCTTTTGGGGGGCGGGTTGCGCTACTAATGAATACGCGGCTCAAAGTGTCGATCAGTCTAAATAAATCTCCGCACGACTCACCAACTACCGTGCTGCTGCAGATCCTGGTACACGAGAGGCCATATAGGGATTAGGTATATTGATTACTGGAATCGTGCATGTGCCCAAAATACCTACTGCGTGCGCCCCAGAGGATGCCAATGTTTGGCTATATCCCAAATCTAGGAGTACCTTTTGTATGAGATGCCCATACAAAATATACATAAGTACCCTGTAGCCAATAACAAAATTTATCATTCCTCAAACTAGATAAGATGAGAGCAAGAGTACAAGGGATCTTGGTGGCCTTCGGCCACCAGATAGTCCTTGTGGAGCGAAGTGACAAGGTTTTTACCTAGTTAGGTAGTTACTGGGGTTTTTTTATATAATCACTATCGTATTTAGATTCAGACAGTTTATATCATGTGATAAATAATTTCAATTGCTAGGCTTAGCGTATGTCTACTGCCGGCAGAATTATTCTGCCATTTCTCAGCGATGACATTTTCGCCGCATTAGAACTCTATGGATTTGGACCTTATATAGGAGCAAGGTCACGTGACATACACCTAAGCCCTTATGATATAGGTTGCTTCGCTTCGCTCCGCAATTAATAGATAATACGAGCCTATTTTGAATTCTGTCAACTTCCCTTAAACCTAAGAGAAACTCTCATTGTCTTGAAACCGACTTGGAAGTTGATAGGGAAGACTGGCTCGTAGTAGCAATTGCTGACAAAAAAAATGCTCAATCTGTAGTGGACTTTAAGGGCCTATTGGCCAGCAATCTGGGACAATATCCAGCCAGATAGATGGTATTGATATGCCTACGGGGGCCGCACACTAAGCCTTTTGACTCTTTTTCCTCAAAAGTCTTCGGAGGCTCTTTCAAGCAGCAGCGTGGTAGCTAGATACTCGGCATTACTTTTCCGAGATCAGGCTCTCCTCAATAAACGCCGGAAAGAAAAGAAACCAATTTCCAATTCCAAATTCTCTCGTTCTTCTAAGGGTCATCCAATTTTGTTCTGTCTTCACGAGAATGACAATCCCTCAAGGAGACGGCGTGGGAATGAACTTCGCATCCACCATCCGATCAAACGTAATGTTATAGCCCTGGACAGTATCAATCTGCTCATGGAAACCAACAGATCGAGCCTTGTCAAGTGAAAACTCTCGTGGAAAGTCAAAATCAATCAGCTGGAAGTTGACATGTCCCCAGTTCTGCACTTCAATGAGACCTTTCCTCAGACCATGTGTCTCGACCAAGCGATCCCAAGTCTCCATATTATCAGCAACAAAATCCTGCATCATCTGCTGCTTCTCATTTGGCTCGACACCATCGAGGCCAAAGTAGGAGCAAATTCCTGGCCAAACCTGAGCCCAGGTAACAGCCTCTCCGTCGGCAGAATTGAAGCTTGACCCATTCGGGCACTTGTCCCGATTAAGAGCAGCAAAGATTTCCATTTTAGCAAGAATATCTTGGAAGGTGTCGCTATGGCGAGTGTGATAGCCATGCGGCTTACCGGGGAACGGGACTTTGGACATCTTTCCATTGACCTCCCGATAGAGAGTCAAGTAGTAGGCAATGCCATGTGCCATGTTCATGACGTTGTATCCAGGAGCAAAACCGACAATACCGTCCGGTCGAATCTCGCAGAAGGTCCAGTTTTGGCCTTTGGATAGTCTTTCCAAAGCGTCATACTGGTCGTAGTAGAAAAGGTTGTCGCTGTATGGCGAAGGGATGCGGGGCATCTTCTCGTGGAGAGGAGGCTGAAGGTTCAATTCTTTAGGGAATGCCAGTCCATACCCCATGCCGCCTGTCTGCAGAATGACCGATTCCAGCTTGGGTGAAATAGCGGATATGGCTTCTACGGCGGTTTGGAGGATATCGGTGTTGACCTTGCGTGAGGACTGGGATTTGTTGGCCTTTACAAAAGCTGAACGAAAATTAATATATTCGGCTATAAAATTGAAGTAAGGCAAGTTCCAAATGCTTACCACAAAAGATAACCACATTGACTGACTCCACCTCCTCGACCTTTTCTTTAAGCTGCGCCTTGACTACGTCCACGGACTGTGTCAGGTCAATGCCCGACACAATATTGAGGCGATCATCGTCGGGGAGATAAGCGTCCTTGATGCTCCATGGCCGATTGCTCAACCCAGTCACACGGCTAAAGGTCGTTGGAGTTGGGTATTGGAGTGCCTGGTTCAAGAGAGCCCATCCGGAAATTCCAGAGGCTCCAAAGATAAGGGCATGCTTTCCAGTTTGAGCCATGACGATAGCAGAGGTGACAGGAAGTTTTGAGGGATTAGAGTAGGATTCCTAGATAGGTTAAATACTTTCTGTCTCCGAGGTTCATGCGCCTTCGGATTTCCTTTCCCGGATGATTGATAATACAATGGGAAAGGCGTAATTGATTTCTCATCAAGCGGTTCACTTCCGCCTTTCATGCCCTTGTTTATCTGAGGGAATGATTGACATGGTCGCAGGGTCGCGGGGTAAAGATCGCAGGGTGCAGGGTAAATGGAACTTGATGCCTAATGATCCCTCAATTCCTGACTTTATCCTGGCAATACACTGGCCAGCTGCATAACAGAGCTTATCAAGCGAATTGCCTTGCCCAGATGGTGCTGCTCGGGTGCTTGATAGGTAATATCATACAAATCTATACACCGGATTTCATTTTTCATAAGAAATATCCATTGTCGGTGAAAACGCATTTGGCATTCAATTCGCACTGTCAGGATAGAATACAAGTACATCAATCTACACAAGTTACTGTCGTGACTAAAGAAAACTCGTGAATTTTCAACCTATCAAATTTGTACTCTACAGGCTCGGAGATCAGAGAAAAGCCGACATCGAAAACTGCGTTGACAGGAATGTACGAAACAAGCAACTCAATATGAACGAGCAAAGGTCCATCCACATGAAATTCCAGCAGAAAAAGCGATTGAGAGCTGACAAGATCCCACGCGATTGCGACATGAAGACTCGACACGAATCAACTTCGAAACAGCCGACGGAATGTACAATATCGGGGATTTTCAGCCATCGAGATAAGAGATCGATAAAAAGATCTACCAGTCATGAGAGATTCATGAGAGTAGAAAAAAGGGGGGAGAAGGTACGTTCAGGCTATAGGACAAGGTATCGACGGAATCGACAGGGGAAAAGTGACAAATACGTGAAAGCTCATAATACAGCGAAATGGGTGAGTAGATGTTCGGAATCGAAAAAGATAAGGGGGTATGGAACAAGGGACGAAGGAGATAAAGACGAAGAGAAGAAGAGTAACAGAGAAGGTAAAAAAGTGTACAACCAGATAAAACGATGAAGACAGACGAGAATGCGATTGTTTTTGACGCTGGGAAAGCTCAAGCACTTAAGCAAATTCAAAGTCAAAAACGCCTAGAAGCAGTTGAGGGTGCTCTTCTTCTTTTTCTTGTTGAGGGCGAGCATACGCTCTTCGAGCTGAGCGCGTGCAGCCTCCGCCTCACGGCGGGCACTGCGCTCCTCTTCAACGGCCTGGAGGGACAGACGGGCAGAGCTGCGTTCCTTGCGGAGGGAGGTTAGTTCATCCTCGAATGACCAAGCCTTCTTCTTCCAGGCCTCGCAGTCGTTCTTAACCTTGGTACTCTGGGCTTCAAGGTCGCCAAGGGCCTCTTCCAAGGTGGCAGTAAGTTGTTTCTCGGCATAGAGGTGCTTCTCGATTGTTCGGATTCGAGCTTCCTGGTCCTCGACCAGCTGGACGTTGGAGAGCTCTTTACTGGCATGTCGAGAGTTGGGCGGAGACGAAGCAGAGTTGGAGTGAGACGCGATGGTGGGGAGGGGAGGGAGAGGGATCGCCGGCGGAGGCGAGGGAAGAGAGGCAGCCGAAGCGCTCTTGCGGAGATTGGATGTAAGAGAGCTGCTGCGGTCGTGGGAACTGTCGGGGTTTCCAGTGTTCTTGATTTGGAGCTCAAGCTGTTCGATCCGCACTTGGTAAGTCTCGATTTCGCCTTCGTAGATCACAATCTTGGCCTTAGCATCTTCTAGGGCCTGATCACGCTCCTGCTGAATGACGGACAGACGGTTGTGATGTTGATCAAAGCTGTTGGTAATTTGTTCCTCCAGCTCCTCCACGAGACGCACACTCTTCTGCTTCTCGATCGTGATTTCCTCAACCAGGGCTTCCTTCTTCTTAACCTGTTCGTCCTTCTGGCGAAGAGTATCCTCCAAAGTAGCCACCAAGAGAGCCAGCTCATTGACCTTGGCGTCCTGGATGTTGTTCTTCTTAGTCATCTCGTCCAGGCGGCTCTCAGAGTCTGCGTTAGCCTCGAGCTGCTTGCGAAGGTCTTCATTGGTGCCCATAAGATCAGCATATTTGTCTGAGAAGTGCTGCTTCTGGGCCAAAACATCTTGAATTTGATCCGTCAAGTTATCAGCTGAAACCTCAGAGTTGAGGAGAGTCGACACAGCCTTGAGCAGCTTGACCAACTCATTGCGAGACTCGGTAATATCCTTCTGCAAAGTGGCCATGGATTGCTCATGCTCAGCATCCTTCTCGACGAGACGAGCATCATATTCGGCCTGGACAGCAGCCTTAGTCCGTTCTTCCAACTCCACCAGCTCGCGCTTGTGAGAATCCCGAAGAGTATCCAGCTCAGTATTATGGGAATCGACGGCCGATTTGTGGGTAGAAATTTCCTGCTCAAGCTCGGCCATCCGAGAAGAAAGACCCAAGTCAACAGCACCGGCATTGGCCCCTTCCTCGACGGTGGTCTGTGAAGCCAGTTGATCTTGGACATCGGAGTGAGACTTCTCCAGACTGGCAATTGTCGCAAGCTGAGCAGCGATAGTAGCCTTATGGTCCTCGATGTTTTTCGTCAGGCTATCCACAAGCTCCTGCTGTTCGGCGCGGCCACCCTCAAGTTCTCGAGCAGCGGCTTCTTTCTCAGTGGAGTCGGCATCGGCAGCAGCCCGCTCAGAGCGCATAGCGGCAACAGAAGCCAAAGCACTCTCAAGCTCAGCAAGGGTAGAAGTGAGCTGCGACTCGGAGGACTGCAAGGACTCCAGGGCACTCTTGTGCTTGTCCTGCCACTCCGTGAGCTCTCCCTGCAGAGCACCGATCTTCTTGTCCTGCTCCTCAGCACCAGCATCCATTGCGCGAGTAGCGCTTTCTTGTGACTTCAGGAGGCCCTTCAGATTATCAATTTCGATCAACAGCTCCTTTTGGCGGGATTCATGAGCTTCTCGAAGGTGGTTGATCTGCCTTTCCTGGGAGACGACCTGGTCGCGCAATTGCGACACGAGAGCCATGTCTACAGGCGAGGCACCCTGCAAACTCGACCGCTCTCTAGTCAGGCCAGAGATAATAGTCGTTTTCATTTCCATTTCTTTCTTAACGTTCTGGTTCTCAGCTTCAAGGGATTGGAGGCGCTCCATACGGCTTTGCAACTCGTGCATGGTTTGATCCAGGTGGTAGTCGAAATTGTGCATAGCGTCCGGCTTCTCAGCAAATTCCTCGGATGCAAGGAGTCGGAGACCGGTAAGGGCTCTGGTTGCACGGTCAACTCCTGACAGAATGTTCTGGCTAGTCATTCGGCGGATCATTTTGAAACCGGGGGTTGAAGGGGGCGAGCTTGACTTGGCGCGTTGGGCCTCGGCCTTCAGCCTTTCAACTAGTTCAAGGATCTCTTCATGCTCGGCTTGCAACTCCGTATACTTCTGGGCCATGAGCTCAGCACTCTCCTGATGTTCAGCGAGCATCTTGCGCATGCTCTCGGACTCTTCGGTATTCACTTGACCGGTCGACAATACCTGCGGGGTTGAGGGCACGGATGGAATTGCCTTCGATCCGTCCTCAGATGGTGCGCGCAAAGTAGATTGCTCCCCGACCGAGGATAATTCCGAAGAGAGTGATTGCGAGGATGAGTGTTGTGCTCCAGCTTTCGAGGTCGGAGTGCCTCCATTTCCTAAAAAAGTCACCGGGCGCGGCGAAATTTCGTTTTGAACGCTGGGTGCAGGGTGGCGGGCCTCGTCAATTTTATCCTGCCGAAGCTCTTCAAGGGCCTTGAGGGCCTGCTCGTACTTGGATTCAAGGTTCTCAAAGTCACCGAGAGTGTTCTCGTGTTGCAGACGCAAGTCGAAAAGCTCTTGGGTGACAGTTTCCAGCTTGTCGGCAACGAACTTGGACTGAGCGGGACTTGAGATGGGTTCCTCCTGAAGTGCCTCCGTGCGACGTGCCTCCAGTCTGCTAGTCGCGGTTTCCAGAACCTTCAAGTCCTCGCCCGTCTCTGGCTCAGATTCTCCAATGGACTCGAGCTCGGCCTCTATGGTCGGCTCGACCAGATCCTCATCTGATTCCGGAATGGCTATCTCAACTGCTTCACTGAGAACATCCAGAGAGGGCGTGTGTCTATGAGATGTATGAATGACCCTAGCCTGTTGATAGTGTGGATGGTCAATGCCGTTGGCACCATCGTGTCTGTCTCCGCGATTATGTTCGTCCAGTTCGCCAAGCAGGCGATCTAGTTGCCCAAGGCCTCGCTGGCGCTCAATGACATGTTCCAAGCGCATTACCTCGCGCTGCATAAGTTCCATGTCTTGATCACCCTCCGCAAGTCGTTCTTCAAGTGTCGAAATGTATTCCTCACAGCTGGCTTCGTTATCGCGGGCCCGGCTCAGTTCCTTGCGCAATTCAGCAACAATGGCGGCATGCTTCTCTTCGCCTGTAGAGTGCCCGTCGAGCTTGGATTCCAATTCGTGGAGGTAGGTCTCAGTGTTGACTTCCCGGTCCAACATCTTCTGGACACGGGTCTGAAGCTGTTCCTTCATAGTCTCGATATAGGCGCATTTGGTCTCGCGCTCGAGTAAATCACTCTCTGTGATAGATAGGGAGGCGCGTGTTTCCGACAGTGAAGCCTCCAAGCTTTGAATCGTCTTTTCGTACTCCAGAACCATCTGCTCCACCGACTCGGCGAAGGACTTGGACCGCTGCATTCTCTCAACTGAGTTCTTCCCGATCTCGGAGGTAGCGTCATTCATTTCGCCGTTGGTGGCAGGCGACTCGGAGTCGTTGGCCATATTCGAGATCAGCTTGGCGTGGCGCTGGCTGAGAGAATTGTAGCTCTCTTGGACATCCAACAACTGGTTCTGAAGGTGCTTTTCACGTTCGTTCTTGCGTTCACTTCGTTCGGTGGATGCTCCTTCACGTCGCTCAGATCCTTCGGAATTGCGAATCTGTAGTCGTAAGAAAGATATCTCAGACTTGAGCCGATCAATCAAAGCCTGTTTGTCGCCGTCGTCCGCAATATGCTGAATGTGAGGTTTGCTCTGAATGGCTCGGGCTCGCTGGGCGTAGGAGATTGTGTTCAAAGTCTCGCTGAGGTGGAACTCGGCGGGAGTCACACAAGCAATCATATACGTAAAGGCGTTTCTACCCAGTGAGTCTTGAAGCAGTCGGGTAAGCTTTGAATCACGGTAGGAGACGTGAGAGCCCTGTTGGCGCGACGAAAGCTGCGAGATGACCTTTCCGAGTGCGGCCAAACCAGCGTTAATAGAGATACCTTCCTTGGCGCGTTCTCCAGAGGCACCAGTGTTCTTCAGCCGTTCGCTACCCGCCAGATCCACAAAGTGTAATTTGCTATCAACGGTGACTGATTCTCCGGCGTGGAATGTGTCGACTGGCATGGACATGCGCTTCTCCTTTATGGTGCTTGGGGTCGCGTGGGTTGAAGACTTGCGCTGCACAAGGTTCAAGCTGAAGACGGCATGCGACCGAGATGATTTGGCGTTGATTGCCGTGGAATCTGTTTGACGAATGGTCGATCCAAAGTTTAGCGCACCGATCAGATCTTCGAATGAATTAATATTGACTTGGTGGAGACCGGTGAGAAGGATGCGACCCTTCGTGTCTTCCCGAATCGTTACGTTGCTACGATCGTTCGCGATTGTCGATTCGGGAAGGAGCAAATCCCTCAGGTGCTCGTTATAGATCTGTAGGACAATGGTCAGAACAATGGCCAGCAAGCACCCTTATAAAAAAAAAAAAGTCGCACCTCCACATATGTCGCCTTCAGTTGCCAGGTCTTTTCTTTTTCCTGGTGCAATTTCCCAAAGCTTGAGGCGGAGCTCATTGAATATCGTTGGGGTGTCCGGAGGCCCGTAGTCGTGTTCGAACCATTCCGATTATGTTTTGAGGGGCCTTCTAATTTATCGAACAAAGCTTGCGCAGCACGGGGGATAATACCTGAATCAAAAATTCACAGTTAGCCCCTGGTTGGTCAACAAAGCGTCTTTCAAACTCACCCATATTCTGCATGTTATTGTGTTCAGTGGGACCCGAAGTACCCATTGTGAAGGACTTTCCCGCGCCGGACTGGCCATATGCCATGATCGAGACATTGTATCCTTGAACAAAAGAGTCGACACTATCACTGACATATTCCCAAATCCCCTCCTGTTCAGTAGTTTCGGGGAAAACACGATCAAACACAAATAGTTTGCGCCCACCGGACACATCAACCGACAGACTAGTTGGCACGGTTACATGGACTTTAGATTGCTGGAATCGCTGGGGAATCAATTCATATCCGGGATCAGTGGGTTTCAGCGGTGGTCGCACACGGACAGCTGCGCAAGGTTAGTCATGAATTCGGTTGCCGGCTGATGTTGTGTTGCTTTGTTGCAGGTACCGGGTACCCAGGGGAGGATTGAATCCACATACCGACTTTAACAGCAGTCTTACCATCCTCGTCGGATGCACGACTTCCACCTTGTCTGCTGCTCATACTTAAACGGCTTGCACTGCGCGGAGTGCGCATGACAGCGCTGATGGGGCGCGGGGGTGCGCTGGGCGAAGCTGGCGGTGAAACGGCCATCTCTCTCTCTCCCCAAGAGAAACCACACCCGGTGGAATCGAAATGAAGAAAGAATAAGTGCTAATCGATAGCGGGCGTATTCATGAGGCGCAGAATAGGGAGATGCCTAAAGAATGTGGAGAGAGTTCTGTCAGTTTAGCGTCCCCTTTTTTTTTCCCGATAAGAAAACACAACAACGCGTACCTATTAGTCCCCGTAACGTTGTGCCAAAGAGAAAGGAGACAAAATGGCCAAGATGGAGAAATGGACACCGTGCACCGCTTAGAATAGTTTAGCGTTTATTTTTTTAAGATGAAGGATGATTTTATGTTCCAAGCGAAGGGGAATCTGTTCAGGTTCAGGGGGTTTGGGGGGTCTAAGATCCTCTACGTACTTAGTTCAACTTTTCTTTTTTTCTTTTCTTTCTTTGCCCTACGTAGGGGGGTTACTATATGCATATTAACCCTCCCTTTCTGTGTAAATGCTCCGCGCACATGGGTCAATGTGTTTTAGTACATATCACAATTCAATGACTTCACTTCGCTTATCTCCTTGAATCAAGCCAAATTGGGTCGAACCAACACGTTTTGACCGTTCGTTTCAGCTTGGTATTCTAGCTTGATCGGGGGAGCTGAAAGGAACTATCCGAGGTAATTTCTCCTTAAAACCCTCCCAATCGACCTCATAGCCTTTTGCCGATCACTGCGTGTTCGGTTCCAAGAGTCTAATCGTGTCAGAGACGGCCCAGCCAGACCAATCCGCATCTCCTCGCCCCCGGGTCCACCTTAATAGACCATGGGTGAACTGGGCTTAGAGAGGTTCGAGGAATTGCTTGATGTCCATCGCTATGTTAAACGGGGTTTCTTCCGTACACTCCGTGTGCACTCCGTACTTACAAGGCGATGCGCAAATACTCAAACTAATTGAGCGAGGGTACTCTGTAAGTAGCCCACCCCCGAACCCGAGGTATCCGGGGAAATGGCGCGGAAACTTGGGCGAAATTATGAGATTGAAGTCTCTTTGACTTTGGTTCCTGGATTTTGAACACGGTCCACTAATCAAACCGTTGAAAGATCGGCGATGGCTTTCCTTTTCGATCTCTGGGCTAATAAAATTCATTGCATTGCATTGCATATGTCAGAACCCGAACCCTAACTCCTATCCACGGATAAGCATATCTAAACATATCTTATTGTTGACAACCTGGAGGGAAGATTTCAAATCCTTCGTCCATTCTTAAATTCATTTAATGACTATGGGCGTACGGAGTAGATGCAGCCATATTCGCCCTTTGAGGCCATGATGATCCTCAGTTCGCGCATAGACCATCCTCTACTCCGGGGATGCCAGTAGCCGGAGCAACTTGTAGTATTTAGTACTTACTATTTGACTAACCTTCCTTACAGCGAAAACACTTACAAACAGGATTTAAGATGTCAATATCGATAGAAATATAAACCAGGTTGTCCAACCCGACGTGGCAACAGGCATCCGTGATATACAATATCCCTTGCCGGTCAAAAATATATGTACTGACAAATAATCACCAGATCGAGCTAACTGGTGGTATAGTGCGTACTAATTTTATCAATCTCCAGAAATCGACAATCGCAACCTCGCAATTGTTATAGTCAGACAAAAAAGACAGGGTCATTGTTGGTGATATTTTCAGCACAATCTATTGACCTTTTTTAACCGCTACATCAAATGTTTCATCAGTACTTGCTTCTTCGTCACCATAGCTTCTATATAGAGTGTCTGCACACCAATTCCGACCCGGAGTTCGTCAGCCCTGATGCTACTTCACGCCCTACGGCCATGGTAAGCCATGAGTCAGGGGTTGGGCACGGGCATAAAACCCAATTGAATGAGCCCGTAAAGCAGCTCTGGAGGCTAGTACAGTAGTCAGAAAGAGCAGGTAATTGTTTTGATCAAAGTGCAGATTTTTCTAGTATGTAAATTCAAATTAAATACAATGGGCAGAAAATATGCAGGTATGTCTATCCAAAAGGGGTGGAGGTACATATTTCGATCGATGCCCTATTCTAAAATACAAAAAATATCATGAATCATCACGCTCGGTAACCACAGTAGTCTCCTTAGGTTGGATGCCCGAAATGCCATAGACAGTGATAAACGCCATACCCAGGAAAGCAGACACACAGGAGAAAACCATTGCGACAATTCCCCTTGCCGTAAATCCAGAAGGTAACCACGGAAGCTGCTTGTTTTGACCAGTCAGGTCGAGCAAGTTCTCCGTGTTAGCGGCAGCATTGCCTTCGTAGGACAAGTTGCCAGCCTTGCAAATGTTAATCTCGCTCTCAGTCAGCGACATTTGCTCTTGAAGTTGCTTCGGGGCTTCGATGAATGACATCGCCAAGCCTTGCGACATATGCCAGTCGATGTGGCAGTGGAACAACCAAACACCAGGGTTATCTGCGACAAAACGGATAACAAAATTGCCCTGGGGTGGTGCGACGAAGGTATCTCGGCGGGCAGGGTATTTCGGGAAGCTACTGGAGGGGGTTTCGGTAGCGTTGAAAGGGAGTGGGTCACCGTCGGCATAGTCATTGAAAGAAGGACCATATGAGGGTGTGCGACTGACGAGCTGGAAGTTGTGCCCGTGCAAGTGGAAGGGGTGTGAACCACCGTCTAGGTTATTGAGAACAACCTCGATGACTGCGTTGTGCTCAAAAATATACGGATGGGTGAATTCTCCGTAGATCGCCGCGTTTGTGGCGTAGTCCCCAGATGTGAGAACCGAGTATAATGTCGGGACCTTGGGTCTTGTGTAGGAGATATTGTTAAAGAAGGCATAACCAGCGCCGTTATTCAGATTATCCATAATCACGTCAATCTCGATAGTCATATCGGGGTCTGGGAGAAGCGGCATCCGGTCATGAGGAACAAGTTTCATGTCATCGTAAGGGACAAGATCGGAGGAAGCATCCACCTTCATCACAGCTTGCGGGTGCGCCGCACTGCTATTGTACTCGAGCCAGTTGGTTTGATTAAGCTGGAGAGAAGGCAAGATTACATCCAGTAAGTTCGAGTCGGCAACGGTCACGATCGGATAGTTTTTATCCGTCGAATTCTTCATGGTGACCAGGATTGAATAACGTTGCGCAACCGCGATATAAAGTGTATCGGCTTCTTGCTCGTCAACGTAAACTCCATCGATTTCCACAATGCGGAAAGTGTGATCTTCGATGTAGAAGTACTGCGCCACAAAGGCACCAATATTGATCAATCGCATCAAATAGGTCTTTCCAGCTTCGACGGGAATCTTGGTATTCAAAGTGTCATTGAAGAGGAAGGAATCCGGAACAGGCTCAGCTCCTGTCGGATTCTCTACACGAATGAACGGAATATCCTCGATCAACTCATGGTACCAGTCACTCATCGTGACGGTAAGCTCATGGTCATACATATCATTGAAATATGACTGATCATCGTGCACAATCAAAGCCTGTCGATAGCCGTCTGGGTAGCAAGAGTCGGTATGACAATGGTACCAGTAAGTACCGTTTTGAGGGATGGTGAAGTCGTAGGTGATTGAGGCACCAGGAGGGACAGGGCATTGGGTAACCATCGATGGACCATCCATGTTATTGGTTCCATTTTGAAACATTCCGTGCCAATGGATGGAAGTTTCCTTGTCTCCAAGTCCATTATACATATTGACAATCAGACGATCTCCCTTGTCCACCTCGATGACAGGTAGCGGCCACTGGCCGTTGATACCTACCACCTTGCGCTCATGGAGACCATCGGGGTTGGCATTGACCCAGGTGACGTTGAAATCCAGATGCACTGTTTTCGCCTGGCAGTACTGCACAAACAGTAGTACTGCCGTAAGGCGGAACAACATGCTATGATATATAGCCATGCTTGCGCGTTTTGCCAGGGAGGGGAATCAGACAGAGATTCCTGGCATTCAGATGTAAAAAGAGGAACAAAAATGACTACAAGCTCGGGAAATAGCGCACAGATTGATAAGCGGAAAGCTAGTCCTTTCCGGGGACGAAAAGTCACTACCCATGTTTTACCGATCCTAATCAATCTTTCTTTCCTTTTAATCAGATGTGAATCAGATGTAAACCTGTGTATTGCATGTACACGTGGAAAGTTGTCAATTTTCCATTGGCTCAGTTCTAGACTAACCACGGTGGACAGGGATCATTGGGAAAGATGGTGTCCGCTTAATTTAATGGCAGACGAATCAAGGTTATCCTGAACTTGTGCTCACCTGCCTCATGGGGAAACATGGCATGACTGCTATCCCTACCGGCCGGTTATTGTTTCCGATTCAACGAAATACAGGCTGGCTAGACCCTGAAACATGTGATCGTTCGTGTTAAACAGATATCCACTACCAATCAGAAAGCCAAGACACCAAAAAAAAAGCTTCTGATACGGGGAACTCCCAACAAAACTAAGCTCAATCGGATAAATACGTGTGGGTCGTCAAAGGCGTGTTCCGCCGGTAATTTTGAATTTGGTGTATTTGGTGAATTTGGGAAATTTTCGATATTTTGGTAACGCTCTAACGGGCCTTATCGGGTCCCTTGCTTTCAATGTTCCAATGGCTTTGCTTTTTGCATCTCTTCTTCTTTGAACGTTGAGAATCCGTCCAACTCATATCACCCTTGCATCATGGGTAATAATCAGGTGTTCGCTGTCACTGGTATAGTTCATGCACTGCTGTTTGAAACGGTCTACTAACTTGGTTCAAGTGTTTTTTATTTGCTTTCGAGAATGTCTCGAGACGACAGTGGTTGTGTCAGTCCTGTTGGCCTTCTTGAAACAAACGCTCTACGAGACAGATCGCCCGACGTATAAAAAATTAGTGAAACAAGTATGCGACCGGCTTTTGCAATCCCATCCCAAGTTCACAGGCTAATAGAAATAGGTCTGGCTAGGATGCGGATTAGGGCTATTCATCTGCATTGCAGTCGGAGCGGGGATGATTGGTGCTTTTTATGGCCTCGGAACCGACACTTTCTCTAGCACAGAGGATATCTGGGAGGGCGTCCTAGGAATCGTTGCTGCGATCATTATCACTATCATGGGTGCTGCCCTTCTGCGCGTTTCGAAACTGCAAGATAAATGGCGCGTTAAGCTCGCCAAGGCTCTCGAACACGAGCACGATCCTAATGAGACGAAGAAGGGTCGTGTTAAGAGATGGTTGGAGAAATACGCTATGTTCATTCTTCCATTTATCACGGTTCTACGTGAGGGTCTCGAGGCCGTTGTCTATGTTGGTGGCGTTGGATTAGGTCTTCCTGCCTCTTCCTTTCCCTTGGCCGTCTTCTGCGGCCTTTTGGCTGGTTTTGTAGTGGGCTATATTATCTACCGGTATGTCAATTTGATTGCCTTTGAGAAAGATATAGGGCTAACGTACCGATAGAGGCGGACAGCAGACTTCGATGCAGATATTCTTGATTATTTCCACTTGCTTCCTGTATCTCGTTGCCGCCGGCCTATTCTCGCGTGGTGTCTGGTTCTTGGAGAACAACACCTGGAACCACATTATCGGAGGCGACGCGGCGGAGACTGGCTCTGGCCCCGGGTCCTACGACATCCGACAGAGTGTCTGGCACGTCAATTGCTGTAACCCACTGATAGGAGGTGGCGGCGGTTGGGGCATTTTCAACGCGCTTTTTGGTTGGACCAATTCCGCTGACTATGGCTCTGTGATTGCTTACAACTTGTACTGGGTCAGTGTCATGGTTGCCTATGGGCTGATGTACTACCGTGAGAAGCGCGGACCTATCCCTATCATTGATCCAGCTATCAATGGCGTCATAAGAGCCAAGGCTAGGGCTAGAGCTTTTATTCTGCGCCGTCCATATGAAGATCCGGTAGCACCTGTGGAGACAGCAGTTCCCGTTACGGAGAAGCATGCAGGGACTGGTGTTTTGGCTCTCTAGATTTAGTTGAGACGGATTTTTCTGTTTTAAATTCCGACGGGGTTATTGCTAGAGAGCCGGGCGAGAACGGGATGAGAGAAGCCGAGGAAACAAGGGCTTCCATTTTGTAAACAGAAGAATTATTTACGAATTGAAACTATTCCGTACATACAGTAATTTTACCACGCCAAGCCTCACTAAGCTTTCCTGCAGGGTCCCAGATGGTGTCGGGCACGGAGCCCGTTAGGCCTCCGCGCCTCCCCCACTTACTAAACCCATGACTTCACAGATATGAAAGGCAGGAGCACATATTCTCGCCAAACGCGCTCTGAGAATCTGAATTCGATTCATGATATTGACCTTGTTGGTTGGGATAATTTGTCCTGGGGTCTAATTCATGAGCCCACATGGCCACAGGCTACAGGATACTATGTAACGGCATGGATTTTGGTACATTCCAAAGTTCTGACCCGCACCAGTATTATACTAGGTTTAACTGATTGATAATCTTATCATAATACGGTGGCTATACCTACGACTATATCCATGGATGGCTGCATGCACAGAGTACCTACCGGCTCAGTACGGGTACGAGTGAAAACCTTGTCAACCTTGGGACCTCTAACACAAAAGTCCGAAATTCGCCCGTACACCCGTACACTTGAAGCTTTCGCCGATTGCATATCGATATGACTTTTGTGTATCCAAAAATATCGCGACTTGAGGAATGCGATCATTACCCGAACAATTTTGCTCTGTATCTGTACATTGTGACCTTGCATCAGCCAGCTTATATGGTATCCTGCATGAATATGCTTTACTCTAACACATGCAGGCTGCTGACATTTTTACTCTGTTCCACAATTAGCGCTACCAAACTCTATATGGGAAGATAGGGCACTGGCAAATTTTATCAGATTTAGGATGGCTTTTCCAAGGTTTATCTGATTGATTAGATGAATTTAACTTTCTCATAGAAGCTTCCACCGACATCCACGGATGCTTTCACCCAATGCACCATGGGTCCTAGGGTCAATGTCATTCATGATCCATATTACTCTCTTAGGGCATACTTCCATTCTCTCTATCAGATATTTCACTAGGCTGGAAAAAGAATGCGCAAAATGCCCAGACTTGATGCTTGCCCGATGGTCAAGGCGTATCATTCACTTCGGCCCTGCAAGAACGCGAGGATATTGAATGCATACATCATTGGAGAAAGGGCAGCCCAGAAGACGATTGAAGAACCGGTAAGCGGCCGCTGAATATATAGCAACTATTAATTAACCATTTATTTTCCACAGTCGTCGTAGCAATCTAATTGCACCGCTGATCATCCGCTAAAAATCCGTCGAACGTCCGTCGAACATCCGCTAAACACCCGGTGCAGAACCGCTGAAGAATCTTGAAGAAACGCCATTAAGTAGCTTTGTACGGTAATCTGGGGTGGTTAATTAGAACAATGCTCATTCAATCGTTTTCCGTAACCCTGTTCCACCTACGTATGTACGACGGGGATACTCTGGTCTCACTTCCTAATCGGGGGTGGGCAGACGGCTCTTGGGACGTTACGATGTAGGAAGTACTCCGCTTTACGTGGTATGCAGTGTGAGACACGGACTTAGGCCGAGTACACATCTCCAGAGGCAGTGGAGTCTATAATCCATTGTCTTGGCACTATCTCTCCGGTGTAGTTCAAATGAGATAGATGAAATTATTAATCGACCTCCCTGGAGAAGTTGTATCGATCCTAGAATTTTAGTCTGAAGCCTCTACGCTGAACGGTCAGCAACAGTCACGATGAGTGACCTCCAGGCCTCAAAAAAAGCTGCAAAAACTGCTATGAAAAAACTGCGTCTCTCTAAAAATGAGTGGAGCAATAAGTATTTTGCCATCGCTATCGGTGCCATCATGGTTCTCTTTGCTGTATATCACTGGGCAAATGTCATTCACTTTTATTATGGTCGAAGGAGGAGCCATCCTACATTGACTCGGAAGTATAGGTATGTTTTCAATTGCTGATATGGGCCAATGATCATACTGATCCCCTGGATGCAACAGACAAGCTCGGTGCTTTCTTTCTACCTCAACGAGGGGATTAAGGACAGATAGGTCTATCCTGTATATCATCTACTGGGCAATCAACTTGATCCTCGCTTTAACAAATGTTGACCTTACGAATCTCAACTTTGTGAGTAGGCCTTGCTCACTCATTAGCCTGATATACGTTTTTACTGATATGTTCCTAGGTTGCCAAACGTTTTGGCTGGTTCGTGCAATTCCACGATACCCTCCTACCCCTTTGACCGGGAAACTGACAGGCATCAATAAGTAGGATTTCAGTCGCAAACTTGGTGCTTTTAGTCTTCCTAGCCTTGAAGAATACACCTCTGGCACCTTTGACAGCTACATCCTACGAAAAGCTCCGCCCGCTACACAAAGTTGCCGGTTATACCTGCATCTTCACAAGCGTTTTGCATGGTATAGTGTACCTAGCTGCCTGGTCGGAGACCGGGGACCTATACGAAATGGAAGAAACAAGCAATTTTGCCGGCGCAATCGCAGGCTTTGCTATGGTAATCATTGGCTTTTCAACTATCACATACTTCATGCGAGGGTATTATGAACGTGAGTTATTCCTTCGCGTAAACCTACGACTTGCACTACTAAAGAATTCTAGTCTTCTATATGTTGCACATAGTCATGTTCATTTTGATTATGATCACGGTCGGAATGCACCGTCCGAAATTCAAGACATCATCGGTGATTATCGTGATCTTCACTGCCTGTCTTTGGTTCATGGACCGCATCATTCGTGGCGCAAAGATAGTCTGGAACTTCTATGGAAACTCCCTCACCGTCACAGCTTTACCCAACAATGCCCTTCGGGTGAAACTCAGCCGTCGCATGCACTGCAGGCCAGGTTCTCATGCATTCTTATGGGTTCCTGCCATCCGCTGGATTGAAAGCCATCCTTTCACCCTAGTATCTTCGAACCCGTCCGAGTTCGTCATTCGAGTATACGATGGGTTCACGCGAGATTTATACAAAGCTGCCCAGCAGTCACCGGGGAAATCCTTACGCTGTTCTGTAGACGGTGCTTATGGTCAAGTTCCCAATTTCAAAGTGTTTGAAAAAGTCATTCTTGTCGCCGGTGGAAGCGGTGCCAGCTTCACCTTTGCTATTGCACTAGACTTGATCGCGACATCTAGCAAAACAGTGAAGTCGATTGATTTTATTTGGGTAGTGAGAAACCAAGGTATGTTGAAGGTTTACGGGGAGACGATGTTTCATTACTGTGATCAACTAACTCTTTCCCATAGAGAGCCTCGAATGGTATGCCCAGGAGCTCAAGCAACTTCAATCTCATCCAGAAGTAAAATTGTTCATTCACGTCACCGGTCAGGCCAGCCTGACCGCCACATCGTTATCCACATCCCCAAGCTCTTCATCAGAAAGAGTATCTGAAAAGGACGGTGTGATACAACCAGAGGATTCCCCAGCCTTTTCCAGAGACGACCCTGAGAAAGGCGTTGCCCAAGAGGCTACATGCGATATTTCTTCGGTCAACGGGATCCTGCTAGGGCGCCCGCACATTGGCAACTTGATCGCGGCCGCTGCTGCTGGAAGCGGCACATCAGATGACCGCATCATTGTTGGTGCTTGTGGTCCTGCGGAGCTCCTGGGTACAACACGGAAGGCTGTTAACAACGAGTTATATAACGACGGACCACCGATAACATTCTACAGTGAGGTGAGTTAATGAGGGTTCCCAACAAACAAGAACCTTGACTAACATTCCAATGCAGGAATTTGAATGGTGATATCAAAGGGCTAGTCTGACGTATGGTATTTGATAGAAGGAAAGATTGATGAGAGATGATGATACTGGGCAGAAGCTATGTAAAGTTAGACAGACGGCAACTGCATCCAATTCTGTTTATTTACGTTCATGTTTTTGTTTATGTATATGACACAACAACGATTTACTTTGCGTTTCAACTAGTTCTGATCTGTATGGGTTTAATGGAGGAAAGAAAAGAAGGCTGTAGGAGTTTGCTGCCAGTACAGGGCAGTCATCTGAACAATGGGAGATTTCAACAATTCTTTAGATAATATGCATTTATCGTTTGATCATCTCTCCTAGACGATCTACATTGGCATGTTTATGAGAAATGAACAAGGGTGAGGGAGAAAATCAGGTATCTAGAATGTGTGAGTGCTCTATCGATTAAGTATTGACAAAGATGACATGTCTATGAACAGGCGTGTCAAAGCAGAGTGCTATATGTGAAGGAAGCCAACAGGAAATTACCGCAGCGCTGTGAGAAAATACCCGCCATTGAGTAAGAGAAAAGAAGAAAAGAAATGGCAAATATAACAAAATGTATGCAAAATTATATGGTCTCCGATTCAAGCTTGTTGACTGGCCTTGGCCTCAACCTGGGTCTGAGACATGCTAGGAACGTTCGCGCCCTTCAGGTAGTTCTCAAACTCGCCCACCTGTTTGCCACCCTGAACCCAGCGTTCACGGTAAGCATCACGTCGCTGCTCAGCCAGCTTGTTCAATGTGGGCCAGTAGGATGCATGGTCGTAGCGGAATTCGACATCACCACCCACAGACTTCATAAGATGGCTAGGCGGGACATGCTGGCGCAAGTCCTCATTGAACTTGAGCTTCTCTCGAGTATTGGGGTCAATGAAGGGTGTGATCAATTTGAGGAATCCCCAGATGACGAAAGGCACTACGAAAAGGAATTAGTAATTTATAAGATTGCCCAGGATATGGAATCACGTACCGTTGATCACCAGAGCCCGACCAAGCCTCTCGGGGTAGTGGTTCTGCAAGAAGCTGAGCGTCTGCTTGGCCTGACCAATGCTTGCGTTCTGGCCAGACTTTGTCTCGTTGAAGTTGACAATCAGCGCCAGGGTCTCCTGGTCCGGTCCAGTGAGATCAATGGCCCGTTCCAGCATGAAGACAAGATGCTCGAGTTGGCGGTCACTTCTCTCCGTGTTCTGGTTGGATGGCAAGAGATACAAACAAGGTCGTGCGTTGACATCATAACCCAAAATGACCTGCTTGCCAGTTTCATTCTCAATAGAGATGTATTCGGGTGTCAATTTCTTCAAGTCATACTCGCGACGCCATGTGAGGGTGCTCTGGAGCCGCGTCTCCGCCTCCGAGACATTCCACTTGGTTGCGCGTAGGTACCGCAGGAGACACTCGCGGGTCAACCACATCTTCTCATCCTCGGTTATGGGAGATGTCGGGGAATTCTTCTCAGCTTTGTCCGCGACAGTGGTCCATGATGAAGCAGACTTGAGCACAGCCTCGTACTTGGATTGTTGTTCCGGAGTAAGCTGCGCGGGAGGTATCGGCTTGGCTGTGTCCAACGGCTTAGCGAAAGGCTTCTTGATGAGACCATCTGCGGCGGATGTCGGTAGCTCGAGGTCAATTGGCTTCGGGGTGGGAGGAGACTCAGTTTGGACGTTCACGGGCGCCGATTGGGCCAGTGCCTGTACGTTGGTATCGGACACAGTATCGCCATTGGTGGGCGGCGCAGTCGCAGTAGCACCTTCGGGGTTCGACATGATGAATGGGACCTATATATCTGAATATCTAAATTTATAGATTTATAGATGATACAATGACACGTGGTAATCTAAAAAAAATGAAGAATCAATCTAAGGGGCAGGCAAATCACTAATTCTCACAATCGACAGGTCCACTCCGATCGAATGCTCGAATAATATTACCCCTTTAGGCCGCTTAGGTCAGCGACACGGTCTCACGCGTCTTGCGCGTGTCTACACTTTCAATGTCCATTGCCCATCCACGATACAAGTCTCCCCACAATGGACGTTGAGGCAGAGCTTAATGAATTTTTCGCGGGCTCATTTCCCGATGGGATCCCCAAGGATATCCTTGCCGAGCTCCTCTCCATCTTGCGGGTGCATTCGATCACCGCGGAGGAGCTCTTTTACAAATGGGAATCATACAGCATAAAGATGGGCGAGGGGGTGAGATTGACCATGGACACAGTTCGAGGCTTCAAACAAGATGTCCAAGAAGCTTTGGAGCGCGAAACTCGTGACAAAGTTAGCCGACACGCAGAGAAACGAAGCACAAACATGGGAACCCCGCGGGCGCGGCTGCAGCTGGCGGCGATATGTTTGGGATGTTCGATCAATTGACACCAACTGCCGCGAATGCTCGATCTGGGAATGGGTTTGGATCCGTAAAGCGCAAGGCCGAATTCACCTCTCCCGCTACACCAAGAGTCAGCAAGTTCGAAAAGCTTGGATCACAAGCGGGCACGAAAACACCAACTGGGACACCCGGCGACGGAACGCAGTAGGTGCTTTTCGGGCGTGTGTCATCTGTTAAAAGTGCTAACATCAGTGACAGAGCAGTTCCGTTCTCTGATCGAACGAATCCTGGCCAGACGATAGAAACCCTCAATGCGCACATATCATTGCCAGAACCCCCAATGGTGCCATTTTCAGAGGCGCGCATTAGACCTACGGCGAATACGGACCTTAAAAAGCTTGGCTACAAGCCCATGGGCATGAAATTGTCAGAAGCATCGGAGATTTTGGATGATCGTATCGACGAGTTCGCGACTATATTTCAGGCAGAATTCAATTCAGACGATATTACATTCGGCAGTGCAGCCATCCAGAGCACAAGCGAGATTATTGCTGTCGGACGGATCGCTTCTGACAGTCTCGAGGGAAAATTGAACGCAGCTTCCCTTGTGCTTGAGACTTCGCGTCGGACTGGAGCCGGTAGACGAGTTCCCTTGAAGGTCGATTCGGTGCCTGCAGTGAACTTCTTCCCAGGCCAAATCGTGGCTCTCCGAGGAATCAACCCTTCTGGCGAATATTTCACCGTCAAGGAAGTGCTCCCAGTTCCTCTGATGCCACCAGCCGTATCTTCAGCTGCGACACTGGATAGCATCAACGAGCGGCTTGGTGGAGATGGAAGCCCACCGCTTAACTTGATGGTTGCGGCCGGGCCCTACACAGCGGACGACAACTTGGACTTTGAGCCACTACAGGAACTATGCCAGAAAGCAGCCGAAAGCTACGCCGATAGTTTGGTGCTGATGGGTCCGTTCCTGGACATTGAGCACCCTCTTCTTGCATCGGGCGATTTCGACTTGCCAGATATCAAGGGCATCGACCCGGACACAGCTACACTTTCTTTAATGTTCCGACACTGTATCTCGGCGCCACTGGCAAGACTTGCAGCCGCCGTCCCCAGTATCACGATCGTAATGGTCCCGTCGGTGCGCGATGCACTCAGCCGCCACGTCTCCTGGCCCCAGGAGCAGCTCCTCAAGAAAGACACTGGTCTTCCCAAACAGGTTCGCATGGTCTCGAATCCTGTCACATTATCGTTCAACGAAATCACTATTGGAATGTGTCCACACGACGTGCTCTCCGAGCTTCGCCGCGAAGAGGTCTTACATGGTCGTCCCACAGAGAACAACCCCCTGCTCACCCGTCTGCCCAAGTATCTCGTCGAGCAGCGCCATTTCTTCCCCTTGTTCCCCCGACCTCGCGATCAAATCTTCCAAAGCCCGGGTCCGAAGGTGGCATAGCTACAGGCGCTATGGTGGATCTACCCTACCTGAAACTGGGCGAGTGGTGGAACGTCCGTCCCGATATCTTAATTGTGCCTAGTATGCTACCGCCTTTCGTAAAGGTATGTCATCCCTAGCCGAGGCTTTTTATTTTCACCTATCATAAGCAGTGCTAACCTTTTCATTTTTGCAGGTTGTCGACAGTGTGCTAGTCATCAACCCAGGCACTCTATCAAAGCGTCGCGCTGCAGGCTCATACGCGCAAATGTCCATCCACCCCCGACTCGTGGCAGAGCACGAGCGTGAACAGAAACAGCTGAGTCACAACCTGTATGAGCGGGCTCGAGTCGACATCAATCGTATCTAGGGGTGCATGTATAATCATATCGCATTACGCGCGGCGTTAATGCTCAGACTGAGTTAGGTCTGCAGCCATTTGAAATTGGCGGTTCTTGGAACAAGATCGCAAATAGAAACGAATCAATGATCCTCAGATATATCACAACAGAAGAATACATTCAACGTGGGTATCATGAGGGCTATCCAGCCCAAAAGAAATGCTCCGGTAAAAATGCAAGTAACACAAGACACTCTTTTACCTGCCTGTTGGGGTAGGTAGAAAGCTCGCAGCAGCACCAACATCAGTAAGGATAATCCCGCAAAGTATCAGAAATACCGATATTGATTACCGCAACCCAATAACCCGACGCCCACCCATCCTCCGCCCAGAATCCCTGACCCTAATAACAGGCGCCCCGGCCGCCGCCGCACCACCCCCACTACCGCGCAGCGTAGCCCCAGGCCCAGAAGTCGCAGCCCCAGCAGCACCACCGCCTCCATGACCAGTCAAAGGCCCAGCATCAGGCCCATGTCCTTCCCCATTAACAAGCGCCTCGAGACCAAGATCGCGCCACACGGCCTCTCGTCTCCGCTCCATAGCGCGAGTAATGCCGAAGGCCGCATGCTGGTCTGGGACGACGTCGTCCTCGTCTTCAGGGTTCGGGGGCTGATATTGCGGTGCCACATAGATGTCTTCAATTGGCAGGAATGAGGGAATTGTAGAAGGAGAAGTCGAGCCGTATGTCATGGCGTTTGCGGCTGTGTTTGTTGCTTCGCGGTTTGCGGCAGAGACGCTGTTGGCGTTGTGTGGGTCCGTTGTTGAATTTGTAGCTGTGGAAGTGTGCGGACGCGTAAATTCTTCGAAGAGGTCTGCTAGCCGCGGTTGGTGCATGTGTAGGTATGAGGCGGAGGAGTCTTTGCTCTGGTGGTCTTGGTGTAAGCTTGGATTTGGTGGATTGTCTGGGGAATCCTGGAAGTCTGGGCTTGGTAATATACCATTTTGAGGGATTTTAAAATCTCCTTATCGAGATCTTGGGGTATTCGAGGATATTTTGCCAATGAAATTGTTAAACGGAGACTCAGAAGTATGCTTATCTTCCGTATATGTTGACGGCAGAATAACCCTCGGGTCCACCGCCAATATCACGTGAAATGTATCTGTTGATATACCATAATTTCAAACTTGGAAGGCTCATGCTATCTATTGATCTTTCCCTAGTCTACTCCGTGCAGATCTATACATTGCAAGGCTATATGTTTCAATGCAAATCGAGGAGGAAGGATAAAGAAGGCAAAAAAAAGATATCAGCTCGCCTGCTCAACAAGTCCCTCCAGAAACTAAGGGGGATCTCCGCGCTGCTATCAATTTCTTATTTCTCAACTTTTGGCTTTTTCAAAAGGAGTTGATATCGCCTTGCTTGTTGGAAACAATTAAGCAAGGTTAAACCCCGAGGCCCTGCCCACAACCTTCCCCAATCCGATATGAGGCTCGTCGTCGGAGTAACCTTCATCCGATGCCGGAATATAAAAAGCCCCACCTGTGGGCAGGGCCCACTTTCCTACTTCTTCTTGCATGGGTTGCTAGTTGAAAACTACCCTACCAAATGGACTATAAGGAATCTTTGGAACTCATGGCCTGCCTGCGATATCATGGGCCACTTGTTTCGTATCAACTGTTCAACTTGTCCGGCTACTTGTAGGAGAGTTTTTTATACTGTGACGTACTCCGTAGCCTGCAGCAACCCACGCGTTGTATCATAGCACCTTGTCACCACAAGTGACGCATTATCTTAAGAAACAAACGGCATCCCAGCAGGGTGAAGCTTTTGCAGCTTTGCCTCTATCTACAAGGCGCTTCTCGGCCTGTGCTTGCTGTGAGACATCGAGTTTGATATTCTCATACCCTCGACCCCGACTACTTATGGCGTGGAGAGTGCACATGTCGTTATATGGGCCCCTCAAATAGAATCGAGTCATGGAAAACTCATAGCACCTTTTCAGCTATCTGCTACAAGAAGTATCAGTCACCTATTCTGTATTTGTTTCGAGAAAGCAGGTCATTAATCTGTTTTATCATTTATATGATATGATGAAATTGAAGTAGATTCGCTACAAGATCTTTTTACATGCGGTTTCTTTGGATCTCGCCTTCTGCCCAATAGCTCTATAGCTAGGCGGATAAAGATAACCAAGCAGCACGCGGAGGTTGAAAGTGTTCGTGTATAGCGACTTTTCCCTAATTGTCAGTAACACAGTACTTGTGCGGAACCCCATCACTACCAGCCCTGTATTACTCGTGTTAGATAAGAGCTTGGGATCAACTGCGTAGAGACTTGTAGATAGCTTGTTATAGTATCATGATACTCTCATTCGTCACATAACCCTGGAACTATATATTAGTTGCCATTAGATTTGTACAACATAGCAAGTCCCCAAATGGATGTTTACATGTGTCAACTTGGTAAAGGCGGAAAACAACCTTACATCTATTAACCTACCTCCAACCTGCCTTTTATGCCTGGGGCAATGAATCATTAAAGTGGAGCCTATGACAATATAGATAGAGTGAGATGAGGACATAATTACATCAAGGCAGTTTGGCCGAGTGGTCTAAGGCGCTCGCCTGCTAAGCGAGTCCCTTCGGGGGCCAGAGTTCGAATCTCTGAGCTGTCGGTTTCCTTTTTGTTTCTTTTTTGTTTTACCCTATCTTTGTGTAAATGGAAGGAACAGTGTGCATATCCCTTGAATAGCGTACCTTCCTGCCGGTATGGCCGTACCGCCTTCCTAACCAGGACTTCATGACGTAATCCTTGCCACATGATATCTCTTTCTGCCGTACATTCTTGACCGCATTAGTTCTGATTTCCATAGTAAAAAACTTGTGTGTTGATCACGAAACAAAGCTGATTCTGCCTGGTTTTTTCATTGATATCCTCATTATGCTACTTTGCAGGGTTTCCATAGACCGACCTCCTCTCTAATTGTGGTGATTCATTGCTCTAGCAGAGTAGATGAAGCTACTGACGACGGAGTATTCGACCAAGTCCTACAAAGTTTTGACAAGCGCGACTTATTTTAAGCTCTCACATACGAATTGCAGGTACATATATTCTGTCTGAGTAGTTACGTTATAGGACTTTGATAGGAGGACGGTGACAGGAGCAGTAGGCAAAATCAGGTGTCAAGGCAGGAGCGGTACCTAATTAGGAAGGTGCACCTGAAATCCCAGGTCGGGAGGACTATGTTTCTCCAAGGCAGTACTCTGTACATATATCAACACTACATATGAATCCCAATGTGGTCGTGGGAGCCCCTTGCTGAGGTTCTGCATCCACTCCAAATGAATCATGCATTGCATTTCTACTCGGTAAGACCCAGGGTGAAGATGATACATGTGTATAAAGATGGACAAATCGCCCTACAATAGGAACTGGATGATGATAAGACTTATTGATTCCAGACAACCCATGCTACATAGAGGTAATCAGATATATTGTCTATTCATTCCTGTTTCAACATCACCAAGTGTTGGGTTCGCCCAATGCACGCAAAAGCAGAATCTAACGAGCCAAACAAGCATGGGGAAAAAGATACACACCACTATAATCATGTAGACCAGATTAAGCCGGCCCAAGAAAAAGTTCAAAAAGAAAAGGAAAAGAGAGAGAAAGGGAAAAAGACCTGGAAATCACGACGCCTAGCCAGTCGAAACCATTTAATTGCTTTTGATTCAGATTACAGGTTCGATACGCTCCATATTCATGACCATGCTGCAAAGTAAACGTAAAGTAATTCATAGATCACAGATTTGTCACCATCCGATGGACAATCGGGACCGCACTGGGAGGAAGACTGCCCATCTCAGTGATGACCATGTCGACGTACTCAGCAGGCGTAACATCATACATAATGTTCAGCAGCTGCAAATTGGGAGTGTTATGCCAGTTCGCAAGAGGCGACGAAGATGACTTGTGTGGGATGACAGGAGGTTCGGGAGCCGGAGTGCGGTTTGCGCCCTTCTTATTCTCAGGCGGAGGGGGGACATACGCATCTGCCGGGTCACGAACGACGAGGGAGACAGGGGTGTTCATGGGTAGCAGCTCGTTGGCATCGGCGATCTCGTTGACGACGATGCTGTCGAGGGCGACGCGGTCAGTAAACTTGATTGTCTCGCAGCAGACGATGACGGGGATCTCAACGCCACTGGCGCGCTCCTTGGCGGACATGGCGACAAGGGCGGTGCCGACGCGGGAGTACAGGCCACCATTACTGGTCATGGTGTGAGCGCCGAGGAAGACCTTTGTGGCGTCTTTGATGGCGTGGGTGATGGCGTGAACGAGGGAGTATTGGACATCGAGCCCAGACTGGGCGAGATCGCGGGCGAGGCTCTTGCCTTCGAACAGGGGTCTTGAATCGATGATAGAGACGCGGAATCGCTTTCCTTGGCTGTGTGCTAGCAAAAGTGTTTGCTTGACAATGTTGCTGCCGGCAAATGTCACGATCACGTCGCCGTCCTGGACCTTCTGTGCGGCGTTTTCGGCAATCACCTGGTCGGCGACAGTAATTTTCTCCTGGATAAAGTTGTCGATGTACTCGCAGAGCGAGATCTTTGCGCTCGCCTCAGGGGTAGAGGGATCAATTCCGGCAATGAACAGCTTCAAAGCACGGATAGCATTTCCCTGACTGATAGAGAGGGGTCGGCAGGTCGAGAGATAGGTGATTTGGTGCGAGAGGTGTGTTGTCAGGTGGCGAGCCAGGGAGGTGCCCAGGGGAGTTGTATAAGATTCAATGACCTTTAGAAAGCGACGTGTCAGAATAAAAGGCCATGTTTTGGATGCAACAAAAAAAAATCAACATACTCGTTTAAAAGCAATCAGCGTAGCCACGCAACGCGCGCTACTACCGCAGATAGTGTAGTCCATCAACTGCATACCCAAGGCCAAGACAGCATGGTGTACTTCCTTCGTGGCGCCGGCGATAGTGACACGGCGCTGTTGTCCGTACAAATGCCCAAAGATGGCAACCTTTTTATCATCCTTCTTTTTCTTTTGCTCCACGAGAACGGACCCAGTCTGCGCAAGAGGACCCGAGCCACGGCGCGGTGGTGGTGCTCGCGGTCCCTTCTGGGCAGAGCCAGGACCGGCAGCATCCTTTTTCGGTGTGGTTGGTGGACGAGCCTGGGCTCCGATACCAGGAATGGGAGTGGTACTGTTGGCGGCACCTCCTTCTTTTTCAAGTTTCTCTCGGATACGTCGGGCCGCCTTCTCGGCCTTGGCTTTCTTCTTCAACTCAGCTGGGCTAAGCGGCTTGTCTGTGGCGCCATCTGTAGACGCGGGCGCATCTTCGGTGGGCTGAGTGGGTTTTGAGTTGCGGATCGGGAGAGTCTGCGGAGAGTTTGCGGTCGCGGGTTGAGCCTGCTCTGATTGCGATAGGGCAGGGTTTGAGGCTTGCGCGGTCTGCGCTGAGTCAGGGCGTTCCGTCATCTTGTCTGTGAATTAATTCTCGTGTGAGAGTGGATCGGCGAAGGTGGTGGGGAGAAGGAGGGAGAGGGTTGACTCACGGAAAAAGAAATGATGCCATAAGCGGCCCACTGAGCGACGCAGCCCTAATTTGCGACTCATCGCTGAGTACAATGAACAATGTCTTGAATAAAGCTCAATATCTAGAGAGCTGACTACTTGGGGTGAAAGCTCAATCATTTACTACTTCTGACTAAATGGGATAACCTCCGTACAAGAGTGCGGCCTGAAAGAGACCCGCGATACCCAATGAGTAGGGTAGCTGGCATTGAAACATGCATAACATCAAGTGTCTCATTATTCATCGCTGGGGCTCGCTATAACAGAAACAAGTACACAGGCCAAGACTAGTCTGGTCCCAATTCAATCAAGGAAGTCCGAACAAAGACTTCAAACTTTCCAAAGGACATCGCAGGAACGCAGACAAAGAGATCGCCGCCAACTCCATTCATTCCCTGTACACCCAAAAGATAAAAATAGAGGCATATGCGCATTTCAACGATTGCTGACAATGGTTCCTAAGGCACGCCGTTTCCGAGTCGTATGGTCCTCGATCGGGCGGAACCGTTCATGGTCTGTGGCCAGCTTCCTCTTGAAGACACTCAGGTCACCAAGAAGATCATGCATGTGATTTTGCATTTGCTGGGCCTCTTGCTCGGTGGTATCGTCGGTGATAGTGTCATCATCTTCCCAGACGTCCATGTCAGATTCGGCATCTGATACTAAGGGAGAGCCTTCGCGGTCTTCTGGATCATGACTAGGGTATTGACTCTCATCGTTCAGAGACAGAATGCTAGGCTTCCGTTGCTCGAAAGTAATGGCAGGAATCGGGTTCTTGAGACTCTCAACTGCCAACTTGAGATGCATGCGCAAAGCGTCGTTTTCTGTTTGCAGTTGTCGTATCTTACATTCACTGACCATCTTATTCTCTTCCATGAGGCGTTGCATTTTCTCGACTTTCTGTTGGTACTCTTCGAGTCTTTCATCGGCGGCCTCGCTTGCCCGCTGGTTGACTGCTGCTTGGCTCACGCTGAGTTGAAGGGTGCGAATCGTCTCTGTCATCTCTGCAATCTGTCGATCGCGTTCAGCTGCCGACATCTGGTCTTGGTTGACCCGTGCCCGTGTCCGAATATTCTTAGCCTGATCTGCATAGCGAAGAGTCGAAAGAGTCTCTTCATAATCGGCGGGCGCGATACAGGCAATCATTGCTGTTTTGGAGTTTCCACCCAGACTGTCCTTCAATAGCCATGTCAGGATTGAGTCACGGTATGGCACTAGTTCTTTTCCCTTTCGTGGACCGCGGAGCTTCTTGGGATCTGCGAGGGCTGCAATGACACGCCCTAACGTAGTCAAAGACTTGTTGATATTTGCACCCTCACGAAGTCTAGCGCCGGTTGCTTCGGTCGATTTGGCACGCTCGGAACCTGCAAGATCGACCAACCGGATCCGAGCAGTGCGCTCGGTCGTCTCATCTGTTGATAAGTCGTGGTGGATCTGTTTTAAAGTGATGGTAAAGACTGCATGAGATCGAGACGAGGTGTCGTTCATCTTTGTGCTAGCCGTGGTTCGTGAGACATCACCCTTTCGCATAAACTTCATCAATTCATTGTAGTTCCTTGCGGTGACCTCTGTCAAATCTTTAACGTATGGTCCCTCTGATGGAGATTCGCGAATGCGGAGATAATGTGGGGGATCTGTTCGTGGGACCAAAAGGTCGCGAACATGCTCGTTGTATACTTCAAAATACGACACTCGGACGTTATAACTGATATCTGGAGAAGGCGAGCTCTCAATGCGCTGGAACAGATCCTCGCACGTTCGAGGAATCAAGCCAGGCCTTTCTGGTGTTCCCATCATCGTGTAACTCTTTCCTGAGCCTGTCTGTCCGTATGCAAAGATACAGGTGTGATATCCTTCGAAGTTGTGATCTAAGAACTCTTCACCGAGAGCATTGTAAACGTCTTCCTGGTGTGCATAATGCTCATCCTCCTCATCATGGGACCAAAAAGAGTTATCGAAAGTGAAAGATTTATTCTCCAAGGTTTTGCCGCGGGCTTGTGACTTGGGTTTCCCTTGATCACCCGGTTTCGGTTTCGGGGCTTGAAGGCATGTAATTTGCGTGCGTGGGTCCATCGAGATTAAACATTCTGCCTTGCGATCGATTTCTGCACGATGTCAGAATAAACCCTCCTTTTTAGATACCGCGCCTCCCCGCATCTCTCCCCAGCAACACCTACCTCGAGGTAAGAACTTCCGCACTCGCACGACGACACGCACATTTCCTCCTGGTGTTGGACTAGCCATCCCATCTCTTGTACGGGGTATTGCGAAGCCCTCTCGGGCGCGGAAGGAAGGACTGGAGGCTGTTGATCGAAGGGTGGCAGCGGAAGCGGAGGTGGAGACAATGCTGGGGGAGGTGATTCCTGTTGCGGCTGATATGTCGGATGAAGCGGCTGAAGATATCGAGCCTGGGCCCGGATGGCCGATGTGGTGATAGAAGCGCGGATCTAGCGCCATGTCCCTACTGTTGTCGCTCAATAGCTGCACACAAGCGGTGACGGCGTCGCGTCGTCGATCAAGAAGAGAGTGGTACATGCAATGGGATTTACATGGAATAGGATTGACAAAGGGGAAACAAATGATTGGCAAGGGAATATGGAATGAGTGAAAGGGGAGGGGGGTCGGTACTGTTGCGCGTTGTTTCCTTAGGGAAAGTTCAGTTCATTGTAAACACACGTCTAGTGCATATTTGGAGGAAAGAATGTATATATGTATAAAATAGGGAAGAACGAGATTGAAATTGGAATTGAAATTGAAAATAATAGCAAGGTGATTTCCAAGGTTCTACGACATCAAAGTGTCACCGTCTATTAAGGTGCCGTTGCTATAGCAATGGCCCGCCTACTCCACTATATATATACTTGCTCTTCTACTGAGACTTATTGAAACATATTGAAACCTGTACCTTGTTATACTCAGGGATCCCTTTTGTGTTTATTCTTGGAATCATGGATAATTTCGATTTCGGTTTTAATCAACATATATGTATTATCACATCCAGTTTCGTCCCGATGTACAAAAAAAGAATCGCAATGCATATTTACTCTTCGAAGTCTGAAGTGTCCGCTGTCATAGCTTCGACCAAGTCGGTATCATCATCTCGGAGAGGTCTTGGATCGGGAACTGGGTTGCCAGAAGCGTCCATGTGTTCACTTAAAAGTTCGGTAGGACCCATCTCGCTGTGGGAGGCCTTTTGCGTGGCATGGGTCTTGGCTCTGACATGAGGAGCTTCCTGGCCTTTATTTTCACCTTTCTCACGGGGCATGATGTCTTCATATAATGTTAGCGAGAGTTGATATATTGAGCGTCACAGCCTCCACCGTCGTCTTCACAGACGCTCTTCTCACAGGGTTGAAAGGATAAGGCGATAGCATACCGTGTGTGTATGTGTGTGATGTTATTATGTGGTAAGGATGTTCAGTTTGTGCGATGAGGAATCAACTATTTGATGAAAACCGTCTCTATTTATGAGTATTGGAAGTGGTGGCAATGATTTGACCATGACGATGGCACTTCTACATCATCTTTGGTCCTTCTGCGCACTTGCCATTCAGATGCATCTAGTTGTGCCACTAATTCGATTGAGTTCTGAAATTTGATTTAGTGAGAGCCAGTCAGTTGGTGCTTGGTGTGGGCCGTGGTTGGTCTGAGGTAATTCATGGAAGGATGTATGAATATACCATCATAGGTTTTTCGCCACGAAGTGCTATTTTATCCCTGACTCTTTCGGTACACCACGGATAGTACCTTTCTTATCCATCTCTCCAGTGGCAATCAAAGCACAGGAATCATCTTAGCTCAGTAGCTACCCTGGTTGAGGTTGTCTCACAGGCCAAGTGCGAGCCGATTATGTACTGGTAAAAGCGAGTGCCCATGAGCTCTTGAAACCTAGAAGCCATCAAGACCCATAAGCTGTCGCGAAAGCCACTCATCTTCTGCGACTGTCTCTGGTACTTCCAAGGTTGGAGTCTTAGAATGCTGTCGATATAATAGATGACGTCGAATATCAGCTACATTCCGCCTGGGCAATATTTGCGGGGCCCCGGTGTTGATGTGTGGCAATATCCGGACTATGAGCGGTGAGCCTGGCGGTATGTTGTATATTATGTAAGCAGGTGACGCAGCCCTCCCTGGAGCCCTCGGACGCAGAACGCCATGCTCCAGATGTCCCGTTCGACTTTGCATCGACTGATAGTCTATCCAAACCTCAGTACAGAGTAACCTAGAACTTCCTTAGGTAGCGCTAGGTCGAGATATTAGATCCAGACCTAACCCAAAGCCGAGGTTAGGCCTAGGTTCAGGATCGACGACAGCGGTGTTGTTAAGACTTTTGCTAAGAGACTGTACACACTAGTATTGATTAATACTTACAGTAGTGCGAGGTCTCATCCGAGCTATCGGGGCAGGGGGGCCTTTGAAATCGAATTTGATTGGTGTAGACTACTAAGACAAATAACGGAAGATTCTAGTCAACGTAGGATTTTGACCGATGTGTACTAGGCTTGGTCTGTTTCCCAAGATAACATATGATAAATGGTAGCGCCTTCGACCATGCTCCTTGTAAATTTAACCCAGATGGCGTGATTGAGCCCGGGGCCTTCCATTCTCTAATCCGTACGTCCGCATACATACCCTTGTGGCTCAATTTGTCCACGAGCTTGCTGACCGTGCAGCAAACCCCTGCCGTAGCTTTGGCGCAAGCGAGTTTTCCGTGAACGCTTGCCCTTGGGAGTCTTTGCTGATAACAGGTCAAGCCACTGTGGTGAATTTGGAATTCCATCAGCGTTGCTAGTTTTTCTGAGCACCTTTATTTACGTGCACGTTTTCCCTTAGTATTCCTTTAGCACCATAACTTTGTCGGGGCTTTTCAACTTCCCTGGAGCCTCACATCCAACACGGAAGAAAGAGAAAACACAAAGCAGTTTGCTGGGCCTAGAATCCTCGAACATGGCTTCCCCTTGGTCATCAAACGGCCCACTGGGCTCAATTATTCTGTCCCTGATCTTGCTTATCTTTTCACTGCGGCGCGTCCATTATCACCGGAAGTCAGAGAGGAAACTGGTCATGTCACAACACAGAGTCAAATTAGTTGGTCGCTAATAGAGAACAGCCACTCTTATTATACTTTGTTGACAAATCATAGGTATTGCCCGTGGCCCTTTGTACCATCCACTTGGGCTTTCTCTGGTGCCTCATATCAAAGAGCCATTACGCTAACAACGTCGCTATTCTGGTCGACTCTGCTCTATTACTCGTGACCGCAGCTGCAGCCCTCTGGCTCTATGTTCTCGAACAGAGCAGGGGCATTAATTCTTCGAGTATCATTCTGGCGTATCTTGCATGTTCATTGACCAGAGACCTTTTAGAGCTACAATTAGTAGGCTGCTTAAGCATCGGGACCTGCTTTTTCATCAGATCTAGGATTATCATAGAGGGAATCTGGCTGACTTCGCATCTATGGGTCAAAAGTTTCCTCTCGCATCATTCCCAAGAATCCATTGCCACATCGGAAGAAGCAGCGGGTATTTTTAGCCAGGTGTTTTTCCGGTGGATGCATCCAGTTCTAAGGGAGGGATATAGGGCGAGGTTGACTCTTACAAGTTTACCGGACATTGACCCACGACTCTCATCAAAAGGTTTACGAAATAGAGCTTTGATACACTGGGCCAGAGAATGTGAGTCGCTCGTGTGATCACTACATGTGGCGTAATGTTAATAAAGATAAGGTCTAGCCAATCTTCACACAAAATGGACGCTTCCAAGTGCATTAGCGAGGTGTCTCAAGGGTCAATTTTTGTTACCGTTAATTCCGCGCGGCTTTCTCATCCTATTCACATACCTACAGCCCATCTTCATCGGAACCGCGATACGATTTGTCAATGGCACATCTCAGTCCATTCTCGGTGGAGATAGCGGTCCTAGATTGATGCTTTTTGCTGCAGCCGTGTATATGGGAATAGCAGTACGATTCCAAGTGTCGTACGGATTTTTCAATCTATCTGACGATATAAAATCTAGGTGTCGGGGGCAATCTACCAACATCAAATCAATAGGCTGCGCGTTATGGTTCGGGGAGCATTGGTTGGTCTCATTCACCACCAGTCTCTTCATTTGCCAGATGATAAATCTCAAGACTCATCCGCATTGGCACTGATTAGCTCAGATATTGATAGCGTTGACTCTGTGGGTGAAATATTCCACGAGACCTGGGCCCGTATGGTAGAGGTCGTTACTGGGACAGTGCTCCTGGCCGCTCAGATCCAATGGTTTGCCTTTTTACCATTGATAATAATCTTCGGTAACTATGAATCCAGGAGCATCGTCCTTGGGTTTGAATAATGTTAACCTCGAGCACTCAGGGTGTTCGCGGATGAGCGCGTATGTTGCAAAGCACTTGGAGAATCGGCAGAAAGACTGGAACGCGGCAACACAGAACCGCCTTGCCGCCACATCAGCAGCTATAGAGGGAATCAAGAGCTTAAAGATGATGGGGATGGAAGATGCAATCCAGTCGCAGGTCTTATATCTACGAAACAATGAGATCCAAGCATCAAAGCGCCTACGATGGATTCTGGTAGCCTACAACGCAAGCGGTATGTACTAGGTCAGATTAACAACTATCATTTGATTGATTCTAACTTTACATTCAAGCAAATGCACTTGGGATTCTTGCTCCAGTCTTGACTCTTGTTCTTTTCCTCCTGTCGTCTCGAGGCGATGGGATATCTACTGATCAAACCTTTACAGCCCTTGCTCTTCTAGCCATGGTGACACATCCAGCCAACATGGTTATGACTCTTATTCCACAGGCGATTTCTGTTCTGGCAAACTTTGATCGTATCCAGACTTTTATCAGCCAACCGTCCATCCAAGATACGCGAGAAGTCTTCCAGGAAGTAAGTCCTCAACAATTCATTTTAACACAAGCCCTAACGGTGGCACCTCCTCCATTATATCATCCTATACTTTGTGATTTGGACTTGGCAATCACCAAAGGGGAAATTGTGACTTGCGCTGGCGCTGTTGGAAGTGGGAAGACAACTCTAGCAATGGCTGTTCTTGGAGAAGCTACTACTACCAGTGGCTTGATCTCTATATCCTCCAAGGAGATTGCATATTGCGCTCAAGAGCCGTGGCTACCTAGCGTCACTATTCGCGAAGCTATAGCAGGACATCTCGTTGGTCTAGATATCGAATGGTATAATACTGTGATCGAAGCCTGCGGCTTGGTGCCGGATTTCCATTCGTTTGTGGCTGGTGATATGGCACTGATCGAGAACAATGGAATGAATCTCTCTGGGGGACAAAAGCAGCGTATAGTACGAAACCTGTTGCCTCGCTTGTGATGACTGCTTAGTGTTGTTTTGCTAACAGACTTATTAAAGGCTTTGGCAAGAGCAGTCTACTCGAAATATAAAATGCTTGTCCTCGATGATCCGTTCAGTGCTCTTGATGAAGCTGTTGCGGGTCATATTGTGCAAAGGCTGTTGGGCCCACGAGGTCTGTTTCGAAAAATGGCGACTACAGTGCTTTTGATCAGCAACTCTAGTGGGTTCACAATCCTAATTATAGCGGTTTGTTTTTTGTCTCTGACATCAATCATTGAATAGAAGAAATCTTTTCAGTTTCAGATCGGGTGCTACTCCTTCATGATTCAAGGCTCTATCCCCGAATGCACCTTCAAGATCCGAAAGCAGCTGTTGGGCTTCTTTCATTGCCTTCGAAGAATTCCCACACCCTCAATCTATCAAATGACAATGACTCCGGAGCTCTTGGAAAGAGTCGGAAGCTACATCTAAGCGATGCTGAAGACGATACCTCCCGGAGGACTGGAGATGTTGCAATCTATGGTATGGTATATGTCCACAGCCTGTTTTAAAGAGCTTACTGACCTGGGAAAGGGTATTACATTAACGCAATCGGCCGATCTAACAATCTTATGTTGATTTTGTGTACGGCTGGTTTCTCATTTTGTTCTACATTTGCTCAGTATGTTCTCAAATGGGCGACAGAATCGCCTAGAGACAGATTGAACTTCTATATATCTCTCTATGCCACAATATCGTTCATCGGATGGGTGGCAACTAGTGGGACTATGTGGTAAAACAAGTTTGGCGCTATCTAGAACGGGGAATATTGCTAATCATCTCTCATCTCTAGGGCCGCTCAAATGAAAGTTGCTATCAGGTCAGGCGCACTGTTACACGCACAGCTTCTCGATCGGATTCTTAGGTTTGTTCCTCACCTCGGCATATCAACTGCTCAAAGTACTGATTCCTCTGAACTAGGGCGCCTTTGTCTTATATCACCAAAACTGATATCGGTACCATTGTGAACAGGTCTGTATAGCCTTCCTAGAACAAATCTATACATACATGTATGTTCTTCTTATACTGGTATTTGATATCTAGGTTTGGGCAGGACATAAATCTCGTGGATAAGCAACTTCCTCCAACGCTGGCAAATCTCAATACCCGTCTGTATATCATAATTTTGATTTTTGATATTTCGACTAACAATCATCAATAGAAATCTTCAAGCTTTTAATGCAGTTGGTGCTACTCGTGAAGATCCGACCAATGATGAGTCTCACTGTGCCTGTCTGCGCTATATGCGTTTATTTTATCCAGCGGATTTATCTTCGGACATCTCGACAGCTACGTTTTCTTGAACTGGAGTCGAAATCATCATTGCTCACGAACTTTATGGACACGGTATTTATATCTGTTATAGTACCCGGATGTCACATCTCTGATCATTCATATAGGCAAACGGCATTGTTACAATTCGCGCGTTTGGTTGGAAAGAGAAATTCCAGAAAGAGAACGTGCAAGCCCTAGACCTATCACAAAAACCTTTCTACCTCCTTCTCTGCTTACAGTGCTGGCTAAAGATGATGCTAGATTGCATCATCACAGGTTTTGCAGTTGTTCTAATTGCGTTCACCATCTCTTATCGCAACACCACTGCCGGTGCGGACCTTGGCTTGGCTCTGAACTTGATAATCGTCGCAAACACCACGCTTTTAAAACTTGTCCAGTCCTGGACATCCTTTGAGACATCCTTGGGGGCTATTTCTCGATTGAAGAGCATACAAGACTGTGTGCCGACTGAATACAACACTGAGCATACTGTGGATCCTGGCCTGCGATGGCCCTCTAGTGGAAATCTACACGTCAACGGCGTGTCAGTCGGTTATACAAAGTCATCGCCACTTGCCCTGCGCAATATATCCTTCGTCGTTAAGCCTGGACAAAAGACCGTTGTTGTGGGTCGAACAGGGAGGTATGGCGATACAGGTCTAGTTGATCTTATATTTGTAAGTGCTTGGCTAATACAAGTCTCCTGACAGTGGCAAAAGTACATTGATGCTTTCCTTACTTCAACTTCTCGAACCCAGCGAGGGATCAACATTCATCGACGACATCAGCCTCACGCATATGTCACCAAGAACGGTGCGAAAACGTGGTTTCATTGCAGTGCCACAAGATGGGTTGACAATTCCAACGGCCACTCTACGCTTTAATCTAGATCCTTATCATACGAGCTCAGAGGAAGAAATATCCCTGAGTCTTCAAAGGACTGGCCTTTGGGATAAGATCCAATCTATGGCCGATACGGCCGAGAAGGCAGGGGCGAGTCCAAAAAGAAGCCTGCTCGATCTTCCTATGTTGTCATTTCTACCACTCTCAGCTGGACAACTACAGTTACTGGCCTTAAGCCGAACACTGCTACGAGTCTGGTCTTCCGCACCGCACAAGCCGATCGTCATCTTGGATGAAGTCAGCTCTTCCTTAGACTCAGAAACAGAGTCTATTCTGATAGATATTCTTCGGGACGATCTCCGAGATTACACTGTTGTGATTATCGCACATCGTGTTGCTGGTATCATGGGTGCTATGAGACCTGGAGTTGATGCAATTGCCACCATGCAAGATGGCAGGTTGCAGACTGTGTCTATTGTCGACAGCTCTGGTTGATAGAGAACTCTAGTTCATCGTCTTGGCGAGGATTGAGATAGGGATTGGTGGATTGAGTCACGCAAGCGTTCCGTTGCTGAATATTTGTTGCCTGGCAGGCCGTTCCTGGCGCCCTAGGCGGCCATCTCGGGCGCCAACAGCTCAGGTCCTCAAATTTTAAATGTGATAATTATAGGCTTCTATTGAATAAGTAGCAATGGCTACCATTGAATTTCGAGAAGTAGTATCTTGGTGATCAATGGCAATGAAGTGGCTCTAACAGTAGCCCGGGTATAAAAGTGGTGACTCCTGGCTTCTTGGTCGGTATGGTCGGTACCTCTCTATGAGGCTGGAAAGTTGGGGTAGATCTGCCTCGAGGATAAGAAATGAACTATTGTATATACACTAAGACTTACCCGAAGGATCCTCGTTCTTTTAAGGTGTCGCGCTTCAGTTCTCGGTACTATTCTGAATTCTAAATATCATTTCTTTACTGTGAGCCCTATCTACCCATGTTTTCTTAATTATTATGACAGATCGTCTGTGCAATTTTTATATAGAAATAAGGCATGACAAAGTGAAAGATCTCAGAAATTGAGATCATGGACTGAGATTGATTGGCATATGTAAATGGGTCGAGACATACGAAAAACACGAGAGCTCTATTTAACAGATCACCATGATGGTTTGCATATCCACGCTATTCCAAATACATATAGGCCGCTTGAAGCGTCTCTCATAATTTCATCTGAGACCTGGCGGCATTCACAAACTTCCAGAGTCGTGAAGTGTCTTAAACCGCGAATCCGTCGACATCAGTGCTTCGGGTGAATCAAATTCAAGCAAGACACCGTCGTCTAAAAGAGCAATACGGTCATAATGATTGATAAACCTGAGGCGATGCACAACTGCCAAAATAGTGTGAGTCGAGAACTCAGTGTTAATAATCTCCTGCATGAAATTCTCGGTCTCGTTGTCAACACTGCGGATATGCACTGTTAGCTTTCGCTCCATATATTCCGTTGAATGGGAAAATACACACCTGCTCGTAGCTTCATCAAGGATGAGTACGTTTCCTTTTTGAACCATCGCACGAGCGAAGCAGAGCAACTGCTTCTGTCCCTGTGACCAGGTAGTGACTTTCATGGCCATATCAAGCCCACCCTCCTTTTCAATCTTCGCCCATAGTCGTACCTTTTGTAGAGCGCTGATGATCTCATCATCTGATGCCCCCTCGAGGGGATCGACGTTGAAGCGGATTGTGCCACCAACGAGGAAGGGGTCTTGTGTGATAACATTCAGTTTGGTCCTGACTTCAGATTTGGAGTGCTCCGACAAGTCAAGTCCATCGATACAAATATTACCTTGCTCAAACTGAATCATGCCAAGGAGAGCGAGGATAAGTGTTGTCTTCCCGCTACCGGATGGGCCACATATGGCAATCTTTTCTCCGGGTCTGATGCTCATTGAGATACCCTTCAAAACGGGAGGAAGTGCTGCACTGATCAGTGTAAGACTCCGAGCTCTCTGCCTCTGGGGTGTATAACTTACGAGTGCCTTGCAACGATGCCTGAAAACTCGATCGCCCCAGCAGATGGCCATTGTGTGGGCAAAGATGGCATTTGAGCAACTGGACTTTCTTCTGCTTCGGTGGTGGCCGCATATACCTTCACTCGGGAAACAGCCCCAATGGATGTCTCCATATTCGTCCAATCTTTGATAAGCTGCATCAAAACACTGTTGAAGGTCATGACCATCACCAAAGCGACACCGACGTCTCCGGGATCAAATTTATCCCGAAGGAACACTACTGTCGCCACTAAAATAACAGCCAATGCAGCAACCAGCATATCCAGGAAGAAGCCTAGACATTGTTGAACACAATACATCAGGTACACTGGCCGCTGAGAGAGATTGAGCAGAGTAACGCAGGCTTTATCAAAGTTCTCTTGCCATTTAAAGGCGCGGACCGTTGCAGCTCCACTGACCAACTCAAGGAAATGAGTGTACAATGGTGCCTTGGCTTCAATATCCAAGAAACGCAATTGACGGGATGTGCGTAGATAAAACTTTTGCGTCATGTAGACAAGGACGGCCGCAAAAGGGATGACGATAGCTAGATACTTGGCCACGACGGCCAAGATGATCAATTTGACAAGACATGAACATCCCCCTAGGACCTTCGTCAGATAGTTTTAATCAAAGGTTATCCAGGCCCTACTTACAGGCAATGACATTGAATACTTCAATGGGCAGACTCATATCAATGAGATCCATATCTTGACTGAATCTATCATGTTGAGAACGCTGGTTAGTCTTTTCCAAGCGCGACATGAATTGTTGACTTTCTTCATTGAGTATTAACCAAGTACTTATCTTACCTGTTAGTGATACTGCCAATGTCAACATTGTGGAAGAACTGAAATGGTGCTCTAGTGAAGTGAAGGTCAGTCATCCTGTAGATATGAAGGTATCCAAATATGAATTAATAGAGCTTACCTAAATGTGCTGGTCAAAACATTTTCGTGGAGTTGGAGTGCTGAGGATGATACGACGTTGATAATCAAAAGCCTGAATAGATTAGTGTCAAAGGTATCAGTAAAATGGGAATGGCCGCTTACCAGGACACGATGATCATGAATATGATACTGGCAACCCCAAGGAAAATGTATACTCCAAGATACATGGCAACGTTAGAGTTACCGCTCTTCGCATTGTCTGCTGTCCACAGGTCCAGCCACACAGCTATGGGGTCATCAGTGAAAATCTCGAATTTATTGCTAAAAGGAAAAACTCACTAGTAAATTCACGGCAAAATGCCCAGAGCAATGCGACAATCAGACATGAGACAAATGTAAGTCGCCCTGATGCAGAAGCATAGTAGGAGTAAATGGAAAAGTCTCCCTCTTGGCGATTCAATCCGTCATCTGAGTCTCGATTATCCAACTCGCGTTCAACAAAATCTTCATCCTTTTTGCCGAGAAGCTCAGGTTCATTCAGTTCGTTCTTGGAGCCGATTTCGCTACTGATAACAGCAGGAGTTGCTGACGCAGCTTTCAACTCTTGGATATAGGAATTAGGTGTTTTGAGGCTGCCTAGCTTCCCGGTTTCTAAAACGCGGCCATCTTTGAGGACGATAACATTGTCCGCGTGTTGGAGAAGAAACACTTTTGACGAAACAGGTTAGCAGCAATATGAGCAATATTTGGATTGCGAAGGTATCCTACTGGAATGGGTGGCAAACACTACTGTAGTTTGCATTTTCCGGAGTAACCCCGTGTTGCTGAAAAGAGCACGGGCAATGGCCTCCGTGGTACTAGAGTCAATACCACTGAAAACATCATCCAACAGAACGAGCCTGCTTCGAGAGTAGAGTGCTCGCGCCAACGCCTAGAGTCACAATTTAGAGTCAAAATCAACGTCATCATATCAATACCGTTATTTTTACCTACAATTCGCTGTTTCTGTCCTCCACTGAGCGACATGCCATTGCCAGCAACGACTGTCTGGTCTCCCTGGCGAAGTCGAGTGATGTCCCTTTCGAGCCCGCAGCTGGAGATTACCGTTTGATACCAGTCCTTTTCTATTGGTTTGTCTCCAATAATATTCTCGCGAATTGTTCGGTTCTGGATCCACGGGTTCTGAGCACAATAGGCGACAGATGACAGGTTTGTTTTAGCTAGGTTCCCAGCGTTAACAGTTTCCCCGAGTATACTCTCTATTAGAGTGGACTTCCCGCAACCAATAGGGCCCACAATCATAGTTATGAGACCATTAGGGATTTTCAGATGAACATCGTGCAGAACAGGTGAAGAACCCTTGTCCCAGCCAAAGTCTTGTCCTCTGAACTCGATTAAGGAACCACTGGAATGTAATCTGTGCATCTTCAAAGAACTGGGAGCTAGCTTTTGAAGATTTTCTTCCGTATCTGGGGCATCAGAGTTGCTTTCTGCACGTGGCTTACTGCAATACTCCTGTATTCTGTCGAAGCATCCCACACATTGTATGACAGCCGGAATTGCCTGGATAAATGTCAAGACGGGTGTGGTCACCAAGGATATCAGGGACATGGAGGTGAATGCCTTAGCAGCAAGAATTGATTGATCGTGGTTCTTCAAGGCAATGATCGTGTAGACAACAAATGTTGCGATCGGAGCCAAGTCAGCAGGGGAGTTGGCTTTGAATTTGAGATAAAGTAGTCAGTCGGTTGTTGAATCTGGTAGATATTGAGTCGAAGCAACTTACAAAGAACAACTCTGACAATCAGAAGCTTGCGGAACACAGCTGATGTGACTACTTCAGCATGCCGAAGCCCCCGAATAATGGAGGAAATCTTTTCAGACAGGCCGAGCATTTTGACCTCTTTTATCTTTTCTAAGGCAAGTGAGGTCATACGTAGTCGATCCTCCACCTTTTCTACCCAAGAGCGTTGCGCGGTACTGCTAGCGGCCGCCAACTTCATTGTAGCAAGTACAAAGACTAGCCAATTATGAACTGTTAGAATAACACTGCAAATCTAAGATCTGCATGCTTACCTGCAACAATCAATGCTGGAACTACACAAGCCACCCCAAGCTGTCTTTCGAGCAAAAATATTGCAACTGCTATATCGATCAATGAAGCCCACAATTCGTGGATTAATCGAAAGCCACTCGCAATCCGTTCGACGTCAGTTCCCATCAGAGTAATTGCAGTGGTTTCACCAAAGTCAACCGCTCGGACTCGAACCGTTTGTCCATGAATGAGCGAAATTAGACCACCCCGAAGACGAATTGTAAATCGGAAAGTGTGATATCCATATAAAGCATTAAAAATCTGCAAAGCCATGGATTAGCATGTGCTACCAGTCACGTCAAAGATCAATGCCAACCCACAGCCATTCCAATATAGGTAAGGGCGTACGCTCCGATAAGGGCCTTGCCAGAATCCATGGCAGCCTGTGAATCTCCAATCCATGACACGGTGGCATTGATGAGATATGGCTGACAAAAGGTCAACCCTGATAAGAATAGGCGCGGAATGACGGCAGAGATAAATGCAGGATAGTAAGCACGAAAGCAAGCGATGAGCAATGCATGCTTTTTAGACTTGTTTTCTGCGCAGGGAAACATTAGAATGGCTGGGCATTTTTGTCTAGCAATTGTGAATTACCTCGTTTTGACCAGACGCTTTGTAGCTTGTGACCAACAATTTCGCTGTTTAGACGTGGATCCAGATCAGGAAGATCGTCGACGGAAATGACTTGGGAGTAGCCAAGGCGAAACGTCCCAGCAAGCCAAGCAAAGCTCGCTTGCTTCCAAAGACTACTAAATGGCTCTGGAGTAGCAGGCTTCTCTGTTCCCTCAATGACTAAAGACTCTTTCCCAGAGGACTCTAGCATCAAAGAAAACAAGGTAAAAATGAAACCAACCGTAAAGATGATGGCCTTGCTTGTTTCATCAGGGATGAGCCATAGCGTCCTCACACGTACTATACCCAGAAGGGATCGGATAGAAAGAAAGAGGGTGAGTAGAGTTGATGGCCTAATAGAACGGCAATGATAGATGTATGATAGCACTGTAGCGCTGGGGATGGCCACTACTTCCAGCAAATCTGCTGCCAGTGAGGCTTTGGTTTGGAGCGCAGTAGACCCTAACCGACGAAAAAGCAGAAAGGCAAGTTGACAGGCAAAAACTATTAGCAAAACTACCTATATATCGTGTTGGCCGTGATTCCTGGATGACAAATTTATATAGTGGGTTCAATAGATGAATGAACGACATACTAGCTTGTAGACCAGTCGTCGAGACCGCTTGATACGACGGGGCTCGGTCCACAGTAGCCACAGGGACACCGGAAAACCTGATAGAAACAAAGCCGTTGGCAGGCAAACGAGGAATAAATCTTCGAAGTAGACTGTGAAATCAAAGTTCCGACAAGCGACATTGACCCGGGGGCCAAATGCAGCATCAGCCACACTCAGGCAAACTGCCTGGGCTGTCGAGGCCATGCTATCATCTAGTCCAGGTAGAGGATGGATGCTGGTTCCCAGGAGTAGATACCTTCGCAAACAGACTAGAGGGGAAAGCGGACAGAGAGAGAAGGGAAGAAGAGAACAAGAGAGACCATGAGATGTAAGATCTCACCAACCTAATCCTGTCACGTGTATACCTCGTTTCAGCAATGGATTCAGCTCAAAGGATCCCTAATGTAACGCTTGAAACCCCGATGGCCAATTCCCATCCGAATAGTACGCCATGCGGGGGCCATCGTGGTGCTATTTCGGAGTCCGGACGCTTATCATAGCCAATCATCATACACAGCAGGTCTCCGAATTAGCGTCCGAGCTATGGATGTAGCCTATTTCTTGAACTGAACGAAAAGTATAAGACATAGGATTGGACAACAAGCGTGCGAGATCTCAGTGGAGGCCAACCTTGGTGAGATACTCGGCTACAATGCGACATCCCTGCAGTAGTCAAGTAGTTATGTGTACGGAATATTAGAAGAATGAGACGAATATATACCTTTTTCAAATTCAATTCATGCTTCAAGCACTGTAGATTCTTGGGATGTTTTGTGTGGAGTCATATCCGTAGATGTAAGACCAAACATCCAAATAAATACCTATATTATAAAACTATTAACATTGATATATGCATATCTAACTTTAAATCTACTCATTCTCTATAACACCAGGACAAGGTAATCCCTACCACTACCCGCACGAATCTATTTCGCAGGCGCGGCCTTCCAGAACAACCATCCAAACGCAGCAACAAACTTCATACCAGCAGCCATCCACAGCGCGGACTGCATACCACCACTGCTACGACTCAGCCATCCACCGACAATAGCACCGATCAGCAGACACACAACGCCACCGATGCGACGATTGCGCTTGGCATTCGCAGTCGGCTTGTCGACGAGCTTCGGATCCGACGCAATATCAAAGTAAACACTGGTCAAGACCACAGTCGGGATCTCATTGTATCCTAGCGCACGACTGCACGTCATTCCACCGGCGGACTGGAAAGCCAGCAGGCCGATCGGGATCAACTCGAGGAAGAGCACGCCGCCGTCTAGGGCGGCGTCGGCGGAGGTGTGGGGAATGACGTCGGCTTCAATTAATGCGACGGCGACGATGATGAGAAGGGTTTGGATCAGGAATGAGACGAAGAGGGTGCCGCGACGGACGGCGCCGACGCTGCGCATCGCGATCGAGAAGATCATCGCGCCGAAGAAGAATGACGCGATCGAAACGAAGGACTTGAGCCAGCCCCATGGCTTGTTGTTGGGTTGATTGGAAGCGCCGAGGCCTAGGAAGATTGTATTTCCTGATTTCAGAAAGGGTTGTTAGCTTTCGATTTTCTCTGTTGGGGTTTGTTCGCTTTGGCTTTGCGCCCCCTTGGGAGAGCGACCGCTATGACTCGTACCCGTTTGCATTCCAAGGAAACAGGACCAGGCATTGTAGGCGCTGCTATCGCATAAACCGGTGAGGAAAGTAAGCATCAGACAGATCAAGTCGGCGTGTGTGGGCGTCAGGTTTTGCTTCCATCGTTGGGCGACGGTGGACTGTTTGGCGGGGGCATTTGGGGCTTCGAGATCGGGTGCCGGGGGCTGTTCTGTTTTCTCCATTGTGAAATGTGGATTTGTACCTAGTACTCTGGACCGGGTAAGTGGGAGTACTCTGGACAGAATAATAAAGAGGGAAGAATCACAAGTCAACAGAATTTTCGTGTTCCTGGCCCGAGGTGACTACCGGGGGAAAGTTTATTTCTCGGGATTTGGTCCGATTGTGGTCCCTTGGAGGCCGTGTACAATATCTTCAGGGCTACTTCTTATAGTAATCTTATATTTCATATTGTAATCCAATGGCAAGCTCCTGAATGCTGCTGCCTGGAAGTTCAGCACGCAATAGTGGAGATTCATGGGTCTCGGATAGGGCTGAATTAAAGTAAAAGATCTTATAGTAACCCGGACATCACATCTATGTCAAGTATTGCATCTGCAAATCAATATAGAGATCTCCATCGATTCTACGTACGACAGATTGTTATAGACATATTCTCCGTGCTTCACGCCTTGATTTCAACGCTGACGCTACAGTGATTAGTAGAGGGTTGCAAAAACCGCCGAATCACCGGTGAAATGTAAGCCCTAACCACTATCTGCGTCAAGTGCTGTAATATCATCTCGCTTTCTATTGGGGGAACTTTGGTCTGCCCCGGTAAGATACGGACATGACGATCATCCAAGACTATATTATGCATAATCCTAGTAACTTCTTTGCATCTAATGCAACCACTGTCCGAACTAGAAACAGGTGCATTTTTCGCCTTTCTCAACCTCTTGATCTCAGCTTCGTTATCCATAATTTATCTCGATGCAAGGATATATGCTACGATATTGGAGTTATTAATCATTATAGCAGTATCTCACTCGGCCCTGCGGTGAAGACTCATCGTCGATCCCAGGCGCCATGATCTGCAGCGGAATACCAAGACGCTAGATATTGCCGTAAGCCAAAATGAGTTCACAGGTGAGCAATCCAGATGCAATTTTTGAAACGCCAGGACCTTGGCAAAGGCGAGGATCGCGGGTTGCGCAATTTTTGTTGTTATCTATCAATACGGAGGGGATCTCAGCCCCTGTGACTTGGTGGGTTCTTGGCCTTTGTCTACCCGTTTTGAGGCAGCCCTTCCGCTGGTCAGATCTCTGCAATCACTGGGATTGGTCTTTTCTTCTCTCGCCCTCCCTCCTACTCTACGAACAGCGCCTAGTTAGTAGGCAGTGGTCGTAAAGGTGTTCGCAGAGTTCACAACAACAATAATTCCAGCCATAGGAGCAACGCCAAAGCCCGAGATCAAGATATCAATTTGAACGTCAGCAATAAACATAGAAGTAAACGAAAAAAAGCGGCCTTTCGAACGCACCTCCCGCTAAGACATTTACGGATATATGCAAGACAAGCGCACCAGTAACCGAGGTCAAACCTAAGTCAAGAGCCTTGGTCTGAAGATTCCTGAACAGGGCATCCCTGCGACCCAAAATAGCACATGGAGATTGGGACATTGGCATTTGCTGCGCTACCGAACAACTTGCAAACCGCCACCGACAACGGGCAATTTAGCATATCCTTGGTTCAGAAAACTTGATTTATAGTATTTCAATCCAGATACACTCATTTTGCTGTTTCTGACACGGCTGTCAATAGGAACAAGGTATTGGACACCCTTGACGAAAAGGCTTCGGCTAAATTCGGAGGTATTAAGCGATGGGGTATAGGAATCATCTATGGATAATGCTCTGATTGTTAGCGAATACCACACATTCTTTATCCATTGAGTTCGATTATTGGGTAGCATTATAGAGCCAGCTTCCCTTATGTCTTTGCTTCGTAGTCACATCAACCCAATGGTCACATCGTTCTTGACTCGCGCATAGAGCTAAACCTCAACTTCCAGACTCAGCTCAGTTTTGATATTCAAGCAGCTATTCTCCTCGCCCACTTTCGCTGATCGATCCTTGATCCGAGATTCACGAGCAGAGCCAATCATTTTACCAGGTGGCGCTGGCTACATCGCCCTTCTCGGTGACGCGTTTCGCGGAACAGGAATCAGCGAACACCGACTCTCTCCCCCGATTACTTTCAAATAAAAGGGTTCCACCAGAGGATATCGAATATAGTCTAGACTAATATGGTTCTAGGGATATCCACTACGATAATAGCTTGTCCCGTGATAATTGATACTACCGAAGCAGTCGGCCCAGGCCAAAGAACGAATGCAAGAGAAAGGCAAAGAGCTGTGAGAATGAATATCATCACTTGTTGCGCTACCACCCCAAGTGCAGGCAGGTCTATTCATGGATGTTCTGTCATCTTGCGCGATAATCAGGCACGCATTCTGCGGGATCCGGAAACCCGATAGACCTGTCGTCTTCGCTAATGTAGTTGATAACTTGCTCTATATTGAATTTTCGACGGCTGAGGGTCGGAACAGCTTTTCATAACATTCATTTGGAGGGTATCTTATTACATATCCCGAAAGAAACTAGGGTCGCAAGGGAGAAGGAATAGTCTCTATTACCTGCGATGAGCCTCCACAAGTACATTGGATATATGTGAATGCAAAAGCTGACGAGATTGAATATGGCCTGCTAATATACCTCCAAGACCATCTTGTTGGGCCATGGGACTGCGACTCACTGGAGGAGGAAATTACTTCGGAGGGCTTGGGGGGCTTCATGTTTGTGGAAGTTGATGGGGCATAGGCGCTCTATTTGGACCGGGACGACGATGGCTTCAAAGAGACAAAATATCGATAGGCAGAAGTTTCAAAGTTGAGCTGACAAGGGGAGAAAGAAGGAAGGAGAGAGATGATGAGGGTTAGGAAGCCTTCACTATATTGAGGGGTGGGGGGTAGAGGTAGCAAGATAGATGCTATATGAGCTATGATGAGCCACTTCTATGAAGAACAATGCATTTATGTAATAAAACAACGTATCCCGCACACGATCTTATTAATTAGAAGCTTTTGCCGACTGGTTAAATGCCCTTCTGGCTTCAAAGCCCGGAGATTGGATGCCTGTGTTCCAATCTAGGATGTGGTTTGCTGATTTAAAGAGTCCAAAATGAAATCCTGTGAATTGAAGAGGGGATTGTCCGGTATATCGGACACGGGATTGCCTATGATATAAATGGAATTTCGCCTCTAAAAATGCTCGGGGACCCCTTCACCACCCAATGTTTCCATTTGAGACCGCCTAGCCCAGGTGTGGAGGCCATGTGGGAGCCTAAGCGCATCACCCAATGTGTTGCTGCATTTCTAGTGGAAGATGAGATGCATGAAGTGGAGAAAAGTAAGGTAGCGTACAATCCGTAATGCAGAATGGGCGTCTCGTATTGCTCCATTGAGCATCCGGCTCAACCATGAAGCCCCCGTCACCAAACACCCGTAATGGCAGCCATTGCGATTGCGTTCATAGCTTGTTCTTTTCACTTCAACCCGGCTAGCTGGGGGCTGTTTGTGCTAGCTTGCAGGGATCATGACCTCCATAATTCTAAGTCCGGTTAAGTCCAGAGTTCTCACCTTAACTCCGTCAATAGCGATTGTTTCGGATGTTGAGTATTAATTGACATATGTTCGTCCGACCAGCATTGACTATTACACTGAAACATCTTACATCCATCTCAACCTAAACAAAATTCCGTCATGGCCACCGTCACTAAGCCCTTGATCTTAATCACTGGTGCAAACCAAGGCTTGGGATTCGCAACTGCCCAACAGCTGGCCAGCACTGGCAAATACAATCTTCTTATCGGCGCCCGGTCCCAGGAAAAAGCTGAAGGAGCAATCAAGCAGCTCCAAGAGTTTAGCACTGACAGCTCTTTGACGCCTATTGTCATCGATCTCGATCAAGACCAATCTATCACGGCCGCAGCCAAGCTCGTCGAAGAGCGTTTTGGATCACTAGATATTCTCATCAACAACGCCGGTATCAACAGATCGTCCGACCCAAACGCTACCCTACGCGAGACCTATCGAGCTGTGTTTGAAACAAATGTATTCGGCGTAGCAGTGATGACTGCTACTTTCTTACCACTACTCCGCGCTTCGAAGTACCATGACCGGCGTATTGTCAATGTGACGAGCGGCCTAGGTCAGATTGGTATGGCATACTCGCCTACTTCGGAGTATAGTGCTAAGATATGGGAGCTGCCCGTCTACCGCAGCAGCAAGTCTGCGATAAATATGATCAATGCTGTTGATGCTGTTAGTCTCGAAAAAGAAAATATTCTATCTGTTTTAGCCGCTCCGGGTTACTGCCGGACCAACTTCGGGGGTGGGAATGGCGTCAAATCGGCGGAGGAGGGGGCTCGCCCTATTGTGAGGGCTGCCACTGAGGGCACGGCGAAGGAGCTGTTTGGAAAGCTTGTGGATGATGAGAATACGCTGGTTGAATTTGGATGGTAGATTTGTACTGGTATAGGGACTGTGAGGCTGTTGATATGAGAAGGAGATTAGCGATAGTTATATGAGAGCTGAGCGTACATTTGGTTCAACCAATTTGCCGTCTCAAATAGAACGAGTGGTTGAATACATTTCTCCAGATAGGAACTACAGCCCATGGAAACATTAGTCAAAGGAAAAGGCCTTGCGCCCATATATTATGGTACGGATGCGATACGACGAGAACATATCTGAAGTGTACGTCACAGCTAGCATGTCAGACGATTGGGCTATAGTAAGAATGCCAGTATTCAGGATCATACTCAATCTTGAACCTTTAGCCTACTCCGAACACCAAGGTTCATATTTATACATCATCTGCAGTAGCTCTCTGCCATAAATATAATTGCAGATGGCTTGTCTACTAGCTGGCCCTTGTTTCAAATTGTGAAGCTGTATTTTCTTCACTTTGGGAGAGAAACGAACGCTCATTGAAGAGAATCATCTACATGATGATGCTTGGAACCGCAGGGATGTCACTCATTATAGCGGCGTAGATTCAAGTTCACCATGCAGTGAGCTAGAGCGAAGGATAGGTTCGATTACAGAGCTACAATGAGTGCACATTCGCAAAAAAGATGCAGTCCTCAAGTTCATGGTTCTTCTTTCGAAAATAGTTGTATCATTGATACCCATATCGCGGTCAAACCCTATAGCAACCCCGGAGTTCCAATCCCACCAAGACAACTCAGAGCGCCCAAGTCCTCTCAATCTGAAGACAATCCTCCCCAATCTCCTTCCAACCCAGGTTGCCCCACCTCGCAGGTCTCTCAACAGCATCAAAAAACTGCCTCAGCGCCAGCACCGTCTGCACCGCCCAGCGCTTCTTACTAACCTTCCCAACACCAACAGCTAGTGGTGTCAAAAGAACCCTCTCAATCTTCCCTTCCCCCTCCACGGAACGATTATGCCCCTCGACCTGACACAACAAGCTCCAAATACACTCATAGACAACTTCCCGGTCCCAGCGGACATCACTAGGCTCCCGCATTGTGGGACAGATAGCCACCCATTCACAGCCGTACTTATTCCGCTTTAGGTCATCTGGGAACTCAACAAGCGTGCACGAGCCTGGCGGCGCAAAGCCGCGCCATTTGTCATAGAGGACTGCTTGTGCTGCGCGGGTCAGAGCATGATAGTCCTGTCGTGGACTGAAGGTCATCGAGATGGCGTGGTCGAAGGCTCCGTCAAGGCGGGCGTAAGAGTTTGCTGGTGAGACGATCAGGTCGAAGGTTGTTCCTTCCGGGAGAGAGTTGAGGCGCTCGTTTATTGGGGTTATCTTTAGTTTCTCTGGGTCGTGGTCTGGCCAGGTTGTTTCGATGGCATCATTAAAGGCGTCCATAAAGCCGATATCCATGCAGAGAAGGAGGACTTCGGGGATGTTGGCTGTCATCTTTGCGTAAGGGGTTTATTGCTGAAGGGAGGAATTTTGGAGTAGATTTTAGACAGCAGTGTGTAGTTCCAAGGTTAAATAGACGAAGCCTCAGGTCAGCAATTTACACAGCCCCGTGGATGCGGAAATTCTCCCGAGCCTGACTGTGGCTTTGCCTGTTGGAGTCAATCGAGTCATTCATACACAAGTTGTACTTCAGAGGTAGCTACTACGTACATCCCCATACCTTCTCTTACATGTATGTAGTTGCTACGATTTGCAGGCCGAAATATAAGAACCAGGCACCAATGACGTGGGCTCACTTTCCTTTTTCAGAAGCACATCTTCTCCAACTCATAGTCAGCCGATTAGGCCTAGACTGAACGATCACCAGTTATCTCATCGGCACATCACCCGCAATAACATCCTTAACATTCGGCGCTTCGTCGAGGAATTTGTCCATCAATGGCCCTAAATCGTGAGAGGGAGCAACGGCATAGATTCTGATACAACTACGTGCTTTTCAAAGAGCTGCTCAATCGAGCCAAGAAATCACTTAATGACCCGCAGCGGCAGTGGCGGCGGGGCTCCCACTGGTCCACGAGTTGTGTCTCTCGACTCGGGATCCGATGAAACGGGGGCTAATGCTCAGTTCGGGCTAAGCTCCCTATTTAGGTTACATCGCAGTCTGTTGGCCCCTATATGGCGCGCTATTCCCGATACACGATGGGGGGGGCGCTTTTGGCTCAGGGCAATATGAATTCAAGCCGCTTCTTAGAGCCAATGAGTCTGGTCTTGATTGCCCTATTTAATTTACTGCCACAACCAACGAGAGACCCGTCCTGCATCAATCACCCCGTAGTCACTCTCGCCTCAGCATGCCGTGGACAACAGCCGAACACTCACCGAACACCTTCGCCCGGCCTCTTGGCCCCAATGAGGTGTTCATCAAGCTAATCAGTGACCCCGGCCACCCGCTGGGTCGTGAACACTGGGCCATCAACTACACGGCCACCATCAGTCCTCGTGGGGCATATACTGCTTTGTCGGGCTCGCCTGACCTCGTACCAGCCCTCATCCGCTATAGTTGGTTACACCTGCGCTTCCAGCATCCTAGTCTAGCTGCACATCCGGACTCCAACTCCAACGTCATCTACACGGTTCCAGACTCGGCCAATGCTCTTAGCAAATGGGCTTCGCAGACCTTTATCGTGGAGGCTGATGCCCGGTCCGCTGACGAGGTGATTCCCACCATTGTACCAGCTGCCGACGCCCGGCTGTACTATGTCTCCCAATCTAGTGAACTGCTCCTGCATACCGCACACTGGCGTATGGATGGAGTCGGCGGCCTGCTACTCCTCGGCCAACTGGTGGACCTGATGGTCTCACATGCCGACACTCTTCTCGCAGGGAATCTGCCAGACCCCTTCGATTCCTTCCAATGGGGTTCGGAGGTCGCACGGCTGGCGCCACCGGTCGAAGAAGCCGGCAACATGCCCCTCACCGCGACCGACGAGCAGAAGGCTGTCGCACACGAGGCAGTTGGAACCTTTGCCCTGGCGGCGGGCGCTCTTGGGGTGCCCTATACCGGTGATGCCTCATGTCTGCCCTCGGGCACGCGGGCCGCCGAGCTCAAGTTCTCGTTGGCTGCCACTTCCGCCGTTGTGTCTGCCGCAAAAGCACGTGGAGTCGGGATGACGGCCGCCGTGCATGCCAGCCTGGCCGCAGCCAACTTCCAGCACGCGATCGCTGAGCATCAGGGTCGCCACTACACCAGCACCATCAAACAATCGTTGAGACCGTATCTCCCCGAACCGTACTCGACGCCCGCGGCTGCGGCCGGACTATACACGTCCGGTTGGTTAGCGCGTGTCGACTCCTCCGCGACTTGGGATGAGAATGCCCGCATGTATCAGACGGAGTATGAGAAGGGTATCAGTAGTGAATATCTCCAGGCACACCGGGAATATGCGTCTACTTTGGTCGATTTGATGAAGCACCTGCCGACTCCCACGGAGCCACCCAGCGATATTGATATCAGCAGTATGGGAATCATGGAGAAATATCTGGAGCGCGAATATGGAACCCCGGAGCGCGGGTTTGGCATCACACATGCCGGAGTTGGCGTGGAAATCATCTCGCGCCAAGGGGTAGTTTTTGTATGGACGTTCCGTGATCAGTTGACACTGCGACTGGTGTATAATGAGGCCTTCCACACCCCCGAGCAAATGACGGAGTTTTTACATGACATTCAAGCGGACCTGTTGAAGCATTTACGTGTGGAAGAGTAGACTGTTGAATACAATTATTCATTGAGAATATAACTACATGGCTCTTACTATAGACTTGATGCATATATGGTCTTCCTGAAGCTTGCAAGTTGAGTCGTCCTACGTGCTGGTTATTTTTTGAATGTTGTCTTCTTTATACATAGCAGAGGTTATACAGGCAACCAAACATAAAAAGAACCATCATTCATCCAACCCAATATCCCTCTCCTTCCGAAGAGTTGCCTCCTCAGTCATATCAGCATCACCTCCCAACGCCCGACTCTCCTCTTGAGTCGACACGTACCGAATCAAACTTTCACACAACCGATCCAGAACCCACTGAGGCTCTGTCTGTTTCGCCAACAAGGGACTATTTTCACCGATCCAGTCCCAGTTGATCAGTCCATATTCGTCTTCTTCAATTAGCGGCTGGGCATGCTGCGATGACAGTGGCCAAGATCGCGGATTAGTGAACTGAATGAGCCGGGTGAACTCAACCCATTCTTCGTAAGAGTATCGTTTCCGCTTGCCTTCTCGTGCCTGTTTCGTGACGCGGCGAATAGCAAAGGCAAGTTGCTTAGCAAGCTCAAGTGGGGTCGGATCGCGGGCAAGTTCCTCTATAGACCGAAGCGGATGAGACTCGGCGAAGTCATCACTTTGAGTATCAGGTTCACCGTCGTTCCGGGGCCCTGCCCTTTTCCCAGAACCGGATTCATCGGCGCCCTCGAGTGGGAAACCGCGCTGTCGTCGCTTTTTCTCTTGGTGAGATCTTATGCACTGACCAACGCCGGGAATGCGACCCAAGAATATTTTGTAGACACTTGATTGAGGAAGGACGACATAGTCGGCGACTATATCGGTGGCGCGCTTGAAGCTAGCGACGACGGTGTCGCTCATTTCGGAAATGAGCATTGTCATGGTTGGAATGGCGATTAGGGACCATACCACGAAGAATGGTCTTCCTGCATTCGACTGCGGTGTGAAATCGCCGTAGCCGATGGTTAGAAGGGAGATGAAGCAAAAGTAGAGTGATTCGAAATAGGTCCAGCCTTCTAATTTCCAGAATACCACCGCTCCGCAGGACCACACGATTCCGAATGCAACGACGCTAATGATCAGGTTGGTCCAGCGGCGGAAGCGCAGGGTGTCAGACTGGATACGGCGCATAGCGTTGAACCGGTCTTTTTCCTCGCGCATGACAATGACCTTAGGTCTACGAGCCGTGGTAATGGCATTGATGGTGTCGCGAATTGGTCGAGAATGACGATGTCGGTGACGAGACTTGGATTTTTGAAGAACGAGAGTCGGAGGGGTGATGACTTGGTCAAGTCGGCGTTTCTCTTGGGGATATTTGAACTTGTGAAAACCGACTGATCGCTCGAAAGTGGATTCTCGTTTATGTTCGATGTGTTTCCGAATGACATTGTCGTAGTGGACCTCGCGGGCAAATTTGAAGATGCTTTCCACAACCAGTCCCAGAATTATAATTCCAATGACTGCATATGGCCAGAGAATACCTCGACCGACGTTATTGGTGGCAATGATGTCGCCATACCCTAAGGTGAGGACGGTTACATCGGAGAAGTACAATGCATCGGCGAAAGAGATCCCGAGCACTCGCTGAAAAATAGCTGCGCCGATCAATAGCCAGACCACCAATGCGGTCATTTGTAGAATCAGGGTTCGTTGCTCGTAAGTCAGCGCGAAGTGTTGCGGGTATTTACCAAGAAAATAGCCCAGCATGTTAATCATCAAGATGAGGCTCAAGATAAAGTAGAGGATTGCTGCAATGACGGCACTCCAAAAAGCCTGCGAGTAGGTCCTATCAATGCCGACTGGGGGTGCATAAACGGCTGTGGCTATGGTAATTCCACAGAGCTACAAGCAATCGTTAGGTCTGAGATATACAAAATCAGAGACGTTACTCACGATTCCGGAGGCCAGGAACCACATAATGATCGTGACGGGCAAAGCTATGATATACCGTACGATCTGGGTGAAATTGAACAGTAAAAACATGTTGCCCACGATACCGCAGAATAGCGAAACGGCATTTAGGACAGTGTCCCTATTCACGGCGTTAGAAAGAAGGATTCAGGGTCCCCTCATGCTTTATACTCACCAGCGAGGGTCTGGATATCCTTTTTGAAGGTGGTTTCCAGCGGGACCATCATCATGCGAGAGGATCTCGCTTCGCCACGGCATAATCAGTGCAGCAATTGACATCACATTGGCGAGTGGTCCCGTTGTAGCAGCAATCAACGGGATGGCCGTTGATGCGACCCACCATGACTGGGGCTCATCATCTTCAGGTGGTCTCAGATGAATCTGACTGCAGATCCATTCCCATAGGGATAGTCGATCGGACTTGTCATCTGCGGGCATCTTACTTGTCATGGATCCATGATGCATCGTTTATCTAGCATGACCGGGTGCCCAGATCGGGGGTAGTCGCAAATGGAATGATCTTTGTGGCTCTGAGTCTAACTTTTCCAATATTTTTTGTAGCATCGGGTCACTTTCCAGGAGCGAGATGGTTGAGTTGAGGGGAAATTCAACAGCGGCATCCTCATTTGCTTTTGGCCAGGTGAGAATGCATGGGGACAGCGGGAACAGACGGATAGAAGCCTCAGCAGCTTTTGACTGCCACACAGAGCTCTGGAGAAGGCCGGCTTGAATGAAATCCCACTCTTAATTCGAGGGTTCAAGTACGTTCAAGGGCGAGGTAGCTACATGTGTAGCATCACGCAGCAAATGATGTCAACAATCAGCTCTGATAGCCGACGGTCCCGTGACCTTTCCAAATGCGTCATTATTTTCCAAGTCAAAATAAAACATTCGAACGTTCGATGTTATTGAATATATATGAAGTTTGTGAGGCTTGGCGCATATGCTCGAAAAATCCCCTAAAAATACCTAAGCCAACCAGGGCAAATAAGGTTGCATGACCACATGGACTTGGAATTCTGGCCCGGCTATACAACGTAGGTGATCCTTACTCTGTACAGCCTGGCGAAATCTCAAGGAAGCTCCATAGGCTTATGGTTTTATCCTGAGCTATCCATCCGATCTCATCATACAAAATGCCCTTGACATAATAACACATGGTCGCTCTTTTTCTGCACCTGAACCTTCAAAACCAACGTCTCACAAGATCGGTATGACTTCAAATCAAGATAATACATAAATCAGGTCTGAGCTAATATATAAGCTGGTCAGGGGCTCATAGCACCCATTAAACACATACATACCGAGCAAAATGAAGAGTAGTACTCCCCCAAAAGCTTCAGACTAGACTAAACCAAACACCTCCATACCAACAAATATGTTTTACAGCCTCACCAATTATAAATATGCCTCGTAGCTAGGATCTCCATGCAACCCAAGGCAAAGCCGGAGGTCACGCAGCCCCCTGCACCTCAGCTATGATAGGATCGCCACACCCTCGGGTACAACGTGCATGCAGCAAATGGAATGCGAAAGCTAGGCCAATGGCAACTGCGATCACTTGCATGAGATACAAATTTACCCGCTCGGACCTACACTTAGATGAAAGGTGACATCAGCTATTATTATTGGAGAGATAGTACCTGCTTTAGGAGGAGGTCCAGCCAGTAGTAAACGATCAACGGAGCTCTTTGATAATCAACAACAGTCACCGGGTTTGTCTAGAGGCTATGGATCTACGGGGGGGGGAAGGATCCACATTATATGTAGGCTGGAGGTACTTGCATTGCATACGAAGCGCCGGGGTGAGGGGTATCACATCACAGCTTTGACGTGGAAATAGTATCAATTTTACAACATGTCTTCGAGACTGAAATGTTTGGTATAACGAGTGTTAGGGTCTATCGGACGTTTGAGTCGTGGTTCTATGTACAACCCGGTTCCTCCGACCCAAAATCAACAGGGAAATGTAATGCAAAAGATAAAGGAAATAAAAGACAAGTGCGTAGACAAGAAATCGCAAGATGGTATCATCGAAGCAGAGTGACACGGACTTCAACAAAACAGAACGGACTTGACGGCCAGAAATGAAAAGATTAAACGAGGACGCCAGAAATGGAATGGAATGGATCAAGTGGACGCCGTCCTATGGAAGAAACGAGATCAAAAGCAAGGCGCCGGCACCAGAACGCAAAAACAAAAACAATGATCTTTTGGGGGTGCAACCCTGGGCAATATGGGCCGATGGGTTGAGAAAACAGTAAATGCGACGAGCAAAGCCAGCCGAGGCCAAAGCAACACGCTCCAAATGCGATTCAACAAATGTCAAATGCTCCAAGTGTAGATAAAAAGCAGTAGTAGGAAAGTCTCTGTCTCTTTGGGTATCACTCCCTTGGCAGTCGGTATAAGAAAAGAAAAAAGAAATAAACGTATGAAGACATCCTATGCAGCCGCAGGTCGGCGCAGAATGTCTTCGCAGTTGGCGTCGAATCGCATATTCCAAAGGCGAATACTGTTCATGAGCTTCTCGGTATTTTCTAGCTCACGGTCGCGACCGAAAATCGATTCGACAAATTCACAACCGGCATTGCGACCCATTGATACGGGTCCTTTGCCACCTTCTCGCTTGGCAGCCTTCCACATGTAGACTTCACAGCCTTTGAGGAGCTTCTTGAACCGGGACCAGAGGCGCTCGCCACTTATCAGGAAGCCTTCGACGGTTTCCTGCGCCTCCACGCGTTGAAGGCGAGGAAGGCATTCGTCGGCCCTCTTTACTTTGCCCGCCAGCTTGATCAACAATAGCCATAAGTCGCCTGCAACGTCGGCCATGGGTGTCGATGCCCCGTGATGAAACACTGTCCAATCGTAGATCCACTTGCCAAGGGAGTTTGCATCAAATACACTACCAAGCAAGATGATCGGTGCTTCGGTGGGGTCCCAGTTTTTGATCGAATAGCCTGCTGGGATCCCTGCGGCCTCGGCGTCATCTTCCGTAGCGACAGGTGGCGGTTTGGCCGTAGCAGGTGGTGGTTTGGGTTTGTTGGGGGTGCGAGTTGATGTGGATTGGCGTCTGGTGCGAGTGCGCCTGGCCGCTTCGATATCCTCGTTGTTAGGAGCCTGAGTGAAGTAAAAGTGAGAATCAGCTGGATTTGATTTGCGGTAAGAGGTCGAGGTGCGACGCTGGCCAGGGCCATCTCGAGTGGGGTTCGAGGCCGGGGGACGACCTTGGCGACCGGTACGGGGTTCGCGGGCGTTGGTGCGGACATCGAATGCTTCGTCGACCTCATCTACGAAGACGGGTCGACTCTGCGATTGCGACGGGTAGTATCCGTTGCCGAGGCCATCCCCCGTAGGATGACCGGTTGAGTATCGGTGTTTGGGCTTTCCCGCAAAAGAAGCACTTACATGATCGTGCTTTCGCGATGGAATGCCATAGTCTGGGGTTGCTTCATAGTAACCTTGTGGGTAGCCAGACGCATAGTATGGTGTTTCTTTGGTGGCCGTGTAGCTGGCTTTGCGATTGTGCCGCCGCGAGGTGCCCCGGGGTGAAGCGTAAGCGTTGGCAAATTGAGAGGCGTAGTAGGCGTATTGAGGTGAGGTGGGAGGTGATTGAGTGTAATCGTAGGTGGACCACCCGGGCGGTGGACTGGAGTAATGATACATTATCGCACGAGCATATGGAGAGTCGATCAGATAAATGTAAATAGGCCGGAAATGCAAACAATCCAACAGTCAAATGAAATCAAGGGAAAAAAAAACACCAAGTATATTATACAGGATATCGTGCACCCAAACAGAAATCGACGCCGACTTTAGAACTGCAGGTCAGATAGGATTTTTTTTTTGAGAAGACCGTCACCGTGGTACAGGTTTCGATCGAAGAGAGGAGGGCTGGAACTGAATGTGCTGAGAGAGCATTTGAACGTTCTTCGGTCAATTCGAGGAAAAGAGAGAGAGTGCGTTTAGGGGGATCCTAGAGACCCAATATCTCCTGATTGAAGGAGATTGAGGAAAACAAAGAGTAGAGAGACCCTCTCCAAAAGATGTTAATGGCTTTGAATTCAGAGAGGGAAAATATTTTCAACCCGATGAAAGGGAAAAAGGAAGATGGATCCCATTAATGTCAGCGCCGGCGATATTGGCGAAGGCCAATCAGTGCCTCCGCTAGTGGGCGGCGCGTGTGAGTTGGCGTTGTGGGCTGTGGCGTTTGGCTTTCTTACATGTATTGAATTTCCATGAATTTCAAGGTATTCTATTCATTTCCTTTATATTTTATAATTTAAACGATCCAGGGTTTCTCCTTCTGGACACTCCCTCTCTTATAGCTTGCGCTCGACCTCACGAGTACATACTATGACTCAACTTGATGTGGCAAATACAATCGAGTCCCCATTCTAGCATAAACTAGTACTTTCTATCTCACTCTGAATCTGCGAGAACCAAAGTACCATCAAGTCGCAATGTCCCTACCCCTCAAGCTAGTCCAGATGGAGATGCTTCCATTGGACGCTATATGCAAACCGCTTGGCTGATAGCCCCTCAGTTGGATCACGCAGCGGGCAACTGCATTTTCCTCGGTATGTTTGGATTTGCCAGTCTCAAGGCAACTGCCTAACGAGGTTTTTTATTTCTTTTCACTCGTGGTGGACTGACTCATTCTGAGCCACAGGCAAAAAAATCAGGCGTCGAGGTCGCCACTACGACGTAGTGTCATTATATAAAACATCTTACTGGCTGCCTTACAGATATCTGGCGATGGAACTAATTTAGATCAGCTGGCGTGTCATGGTTGGGTTGGATAGCGCAAAACCATGTGCTTGACTTCCAGAACTAGGCTACATTTTCCATGCCTCGTACGGTTCATCTGCATGAACGCCGTCATTAGTTGCAGCACGGAGAATACTGTATACGGTAATATAGTCCTTGACATCGTATATAAAATGATTCTATCATTATCAGTAGTCTTCGGGACATAGTAATACTGATATGTACTTATGTACTTACTGTAGGCAGCGCTCGATATACCTAATGCAGCAAACTAAAGCCGGTTCCATGGTTGAGCTATCGGCATCCCAGATTTTACGACGGCCCATCCCGCCTCATCCAGTGGTTCAGACTCCACTAACACCCCAGATAACTCAGACATGATGTGTTTCAATGTTACTAGTAGTATCTGTAACATATACGAACACGTTGCCATGGCAAGAAAAACTGATGAGCCCCATCCTGATATCTTTTACACACACATCCACTTCGCACTGCCATGTTAGGCGACCTCATGGATCATGCATAGGCTTTACCGCTGCGTCGCTGGGCACCAACGACCACTTTGGGCGAAAATATATAGATTTTGCAGACCGCAACTTGCTTCTTCGGTCTGGGCATCAGAAACTTGAGTGGGCTGAAAAATCTTCCGCCTAGTGAAAATAGTTATGATCAAGTACGAAATCAAGGATGCGTATGTT